TATTACATGTCCGTGTCAGTCCAGGGATAGTGATCAGGCAGTGCCAGTCTGGAGTTGATGTGTCATCAGTCATGAGTAAACAGTCCAGACCCGGTTGTACCCTGACAGCATCCCTCACCGGTCACCTTCTTGAAAATCCTCCTGGGGATCTTCCTCTGGCCCTCTCTGCTCCATCTCTGGCCCTCTAGTCAACTGGCTCTTCAGTCCTTCCATCAACACCCGAAGGTCTTCAGGGTGGAGGCATCGTACTTGATGGACTTTGGGGTGCTGGCACTCCCGGGTGATGTGTCCTGGGGCATTACAGTTGTAACACAACCCATTCCGCCTCTGGTTGATCCTTGAGCGATCAAGGTCCATTGGCTGCAGGCCCGTCCCACTTGCGGGGCGGGCTGTAGGAGTTGGGGGTAAGGGCATGGGTGTGGGTCACAGGGGTGCGGGCATGGGACATGTGTGAGAGGGGGCGGTGGTTGGTAGGGGTCACCCTAGCGGGAGTGGGGGTCTGGATGGGGGTGTGTGGGGCTGCATTGCCTGGAAACGTCACCACTGGTTATCAAGGAGGGTGGCCTCACGTTTCCATTCAGCCCAGGTGGTGGGCATGGGTCGGAGGTGGTAAATGCTCTTGCAGAGCCAGGCGTTGATTGCTTGCTCAAAGCAGTTGACCAGCCCGACATCACCCAGCTGTGAGGCAGGTCCCAGTATTTCAAACTCCTGGATGACCTTATCCACAGAGTCACTCCCCTGTTGGATGTTCGCCAGTTTCTGCTGGGCTGTGGCTTCCCGGTTTGGATCCTGGAACATGGCATCGAGTTCCGTGTTGAACTCGTCCATGGTGAGTGTGGTGAGCCAGCCATCAGCAGTGCGATGGTGCATTGCATGGCCCACGCTCCTGCAGTCCCTCCCTTCATATAGGAGAGTACAAAAAGGATCTGCGAGAGGGCGCTGGGGAACTCGGCTGTGCAGACGTGGAAGTAGATACCACATTCAGCTTTGAAGCAGTCAAGATCCTCGCTGGCTCCCGAGAAGGGGGTAGGGGGGGCAACCTTAGGGCCCTTGGGTCTGGGTGTGGTGAAGGAGAGAACAAAGGAAGGTCAGTTGGGAGGTTCAAATGAGACCACCACCAAGCTGTTCCCTGGTTCTTTAGTTAGGATGGGGAAGTGTACTAGTAATATTTGTTGTAATTATAGTACCAATCCGAGTGTTTTGGCTAATTCTATTTTATGGGTTAGTCTAAAAGTTTCTGAGAATTGACTTACAGATAAACCAAGCCCTGCGGAGCTGTTCCTCTATTGTAATTTCTTAATTTGTCTGGGTGTAATTCTGTGTAGAGTTGTTTAATTTGGATTTTAACTTGAATTAAATCTTTTACTTGGTGAAGTTTCAAAGATTCTACTCAGTTAATGGATTTAGATTGTGTCTGGAGTATCCCTTGAGTTTGTTTTATTTTTGTCTTATTTTATTGCTTGTTTTAACAGTAGCAAAATAACTGTTTTGTGTTTACACTTTGAAATCTGGAGTGTTAACCAGCTCTCCTGTTGAAATATCTACTTAATATTTCTCTCCTTAATTGCTGCCTTTTACTACAGTGGCAATCTTAACTGTATATCACTTTTTCGTGCTGGAGTGACAACCAGAAATGCTTGAGAAAAATGATACTCTATTTTCTTACTTCTCTGAGGGGGGCGAAAAGTCGCAGAAAGGGTCTCCCTTTTATACTCCCTGGGTTGCCTTCCTTTTTCACGCTCTTCCTTGTATTTACAGGATTTATTTACAGTGTATTTTTCTCAAACTGAATAAAAAATGAAATTTTCACGCTATAGTTCTACTGCGCTGAACTGCACTGAACTGCAGCTCCACTGTGGTCAGACTGCGCCTAGAACCCTTATTGTCCTTCCTCACCTAAACTATTTTAATGGTTAATTAGAACTTGACTGCGCTGCATTTGTTGCAGTTTCCTATTTCAAATTCCTCATATTTACCATTAAATTCATTATGACTCAGTGATTCTGAATTCAAACTTCGCATTACTATGTGTACGGCTGCGCTGAGACCTTCAGCTGATTTATTCCATTTTTATCCAGCGACATTTAGTTAAAATGAGACTTGAAATGGTAAATGAGTGAATTATTCAGGTTTAGAACCGAAAGAAAAAGTTGCTGGTAGTCAAGAATTACTCAAACGAATGTATTATAGCTCTCCACTTCATTAGAATATCGTTCCCTAAAATTCCTGCCATGGTCCATCATAGTTTAGTGGTTTTCATGGATTTCGTTCATCCCCCCTGATTCCCCTTTGTATTATCACATCCTAATCCTCCATATGTATTGTTCGTTGTTATAGTAGGTCGTCCTCGAAGATATCATATTTTTATGTATTTTATTTAGGGCTCTGGACCTCTTGAAGCTGTCTTCCCACGTGTTTTCAGGTTTCTAACTTCATGTCCTTGTATCTCATTCATTTCTGGATGGTTTTTCACGTTCTTGATATCATAAATTTTCATTTATTCCCACCTTTCCAATGGTACTAACGTTGTGTTCTATTTCCTGGTATTCGTCGAGTTAGCAAAAGTTCGCGTGTACACTCAGTAATCACATGCATCGTTCCCGTAGTCATTCATATGCAGGCGCTGTTTCTGTTTAATTGTTTGGGATTTATGGTATGTGCGGGTGTTTGTATCCTTCATATGGGCTTCCATGATTTATTTCAGATTTTTCCCTCATGATCTAAGGTTGTTTTGCACTTTCCGTGCTTTGTTTTGACTGGGCTCTTCCTTATTTGGATGGAAATTGGTCTTCGCAATCTGCCAAAGTGCGGATCTCAGTTCTGACGGCCAGTTCCCTTCGCATTGCCACCCTCATGTGTCATTAAACATGATGCAGATTTCTATATTCCCATCGTTGGTATAACTTCACAACAGCTGGACTGTTTGGGCTGAAAATTTGCATAACTATTGTTCTCTATTTTTCATAATTTCCGTGTAAATTTCGTTGTATGTTTTCATTATGGATCCTACGTAAACATCGTCTTTTCCCTGAGCCCGGACTTTTGATGTCGCTATTCCTGTTATTGGATATCTCATTAATGCATGATCCTTTTATTATGAAAATTTGGGTGGATTAAGATTAGATCCCTTTCTTTCTAATGGGCTATCAAGCTCGTCTCGGTCATTACTGGTTGTTCTTCGTGCTTGCTTTTTAAACGTTGTCCTCGTTTTCCGGGGGTTTCAGTCATATCTCCATCATTTATGGGTAGTTGTCCCTGTAATTACTTTCATTGGGTCCGTTTGGGGGACATCTACATTTCCTATTATAAACACGACTTTGAATTTTGCATTAGTTCCTGAGGAATCCTTGTTCTGTGGTACTTCCATCCTCAGCTACGTGTGCAGACATGGGAAAGTAGTTTCCATGGAGGTTCTCTGGCTGTTTTTATAGTCAAATCTTGGTCGATTGTCCTAATTCTTGGTTTAATATTTGCTATAAATTCCCCCGAGAATTCCGTCTTGTTGATGCTAAGCTTGAAGTATTTTTGCTAATTTTCTTTCTTCCATTTTATCATATGTAGTCGTTGTCATGACCCGGCGTTCCCCGGGGCCAGACGACCTCCTCCCTGACCTTCTCCCATGCCCGAACACTCCCCGCACACTCCGCTCGCCGCCCGTCACCATCTAACCACTTCCCGCCACCTCTCCACAACACCTCTCCTCTTTGTCATTGAACGACCTAGCAGCGCAGAGCGCCGCGACCCGTTGTTCCATGTTTCGCCACACCTTGTTATCTCGCAGCGAAGGTCACGCTTGACCTTCGCTGTCTTGAACACGTGCTCTTTGTTTGTTTTCCTCCTTCCTTTCTCCACCCGCAATCTCCACGAGATCTGGCAACTTATTCCCTATTCAGTTCCCTAGTGCTTATATACAGCTTGTAACTAATGCTTGTACTGTAGTTCAAAATCAACTAGAATTACCCCCTAAAGCTTACCTCTGTCCCCGTGAGACCTCCGACCTTCTGAAGTATCGGGACCACGTCGAGAACGAGGCGCAACGCTCCTCCTAGAGTCGTTGAAGCCGAAATCCCAGCTCATTCACCTAAATAGCCTCGGCCTCGAGATCGGTGGGGTTTATCCCTCGCTAAAGCTCGGTCGTGTGTAGGACGCCTTTACCACTAGCGGGCAACATTCGGTCGCCTACGGCTATCATCGGCGAAGATTCGCACGGTTCTGACAGTCGTAATAATTCATAAAATTTCGTAAAAATTCAGGTTCTTCTATTACCTCATATCTACTTGTCGTATGGGGTTTTGTGATTTATCTGGCATATTTCCATAATGGGTTTCCATAGTGTGACCATTATTTCTCCTACAGTGGGTGCTGGTGTAGGCAGGGGGGCAGGAGCAGGTATGGGGGTGGGTGCTGGTGCGGCCTGGTTCAGGGCATGACTTTCGACAATGGCCTGTAGTTCTTCAAACCGGGCCAACAGGTCATCATATTGCTCTTCTGACACCATGGCAGGGGAGGAGGTGAAGGGAGTATAGTTGAAACCTTCTTCTGCTGTCAGGGATGCATCTGGGGTCGAGGTGGTCTGGGCGTAGCGTCTGGCGCTGAGGACCTCATGGGGGGTAGATCAGGCATGCATACTGGTGGGCCTGATGTGGGGCAGGCGTCCCTTGCCACTTTGACTGAAGTGGGAATGATGAGTTGTTATTAAAAGGGGGAACTATACTACTTACCTGAAGTGGGAATGATGAGAAGAAGGTTACTTCTTCAGTTCCCACCCCAGGTGTGTTTATGTACATGCGGCTCGGGTCACATGAGGTTTGCCACGTCACCTGTTATGGAAATGGGATTTTCCCATTTTTAGCCTCTTATGGGCTCTATGCAGTACAATATCACGTGACATGTAAATAAGAACAACTGAACCAACAATTATCACCCAAAACACCCGATGTCCATGTTATTGTAAACACCACTGTTACAACATCTGTTACATTAATTGTAACATCTTCTCAATGTCACGGCCCTCTCCTGCACCCGAACGCTATAGAAATGGGCCAATTAGGCCCCATTTTTATAACAATGGTGTTGCAGCCGCTTCCGCTTCTGACCAGCAACCGACAATGCGGGCTTCTGTGCAGGAGTTAACCCCATCCAACTCAGCAGCTGAGGCCCTCAAGGCTGCCGAGTATCGTTACATGGTGAAGGAAATGCAGCGCGCAGTGGACGAGTTCTCACGCCTGTCCTTCTACCACGCCTGTCCCTCTCTCGACCTACTGCAAGAATGGAGGCGACTGGGTCTGGGAAACATCGAGGCTCAGTTGGTTATCGACTGGACCACTGAGTTTCTACCCAAATACCGCCTTACCCTGGAGGCTGCCCGAGAGTTCAACGCAATTTTGCAAGCATCGCACGATTTTACCTGAACCGCATCGTTATTTGGGTATATGTCGGGTTCTTTCGAGATAGACCCAGGCAGGAAGTTCTGCAGCCGTTTGACGACTCTGGGGCTGTCGAAGCTAAGTACCTTTCGACTGGGTTTGGAATGTTTGATCAGGAAATTCGCTGAATTTTATTTACATTTCAAACGCGTCAGCAAGGCCGTCTCCCTCCTACACCCCACCCTTCCTGACCCAGGTCTGCCACCTGGCGTTTTCCTTAATGGGGCGGACTCTTGTCCCCCGGGTTGCACGCTCAGAGAGCGCCAACCACCCTCGCTACCGGTACGCTCATTCGAGCGCCAAGTACCCGCTAGCCTGCACTTGGGCCACTCCCTGGTGGAACCTCAAACGCCCACGCTGCCGGTACGCTCTCGCGAGCGCCAAGTCACCGGTGACTCAGCCATGGACCACTCCCTCAGCGAGCATCAATCGTCCACGCGCACGGTACGCTCGCCCGTTGAGCGCCAAGTAGCCGTAGCCATCCCTGCGTCATGTAGCACCCAAGAAACGCCACGTCAGCTCGTTGCGACGTGTGCCTTTCCTGAGTCAACACGACTGGCTCTTGCCCAACCGTATCCGGCTGCTCCACCACCAATTCCCTGGCACACCCGGCCCATTTCCGTGCGCCCCATACCCTCTCCAGTCCCCCTAATCGCTGTGCCGCCCCCAGAAGCGCTGCGTCCCCTCTCTCTTTCTCCTCCACTTCCCACTCCGACACCTCTGCCGATTCCGACAAATCCACATCCACATCCGCTCCAACTCTCCCACCATTCTCCCCCACTTCTCTGCCGCACTCCAACTCCGTCTCCGGGTCCACCACACTCGTTCATGTGTGGTGTGGATCCACCTCAGCCCCAGGTCCACTCTGGGGCACTGCTGCCTCCCCCAAGGCTTTTGGGGCCTATGCAACCACCTGGTGAGCCACCTCCCTATGGGATCATAGGAGTTTGGGGGGCTGAGGCCACTTTTATTTTATTTTCTTATAATTTTTATACTTTTATGTTTTATTTCATAATTTAAACCTCATGCCAAGCTTTCCCACTGGGTTTTGGTGCTGGCTGAGGGACTTTTTCTTTATTGTGAGACTTCTCACAACCTTTCTCTTCTTTTCCCTTCCTTCATTTTGGGGACTTCTGCACAGAATCCCATAAGAGTCTGGGGGGCGATGTTATGGAAATGGGAATTTCCCATTTTAGACTCTTATGGGTTCTGTATCACATGATTTGTATAGTAATCGAGTTTATCCAATCAATAATCAACGAAAAACCCGCTGCCACACTACCTGTTAAACTACATGTTAAACCATCTGTGAAACCATCTGTAGACCCTAATGAACCACCTCCCTTCCCCTTTCCTTTTCCCTGCACCTCAAACAGACGAAAATGGGCGCCTCCAGCCCCATTTTTGTAACATCACCCCACATACAGCTGCAGTCATCTGGGTGTCCCTGTGGGGGATCCTGAGGGTGTATGCTGCATGCACGCATACTGGGTTGCGCCCTGGGGCTGTCCGGGGCTGGGTCTGTCATGCGCATGTCACAGGCGGGTCAATAGTACATGGATATAAAGGGAAGTTGTCCATGTAAGATAGAAATAGAGATAGGAATAGAAACAGAGGAGAAGATGGAGAGAAGGAGGAGCAGGAAAGGAGAACATGAAATAAAGAAAGGGGAGAGAGGGGGCATCAGGTGGTACCGGGTGAGGCAGGTCCAGGTGGAGGTGGGTCGGGCAGGTGTGCCCTGACACATACCCGATCCCAATCCAACTTCCAGACCCTCCACCTCACCACCTCCAGAGTCCTACCCTACCCCATCCACTCCAATACCCACCTTCAGACCTGACATCACTCCTCTCCTCATTCCTCCTCTTACTCCTCTCCTCACTCCTCTCCTCACTCCTCTCCTCACTCCTCTCCTCACTCCTCTCCTCACTCCTCTCCTCACTCCTCTCCTTCCATCCCTCTTCCGCCAACCTCCACCAAGTTATGACCTTCTGCCACTGTCCTGTACCCCATGCTCAGACACTGCTTGTACCTTCGCTCCAAGATCCCATCATGGTCCTGACCTCAGACTTTGACCCCACCTCAGCTTAAGTCCATTGCATTGGTGACCTCATTCTACATAAACACCATTGCCAATTGTAAGGGATTAACCTTACTTCACTATAATTCCAATTATAGTGATGCTGTTCTTTCTTTATTTATTTGTGCTGAGATATGTAAATTACATATATATACCTCGGAGTAGTTGTAAAGGCCCAGTAGCCTTTTACCTCTACCCCGTTGAATATACAGCTCATCAAAGCTTATGTTTAGATGGACCTACTGAGGCCTGAGGCGAACAGGGGAACGGAACGTTACTGTCCCCAAATAAGTAAGCAACCTTACACCAATATTCCTCGGACTTCCGACTCCACCTCTGCAACCTCCATAAGCTCTGCAACCTCCAAGCTCCACAGAATGTTCTTGGCACTTTCACCGCCTGTACTGTATCTTTCGCACTTTCCCCTCATCCCTATTTGGACTGCTGCTTCCTTCCATTTTAGCCAGTTAGTCATCAACCCCACTTCACCTCATCCTCCTGCCCCTCTGGGCTTCACCCTCCCTACCTCCTTTTGAATGTACCATAGAGTCTAACCCATGACCTTTGGTACCACTCCGCTTCCATAATTCCCTTTGTCTCCATTCAGATGCCTTTGTGCCATTTCAGACCACCCTTGTTTCCTTGTGCTTTCGTCTCTCCATTATATGTAGACACTTGTACATACTCGTTTTGGACCCTCAGTCTAAAATCAACCAGAAATGCCCCCTAGAGACTTCTCACTTGCCACTTCTGAAATTAAGGACCAAATGGACAAACAGCAATGGCACAGCACTCCCCTTGAGTTGCTGAGGCCAAGGTCCCTCCTTGCTAAGTCTCTGGTTCCACTCTGGAATTGTCTGCCCTTGCCCCATTCTAACAGCATTGCTGGAAAGCACTTGATCCCCTGCAAAATATAGAGCTGGTTGAGAATGTTGAAACAGATGTAAGCAGTACTAGTGAGATGGAAGTGGGACAAACAATCATCAGGGACCCAGCATGACACCTGATCATTTCAGCTGTTGCCATCAAGAAGGGATCAAGAACAATGGCTGAATTGTCAGGCAAATATTTTGCATGCCCATTGACTAGACATTTTGAGAGTGCATCCTGCCAAGTTCTAGGGAGTGGAACCAGGTCTGTCGCTCCAAGTAGGTATGCAACAAGTCATAGGGAGCGTTTTTCACAATTCTCCTCCCAGAATTCGAGGTTGAGTTTCTGAATAGAATTCATTGTAGTGAAATTGAGTGCTGAGAGATGTAAACTGAGGCTCCATGTCAGGGCATACACCCTGACCTAGCCCATACCCGCATCCACACCCGCACTCGCACCCACACCCATGACTGCACCTGGCTGTTGCACTCCCCACACATGCCCTGTGCCGGACGCTCAGTGCGGCCGGATGGCCCGGACCTCGGGTCTCAGGTCTCATGTGACTTCCGGATATCTCCGGAAGTTTTCGATGTATTGTGGCCACTGTGGGAAGATGAGAAGTTAACTTCCTTCTCATCTCTGACTGTCAGGGGACGACTCCCGGGTCCCCATGACCCTCCCCTATGGTCCACAGTCTCTGGTCTGGCCAGCCCTGTCCAGGGCACAATCCTACTGTGGGTCAGAGATGGTATATAGAAGAGAGGCAAGTATATACAACTTGCCTACTGTGGGTCAGAGATGAGAAGGAAGTTAACTTCTCATCTTCCCACAGTGGCCACAATACATCGAAAACTTCCGGAGATATCCGGAAGTCACATGAGACCCAAGACCCGAGGTCCGGGCCATCCGGCCACACTGAGCATCCGGCACAGGGCGCGCGCGGGGAGTGCAACAGCCGGGTGCAGTCACGGGTGCGGGTGCGAGTGCGGGTGTGGATGCGGTATGGGCTAGGTCAGGGTGTATGCCCTGACACTGACCCACAGTAGGCAAGTTGTATATACTTGCCTCTCTTCTATATACCATCTCTGACCCACAGTAGGATTGTGCCCTGGACAGGGCTGGCCAGACCAGAGACTGTGGACCATAGGGGAGGGTCATGGGGACCCGGGAGTCGTCCCCTGACACTCCAGGAGTCAGTGCAGAACAAGAGCCATTAGATGTGCATTTTATACCTGACTTACAGTCACCGATGAGAAGGCTGCCAACATCAGATCTCATCAGCTTGTGCTTTGCATAAACAACAACAACAAACACGGTTGTTGCATGTGGGACGGTCTAAGCACTCAATGCCGGGACCCCAGCTGAGCTGTCAACAGATATGGTTACATTGGTTTTATATTGGCTTCTATCTCTGCCCAAATTAGCTACCATTTTTGGATTTCCACATGATCCGGCTAACTCATTTAGCCAAATTTGACGCGTCGATCTTTTCGCACCTTGCTGTAATATATTCAATTGTTTGACCTTGCCCACGATAATCCGTGAATGTCCTTTCTTTGTATTACTTGGAGTCCCCCCAAATCAAAATCGTCAACTTTACCAAGTTGCTTCCATAATGAAACATGTCGCCATGCTAGTTAGCCGATTAGGTCGTTCTCAAATGAATCGATAATCTTCCCACATAACGGCCCCTCATACAAGTATATTACAGACTAGAACTCCCATCCCACTGTCTGCCCCAATCGATCAATAACCTTGAATGCAACAATGACCTTGTATTGCATTCAAGGTTCAGCTCCATTCACCACTGGCACTCCACGACCCCTACGTTTCCCAGGTGCACCGCGCCCAGACGGATTCAAACCTTGGGATCCAGTGCCGCCCCGGCCAATCGGATTGAAACGACGGTTACCCCGACGAGCATGGTTCAAGGCCTCATTTTGAGCTGGGCCTTCTGGGTTCGACAAGATGTTCTGTAGGCGGTCAACATGTGACACGGGAGGAGGGGAGTCCTTCAACTTAGCAACGTATGAAGCCTGAGGGACATTACCGTTACTGGATGGACCTGACTGACTACCGGCCCGCCTAGGCTGCGGCTGGGGTCGATTGGGGTTCCTTAATATCTGTGTTGGTTGTCTGATCCAAGTATTCACATCAGACGTGCAACTGTGAAGTTAGGGAATTATTCGCTCACATTCCCGGGCTTGCACGAGGTTGTCCGCCACGTCCCTGGGATAGTGAAGTCTGGTGTGGACCCGTTGCTGCACGAGGCGGCGGTTTTAGAATTGGTGCAGGTTGACTACGGGGTTTCGTCGAAACACAAAATTGTGGATCTTTAAGGTTCAAGCATGAACTTCGAGGTACGCTGGAGCCGCGGTAGTCAGAACATCTTCAAACAGTTATTAAGAAGGATCACAATAAAGTTGTCGTAAGACATACCGGCCATTGAGCGTAGTGCCGGAGATGATTTGCATGTCCCATACAACGTCTATCAAGTCATTCGATATGCCTACCACCACACCCCTCGCACAAAGCGGGACACCTCCCGAGTCTTGCGCCATGACAACACGATCACCCAACGAGAATCTTTGATGATTCAGTCGGTGAATGGCGTGCGACGGTTTGAGGATAGCTTGACGTGGTATCCCTTGGACTTTAGCCTTCTTGATGGCCCCCGCGGATTTTGTCGCATTAAGGGAATCAGCCAATCTCTCGAATTTGTCGATAATTGACTGGAAGAAAAATAGATCTACCTCTCGAGGACGTAAATATAGCCAATGACGAGCATACCTTTGAAACAGATTCCACATCCAATGGAACCTGTTCAAAATCCTGGACCCCTTTGGATTTCAGCCAAGCAGCCATCTGTTCGATTACAAAATCAGGATTGCTCTCCTCAGGAAGGGCTTCCGAACTTCGTAGGATGGCTGAAAACCAAAAAAAGTTAATCGGAATATCCGCAGATGCTCTCATTAACAAACCTTCTTTTGAGTTATCGAGTATCTTGTGGAGATCAGGGAACGCCGCCTAGATAGAGTGAATGAGTGTGGACAGTCCATCTCCTCTCAATGAGGACCAACCAGATATTGACGAATTAATTGGATAGCACGATAGCTGAATTCCCAACCACGTTCTCCCTTCCGGGAATAATCCATGACCTTACGCCCTCTGGCCTCGAACTTCAGGCAAAGGCCGATGTTCACCTTTGCGTCAGTGGTCATGACCATAAGGCTTGAGGTAATCCTTGACAAGGCTAAAGCGCTCAACCCCACCATGCTGGCAGCATTCCCAGACCGGAAGTAATTCCCGGGAGCATCCGCGCGGACAATATTAGTAAATTTTTCGGGATCCGAGGCCTCAGAAGGGAAAAACTAGAAAATGATGTCGGTTAGAGCAACAGAGAGCGAATTTACGGCACATACTGCAAGAATAACGGAAAGGGATTTTTCTTTAGATTCAACCACCTGGGCTGCGACACCGTATGCGTGCTCTCCGAGAAAGATGACCTTGGTCCCAATCGGGTATTCCTCTTGAATAGGCGTCCCACCTTTTTCCAGAAACCTGGGATCCTCGGATATTACTTCTTGCAGTGCTAACTGAACAGCCTGCAGAACCTCCTTCCCCGCTTCATAATCTTTCACTAAGGCACCGTCGTCGAGACGCCTCAGGCCTGAATTGCGTATTGCTGAGTTTCCCCTTTCACAGCAAAGCCTGCAGACTCGCCTTTCAAAGGCCGGACATGCAAAAGCACTTCGACAAGTCCTATTAATACGGCATAACGTTTCGAGTAGAGCTCTTCTATCTGGAAAGCGTTGCGCTTCCATGTGCTGACTGAGTCAGGATCCTGAGGGAACGAAACAATCTTCTTTGGTCCCCCTGTGTCCAACTCATGGCAGGTGAACTCGTCAGACACAGCAACAACTAAGCCTTCTTGCAAAAATGGCCAGCCATAATAAACTTTTTTCCCGAGCATGTCCTGGGCAATCAGCATAGACCCCTTTTCGCTTTGATCGTTCTCGATCTCGATGACCATCGATTGGTTCCGCGACACCGAGTCGAAAACCTGGACCCGGTGGTGTTCAAGACGTCCCGTATGTGGGATTGTGTGCAATGAGGGAAAACCAGCCAATGCCGCCGATCCTAAAAAGACGCCATCGCAGAGACCTTTGACAAGATGCAAACCATCCAGGGTAGGGAGATTGAAAGGCTCCAGACGACAAGTGCAGCGGTATATCGCGGCGAAAAATCCGGGGAGCGAGGATGGATACACCGTATCTTGAGTGGGATCGTAGTAGAATCGGACGGAGGTTCCAAATTGGTTCCTCTTTACCTCCTCGGGGGTCAGTTGGTGATCACGAGCTAGTCATGTCGAGTCAGCGCACGCTCAAGAAGGGGTTCTAGGTCGCACAAACCAGCCATCGCCTTCACCAGGCGTTCTTGTTGTATGAATGGTATTCTGACGACAGCTTCCCAATCGTTCTTCTTTCCGTTCAAGTCTAATTCGAATGTTTGCGGATAGAAGTCCAAGATGGGCGAGTTCCCATCAAACATGAGATCCTACGATCAGTGATGAACAATCCTGAGCTGTGGTGCCCCTAAAAGCAGTCCGTACCCGATAGGCCAGGGGAACATGCTCTTTACTCGCTTCAGGAAGTACTCCCATCAATTGTTGGAAGGGCCGGAAAGGTTCGCCAAGATCAAATTCGAACACCATGCCGTCTATTCCTTTGAGATCTACTTCATGCCATCAGCGACTGCTCAGGAGGAAACAGAGACGTCATACCCGATGTCCGAGGGGCATAGTGGTAGTCATAGAACCAACTCCAGGAGGCAACTCCACTATAATAATAGTACATAACCCACTGTAGCCCTTCTGCCCAGCGAAAAACAAGTGTGTTCAGGCCTTCTTTATCATCGTATGAGATCTCAAGTTTTTCCTGAAGAAACACATGTAGTCAAGCAGATTGGAAGAGCCTTGAATGAATCCTACCTGATAATAACGCCGCTTCCACTCTTCTATCCTATTCTGCATTCGTTTGTCTTCGCGCTCGTCGAAATCCCCTTCATCATCGTCATCAATAACTTTCAACTTAGCATATCTTGCGAGCACTCGGTCGAGAGCAGCTTGGCTCTCATACTCTCTCTCATCATCGGTAGACGAGTCGTCCGAGTCGTCCGTTTCCATTGTGGAATCGTTCCTCAGCGATTTAGATGGGAACAAAAACGTCACTACGTTTCGACCGTTGTCATCAAATGCATCCCATGCCAGGTCCAGGTTCAGATCAGAGGCGAGCTGAGTAATGAAGTTGCGGTCCCGGGCGGAGAATTCGTTCGGAAGCGAGAAAGTAGTGCCGTTATCCTCCCCATGGGCTCGAACAGCTTCCATAACGGATTGAAATATCGATTTCTGCACTTTCGTGATCCCTGAACCGGTACAAGGTGTAAGAGATAAGCAACACTGGGATTTTTAGGACCAACGCACCCTGAGTTACTTTGGGCGTTTCTTGCCCCCGTGATCTCTTGGATTGCATCCAGTTAGCATCAGAGGTCTCCTTATAGAACACCTCGGTCTCGCTCTCGGCGAGACGATCGAGCACCATTTGGAGTGTCTTGGTATTGATAACACCTGAATTGTTAATGTATGCACCAGCTTTTGGGAGAATCTCTTTGTAAATCTCAAAGAGGGCATGCAAGGCATTATCTTGGATATGAAGATCGGGGAGATGAGGAACGAAGTCGTTCCCAACGAATACTGCCAAGAGAACGAAATCATCGATGATCCGTTCGAGATTATACTCAAAGGGTAAATCCTGTGCCACTGATCGAAATTCGAGGTCAAGGTATTCTCGGAGGAGGCATAACTGCAACAAATAAAAGTTGGTTGCATAAATGCTAGAGGAGACGTTATTACATATCAGAAGGAAAAGCGTACTGTGCGTACTTCGTGGTTTTCTTCTCTCTCATTCGACCAAATTTGACTTCTTCCCTCAACAAACAGAAATGAGGATCATGGCTCAGTAGGCCAAGCATAATCAGGTCTGCATCCAGTCCATATAGACAATGCCTCGTGTTAGGATTATACCCAGGTTGAGCCTTTGACAACCGAATGTATTCCATGATTTTGTGTTCCCCTTCGCCGGGGACTTCGTGGCCCGACAGAATGATATCCACGCCTTGCCAATCAGCATCCTCGGTAACCTTCTTGTTTACGAAGTAACGCAGTTGTTCCGAAAGTCGTGCCATGAATGGGGTTCCTGCAAGGACCACATTACATTAAGCCGTAAATCGAAGGTCGCATGCTTGCGTGCTGACCAGGGGTGATGCAGTTACTATCAAACGCTTTCTCCTCAGGGAGCTTCTCCCCTCTCCGTTCCGCTTGCGCTCTGATCTCCCGCGCTTCCTGCGCGGTACGAAACCGCCGACCCCGCTGCTGGTTCATCTTAGCGCGTGGTGCCACGCCGTCAACGGCCATAAAAAAAATCTTCTTTGGCTTTATCTTGCTGAATAAGAAATCTACATATGCAAAGATGCCAGTGAAGATTTGTTCCTCTGTTATGCGATAATGAGCGTCCTCATCATTCGGATGTGAACCTAAAAGGAAATTTCAGTATCAAAGCGAAGCCCCAGCTACATGACAAACATTGGTGTATGATCCCATTAAAGTCCAGGTAGAGATTATCTGTAGGCAGAGCAGTCAGCAACGAGTTTCGAATTAGGAGTGATGCCCAGCGCCAACCAAATTCGGGGATATTGTTTTCCTGAATGAGCTGGGATATCAAAGGATATCGCCCACTGACAAAGCGGCCGGTCTTCAGCATTCGCCGGTCTCACAAAAACAGAACTCACGCAATATATCGAAAGAACTGAAGGATAGCGTACGAGTGAGCTCTGATTCACAATTGCAGGCACTGTACCAACCTTGGGAATCCCTAAAAAGTGAGTCAGCCCCTTTTTGGGGAGGAAAAGCGAATGCTCGCCTACCCATACTCGTTACTGGTGTGGGACGGTGAACAAACCTGGCTCGAGAGAGTGCAGTGACTCGGAAGCAAAAGAATCAATTAAAACTCGTCAGTCTCGTTACCTCGATCGCCTCTTGATTTGCGGCGAGCGGAGCCTAAGATACAACAATGTCGGAGATGGACTTGCTCGACAACATGCTCGATTTGGCTCGTAGACTTCCCCCTGCAAACATCGAGCAAACCGTTGCTAGCTTGGTTGAGCTGTGCCCAGAGTATGCGGATGAACTGCTCGGATCGGTCGACCAACCACTTCAAATACTCACCGATGCAGCCACCGGACGCGAATACCTCATATGTGATTATAATCGTGATGGGGAAAGCTACAGGTGCCCCTTATTCCAATTTTGGACGGACGCTTGCTGAACACTTGTCGTTTGCGTGCACGAAGGTCGCCATGGTCCAATGAATATGATCCCCCTCTGGATGACGCAACATATCCCTCAGCGAAAATAAGGAAACTTGAGATTGCAGCTAACGATGCATTTGATACATACAGAGAAATGTAAATCATGAACTACTGTTTCACAAAAGGCCATATTAAATATGTGAAGGTACTTTGAGGGCGGAGTATCATCTGTTTTCCTTTGGGATCTCGACGATGGGGGCTTCGCAGGCGTGGTTCTCTTGAAAAAGAGTACGCATTTCTTTCACTTGTGAAGCACACACTGATGACATTTCGCCCAGCATTGAATTCTGAGAAAGGAGTGACTGGTTCCTGGGACTCAATACACGTATTTGAGGCATCAGAACGCGGTAGGACTGCACACTACAAGCTAACAAGCACGATCATGTTGCAACTCAACTCCGAAGGCCCAGAGAAGGGAAAAGTAGAACTGAGTGGGAGTATGACACGTCAAGTTGCGTCCACCCTTCCAAACATGGACAGGAAGAACTCATACCAACAGTCACTACCATAGATTGAACAAGATGCGCCGTTGACCGATGCATCATCACATATCTCAAACACCGGACGAATGGTCGAGGATCACGAGCTCAAGATGCGAAACCTACTGCAAGAAGTATACTTTGGAAAGACCAAAGATGTGGTTTACGACCTTCGAAGCATTGACAGCCTAGAAAAAGCAAGACGACAACGAGAATTACAAAAGGAGCTGGCTGGTTTGCTGAAACGGTAGAACATTTGACCAAGTTTCCAATGAGTCATTATTGTGCAGCGTTGTTTGCGATTGGGTTAGCATGTATTGTTATCTGCAAAGCATGCGATGAACTCTAACACTGAACCATAAAAATGCCCGAGGACTCTCTTACATGTGTCAAACGAATCTCGCGGAGGGGTCGGTTCTTCTCATTTACGGGATCCTTCTCCATTGCATCCAGAGTGTCCATCCCATCAATGACTCTTAACCCGGAACGATCGGTGATCGAGCAACAAGAGAGATTATGGTTTCTCCCACTCACCTCCCAAATATCGTATATTTCCCTTCCAAATGTGGTTGTTTGGAATACGTGATCTAGCAGCAAAAAGCAGAATAAGCTTCTACGCAAATGACAAAACTTGTATTTACGAAGAATTGTGATTTGTTGGTGTCCGAACCCATATTGGCCATGGCAATGATTCCCCTAGCGTTGAACTTCAGCGTTGACCTGATCTCGTCCGTAAAAGGACGGCCCCAGATAGATTGCCCGCCTTTCCCAGTTCCAGTTGGATCACCCGTCTGTATCATAAAATTCCTGATATTCCTTCCACAAAAAATCAGGCCAGGGATACATACACTGTACAACCACAAAGTCGCTTACCGGTGAAACAAGCAGTCATTGTACGAGCCCGAAGCGCAGAGTGCGAGGAAATTCTGCGAATAGGGTATAAACGCGAGAATTTCTCCTCAGCAAAGGTGAGCACGCATACTTCTGCCGCCTTTGGAACTGTTTCGCAGAAAATTTCGCACTGGGAATGGGTGAATGTCAAGTCCCCACTAGGATAGGAATAAACAAGAAGTACTTTGATCTCGCCTAAAGTTGTGTGAAGTGTCACCGACTAGATTGGACTTGCAGTTAGAAAGGCTTGGCTGACCTTCAAACGAGTTTCTCACCTACCATATTCTGCAAAGTTGCTGGTGGTAAGAGTGTGGTAGCCTTATTTAATTTTGCTGTGATGATTCCCAGGGTCTTGTGAGTGGAGGTCACCCCACCCATCGTAACCGGAGTTCCCGACAACACTAACTCACCATTCATCACCGTCAGTGCCAGTCTGATAGGCTGGTGTTCGGATGACAAGAGAAGAGCGGGCGAAGCGATCGCACGCACAGTCTCCCGATTATGTCTTTCGCTCTTTACTTGCTGGAGGAATTGCGGGTTGCATTGTATGAATTTTCGCCTCTTGAAGCAGGCTAGGACATAAGGAAAACATTCTTTCCCTAGGCAAAGACAACCGTAGCTCCATTAGACAGAGTGAAAATTCTTTTCCAAGCGTCAAATCCTGAGTTCCAGAAATATTCTGGTGAGTCCCTCCAGCTGACACCGTCCTGATTGCCCGACTCAAGTCGCGTCCTTCTCCTTTCAATCTTCAAGGCACATGGACAGGCGTTTTTAAAGCTGCAAGAGATATTAAGAGAGACTACGGTGTTGTAGGCCTATTCCAGGGGCACACCGCCACGCTCCTGCGCATCTTCCCTTATGCAGCCATCAAATTCATGGCGTACGACCAGGCCCACAAGGTGAGGATATCTGCCACTCCCGGCTCCCGTGTCTTACCACGAGGACGTAGTCCCTAATGCCCACAACAGAGTCTGAAACGAATGTTCGACGATTTATTGCAGGGTCTGCATCAGGTGAGTGCAAAGTCAACCCATTGTACGTCGGCATTAGTTTCACATAGACATTAGGGATGGTATCTGTCCTTTTCACATACCCCCTTGAACTGTTACGCGTTCGTTTGGCGTTTGAAACGAAGTCTGACCGGACAGGTGGCCGACCAACTCTGTCCAGCACCTTCCGCACAATATACAACGAAGGCACATCGTTTATGCTGACGAATGGGCACCGCGCCTCACTCTCTCCATCTTCTTCAATTACCCCTCCACCTACTAATGCACGACTCTTCGAGTCTTTCCCTATTTTGAAATTTTACCGTGGGTTCACTGTAACCCTCCTTGGCATGATACCGTATGCTGGAACGTCATTTCTCATTTATGGGCATCTCCGCTCTCTTGTCGCAACCCCCCATCGTCTTGATAATTCTTCAGAACCAAGTCCGAAACCACGCGGCAAAGTTACCCATGACTTATTCGCTGGCGCCGTTGCGGGAGCAGTTGCACAGACTGTATCTTACCCCTTTGAGGTCGTTAGGAGACGAATGCAAGTTGGCGGCTTGATGCGTCCTGGCGCCTGGCAAGGGTTTGGCGAAACTGTGCGTGCAGTCTGGAAACGTTCGGGATGGAGAGGATTTTTCGTCGGACTTAGCATCGGGTATCTCAAAATTATCCCAATGACAGCCGTGAGCTTTGCTTCGTGGGAATACTGCAAACACCTGCTCGGTGTTTGACCCGGGGGCGGTCTCCTTGTCTCAGCACACCATATCCATCGTTGCAGATCGACAATGGAGAATACCTTAGCTTGCATACATGTAATCTTCACAATGCGCATGAATGTAGATAATCCAATAGTTAATCATTGTTCTTCATCTCTGTAGACAACAGATAAGCCCAGAGTGTGATGCAAAGAATTGAATGCTTTCAGGGTGTCGTGTTCTCCATCAATCACGGAATGTGGGTGAGTAGCTTCCCAACCATCTGGAATGTCTACATCGTCTTTGGCGTAGGTCAAGATATTGAACACCATAGGTGTTTCAATACTAGGCAGAAAGGTGGGAGTAATGATATCTTTCATGACAGCATTCATTTCCCGAATTAAATCATTCTCCGATAACCTGTATGATTGATCTGGTGAATATCAGCCATCGCTTCGAATATGAGACCTACGTTGTAGCGACCACTCTGACAGATATATCGAATACCCATCTCTCGATAGTATGCCCATCGTCCTCATCTATTAGCACTACAACAACATGAGATACACGCCCCTGAGAAATCCATTCTAGACGGAACATCAGAATACCGACATTAAACGGATGGTCTCAGCTTGCACTCACCTTTCAATCGAATGAGAGTGGACTCAATGTAGTCTTCTACTGAGTCGTTCACAGTCAACAGAAGATTTAGGCCAAAACGCTTCTCAACCAGGAAGTCTTCAGAAGGATACACGCCACGATGAAACAAGATTCTGCACACTTGACAAAGTGAGTGTTAGGTGTCAAATCCAAATCTTCCCCCAATCAGTACCCGTTGATCGCATATTTTAGATAGTCTATTATCTGCGCGACAGAACCAGGGATCGTAACACGCGTTGCATCGAGGGTGCCCGTATTAAGGGCCATGTCGAGGCTCAGATTGCTGGTCAGTCGGCTAAATCCGATTCGTGCCATTTTGAATATCCTCGGCGTGATGAGTCGACCTCTTGTCTCTTACGACGATATCGCGGCACCAGCACCACCTACTTCGCCCGATGCTGGTGGGAGACCTCTCAAGCGGATCAAAAGGGATGGCCAGTCTGTGAAAAATCCTCCGGACCGAGGGGGAACGATACCTCATCCTCATTGGGATGAAGCGACAGAAGGTGTGACCATCGCTATGGATTATGGTAACGGCGATGGCGCCATCGTTGCTCCTACTGCTGCCCCCATATCATTGAGAGATAGTGCCTCAGTGAATGGCCAACAAACTATCAGTAAGCCCAATCCTAGTACCAAGAAGCGTCAAAGGAAGAGGAGGGGTGCCCGGTCGAAGATTTTGGACGAACTCCCCCACATAGGACCACTCCCGACATCCCCCGAGGCTATACCTCATGCTTGGGATGATAATCAACTAGCTGATGCTTGGGAAGCCGCAAATGAGGAGTACGTGGTGCGTCGAGGTCTGTTTTCTTTTTCTTAGGCTCGTTCATTCACGATATATACAGTTAATACATACTGGAGAACGGAGGGAAGAGACTAGGCACAAAAATTCAAGGTACGATGTCAACGACGCTTGTTTTCGAACTTATTCAGCCGAAGCATACCAAAGTTGTTATACTGACTAACACCTTAGATGGCACATCGGGGATACAAAAGTCACAGAACTGCGAACTGAGCCCCATTTAGCTGTCCCCAGAGTCGACGATGCTGCACCCGAAGCAGACATTCCCGCAGAAAAAGAGAAAGAGGAAGAGGAAGAGGAAGACGTCGAAAAGGTTCTTGCGGTAGGGGGTGACGAGGTCAAAAAGGATAGTCACGTATATGACCCTTCTCTTACCCCTCTCCCCGGAGTGATGTACGGCGAAAACGACGCTTTCCAAAAAGCGGTGAGTGCATCATACTGGCTGGGATACTGGACAGCGATTCGTGAGGTGGGAGCTTGGACGGTCTCTTAATATCCGCAACATTGACGAATTACTTAGGTGCGGAAGGATGGCAAGTGAAATAACTGTTTGTCTCAACTTAAGGTACAGTGCCTTGTCAATTCCAGATGGACTGGTTATCAGAGTAGTTTCCTGTCCCATTCATACGCATGATCTAGGTGTAGTTTCTGATTGATGGGCGGACCTGGTGGGCGTTTATTTTATTTATCCGTCTGAGAGCCTTATCCCATTGACCGAAAGAACGAACGCTTGTACGAGGGCAAAGTTCAGCTTCATCCCGTGGTTATGGCTATTTGGTTATTGCAGCTCATTGCCAATGGAGGACTGATTTTGCCAAATCTCATCGTTGACCGGTCTTCCTGCGCCTTTTAGGTTTGTACTCATCTCATGAAACAACCTGTCTTTGTCTCTTGATTATAAACTTGTTGCATCCCTCACCACACTGAGTCTCCGAATCTATAACACATTGATCGTGTCTCACAGTGCTGTTGACCTGCGCTGGGAGTAGGGAGGTTCAACTTCAAGGTCGACATGCAGTTTCTGGCCTCCGATCAGTTCTTCCCGAATTTTGTGCATTCTTCTGTGATAATCAGTTGCGCCTACGCGATTCGGTGAGAACGGCGGGGCAATATATCATTATGAGGCCCCGTGCGACCGAACAATAAATGACACATGCCAAGAGCTCAAAATTAATCTGCCAAATGAGTGCGTATTCCCGGTCGTGAGTCGCGACACGGAAATATTATTGTTGCAGGGTCTTCGGGGTTTGCCTGAAAACCTGTCGGAGTAGCGGGAATTGATATTACATAAGTAATTGCGGTAGCACGCGGATGGCAGTGCCGCAGAATCAGGGCCCATACACTATCCTTTAGCAAGAAAATGGACATATCCATGGTTCCTTTATATAAGAGCATTCCCAATTACCCCTTCACTCAGTTGAACAACAAGTTCTTCCGCTTGCTCGACATTCCATTGCACGGAGATGACAACTGCTGCCACGGCCGCTGAGCTCGACTCCCAGATACCTTCTACTTCAGTGTTCACGTACCTCTTCGCTAATGAGCGGTATAATGAGGTTGCGTTCATCGACCCCATTTCCAACAAGTCCATCACGAGGCGTCAACTTAAGTCTGACTCGTTGCGATTCGCTCGGAGCCTTCGCAACCTCGACACGTTGGGACAGGGTGCGAGCTTGCAAAGAGGAGATACCATAACCATTTTCTCCACCACGAGCATCTACTACCCTGTCATTATTCTGGGCGCTTTTGCCGCTGGCACACCAGTAGCATGCTCTAGTGCAGCTCAGACCCCCACTGAGTTGGCCCACCAGTTCACCCTCACGCGTCCCAAGTTCTTTGCTGTTCAGCTCCAACTTCTACCAGTCTTTCTCGACACCTTGAAGCTCCTCAAAGTGGATGAGAAGGAAGTGATACAGCGAAGCGTGTTGATATGCGAAAGGGAGGAGCTTTCTCAATCCTTGAGACAGCAAGGCTGGCGTTGCATATATAATCTCTTCGAAGGAGATGATGACTTTGAGCCAGAGGATTTTGACGGGCAGCGTTCATCAGAGGTGGGTGTTGTCCGTTTCAGTTCGAACAATTCTCACCGAAACCAACAGACTGCCCTAATCGTTTATAGCTCAGGTGAAATCCTTTTTCCCTAATATAGTATGTATCTCGATCCCTGATTTGTCGTTTCCAGGGACCACATCTTTGCCCAAAGGGGTGGAGCTAACACACCGCAACCTTGCGGCAACGGTCAAAATCCTTGGGTTGTGGGCCGGTTTTGGTTTGGATGGCCCACTCATGGGGCCATTCCCTTTTTACCACATCGCAGGCATGCAAGTAAGTTCATGGTGACTATTATGCATATTGTAAGCATTCAAGTTAGAACAATCTTCGTTAGATCTTCCTTCTCGCTCCCGTCCGTTGGTGTCGCCCGAGTGTGCTAGTATCTTCTTTCGTGTTTGAGGATTTCCTCAAATTCATAGTGCGTTATAAAGTGTCCGTGAGTACCCCGTTCGTACCCACCCTCGGCGCAACAAGTTTGGCTCATTTCATGCAGTCTGTAGCTGTTCCCCCAGCTGTGTACGTAATGATCTCGGAGCTTTTAGTACTTGCGCTGAAGTATCTGCAGCATAGGATTGTTCGCATCTTCTCCTCTTGTGGACAAGTACGATATGACGAGTGTTCGAACGGTGTTATTCGGTGCTGCTCCCACACCACAGCCGATAATCAACTCATGTTACCAGAGGCTGAAAGCGATTGCTCATCCATCAATCGGTATATACCAAGGGTTTGGTGCGAGCGAATGCAGTAGGGGAGAATTTAATGTTTCATCTTGAACACTATTGACGGCTTCTTAGCGGGGGCGACCGTGTTCACCCCACTCGGACGTGTTGATAAGGCTGAAGCTGCAGGACACCCAATAGGTTGCGACATGCGAATAGTAAGCGATACTGACGAGGACGTTTCCCCGGGAAAGGATGGTGAAGTTTTATTGAGAGGGCCCGGCGTTATGAGGTATGCGATGGAAAAGCCTGCTTACCAGAACTGACCTGATGTTGTTCAGAGGGTATCTCCACAATCCCAAAGCCACGAAGGAGACTTTTACGTCTGACGGTTGGCTGAAAACTGGGGATGTTGGCTACATTGACAACGCAGGATTCCTCCGCATAGTTGATCGCAAAAAGGAGATAATCAAGTACAACTCTTTTCAAGGTGTGACATCACCGCCAGCTGGCCCTTAACGGAAGCTCACTTGTGTTCTGCTGACAGTGCCTCCGGCGGAACTGGAATCTGTGCTTGCCGGTCATCCTAAGATAAGCGACGTTTGTGTGGTTGGTGTGCCAACTCGAGATGGGACCAATGAATTGCCTCGGTGAGTGATTATCCTGCGGAGTTGCGCATGATACACTTGTGTCTGGTATTAAATGGCACTTGATTGTGTAGGGCGTATGTAGTCCCGCGCGACAGGGCGTTGCTTAAGGATCCCGCCTTTCCTTCGGAAATCCAAAAATGGATTCAGGGTAAAGTTTCGTATTACAAAGAATTACGGGGAGGTTAGTTTGTTTCTTCGCTGCATCAAGAGACCAGTTCTCATTGATCGGATTGTTGAAAAAGGTGTCGTCGCTGTGGAAAGCGTTCCTCGATCGGTGTCGGGTAAACTTCTCAGAAGAATTCTTCGAGACCAAGCGATAGCGGAAATGCGGCGTCAGGTCAAAACTCATTTGTGATTGCACAGTCTGGATTAGTGCCTACTTTATATTTAGATTTGGAGACGGGACTGTGGGGATATAACTGAATCGATGTTACGCAGGAGTGTGAACACTCGGAGCACCTTGTGACAGTGGGATTCTGGTCCAATCCGGAATAATGAATCCCTTGCGTGGGTTACTTCCGGCGCTTCCAGGAGAAACGGGCACTGGGGCACTGGGGGTATTTTCAAACACATCCTCTAAGGCTTCGTCCCACTTCTCTCGAGTAATTTCTTCTCCACCTGTCTTCATGGCTCTTCATGGCAAATTAATGCGAGAATCATTTGAGAATTACAGATAACTCACCCTGCAAGTGATGCGCCGATCCACTGTAGCGCAGCTGGGGCAAAAGCTGGAGCTCTACCAGCGTGTGCTCGTGCAAGTGTCGATTGCGTCGCCGGAGGATCAGGGTTATTTAAGATTGCAATGTGAGGGGATAAGGGACGGAGAGGGGCATAGACATCATAGATAGGAGGCGATAGTTTTGAGGGAGGATGAGAAGCCTCAGTGACAGCAGGGTCATCAACATTGAGCGTATTCCTTAAGGGAGGGGAGAGAAGTCGGATGAGCTCGGCTTGAAGTCTCGGAATAAATCCGGGAAGCATACAAGTGCCTCCTGCAACCACAATCGAAGAAGCAAACTCCTTTCGGAGATCAACTGGCACCTTGAAGAGCCATTGGTAACTAAACGATTGAACAACCCGATGCGGCGGACCGACCTTCAATAGGGAGTCCAAAATGACCTCAGCTACGCTGGCTTCATCTACGTCTCCATCCTCGAAAAGAAGCTCAGCGGCCCTTTCCCTAATCCAGCCAGGTACCAGTAGTGACGCCCGAGTGAATGTTGTTGTACCGGGGCCTGTAGGGGCCATACCAGGTGCAGGTATTTTCACGTTCAGATCGGTTGCAGTCGAGTGACGCACGTAGAGATCTTTCATGGCGTGGATTTGAGTGCTTGGTCCTGTCATACTGGAATCCGATGTCCGACTCTGGCTAGATGGCTGTCCAGGATCAACGTCAGTGCTAGTTTCTGATTGGTCTACAGACATGAGATCTTCAGTGGCAGCAGACTCAGATGGGCCTTGTAGACGAGGTAGACTTCGGCTCAGCAAAATGGGACTGCCCACAAAGCAGCATCGTGTTTTCATGTCCTCGATAATGGATTCGGGCAGTGCGTCCTCAGGCACAGCTGATGGCTTTGGATTCTGCCCTACAACTCCCATGGGCCCGAGATATGTACCGAAAAGCATCAACAGGGATCGGAGGTGGGTATTCAAACGAGCCCCGGCAAGGGGAGAGGTGCGCATGGCGGAATAAAGTGGGCGCGAACCGTATATCTGAGAGAGAGGAAAAGGGAGATATATTAGGTAACGATTTCGAGCAGCCACATTGCAACTTGCCGGCACAACGGTTGACTCCAGGTATCCACAATCCAATACTAGGCCAGTCAGCCGTCCTGCAGCCATCATGGCTAGGACATGGCTTGGGGCGAAGGAAATAGAGGGTATCTGGTGTAGCTACATGAGCACCGGTCACCTCAGGAATAGGTATCCAAATCCACCTGTAGATTCTCAAACATAACTTGTGCCAGTGCTTCTTTCACAGCCAGCTGAAGCATTGGATGCTCGACGAGGATGACCTTTCGTGATCGTGGATCCGTCAAGAGTGAACTTCAGATGTTCAGGAGAACCAAAACCACAAGAAATAATACTATGGCCAACTCACTCAAAGAATATGGAACGCAGAATATCCTGAAGACGATGGCTCAATATAATCTGATCCTCTTCTCTCTCAGAGTTCGATTTATTCCCTTGAGAAGAAGACGACCATAAAGATGTCCCATCCTTGCCGCCGACTGTCACGAAAACCTCTCGGGGCCTCCCCTCACCGCTGAAACCTACTTTCCAAACCCTCGAGCCGGGATCAATGACAACGCGGTCTTCTGTCCCATAAAGACTATGGCGACGTGTCGTCGCATAATGTGGAGATGGGATTTGAGAAGCTGATGGAGTAGGCACTGCGATGCGAGACACCGTTGGCGTCGCTGGCGTTTCCATTCAATGCCTCGTTCCCGGGACATCCCGTCCGCGTAAACGACGCTTGTGTACCGTCAAAATATTGCAATTACTGCTTTCTATCCTCAAGGAACGTCATCATCATATTTGAGAATCCCTAGTATAAGATGAATATGGAGACTAGTGATATTCTCGCTGGTACACACAAAAGTCTACGGACAGGGAAAAACTCTGACTCACCTCAGTCCGCTAAGCGTGAACTGAGGAAGAAGTAGAGTAGTCCAAAAATTTGTGTTGCTAGACGTATTCAACATCAACAAACGTGAGTTGGCCTCAGCATACGCTACGATCCCAAGAATGCTAATACCTAGAACCATTGGGCTACTTTCCCTTTGCTGCCTCGGCAGCTTCGTTCAACTTTTTGGGCCAGACAGCAGGGGGAGGGTCCCAAATTCCCAGCTCTTCTTTCAACTCGCCGATGTCTTGCCCCCATCGCTCTTCCCAATAAATACTGATTAGGCAGTTCGAAGACGACCCACACCGCAAAGCCCATGGAACATAATCCGAATATAACCTTGCTCTTTGTTTGGAAGAAAGGCGAAGGGGCCCGAATGCGGCAGATATTCCTGCAACTGGTAATCCCAAATTTGCGAATTCGAAGAATTTGAGTGCGAGTTCGTAGGTCACCGACACAGGCATGGAACAGATTGTGTGATAGAAGTCGTGACACTCTCGATAACGTTGCATCACGAATGCGAGTTCTGGATCTGATATGTAGTGCACCTAGGAATCCTTGCCTCAGTGTATCGCTCAGCACAATAAAGGAAGCTTCACTCTCACTGGTTCCCGAGTATCCGGAGTCACTCCACATCGATTCAACCAGTCGGAGTACGCACGACCGAAAGAATTTTCAGGGAGCTTGGACAGGGCATCGAGATCAATGGTGTCCGAATTAATGCGCGGTCGGTCTTTTAGAATTCGTCGGCCCTCTGGGTCCTTCAGCATGACATCCCTAAGCCGGGGTAACGAAGGGCCCGCTGTTGTTTCGCCAAGAGCGGCGATCATATCTGTTCAGTCAATCAGCTACATCGGAGCGCTAGGACCCTACGTCTTCAAGCTGTACCTCCACGGTTCGGGCTCACAAGACCCATGACAGCCGAGCCTGCGGCCAGAAACGCATTCTCAAACCAGTTCAAGGGTACATGTCCAGGATAAGCCGGCGGAGGCCGCGTAGGGCCATCTCCGGAGACGAACCTGGCACATGAGGGCGTGATTTGCGTCTTGAACGGTCTAGACAAATGACGAGTGCCCCGGGCAAGCCTCGAATATGGCATCTCACGTGAGCGTGTCGCCGACGAGGCTCGATGTTGAACAAACAAACATCAATCACTCAAAACATACTAGGCACGCTCTCGACACGACTATCATGACCGACCCAAATAACTCTCTTTTGGCCATGTTTGACCCTTTTGCTGCAGGCAACAAAGCAATCTCGAATGTCACTCCGGCTCGTCCAGAGTTAGGCAGTGCTACTTCGGACGCGTGCACAATGTCTACGTTCTTTAACCGTATTGGCGCAAGACCTGCTGAGGACGCACCTTATTCCCCCCAAAATCGTAACTCTCTCATTGACTTCAGCCGCTATGACTCCGAGATGCTCGCCAACACTGAAGAGACGACTCCTACCAAACCACTTCCGAGAGCCCATTTGTATGCGGGCACATCTTTGATGGACGAAAAGCGTCCCGTCGACACGCCAAAAGTGCCGCGCTCTCTTGATGTCTTTAAGGCGGATGTTTACTGTACCAATAATACTGAAAAATCTCTCGACCTCTCATCCAAGGATCGTCAGGAATCTAATGGCCAGCTCGAAGTCAAAAATAGCCGTCGTTCTTCGCTCGATGTTTCCACTCTAACCCGGAGAATCAAGGACCGTCTTGAAGAGATGAGCTTCGATATCCTTCGAGACGATATAACGCTCGCCGCCGACCTCACCGAGAGTGAACCCACAGGTTCATATCGTCATACGCGGAAAATACAAAAGCCATCGAAGGTTGATAATAACAAATCGTAAGACACATGGAAATTGACACTCTAGACCCCCTATAATATAGAATCCATATAGAGCTCCGTTTGTCCTCCCTCCCTTGCCGTTCCAAAATAATGTCAAGACGCGACCTTCGTCCATGACTTTCGAAGGGAAAGTGCAAAAGGAAGACAATGGACCTCCAGACCTCCCTCCTCTTGGTCTTAAGAGAGACAGGGATGTTCCTACGATGATGAACGAAGCGAAAAGAGGTGACGCCTTGGAAGGATCCTCGCAGGCTCCATCTCGAAAGCCGCGTGCAAGCATCTTTGACACTCTTGAGAATAGTGCGTATTTTCGCTGTGAAAATTGATCGTGTCCAGTGACGAATTCACCATACGCAGCACCGACGTCATCCTCCAAGAACGTTTTGCCAAATATCGTAACTTCGTGGGGGACCGCGTTAAAGCGTTCTAACAGCACCCAGTCCTCTTCCAGAATGAAGACGCAGCCGGAATTCAAAGTCCCCGACCTACCAGCGAAGGCGTCCCGCCACTCACGCGCAATGTCCTCTTCCACAATCCCCAGCTCTTCCAATATTCCCAGCACCACCACCTCAACCTCAAAATTGGGACTTTCCAGGATTCTGGCAAGTCCCAGAAAAGGAGAACCAAGTTCAATGAAATCCGCTGCTGATGGGAATAATAAGAAACGAATGAATGATCGTCTTCCATCCCCAACTAAACCAGTCTCTGCTCAGGATGTGGCTAAAGAAGACAAGTCTACTCTTAATACCTTTACTACAGGACTCCGCCGATCGAAGACAACCATCGCGGTATCCCGTCCCTCAATAACACATCCTGGTGTACCCCTCTGCAATTTGAAGCCGAGCTCAACGGCACTAGCGAAGCCGACCGATGCGAAATCCACATCGCGAGGGCTTCCTAGCCGGTCCTCCATTCTCGCCTCTCGGGTCACATCAGCCGCCTCTGATGCACTCAATCAAATGGCATCCAACCCAACTAATTTGACTCGTACCTCCAGCGTCGCACGCACAACTACCCAAGGCCTTCAGAGAGCATCGTCACTCGTCATTCCCCAACGGAAGGTAGCCGAAACCAAGCCTTCCATAGTGCCTGCCCCGCTTACAGGCGCACTTCTTCGCCATCAAACTCGCCCAGTATCGTCCGTTCCAGCATCGTTGACTTCGAAGAATTTAGAAGAAACCCAAAGGCAAAAAACCTCTGGCTCTTTGCCAGTTAACAAGGACAAGCCAAAAGAGGATCGGTTAAGACAATGGGCGGCAGGCGTGGCAAATGCAGTGGACGTTGCCAAGCAAAAAGAAAATGTCGCGGTCGCTCCTACTCAGACTACCAGCAGGAGGCAGCTAGGATCCACGAAAACTTCCGTTTTGTTAAGCAAAAGAACGTCCCAGTATTCTGTTAAGTCAGGGCTTCCGGCGTCGGACGTGCCTGCCCCAACGTTGTGTCGTCAGAGACCCTCTCTATATGGTCTTCAGCCAAGTTCCAAGATGACGTCCGTGGAAGCTTTACCACTCTCTTCGCAGACACACGCTTCTGCCAAAGAGGAAGTCAAGCCCACGAGCGGTATCCGTTCGCGACCATCTTTATATAGCATGCGATCTGGAATTGCAAGTGCTTCAGCCCTTCCTGAAACGACTCGACCCTCCTCGAATATTCGCCCCAATGGTATCACATCAAAGAAACCGATAGAATTGAAAACGAGCGCGCTCACTGCTGCTAAATCGTTGTCACGCGCAGCCTCCCTTCTTCGCGGTACCACTCGATCCAAACTGCCATGAGATCATGTTCTTCTCTAGCGACCTAAGTCGCATTTCTGATTCTTGACAGCTTCCTTGTCCCGTGTACGTATCTAGTTTGGAACTGCCTTCACGAGCTACGTGCTATGATGTTATAGTATTTCATGACCTCGACATCTTGTTGCTATTCCTTACCCCTTGTACATAAACTTCACGAAGTCCGGACCCACCTATTCAGCGCTAGGAGGTACCGTGTGATTACATAAAGTTTGAGACGATGTTACATAGGTGTTTTGGGTAAATGCAAGATAGTGACGGGGTGCAACGGCACAAAAGCGAGAATGGCGACGAATGGGGGTCAAATGCACTGAGCGAAGATGAAGGATCTATGCAGGTGCTAGACAACATGGAGTCTCACCATGAGTATATGTAACCACGTTAACCCATCGACACTCTACCTTTCCCTTTGAAATCCTTCCGCCCGGATTGGACCTCGTACGCATTGTGAGACAACAATGCATCTTGCAGTTCTGTCATAGTGGCGCTTCCAGATCCTTGTCGTTCGGCAGAGCTTTCTCCGCCGGCAGAAGAAGACGAAGTTTCATTGGGACCTTCATTTGGTGAATGGTCGTGGTGGTGGGGAAGGCGTGCACGTCTAATCGGCTTCGCCCGACCCGAATCCGATTCTCCAGATGATTCGTCGGAGGATTCATCGAACCGCTTCGGCTTGTGATATATGCAGCAAACTATCCGTGTTCATGGACACGAAGAAAATGTATCGGTCAGCACAGATGCGCGGAATGACACGACGAGCCTCGTAGCTCACTCTTGGACTTCTTTCTCCCGCAATTCTCATTGTCTATCGTCCCCTCCTTCCATACAACACGTTGCTGGCGACGGGGTCCACCTCGTAATCTCAAGACTGGCCGAGGGTGCGATCCGACATCGTGATAGCTTACTTCGGGAGCGGAAACATCGTGAATGGTAATCGTGCGGCTCCCATCAGGCATTACGCCTGTATGCTGAGGTCTAGGGCGTTGCGCCAGCATCGTAAATTACTCTGGCTGTTCCAGGAGTGAGGATGAGGTGAGGACTCCGAATAAGAGAGGCTGGTCACCTGCACTCCGACCCGAACATGCAGCACGTGCCGAAGTGAATCGGCTGCTAATTTACCGAATTTTCAAATATATCCCCATTTGCTGGAGTCGTCAGTCGCCTCTCCCGACCATTCATGGCGTCTAAATACCCTTTATCTGGTGAAAGGAGTGACGTTGATCTGTTAAATCCCTTCACTGAATGAGAGCAATGGTTCCCCATGAATGTCAGGTCGACAAATCGACGGAGAGGAGACCCAAGATCCGCTGGATACATTTTCCTCCTGTGTCTATTCTCTCTATCATGAACTTCCCGTTACCCTGGAGTCATCAAAGAAGACATTTTTTATTGACGGGATCGATGTTTCTCCCCCGATACTGCTCCAGAGAATTGGGAGTTGCAAGCTCACAGCGTGTGGCGCGCCGCCGTATACCTAGCCACACACATTGAAGAAATAATTTCACCGTACATATTAAGTCTCCTCCCGGCGGGCTCTGCAGCTTTTGTACCTCCAAATCTGGGTATCCTCGAACTAAGGGCTGCTTCTGGTTTACCCGGTATCAGCTTAGCCGTTGTGCTGGGGAGAAAGCTCCAGGAGAAACTCCATCACAGAGGCACTTTGTTCGGTGTCACACCATCTGATTACCCAGACCCTTCGCTCCAACATCCGTCGAAATGCACATCTCATCCATCCGGCGATTTCGATGGAAGTTGTTGGCCATACTTGGGTCTCTACCCCGGACTCAGATCAAGAAGGCACCGTCGATCAGCTGGGCTTGTATGATCTCATTATAGTCGCAGATGTGCTATGGCTTAGAGATCAGCATGAAAACTTGCTCACTACCATGGAGACCCATTTGCGACAGGCCAATCAGGATTTAGGAATTGATCCTACCATTGTCATCGTGGCTGGATTGCATACTGGGAGATATATTTTCTCGACCTAGCGGGTCGCAGTGGGTTTCGGACGAAGCGAGTGCGGGAAGTGAGACTAACTGACGATGCACTCTCTAGCACTGTGGAGAGAGATTGGGTGGTGGAGAGGGGCGGGGAGACAGCCGCAGATCGCAGTCTCTGGGCGGTGGAAGTCATTCTGGGCCGTGCTCACGCAGAATCCTGAGATTTGATAGAAATGTTTAATTCGCAGAGAAATAGAAAACAAAATTAGCAGAGATTTAAGAGAATTCTTATTGTGCGACCCATTGCTTCACCGTTTTGCTTTTCTAGCTTCTCTAACAACCACGCTGAGCCTCCGTACCGCCTCCCACGTGTCTGCATCGTTCAACACGCTGAAGCTCACACGGACGTACGCTGTTTTACGCCCGATGGCAAAGAAAACTGTCCCAGGAAGCGCAAGGACGCCAGCCTCAAAGGCATTCGTCTCTATCAAAGTCTTGGAGTCACCTTCATCGTCTACGATGGTGGTAATTTCGCCAAACAAATTTGGCGATATGAGCAACTTAAACCTGTTAGGAGGGCTGTGAGGTGGCTGCAACTGACGGACCGGTGATGATGGGATACAAACCATAAGAACATGCCCGACACTGGACTGGTCCACTCTGCCATCATAGTCCCATCATCATCCACCATATGTTTGTACATGGCTGCTTCAAAAACCTCCTTTCTCTGTCTATAAAATTTGCTGACTTGTTCGGTGTGTGCAATAAAGCCATCACTGCCCCAGTGTCTAAGGATAGCCAGGGTCACTGACTGGGACAGAGAAGATGGTTGCAGATTTGCCGATGCAGTCTGGATGCAATTGATTTTTGGAGAGCCGGAGTTTCACATCATCAATGTGGAGGGTGGCACACCATGCTTACGTGACTATTCATGACACCCAGAAGAGGGGCGGGACCCGAAGCAAACCCAATTCTCAATCCGCTGGACAAGATCTTCGAGAAGCTGTCAAAGCGAAGAACAAGCCCCGTTCCTTCTTCACTGGGCTCTTGGGCTTCCAATTTAAAATAGGAAGGCGATCGAGGTGCATCTCCATAATACATCCAATAATATGGATCGTCTTTGGAGGAGAGGACGTCAGATTTGAAGGAAGACGAATTTACAACATTAAATAATGCTGTTTCGCACCTTCCAGAATAAGGAACTTATATTTGCGGGCTAGCGTGAGCACCTGACGACGCCGTTCGAGACTTGCAGTCGCGCCAGAGGGATTGCATCCGTATGGAACAGTGTATAGGTACTTAGGGAGGGGTTTGTTTGGGGGCCATGCTTCGAGTATGGATCGTAGACTTGAGGCTTCGATCCCGTTGTGGTCAGTCGCTATCTCGATCAAATTGGCTTTTGCAGAAATCAACAGCGGGATGACACCAGCATAGACAGGTGCCTAATTGTGAATGTGAAGCATTGGAAATGAGCATAATTCAGTCAATCCTCGTGAACCAACACCATTTACCTCGATCAAAACGCTGTCCCCTGGGTTCGTCAACGCTAAAAATGCTTTGTATAGTAAATCTTGGCTTCCAGCACCGATAGAAAGTTTCCAGCTGCCATCTTGTGGACGCTGATGGGCACGGGCCTGGAAATCAGAGATCCATTCAACAAGGTCGGTATGGCCCTGTGTAAAACCATATTGCAAGGCCTCAGAAAGGTCAGCAGAGGAACCGGGACCCCCAATAGTGAGAGTGCTTTCTTCCAATGGGTTCGAAGGAGATCGGACATTGATCGAGATGGATGTGATAGGAAAGGTAGATACGTTTGGTTCGCCCCAAGCGACTTACTTGGGCTTTTCCTCCTCGTCTTGGAAAGATCTGAGATATACGCCGAGTAAAATTCATCGGAATACATCTTTGGCGAGATGAACCGGTCAACCTCGGTCCAATACCCCGCAAATAATATAGCGTTGGGAAACTACTGGTGGCGTGACACTTGATCAAGGGGAACAGGTATGACATAAATCCCACGCCCTCATGTATCGCTCCAGGCACATGGCCCCGCTGATCCAAGTTACTCGCAGCTTACTGAAGTAGCGGTGGTATGCAGTGGACACTAGGCTTTCAATTCTTCCAAGCGAAGCCCAGACTACATTTCGTGGATGATTAGTTGCACGTTTTCGGATTTTGTACTGATCGACTTCCACGTACTGCCGACCGATTTCTTTTGCGAAGCCCGAAAACAGGCCCGCAACTGAGCCATTGTCATTTGCAGTCACCGAACGGTGATCCGGGGTGATACAACCCGGAACTCAATCCATGAATCAGCACGAATCTGAGCATCACCTCCTGCCCTTCGTCCCATTTTGTTAATAACAAGGGAAGCTTTCCCAACAGCTTGCTCCCTGAATCTCGCCTCACTTCATCATGGTCGCCAACAGCCCACAACCGATCGCGATTATGCGAGCCTGGAGAGAGGATAATGACTTAGAACCTTGGATTAGGTACTTTAGCCTTTGCATTGAAAATGTCACTGACAATACTCTCATTTGTGGTAGAGACAGCCCTCACTGGGAAAGTATGAATTTCAATTGCTTTATGGAGGCCAAGAGTGGTGAGGGAAGCGATGACTACCAGAACCCCCCCACTATCCTGACTGTGGATGTCAGGGCGGTTCCAGATGTCAGATTCAGATCGTTGCAGTAGACTTGGGCAACCACGCTCTCAACTGGTTAATTGATCGTGAACTCCGGAACACTCGTATCCCCCTAGAGCTATGTACTAAATTCTAGTCGGTTTCCTGAACTACTTGCCGCCGTGTGGAAGTCCTTTCCAGCCGAACATGGACCCATTTTGTTCCCGCCGAAATCACTTGGACCGGGGCAACGTTAGCTCTACATCGGATCAGCATTTATCTCCGATCCTGCTCGGGCCTCGAGTGACCGTGGCGGTCACCAAGTCAGGCTACCGAAAACTAAGGGCGGTGATCTAGGATGTGCCGGCTGGGGGTGTCGTCCCTTGTTCCCGTCCTTGATGCCGAATTAAGACCCAACAGGATTATGCGACCCGGTGAGCCGGCCCACCCATCGGGTTTTGGCGTTGCCACCGTGGAGGTTCCTCATGCCCCTGCCAGTGGACTGTAATAACAGATTCCAATCCAGCAACCGAAAAAGCATGAAGACATGACATGATTGCCCGGGAAGTAACTGATTTTCCTAGGAAGTGAGGATTCGATAATCACTCCAATGTCCCTCAAACCAGTCGTGAGTACTTCATATGAAGCATTTGGGAGTCGTTCCTGCATGCACACATACACAATTTGAACCAAAAAAAAAGCAACCCATACCCCACGGATCTGTTCTACGCTCTATTCCAATAAGGGCTGGTAACCTGCCTGCGTAGTCCTACGTACTTCATCCATGCATAACGGACACAGGGTTTTCCACTCCTGACGAGTTCTGTCGGAAGATCATTATCATCCCATAGTAGGGTGGTACGGTTCCGGAGTTCTAGAGAACCAACTCCAATGATGGCCGCAGTTTCAACGAATACGGCGAGAAGACCCGATCGGACGAAGACGAATCTGCATTGGGCAGATTTAGTTGGTACTTAATCTAGTCCTTTTGGTATTTGGACTGAACAAGAGGCAGCGTGCCACCGGCCGAGGTGGCCCAGGTAAGCATGTCATTGGGTGACGAGGTGAGTACATTGAGATTGGTCCTTGGCAATGAGTACTTGATGCGTCGTACGATTTGATGGCAGGCTCGGGCTCGGCGTCCAATGTTGCGCATCTCGGCGCGCAGTACATAAAGCGGGTTGAAAACAGTTTTATTATTTAACCTAAACTTGTCCCTGAAACAGGATAAAAAAAACACGCGGTTTGCTTGCTGGTTTAGAAGTGCGCAGATTTTCACTGAAATGAATAATGATGTTGGATGACAGCCTCATGTTCAGGTTCCCTTTTCAATTCGTAATCGGCCTGAGAAATCAACATATACATATAGTTAATCATGTGACTCTTTCAAACCACGGTCGCGGAACGACTTTCTTTGCACTGTTGCAAAACTCTTTCCAGGGAGGTATGTAATCGATTTTTTGGCTGCTTGCCAGTGTCTATTTTGGTGGATCGCATATGCACATGTGACCGTGCCAAGCTCTTCCATTGGAATATTCTCGGCCGCCATGTTTGGGAACAGGGTGTGATTACATAATCTAGGAGGCGCCTTATTAAATCACTCAGGGAAGGGGTGCCTCCGTCAGTAACTTCCGCACCTCCCCGCATGAAACCTCCTATACGAACTTTAGCAACCAGTCTCATTTTACTTGCAAGTTCAGTGCAGAATGCCAATGCTCTTCTTCTACTTCGACGTACCTCTAGCAATGGCACTTGCCATCACGACGGTTCAACCAAGCATGACGCTGCGTTCGTCATCCAAGGTGAATCGTTTCCCAGGTCGTTCCAACACTAATTTACCCTCCAATAAGCCTGCCTAATCCCGATACTCGTTATTCTGTCTGGAATTCTTGCCGGTGGGACTCCACGATCTGCCCTGATTCATTGGGTATGGCATGCTCATCGCCCTTGAAGGTCTAACCCTCGGCTATATGTCTCTCGATGAGACGCAACTTCGAGTCCTCTCAGTAAGCGGCTCACACAAGCAGCAAGAATACGCGCAAAAGATACAGCCAATTCGCAAGAATGGCCACCTGCTCCTGGTAAGCGTTGTTATGTTCGATTCCCAAATACCCCTCTTCGCAATGCAGACCAATTCCTGTCGCCTGTGGCGCTTTCTACACGACAGCTGCACTAAATTAGCACCCACCGGAACCGAAAGGGAACTTGAGCTTTCGTGTATTGGAACCTTGACTGACTTGCGTGTGCTACCTTTTGCCTTTGCAGACTACTTTACTCCTTGGAAATATGATTGTGAATGAGACCCTTCCAGTCCTTAGCGAGAAGGTTCTAGGTGGCGGCCTTCAAGCCGTCATCGTGTCCACTGTCCTCATTGTAGTGTTCGTGAATGCTTGCTTCGCCGATGAAGAAGCTCGCAATGGCTTCATATTGTTCAGCCGCTGATATTTGCCCTGACCATTTAGCTTTGCTGAAATAATCCCTCAAAGCCTATGTAGCCGTTTTGGTATGATTTTTTCCTTATCTGATAACGGACGTTCTGGGCAAGGTTGATGATATGCTATTCCCAGGCCTCCAAATCGGCGCCTTCATGGCGGTTCCGACAAGGATCCTCATGTATGCATTGGTATGTGGCAAAATCGCCTCGGGAAATTACTTCCTCACCGTTCTGGGTTGATAAGTTCGTTATTGCGTGGCCAATCGCCAAGCTCTTGGAAATTTCCCTTGGACCGCATCACGGCATCGTGTATCGCCGGGATGGCAAGTGCATTCCGTACAACATCATACGTGAGACTGGAAAAGTGACTGTCTCTCATTATAGAGCTGAAGGAGCTAATTAACATGCATGCTGTTGTGGGTCACCATGGTGGTGATTTGCAGTCGGACACGGTAACCATCGTAGGGGGTGCTCTTGACTTCCAAGTTAAGACTGTCCATGATGCTATGACGCCGATCGATGATGTCTTAATGTTGTCAATCGATGCGAAGCTGGATTATGAAACCTTGGCCAAGGTTGTTCGGAGTGGTCATTCTCGTGTTCCTGTTTATGAACCGTTTACGGAGAACAACGGGACTGTGACGAAAACCATTATTGGTGTCTTGCTTGTCAAGCAATGCATTCTCTTAGATCCTGAAGGTGAGGAGAATGATGCTTTCGGAGGAATGCCACTCATTCCTTGCTTAGATGCCACCCCACTCCGTGATATTCCTTTGAACTCTGTGCCTACTGTTCCTTTCGATGAACCACTTCTTCACACTCTCGATCGTTTTCAACAGGGTAAATCACACATGGCTGTGGTATCGCGTATCCCAACCAGGACTGAATCTAAGGCGAAACCGGGCAGTGTCAACGATGAGGCGAAGGTCGGCTTGACCCGGCGTTTCCTCAATCGCGTAGGATTTGGTGACGATTCAAGTAATGGCAGCAGCGATAGTGACACCGAAGGTGATGAAAAGTCCAAAGGTAGTGTGAAGCGCCGTGCTAAGGGAGGAGGGAAAAAGGGACGTAAAGAGTTGGTTAATGCTGAAAAGCCGAAACAGATCCCATCGCCATGGCTGTACTGGAACAACTCGGTTGCTCTTGAGCAGACGATGCCTTCCGACGCTATTCTCGATGACGAGAACGCCACCAAGGTATCTCGTCGTCTGGCTCCTATGCATGTAGCCGCTTTGTCTAATCGCTTCATTGCAGTTTTTGGAAGGACTTCAACGATCGCCTCTTGGTATCATCACCCTTGAAGACGTCATTGAGGAGTTAATCGGCGAAGAAATTCTTGATGAATTTGATCTCAAGGGGGTCAATGCCCTCCCTGCCTCCACTTATGTTCCTGCTGAAGCTCAAGCTGCGGTGGCCGCTGCCGCTGCACGTCACAAGCTTATGTCTGCCGAAGCTGCCAAGCGTAACGAAGGCAGCACTCCTCCGAGTGGCAGCAGCACCCGTGTTGCACAGGGTCTGCTTGCGATTAAAATGGCCGCGGGCGTGAATCCAATTAAGAAGAGGCCCTCGAGTCACCCCGGAACAAAGAGAACTGGTTCAAGTTCAGGTCCTCCCACCCTCACCCCCGGCGATCAGAGAGAATCGACACCTCAGCCGGCACAGGATAAATGCTCAACTGTCATCCCTGTGGAAGGTGCCGCGACTCTCAAGTCTGAGCCTTCTGTTACCAGCAGCGTCGAAACTAAGTTGGCCATCGCTTCGCCCACACCCACACGACCTGCACCACCTCCCCCAGCTCCAATTTTCGCTATAGTCGATGAGAACCCTCAGTTGACGAGGCCGCCTGGAACACCTAAGAGAGGTGGCGCCTTCAAGAGTATGATTGGTGGGAAAGGTGCCACTCCTGGCCTTGATAAAAGGGCTGACTCGAGCGTCGTCGGAGGAAACGTGTCCCTGGTTAGGAAGGATTGCAGTAGTGGTTCCATGAAAGAGGAGTCAAGGAGTGGCAGCGCGCCACCTCAGGGCTGAATAACTTGCGACAACATTCCCCCTCTCCCCAAGTTTTTGTTCTATCGTTTAAACTTCTTGTGGAATAGTGTGATAAGAACTAAGCGCTTGTCAAAATCACAAGACTCTAAATTGTGAATATCGTCGGATGGCTGTGTGAGTCACGTACTGGCGCTCTATTGCGGTGGAGCCTCATCCCAACACACCACCATCTGCAGACAGCTGTTCCTGAACGCCAACTAACATGCCACCGAAGAAGCAGGAGAAACAGGCCAGTTCCAGCAAGGCCGCCATTGATAAGGTGAAGTCCTCCAGCCCCGGGGAGATCGAGACAATGCTGTTGTTTACTTTGGGATCTATCGGTAGACTTTTGGTTTGAAAAACGTCTGTGCATTCGGTCATCTGACAGGACCAACCTGTACTTAATGCTCCGTACAGAAAAAAGGCGCCAAGAATCAGAAACTTGTTGCTCAAATTAAGCAACAACAGAGTGTAACTGGAAAGTCACCGGCTACGCTTGCCAAAGAACGGGAGAGGGAACTTCGTGCGAAGGAAAAAGCTGAAGCTGAGAAGAAGGCCAAGGAGGATGCAAAGTTGTTCGCTCAGGCTCCCCAAAAGGTTCCGCCAGGTGTCGATCCGAAGTCTATATATTGCAATTTTCACAAAGCTGGATACTGCGAGAGGGGGAACAAGTGCAAGTTTAGTCATGACCCTGACGTTGGGAGAAGATCTGAAAAGAAGGATATATATTTTGATTCGCGGGATGAGAAGGCGAATGGTGAGTACGGCAATGGACTTCAGACTTGTGGTCCTCCTTGTTGGTACGCGAAGTGTACTGACCTATTATTGGCTTTCCATAGACACCATGGATCAATGGGACGAGCAGAAGTTGCGTACGGTGGTTGACTCGAAAAAGAATAAGCCGACTACGGATGTATGTTGTGGCAATATGAACTTTCAAGGTGTCAACGTTAATTTCACTACTACCACCAGATCGTCTGCAAATACTTTATTGATGCCATCGAGAGTCAGAAGTACGAGCTACCCTTACACCTTGCTTAACACTGGTGACATTTTTTAAATCCCAGGTTTGGTTGGTTTTGGACATGGTGGGTGTTCTGAGCTCGTGCGTCCGACTCATATGACGTTGTCCTGGGGACTGACGCATGCCCTCGTAATTCACAAGCCCGAACGACGTCGCAGAGAAGAACGGTTGTATCTATCGGCATGCATTGCCTCCAGGCTTCATGCTAAAATCCCAAAAGAAAGCGATGGACGCGGAGAAGGTGACTATATCGTTAGAGGAGTTTATCGAGGTGGAAGTAAGAAGTGCACTTCCCCTCCCTTGTTCTGGGCTGACCGGGCCTCATTTGCTGCACAGCGCCATAAACTAGGGAAGAACCTCACTCCTGTCACCCCCGAGACTTTCGAAAAATGGAAACAAAATAGACAAGACAAGAAGCTTGCTGAAGAAGAGGCTCGCAAGGCTGCCAAGGATGCAAAACATGCTGCTGGGAAGAGTGTCGGGATGTCTGGAAGAGATTTGGTATGTGTTCTCTGTCCAGCCGAACCTTGGAGCACACGGATTTACATGTGTTTCTTTAGTTCTCGTACAATCCTGAATGGTTTGAGGCAGATGATGAGGAACAAGACGGTGGGGACGAGGATTGGGACTGGGCAACATATCGGAAACAACAGGAAGAAGAGAACGAGCGGGAAGAGAAGGAACGGATCGATCGCTTCAATGAAGCGTTTTCAGTAACAACATTGGATGAAGGACCATAGCACTGGCCCGTGGAGGTAGGCTCGATATCTGGCAATGGACCAATCCTTGAACACACGTTGGAAGCCTGTGTGCTCTAATGTAACGGTGTAATACTTGATGAAGCAAGCGAGCTGGCACCCCATGCATTGGATACAATATTACTTTGAATACATACATTATAGTGTGGTCAATCCTCATCCTCATCACTCCCGTAATCAGCCAGACCTCCAACACCTTTCGTTAGGGGATTTACCGATTCTGGCGTAGCAATGGCGAACTGGACACCCTTCTGACGAAGTTGTGCGAAATACTTCAACCCTTGCACTACCTCAGCACTCAGTAACCCATTTGCTGCTGATTGCTCTTCTACCTCTTCAGGCTCATCGGGTACTGCGTACGAATCTTCCGCAGGCTCAATCCTCCGTCGTTTCCTTGAATCGCCTGCCTCGTCTTCCAAACCATCAGCATCGTCTTCAGCCTCCTCGTATGGTTGAGGTACTTCTTCACCATCCTCGAGCGCTCGGATGGACCGCATCGCATCTATTATCCGGTCGTCAAGCTTAGCTGAGATCGCGGCTCTTCCAATTTCTTCCAACCGTCGTTTTTCTGCAACTTTTGAAACAGGGTTTGGATCCTCAGTTGCCCACCTGGAAACTGAGATGAGAGAAGCGGCCGATACGATCATATCGTTAGCGAATGACGCACCTAACGTTCAAAATTTCATCGTTATCTAAGCTCTGACAAGCCATAGCCTCCTTAGCGAACTGAGCATGTAGTTCATCTTTATATGTTACGAAAGCGACGCTTCTGTACTGTAGGATTCTGACTATGAACAGAAGATGAGTCTAGTTTGTGGCTAATGCAGAACGAATATACACACCCCTGTCTATTTCTCCCCATTCACCAAAGTGTCTTCTAACAACTTCTTCAGTGTCCTGCGCGTTTCCTGTCTCCTTGACACGACCAACATATAATGTTAGGTTTTGTCTGGTGAAGGAGCCAACACCGCCCATATCATCACGATAATCCGCAAACTTTTCGCGAGCAAAGCAGTCTTTCGAGGAATCTGGGAGTTCGGTCTCTGGCAACGGTAGCCTGTGGATGTAATTGCACTCGTATCCGTATGGACAGCAGCCACGAGCAAAGAATAAGCAGCAGTATTTCACTCCACTTGCATCGGCGCGAGTTAAGCCTGAATCCCGCCTAATATTGCAACGAGTCTGAGATTTCGTTTTACTGAAAAAAGGGCTCGTAAGCATTGGAGAGAACCGAAGTGCCTAGAGCAGATTCACTTTGAGTAAGGGTCCTCCCTATCCCCTCCCGCCCATTTGTTGTACCATATATCTGTACAGGTATTAGCACCTAACCATGCTCAAGTGGCACATTGCTTACTGTATTCCTTCCCCGGCTGCATTTCCTCCTTCTTCTCGACCTGGCCTGGCTTAACCTGCTTTCTCGCAGGCTTGAGCTTCTTAGGCTGAGCTACATCCTGGGTCTCGCTCATTATAAGTTGTGACTCCGGAGAGACGCTGGTTGGATGAATGTTGTTGTTTAGCTTCGGATCGCAACCGAAAAAGGTAGGTGAAGGTCGGACCACGTGACCAGTGAATAGCAGGTGTTTGCGCATTCGTAAGTACTCGCGTTTCAATCTTGGTCTCGGGAAGTTGCTTGGGCAAGGGGCTAGATCCTCTCCCTTCCACAATGAATACGCTATTAAGACTTGTGCGCTGGTCAACCCAACACACGAGACTTGGTTCTGCCGTTCCAACACCATTGACCGTCTTCTGCTTTTCTCGGACGGTGCATCGATGCTTCCACACTTCTGGTTCATTCTCTTATCCTCGCCCATCGAGACCCTTAAGGTACCCGAGGTCGGCGAATGGGTCTGGCTCGAGAGGTAGCGGTCGTGAGACCGGTGCACCGAAGGAACCGGGCCGAGTAGATGAGGCTACCGAGGCAGAGTCGACTGGTGAAAACTCAGTGTCTGCCTCAAAGCCAGATGACAATGGGGATAGGGGGTCGCCTCCTCGGTCTTCATCTTCATCGAGTAGTTCCGATGAGCCCCCGGACGATGGGAAACCCCCGGCCAAATCCCCGCCTCCCGAATCCGATTCACCTCCCCCCTCAACATCAATATCCAAGCAATCTGTTCCAGAATCCTACCCCCAGGTATTGGCGCTCCCTATCACGCGCCGACCTCTCTTCCCCGGCTTTTACAAGGCGGTAGTCGTCAAACACCCAGCTGTAGTAGCTGCAATTAAGGAAATGATGAAGCGCGGCCAACCATATATTGGAGCCTTTCTGCTAAAGGACGAAAATGCTGACAGTGATATCATAACAGACTTGAGTGGGGTGCACAGAACTGGAGTATTTGCCCAAATCACTAGCGTCTTTCCTGCCAGTAGCCCCTCCAATGGGAGGGACGAAGAAAAGGATGATAGCCTGACCGTGGTTCTTTACCCTCATCGACGTATTCACATCAACGAATTATTACCCATTCGCACGGAAACGGATCCCGTGCCATCAGAAACAGCCACGGGAGGCGCAGACGTCACTGGACCGGACCAGAAAGATCCCCAATCACTAAACACCGAGCCCCGTGAGCTGCTCCCCAATCCTGATGGCACATCCGCTGACTTGAAGAACTTCGTAGCTCCTATACACACGTCTTTCCTTCATGATTTCTCGGTTTCCATCGTTAACGTAGATAATCTAACTGCTCAGCCATTCAACAAATCCAATCAGTACATTCGCGCAGTCATGTCTGAGATTGTGTCCGTCTTCAAAGATATAGCGCAGCTCAATCCTTTGTTCCGGGACCAGATCACAAACTTCACGATTTCTCAATCCGCCAACAATGTCTTTGACGAACCCGACAAACTCGCTGACTTCGCTGCCGCCGTATCTACTGGCGAAGTTGAAGAGCTTCAGGACGTCTTGGAAAGCTTGGTGATCGAGGACCGCCTCCGGAAAGCACTTCTCGTTCTCAAAAAGGAACTTATCAATGCCCAGTTACAAAGCAAGATCTCGCGAGACGTGGAGAGCAAAATTCAGAAACGTCAGCGAGAGTACTACCTCATGGAGCAGTTGAAGGGGATCAAGAAGGAGCTTGGTATGGAGTCGGATGGCAAGGACAAACTAATTGAGAAGTTCAAAGAGCGGGCTGATTCGCTAAAGATGCCTGAGGGCGTTCGAAAAGTCTTCGAAGAGGAGCTGGCTAAACTTCAGCATTTGGAACCTGCCGCTTCTGAAGCTAACGTGACAAGGAACTACCTCGACTGGTTGACGCAAGTGTGTGAAATCAACTCGACTACATTCTTATGGCTCATTCTTGCCTTTAGATTCCTTGGGGTGTTCACTCCCCTGAGAACTTCTCGATATCTCATGCTGTTAAAGTCTTGGATGAAGATCACTATGGATTGACCGACATTAAAGACCGTATCCTAGAGTTTCTTGCTGTGGGAAAACTTCGAGGATCCGTTGAAGGAAAGATTATTTGCTTCGTTGGTCCTCCGGGTGTTGGCAAAACGTCTATTGGGAAGTCCATTGCCAGGGCCTTGAACAGGCAATTCTTCCGCTTTTCGGTTGGTGGCTTGACAGATGTGGCTGAGATCAAAGGACACCGTCGAACTTATGTTGGGTACAAGTTGATGTTCGTTGTTTCGGTTCCTGCGAACTCAATCTTTCGTTATTCAGAGCTCTGCCGAGCAAAATCATTCAGGCGTTGAAGCGTGTGGGCACAGAGAACCCTCTCATTCTCATTGATGAAGTAGACAAGATTGGCCGCGGGATCAACGGGGACCCCTCAAGCGCATTGTTGGAAATGCTGGATCCAGAGCAGAACTCAGCGTTCCTAGACCATTAGTGCGTTGAATTCATTCTGGTGGCGTGTGTGCGCTAATTTGCAAATGGGCTTCCCAGCATGGATGTACCAGTGGATCTTTCTCGGGTTCTGTTCGTGTGCACCGCCAATAACCTCGATACCATCCCAGCACCTCTGCTTGACCGCATGGAGGTTCTACAGGTCAGCGGGTATGTCTCTGAGGAGAAATCAGTCATTGCAGAGCGGTACCTGGCACCTCAGGCGAGGGCTGCTTCTGGACTCAAAGATGTGGACGTGACCTTAAGTGCCGATGCAATCAATATCCTCATTCAATACTACTGCCGGGAAAGTGGTGTTCGAAATTTGAAGAAGCATATTGACAAAGTATGAATTGATTTTATGAGATCCTCCCGATCCTCACCCAATGTGTTATTCCGCAGGTATATAGGAAAGCGGCTCTCAAAATTGTTCGCGATCTTGGGGACCCAGAGAATGATACTGATTCGACGGCAGAAACAGAGCTTTCGGCGCCACCCTCCCCCTCTGCTGAGGTGTCTCCAACAGTGCTCAAACCCGGTACTGACAGCGACGCCGACGCAGCTTCGGACACCCCAGGTGCGAATGCTACGGCAACCCAGGAGCCAGATAAAAAGGTCGTTACCACCCAGGAAGGCAAACCCATGGCTGTTCCCGACACGGTGCATCTCCAAATCACACCTGACAACCTCAAGGACTACGTTGGACCCCCTATCTACCAAAAGGACCGTTTCTATACCCGTGCTCCCCCAGCAGGTGTCAGCACTGGTTTAGGATACCTTGGAAATGGTTCAGGATCGGTCATGCCTGTTGAAGCTTCAGTAAGTGGCTGGACACCTTCTATTCGCTTACTCGTGCGTCACATAACGTTTCTGACTGGAATCAGGCTATGCCTGGAAAGGGCGTGTTACAACTTACGGGCAAGCTGGGTGAAGTTATCCGTGAGAGTGCCCAGATCGGTTTGAGCTGGGTCAAGACGCACGCATTCGAACTTGGTATCACACCGTCGCCTACGGAGCCCACACTCAAGGATCAAGACATCCACCTTCATATGCCAGAGGGGAGCATCGGGAAGGAAGGTCCGAGTGCGGGAACGGCAATTATTACAGCCTACGTCTCGCTGCTGACCAAGACACCTGTTAATCCCGACATAGGTACGGATGAAGCGCTTTGTTTTCTGGGCTACGCACTCATCAGGCCTGTCCTTAGCCATGACTGGTGAGGTATCCCTAGTCGGGCAAGTTCTCCCCGTGGGAGGATTGAAGGAAAAAATTCTCGCAGCACACCGAGCGGGAATCAAAACAATTATTGCTCCTGGTGCGAATCGTGCTGATATTGAAGAGAATGTTCCTGCTAGCGTAAAGACTGGTATTCGATTTGTCTACGTAGAGGACATCAGGCATGTTTTGCACGAAGTATTCAATGGCCATCCGGTACAGGAGCGCTGGAAGGACACGATGCCTTATGAAAGCGGAGATCCGATTCCGATACAGCCAACTATCACCCCACCTCCATCTCCCCAAACTCCCTCACCTCAGGCGCTTTCGTCTGACCGTTTGCCCATTTCCTTGCGCTGCACATAGACCACAGTGGATAGATTTTTCAAAAGTCTTTGACCAATTGTTCGCGATTCTGTAATCATTTCTTTGTTATTCGTCATTGACTAATTTCTGACTCAATGTCTAACTAAACTACAGTGTATTTCGCAGAAATTTACGACGGGTTGGGTTGCAAAAAAACAAAAATTGTTCACTCTAATTAAAGTAATCAAATTGGGAACCATCCCAGAGATTGTTGACAATTTAGGAAAATAAGTAAGAACGCTTATCATCAGGTCCCGCACCTACGTTGTGCGACAATGACAAAATAGCCCAAACCACCGGCCAAGGACCCTCCCCCTAGTCACAATGTCGACACGTCAGAGACCATGACCACGTCTGAGCTCTCAGCAGCAGCACGGGTATCCATGCGCGCGCACCATGAAGAACCCCGGGATGTTGCCATGTAAGGCTATATCTGCTAACTCCCATTTTTGGCTCATCATGAGACCCCCCCCCTTGGTCATTCAACTCGCTGGTTAACGTTATGAGCCAAGATAAGCTGTCCCCGCTCAACTCCTATCACAAGTCATTGAATCGAGCCGTTGAGCGTGCTTGCACGGGCGTTGTTACGACAGACCCAATATGGGCCGCTGCACTGGCGATATAGCGATGGACTTGAAGACAAAACAAACCTCAAAAGGACATTCCGAATAATGGCCGCAAGATCGACAACTATCATTACATAGCTGTGAAATATAAGGCACTTAATTATAAGCTAGGCTATGCTAAGAATGAGGCGCGCACGGACATGTTATATAGGGAGGCAGTGTCGGAATATGTATGGGTGGGTGCTGCACACATGTGAGACATGCTCATCATGACTTGGATATACCCGAATTCGCGAAGCATCGAGTAAGTACGGGGGGAGGGGGGAAACGAGGAAACGGCCGGTGAGAACCAGCTGCTGATAAATACATGATTGGCAGTGATGATACTGAGGCGTAAGCCCCTTCCATTTCTCATACACAAAGCGCGTTTTCCGCCAGCGGGCAAAAGAACTGCGAGTCCTCGATCTTCTTCTTTTCCCCCTGCTAAACGGCCTCGCTGTATGTAAAATCCCAGAGAATCTGCCGCGAGCTCATGCTCAATATACGATTATACATACATTATTTTTCCCTCCAAAGATTGACACTTGTGTATTATTAGGTAAAACGGACTCCGGCTACTGCCGCGTTCCTCCTGTATCCGTTACATAACCCGCAAGTATCACATCGCAAGCGTGTTGAGAAACTACTGCTTTGGCCTTGTTGGGCCCCCCTGTTTCAGGCCCACGTGGAATGGTCTGGGGGGGGTGGAGGGTTTGTAAGCGCCCACAAGGAAGCAACAATACTGCTGGCACGAGAATGCGCCAATCTCATTGCATGGGAAACGAAGAGGCGGTGAACCAACCCCATACAGTAACGCTATATAGCCGTAAGGACCAGCTTGATATGGAAAAGTACCAAGAGAGAGCTGTTCTCCCCGTGCGATCGAGCGCCCATATTCTGATTCAAATATTCATTTTACATATATTTGGAGAACTCCTGCAAAGGGAAATAATTCCCAATCCCGAATGTTGCCGGTTTTATTCTTTCGATTCAAAGTGATTGAATATGGGTCCCGTTAGGCCTCTAGACCGTGCGCTTCATCGGGAAGTAATACTTCGGACTGGCTTATATATATGTAAAAGATATTCTGGTATTCCTCACTCTTTCTCAGGTGTTGTGCCGTCACCGTCCCCATCCACGTAACTCCTCAGAGCCGAGGAAGAGGAAGAGTCTCCCCCCCTACATCCCTGAGACTCTGTAGAGTACTGTCACGACTCTGATCTCTGGGACCCAGTTACTTCCACGATGCGATTTCTCTTTGGATTCGTCCCTCTGGCGGTCGTCTTCCTTCTTTTCTTTGGGAGCGTTCAGGCTCGGAGGGGGTCTTTTCCCCTCAAACGCGCTACACAAAGCGGGATCTGGAACGTGCGACGACCAATGCACAGCGACTTGCTCGTGGTCTTCCTCCTATCAGGCCAAATATCAAGGATCCTACCAGTTCGTCAATTTTGTTTTTTCTTGTACTCTTAGCGCTTACGCAGATGATGATGATGATTGTTTTTATGTATCTCCTGCCATTTCACAATGGGCTCACTGCAGGGGTATTCTGGGCCCGCGCTAGACCATCGCCACCACCCCCTCCACCTCCACCTCCACCTCCACCACCCCCTCCACCACCGCCACCACCACCACCTCCTCCAAAGAGGAAAGGTATTATCAAAATTACCATCAAGCTAAACGGGACGACTGTTGGATTCCTTAATGAATTCCTTTCGCCTCAGGGCACACTGCAAGTCACCCCTCAGCAGAATAAATCGATGGTCATCGAAGCCCAGATCCCAAGCAACAGTTGGAAACGTTCGATTGGTTCGCAGGCTGGTCTGGTGCCGTTTTACATTCAGGTGAGTCTTTGAACGGGGATCGGGGGATGGGGGATGAAGGGATCGGTAAGGGGGCCGGTTAACTCAGGGTTCAAATTGGTATGACTGCATAAGTTGCACGTTGACCACGAGGCTATGGGCATGCATCCCCGTTTCAAGGCCCCTGCCTAATTGTGGAACCGCTGTTCCCTTTCCCCCGCCCTTGTTTGACGTATTTTTGATCTGACTCCCTCCCTCCCCCCTCTCATCCAGAACGGGAACGCAACAGGAGGGGTTATCGCTGCAGTCGCTACTAATTACACCGCCAACAACACCATATTCGCACCCGGAAGCAACGAGTTAGTATATCTTTCCGTTTTTTACGTCTTCATGAGTCTCCAATTGATTTCGATTTCCCCGATTCTCTTCGGTACCGAAATGTCCCACGCCACCTCCTGTTTTTTTTTTTTTAACACGACGCTAGTACGGGTGTGCTTGGAGCTTCAACAAACGATACATCGACTGGGCCAAGCACGTACTCAAATGCCACTGGGATCAACGCACCTCACCAGCCTGATATTGTCAGTAGTTGGTTGACCCTTGATCATTTCTTTCTTACTAACCACTAACTATACTGTTCTGAATTTTCTGCGGTACACCACAGTGGAACGTAAGTGCTACTGATGGCACTGTCAATCCAATGTGGGCGAACGATAATGGGAGTACGTGTTATCTTTTCCTCTTTCTCCACTTTCTTTTCCCTCTTTTTTTGACAATCTTATTTCAATTCGTATTTCATCCTACTGATCATTCTTTCATCGCCCGGTTCCCCCCCTATTATCCCGTTATGTGTTCTTTAGCTCTCACCCCGTTGGAAGTCCTGTATGTTCCACCCACCGCTATCGTTTTGACCGGAGCACGTTTACCGGGCCAACCCCCCTGATTCCGGGAGCAACTCAACTGGTAAGTTTCACTTTCCGGAGATGCTTTTTCACCGTTTTTTCTTTTTTTTCTTTTTTTCTCATTCTCTCTCTGGTGCAGCAATTTTCCTTTGTAGGACAATGATCTCCTTTCTGCTTCCCCACTTCCGGCTTCTGATAACGATGGGGCTCCGGAGCGAGTAGTGTAGTGGCTTCCTTCTCTTCTTTTTTTTTCTTTCCACCTCCACCGGCTCCAAGACCATTGCCAAGTTCGGATTTGGAAATTCTCGGAACCAACCAACTGCTTTTTTTTGGTGACTTTTTCGCTAAAACGGAACGGGAACGGGAACGGACCGCGCAAACGGGGGGCTCTGACGCGCCCCCCCCCCCCCCCCCGGACAACGCATTCACATTATGAGTCTATCACGCTCGTATACGCCAGTCATTTCTCCATGTCTTTTACGATCATCGGAATGGACCCACTTGAAAGACTCTTTGTGATGACACCTATAACGTTTGTTGTAATAACATCGACTTCTGTGTTGGTTCTGTTTTTGTTTTTTTTCTAACGTTACTGCATTGGGGTTTTGGAACAATGTGCTCTTTTTCTTTCTTTCATTTCGCTTCGTCCCCCATATCTGAAATCGTTTATTTCAACAACTTATCGTCAACAATTTGCTTTTTTTTTTTTGCCACCTTTGTTGTGGTATTGTATAGTTTGTATTGGGCACACAACAGACCTATCTTTTAAAGTGCTGAACCGGCGGCTTGCATGGGGGGGGGGGATCTCGAACACACTAGATCTGATCGGGGAATTAGTGCAAAAGCACTGGCGCTGCGCGCGCGCACGCTGTATCGGGTTAATTGGACTCACATCAATTGTGAAGCTAGCCATGTGGAGTGGAAAGTTTGTGAGTACAAGATTCCTAACTCTACAGAATTTACGACGTTTATGCATCCATGCATGGGCGCCGTGCGCGTGCGCGATCGAGCAATATATATATATATATTAATTCAATTGACATGCATGACATCTCGATCTGGAGAATGAGACTGCCAATAACGAGATAAACGATGCCTTGTATGTGCAGCTTTCGCCCAGGACTATATGTACTATCAAGGATCGGCCACTGGTATGGTTCCATTAGTAGATATAATAAAATCCAAACAGAGTTGGTCCGCTAAAAGTAGGTCTCTACATGCAGCACGTAAACCAAATTATAAAAATTATCCATCATACAGTATATTGCACATATGTTTAAAGGCCACGATCTGGATGCAAAAAACGCGATGAGATAGAGAGGCGAGGGTGCTCAAAAAAAGATGTACAAAGTCACAACCCCCGGCCGTGTTCTTGAATCCCCGCATGCATCCCTGCATGCCGATGGAAGAACCGGTACCATGCATGCATGAATAAGCCACGTACACGTCCCAAGTACTGAAACTTCTCTAACGAATTCCTCACCCGGCGCGCGCGGCCATGTCAGCAGCACAATTATGAGTACCACATATAATAGGATCGAGCGGCGAACACGAAGGTAGATCGAAGAACGAAAACAAGAAGAGTACGTTGTATATAACATATAGCTATTTCTAGTTTGTCGAATGGGTGAATTTGTCCATTAGTGAATGCGAACAAAGTTGGTTTGTTATATCGTATTGTGCCCAAAAGTAGGTGTTTACAGCATGTCTAGTAGAATATTGCTGATAGTGCTAACCCGAATGAGATGTAGTCAAGGAAGTTTTGGTGGTATAATCATGCATGCGCGGTCAGATGGGAAAAGGAATCCTCCAACGCAACATCCCCCCCTCCCCCCTTCAGTTTTAGTTCCTTTTCCGTTTAGTTTGTCTTCTCGCTATGGGCTTCTGGGCTTCCAACTTTTCGAACCTCTTCTTCGCGTACGCCTTCGTTTCTTCATCCGCCAATAACTCTTCGACGATCGTTCGTTTTCTCCTAGACTTGGGTAGATCGTCTCTCCCCGCTCCAGCAAGATCTTTCTTCATGTTCGAATCGGTAGCGACGATATGTCCGATGACAAAGTGCTTTGGTAAAGGATTCTCATGGTTGTCATCGGCTTTGTAGTAACGTTTGGGATCGAGGGCGTTTCGTAGGCGCATCATTTCGACTTCGCGCGCGAGACGGGGGAGATCGGATTCGGAGGGTGCGGGGAGATCGAACCATTTCGGTCCGGTCGTAGAGTCGCGGAGCTTAAGAGATGCAATAGTAAGTGACGGGACGTCCGGAACGGGTTCCAATGAAATGAAAAACAAGGCTTTGCCAGAGCAAGATGATGATGAACCCACAGCTTTCCTCTCAGCTCTTGTCATTGGTAATCCTGTTTTCTCCGATAACTTGGGAGGTTTAGGTAGAGTTTTGGCGAGCGACACTTCGGTGGTTTGCTGTGCTATGCGTTCATGATCTGGATTTCTGAGCATCGTACCCGTTGCGGCACCCAGGTAAGGTTTAGGGAGTAAGTTGCTCGCATTGAGCTCAGGTAAAGGGTTTCTATCATCATGCTTTTTTTTAGGAAGGGGGGGTTGAAGCACTGAACGGTTACGAAACGATAGCGCTCACAAGTTGTTAAAATCCTCTGGTCGTAATTTTTTCTTTGAGCCATCCTGTGAAGATGCAGCGCTCAGAGCCTGCTTAGTGTTCTCCAATAAAGAATCGAGGTATTCAGGAGAGATATCGTCAGAGTCGTCCGAGGAGGAATCAGACTCGGACTCGGACTCAGACCCAGGCTCAGGCTCAGGCTCGGAGTCCGATGAGCGAGAAGTACCGGAAGCCAACGGCGAGGCCTGCTTGGAGCTCGAAATGGGGGATGCATCTTCAGATTTAACTTCCTCTGCTTTCTCAACGTCGCTAAGAGCGTTGACGTCGATTTCGCCCTCCATTATTGGGGGGTCAGTTAAATTTTAAACTGCAACACGTGACGCTTCCCAGCGCTAAAAATGCGTGGGAGCCATCTTTTATGCAAAGGGATTTTGGGCACTTCAAAGTGATGACCACAATATTAAGACTGAAATTTGGGCTGCCTTCGGCATCGCTGTCGCTGGTTCGACGTGGATATTCGAACAAGCCTATGCACAGGGCTCTTCCGCGACCTCGCGACCCGTTGTTGACATCGACCAAAGCTGTCATTCAAGAGCTCGAGCCAGGTGTCACATTCATCAAGCGACCACCACCTTCCGCGCCGTCTCAGCATTCACTTACCACAGCACCAGTGTCGCCATTGTTACGCCCCATTCCTTTGAGGAATCCACTGCCCTCCACCGATTCGTCATCCTCCTCAGTAGTCTCCGCATCATCACATGAATTCTCGGGCCCTCCTGTGCTGGCAAAGGGCCCCCCGAGAAACGATACCACCTCACAGAGGAGAAAATCGCCGAAATGCGCCAGCTGAGACGTGCAGACCCTGTCAAAAACTCGGTCATCAGTTTGGCCCGACGTTTCGATTGCAGTCGGGCGTTTGTACAAATCTCGGCACCTCTATCGAGGGAGCAACGTAAAAAGAGAGATATGGAGCTGCAGGCCCAGAGGGAAAAATGGAGTAATAGGAAGAAACTTGTGCGGGAAATTCGACAGAGACGGAAGTTATTCTGGTAGATGATCCTCCTACCAACGCTGAAGTTCTTGCGAGCGAATCTGATGGAATGTATTTGGAAAGAAGCGTGCATGCATTAACGAAAGAGGGCGTTTTTTTTTTATTGGCCTAATGATAATCCTTCTACCCTGGCCCGCAGAACATCCTTTGCCTCTTCCCATTTGAGAGCACCGGTCAATCCAAGTGTTTCGCTTGTACTGCTGTACTTCTCCGGTCCATGATCCACAGCAAGTAGGATATTACGGAAGTTCGCCTCGTCGATGCTTAGCAATGCGGCGGTGTCAACTAATTTGTCCCAAGCTTGCGCCGGTCGCCTTACTTTCCCCGGTCCACCGTCAGTTGAGAGCCCAAATTCACTGGCTTGCACCCAATATCTGCAGTGCTGAACAAATTCCTTCCCCCAGCGAGAGGTGAACCGGCCTTTCGACCGGTGGCGGACAACTCTCTGAGTTAAGTGATGAGTTATAGTTGCCACGATTCGTTTATGCGCCGTTGTGACAAAGGAAGGAGGAATTGAAGCAGTAGCGAAGAAGCGGAGAGACGAAGAGAATGTTGAAAGGGGCTTGATGAGCTCGGATGGTACTGCTTGCGTTGATTCTGCATCAGGCTCGACAGAGTCCTCCCAAGGACTTCGCAAGAAGATCACGGCCAGCGTGAGGGAAGTCATCAACCATCCAAGCAAGTACTCACACATTGATGTAATGCTTTAGGTCCGACTCAACTTCATAGCATACTTGCTTGATCATCATCTCGAACGCACGCACAAGAACTCTATCGTAATGGGCAATGAGCTCATCAAACAAGGTTCCTTCCGTGTTGCCGCTAAACCTATATTGTTTGAGGGGAGCGAAGGGTGAGCTACCGCACGAGCTCGAAGGGCTGATCGCTTGTTGATTTCCGCCCACAACTCAAGGAAAAACTGGAACACGAATTTGTCAATGTCCAATGTTCAGGGTGCGAACAACGAATCTCACGAGTTCTTCTCCCCAATTCTCCATTGCGTCTTTAATCCACTTAGCACTCGCATAGGCCTTTATAAGTCGCTTCAAACCCTGGGTGCCACTGGTCAAATGCCTCGTATCTACCACAGTGCCGAACTGCCCCGCGAGGGCTCCAGGGACAGCCTTCATAAAGGAGGATGATAGAGTCTCGTAAGCATCGAGCGAGGATGATATTCTTGAGAGGTAAGACTCTAAAATTGATATTTGTATCGTAATAAGGAAGTGCGCCTTGTGGGCGAAACGCGGAAGAGGCTGATATTGTTCTGTACATATATCCGATAAGGCGGTCGGTCATCCATGATCGCTCAACTCTAGCCCACCTGTCACTCGCTCAATCAAGCCTTTGATACGTCGTGCCGACGTTGTTGGTTTCAGGTCTTCATCACCCGTTCCCTCAGAATTTTGTCGGAATCGACCAGCTGCCATGCCTCAGGTGCACTGATAATTTCGTTGTAGATATCCTCTGCGACTAGTCAAATTATCAAAGGAATTTGGACAAAGCTGAAGGTTACTGGACTCACACTTCTGCTCGCCCGCTAGCCAAGCATCGAACCAGTCTTTGTTACCCAGATTACTTCGCTGAGTCCTTCCCACTCATCTCGATCTTGCTCCATATCATCATTCCGTGGAGATGACTTATTCAAACCCGCTCCTGATGTACCCGTCAAGGATGTAAATCCTTGATCCCGAAGGGAACTATCAAAGATTAGTGTTTGATACACTGTGTGAGCGAGCAATGAGGGATGGTGCAGAAGAACCGGGACGGTTTTTCGAATTTTCCGTGACAGGATGGGAAGAAGCAAGTAAATGAACTCTTGCTAGAATATTCGTTAATTCTATGCCAAACAGTTGTAGAATCCTGCTGACAGTAACGACAATGAGCTTCTGTGAACTCTTTCTCGCAAGAGGTTGGAGAATGGTTTCCATGAACGGTCTGTGCTCATGAATGACATTAAGAATGTGAGTGAAGTAGAATTCCGGCTGGAATCAGAGTACTGTGATGATTAGCGACCCCAGAGTACTAGAATAATTAAGAACCTTATCGAGCCGATTGGTGGGCCTGGCCCCTCGAAATGAAATTTGAACCTTGCGGCGATAGGCTGAACCAGGGCTTGAAGAGGATATAATCCTTTGATGGCATCATCAGACATCGAGTGCTCGTCATTATTATGGATCTCGGAACCACTGTGAGGAGTGAGACAGGGACATGGCGACCCGGTGCGCCACTTACAACTCTTCAAGTCGCAATAAGTTGGTGAAAGAGTGCTCGAATTTCGTTCGTTCAGCTTGTGAAAAGGAAGAGTAGTCCACTTTCATCGGCCATTTAAGCCGCTCGCGGACTCAAGCAGACCCCTACGGCCGACTCAGTTGGGGACAGTGGAATATTGAACAGAACGCGCACGTTGATAGAACCGACTTGATATCTTTCCAAGTGCGATTGCGGATGGACCTAAGGAGAGAGACGATTTCGAGGCCCTTTCCCCGCCATTGATAGCCGAACTTTCCATCAGAGGGGCACACGACTCTTTCACAGAAGAAACGAATTCCTGAAGGCGAACATAACCAGAAAGCGCCGATTCATCAAAAGAGGAAGATTTGATACGTAATCCCTGCCGCCTTAACAGCGTTGTCTCTAGCATTTTCTGTCAGTTTGGCAAGGGTGCTGCCACGGAACCCATTACCTCAAGCGTGTCGCTTGTTCAAGCAACCGAACATAAGTCCTTGCGAGCTCTAGCTGCCCGAGCTTGTGCTGAAGGGCTTCCAGTTGCTCAACAAGATGGGCACTGCTTTCGCCGACGGGTGTTGTCGATGCGGTAGTTAACTCCTCCAATAGTGTTGAAACGTCATCTGCAAGTATATGGCGGTTCAGAGCTGCCTCCCGAGAGTCAGACAGCAAAATTCTGCCGCGGTCAAAGATGTCTGTACTGTTTCTCGTAAATTATTCGTAGATTCCTGTAGCTACAACACAGGAACTGATGTTAAGGACGCCCGGCGACAATGATTGCTGCAAGGCCTACTTTCAGACGCGCCGTCTCATTTTGCGACTCGTAGAGCAAAACAGACGACCCCAGATCATCGAGGCTATCAATTGTGCCATACTTTTTGTCAATGAAATCTTTCGTCTTGCTTTCGCTCAGAGCCACATCCACCGCATTTAGCCTCATGCCTCTGGTTCAAGGAATCTTGAATCACATGACGAATCTCCCATTTCGTCTACTTCAACTGTGGCCGCAGAATGCCCAGGATCTGGAGACCGATGAGGTCTTCGAGACAAGTGAGGCATTCGCTAGGTCATCTGGAGCCGTCCTGAAACATTTCTAGTGGAAATCTGGGTTTCCGACATTGAAGACCCAAAACCACAAATGAGATGATCCGGTGCATGGTGCATTCTCGTCGTTCTGAGCCATCGCTGAAGGATGTATAGCTTCGTCCACATACTGAATGTCCCCAACGATGGTGCTGCTTCCACCTTCGATCCATACGGAAATCGGCCTCAACGCCCCTCAAGTCTGGTAAGCGCCCAGGTGCAGCCTCGTGTCCCTGGCTTAGAAGCCCCAGCAGGGTCAACTTTCATTCTTCTCGCTCCCGTGGAGGAACTAGACCCAGATTTTATGCCTGTGGAACTTTTTACACTCCCAGCTGGGCTGTCAGCACCTTACAAGGTTAAAGCCCCTCGCTTTCCGGCAAAATCGATGGCCCAGCTGCGAAATAAGACACAGCTTTGGCCATGCCTGTACTCTCCCAAGCCCCTTCGACCCGCGGAAACCCGGAAATGGCTACCAGATGAGGTTCGGTGGGTTCGACAATGCATGAGTAAAGTGCAGCTAGAAGCCAAGCGTGCTCAACAACGTGGAGAGGTCAGCTTTCACCACTCGCAATCCGAATTGTGTCCTCGAAAGCCGTCTCTTATGCAACAATAACCATTAGTTAGGGATAGCCACATATGTCTCCTGCTTCGAAGACCCGTCTATCGGTTTCTTAGCAAGTGATATGAGGCGCTCGATGCGTCATCCCCTCCGTCATTCTGTCCTCAACGCAATACGCTCTGCAGCCTACTACCAAGCCTCTTTCATACCCAATTCTGATACCTCCATGAATAGGACAGCTGATGCAATGGTTGGAAGCCCGACAGCTTCAAATGGGACTCGAAACGTTCCGTACCTCCTTACGTCCTTGACTCTGTTCACGACACACGAGCCTTGTATCATGTGTTCCATGTCTCTGGTTCATTCGCGCGTGTCTCGAGTTTTTTTCTCCAAGCGGATGAAGACCGGAGGATGCGGTGGATGTGCTGGCGCTGCAGTAGTTAGTTTAGGTGGAATTAACCATCGCTACGAAGTGTATGAGTGGACATTGGAGGATGCCGATGGGGACAATGTAGATGTTGATACAATCGATGCGTGAGGAGTGGAAGCAGAGGTGCGAATGGAAGATTTGTTATTCATACATATTTGTGCATCTCGTGCAATCGACGCGAATATATCCACCCACTATGCCAAATTCCCAGCCCCGAAGCCACCTTTGCCCGCCGCCAATTCCGCCCCGAGTTTGTACCCAGTGACCTAATGGAAGCCGTCAAGCCAGAATTATCCTCGTTGAATCTGCTCACCTTATCCCAGTCTAACTTCTGTCTTGTGAGGGGTAATGCTCGTCTAAGGCTCTTAAAGGTCTTCTCTCCCATTTCGGTGTACGCATCATTCAGCTCTCTTTGATAAAAATCCTCCAAGGCCTCGACTTGGGCCAAAATTTTGGTGGTTATGTGAGAGTAGCTAGCCGCTGAGTCCGGTGACAGCCCACTGGGCGGGAAGGGGAATGTAGGGTTATGCTGCGTCGATAGTTGGACCTCAACGCAAAACGACGATTGGCCTCACAAACCGGTTACGCTGGATTGGTCACTTACATTACCATTTTCGTAGTAGTGAACATTGATGAGAACGCGACCGTGTACTTCGCCTCCCTGGACGTCCACATAGTACTCAGAACGCCATCTGCCTGACCTATGAGAAAACGTCAGCCTGGCCAAGGGATTAAGTTTTGGATCACCCACCAGAAATTCGAAGGATTATACTTATTGGAAACAATTTGGATGATAAATATTTCTTCAAGTGTTTCGCCCTCTGTGCCAGGTACTTTTGGAGGGAACACTGTAACCACACCCTCTTCGAAATGATCGGCGACATATTTTTCGGCTGCAACCTCTAGTGCGGACCTGACACGCATGGTGCTGGGGATGGGCAGGAAGTCGGAGGAACGGAGAACACTAACCTGAATGCTTCATGATCCTCATTAGTGTAGACTGGTTGCGGATCTGACGTTTGCTTGACGAGAGTCGGACTCCAGCAGAGACAACAGTGCCGCTGCAATACTTACCAGCTGGATATGGTCAAGTTCGAAACTTGTATGGGACTTAGGGTCTACAAATCGCTGAGTGCCTTGCTCAAGTCTCCCGGCTTCACTGATGATAACCTGATCGTCTCAGCACCCAGCATCAATCGTTTGTTGTCGGCGGTGGATTGAGCAAATGCACACCTGATGATCCGCGTCAGGAACTTTCACAGTTATGAGCTGCTCCACGTTGTACTGCTCTAGCGCTGGAAGGATCCCAGTTCTTAGGAGTTCGTCGTTCCTGACGATCGCGCGCACGTCTAAATAATAAAAATACGTGTTGACTTTCGACAGCATACCAAATGATCGAGGAGCCAAACCATTAAGTACATCGTTAATCTCTCCAGGTGGGCTTTGCAGTAGGAACTTTGATACAGCCTCGATCTTGTCTCCGTCGTTTAACATGTTGAACGGCTTGTTTGTTTTGATCATCTGACCGTCTAAACCGACGCGGTCTGGAGTCAGTCCCCGACATCGTTTCCCTTTTATTCCAATAAAGGCTGGTAACCTGCCTACGTTTCCCCGCCGCCGAACCGATAATTAATACAAATCTGGGGCGCGACCACAACTCGACGATGCCTAAGAGAAAGGTCGAAGTAGGATCCAATGACGCGACCCCTCATATCCTGCCTAAGCGAAAACGCGTACGATCATCCCAAGTATCAGAGGCACTAAATACGGATGTCCCTAGTTGTGTGGCTGCCTCACCAGAAAAGAGGTTAGCGCGATTTAAGCCTCATTGCCCCCAGAATATCTTAGATAGGGTCGATCGAGTGATGAGTCAAAGGTTGGACATTCTTGCTTAGCTGCCAAGAACCAATGAGATCACGCTCCTTTGTATAAGGTTCTTTTTGGTTCACCGAGAGAGAAATGGAGGCGAGCTTTGCGAGAAGTTTCATGTTCTCGGTTCCACCGGCAATGTATGTGCGCCTACACTTCAAAACTCGTCGTGATGAACTTGCATTGCATAGGTCTATGAAGTTACCATTGATAAAGTGCCGGCATGTACCTGCCCCGACGCGAACAAAGGAAACCACTGCAAGCACATTGTAAGATGATCGTCTAATTTGCATTGAAGTATTGATTTACACTTCATCGCCACGCCCAGTTGTTCATCTTCCTTAAAGGTATATGACGTCGTATGCATCGCCATCTCCAGAATAATGTTAATTTTTAGTATTGAACGTGCCGATGACTTCTCCGCATTATTATCAGAAGTCAGTAACTCCAGACCTTGTCGATTCATTCCCCGCTCAGTTCCCCAATACCTAGGGCACTCCTCACAGATGAGTTACGAGAAATATTCGAGGCAGCGCCAGCCAATCCGACAGTCATAGCATCCCAGAGAGTCAGAGATGCATATGCAGTTGCCAAAGGGTCAGCGGTACCACCGAAGGTTGAAGGTTCCGACATGAAAAGAAAAGACCCTAATGGAGAGGACTGTGCCATTTGTTATGAACGCATCGAGGGCAATATTGTTGAACTGGAGAAGGTACTCGTATGGTGCGATACTTGCCAAAATGCCGTACACAAGGAATGCTTCGGCCAATGTGCGTGACTGTTCAGCCAAGTCATTTGACGATTTCCTGACTGTTAATACATATATCTAGGGTCGGCAACCGCACAAAGCTCAGGATCGAAGCTGACGTGTGTGTATTGTCGTACCCCGTGGCCGGAAAGTACGGCCGCAGGGACGTCCAAGGAAGGCATTGATGCGTGTGAGGGAGTGTATATGAATCTTGCTGGTGTTGCAGGACTTAGTATGGAAAGGGACACTACTTCATGTGCGTACACCTAATCACTCATTGTTTACATCAGTACTCATACGGAAAACAAGATTACCGCGGACGCCATGGCACGGCATCCTGGAAGCGTTATGGATGGCACTAAGCCGATGCATTAATCCCGTGTTACAATATGATTAGATTTTAAAACGAAGGACGTCTCGCGACCAGGATAGAAACTAATATGCATGCCAAGGAAGCGGTACTATATCGTTCAATCCCTCTTTGCAAGGATTTCTGCCATAGCGTCGTCCACAAGGGTAAAGATGACACACCAGTAAAGCTTCGATAAATCTTTGGATACGCAGCAATACTGCACCGGACGTCCAACCATATAATCGCCGAGATGAACAGTAAAAGGCATTCCTGCATGCAAAAGTAAGCGGCAACGTGTCAGACATTATTCAGGAAGTTTCCATCGAGACCTACCCGGTATCCTCAACGTCATGTCGCTGAATTCAATGAAGCCGTTACTTATGTCCGTGTTCACGACATTATGTGTGCCTATAACAGTCCCCTTCCTCACTTCCTCGATTGACATCCACTTCTGGCGAGCTCTACTGGCAGATTTTGGTAACATCCAGCCACTGAACCACCCTCGTTGTGATGGAGTAGGTTGGGGTTCTGCATGTGGCATTGGAGAAGATGACCTACTTAATGGCCTCTCTGGCGTCATGGGGCGGGTGGAAGGGGTGCTTGAGAGGTCACTGGTAGGAATCATAACATTGATGAGATCCCTGTCCGCAATTCTTTGGCCAGCAGCTCGGGTCTCTATCGACTGGGATCGAACGAGGTGGGAGATATCCTCAGGTGCCATTCCTGGGGAGGGTGTTGGAGGCCGAGTTGAGTCCGCAATATCCTGAGGCGATGTGCTGCTCGTAACAAGTGCCCGAGAGGCGACGGTAAAGAGTGGTGCCAGAACGGTAGGTGGATCGCCTTCTAAGTCGAAAGAAATGTTTGGGTTGAACCAATGCAGGGCTCGAATTCCAATTGGGTAAGTGGAGGGCAGTCGGTCCACGATCGACCTGAAGGAGGTATTCTACAATGCTGTGATTTCGTCGAAAAACAAGGGTGACCCACTGTCTAAAGACTATGCCAAACATCAAATCATCAGCTGTTAGCTCTTCGGTAAGATACCGCCCTTAGGGGTGAAAATTTGTGTATCGTGAGCACCCTCGGTCGAACTGCAATAGGGGATGAGCGCACCAGTAGCTTCAATGCTCCATGTTGCATCGGGAACCTTCTCGAAGTATGCAGATTGGGGATTGGGTCCTTCCCATGGGGAGCAGGGCCATCGAATCTCGCCACGCGCACGGTGAGTTCCCCGTTGAAATGTTCAGAATCGAGAAGGAGCTTCGTCTCAGAATTCACATGAACAATCTCGTGAGTACTTTCATCCAGCGAAGGGCCAGCGGTGACAATGATCTTGTAATGCATACTTGTGCGATAATATGCCAGCACCACAACCGATCCCAGTCCAAATTTCCAGCCCCGATGCCCGGTACTCCTGAACAAATGGAATGACTTTCCTCATTGAGTGTAATGCCTCGGTGTACACAAAGACCTAAACTTTGCAACTATCCACTATCTCCGAGCCCGTCCTCACCCACACCTAGGCGACACACTGCGGCGCCGAATCTCGGGGGGCTCTCAAACTCACCCCGCAACACACTAAGGATGTGCAAAGGTGTCAGCACCTGTGGGGTTTCAGCAGGTCCAACTGTCGAGTCGTCGACAGTGGCCGCGACACTGTTTCGGGATCGTGCATGTGCACGTATTGTTCGTGCCACATTGATTCCATTCTTCACCAAATCTTGAACGAAAAGCCGAAATACAACAGCAAGCAGGGCAATCGGCCCCATCGTGCGGTCGATCTCGTCCGGCGATGATCCCAGTCTTTCTAACGGAAATACGCCTGTCCCTTCCTGGACTGAACCCAATCTATATCCTTGCATCCTTCCCCGGATGAAAGCTTCGCTATGAAAATACTCTACAATCCGAGGGTGTGCGATTGCTACATAGTCCCCTGGGGACGCTGCGAGCACGGACTCGGAACGACGGTGAGATCGCTGCATGGCTGGAGCCAGGTTCCGTTTTGCTAAGGCCATCCAACGCCGTACATCGACCAGGGGTATCCTCATGTGGGAAGCTGCCTCTGCGCAGATAGGAACCACGTCGGCCGGTCGGCCTTCGGGTTTGATCCTAAGATGCTGGGAGCTATCGAGGCCGCAGGAGGCACAGTACAGCTTCGGCATCGGTTGAGAGTCCGTCTCCGCTGGTGTGTCTTGAGGTGAATCCGGCCGCTCGTTATCATCCCTCGGAAACACCTTGCGGCCCAGCATCCAGCGGTAAAGAGCACCAGCGGTTACCGAAGCAACTCCGTCATCTCTCGAGAGTGCTGGGTCACTCAAGGCATAAGTTTTGAACGATTCAAGAAGCATGATAGCTTGCCTCCACTGACGCAAGTCGAACTTAGAGTTGGGCCAAAACTGTAACGATGAAGACACACCTCGACAGCCTTCCTGCGGCCGGGAATCAGAGATAAGAATGCCTTGCGAGTGGCGGGGAGTCGGATGCGTGACGCCAACGCATCTCTGAAAGATTCATCTGTGCAGAAGTGAGAACAGTCCTGGTGTGTTAAGTGCATTGTTCACCTTCCTTAGTAAGCGGTATGCGGGAGAGAAGTGGAATGAGCACTGATTCGAAAGACTCAAGGCTCTGGTTTATTGCCGAAGATGGTCGAGAAGCCTGATGGGGTGAAGATACTGGATCGACCTCCCCCTCCTTGGAGTCGGGGAAAGGAGAGACTGGAGCAGCAGCTTGAAGGAAGGAATGAGCTTCTCGATCCGATAACTGTTCTGGAGGGTCTGATGCCTGAAAATTCCAAGACAGAGAAGCGCCTAGAATGGCGGGTTTCATTGGCATATGACGATCTAGTTCGACGTCAAGAATTTGCTCTTCGCCCAGCTTCGTCGTGGTGCTACCACTTATGTCTAGCTGATAACGTAGATAATCCCATCAACAAGACCAAAATCTACATCAATTGCATTGCCTACATTTATCCAATGATCGACCTCGAGACTTCTCGTGGATCCGCCAGTCCATTCAATGGTGATACGGGCAAGAAAGGGGACATGGCTTGTTCCCAAAATAGAGAAGTGAGGCTCTTCTGTCCAAAGAACTGCGCCATAATCTAAACAGCTAGGCACGATTTCACTGACACCCCGCACCGATATTCGAGACACAAATGTTGTTATGTGAGGACTCTGGGGAATGATGATAAGGGCATTGAGATGTGGTGCAAGGACCACTGGACTTACATATGAGGGTGCGGCCACCCTCAACATCCATTTGTGTGTATCAGCATCGGCACGCTGTTCTGACGAGGTCGGAAGTGAATAAGGTCGGGGCAGAAATTGTTGGCCAGCTTACTTCGAGGAATGACGCGACTCCAATCCTCGATCACTAAACGCCGTTTAATATAGAATCTAGAAGCGTCTGTCGATCGTAGGCCATCTATGGCTATTGCGCTGGAACCTCCCATGATGTTCGCATATCGTTGCCCTTCAGAAAGAGAAGGGTCCGGCACAAAGAAGTCAAAATTATTTTCCGGACCATTGGTCACTTCTCGACGGCGCTTCCCTAGGACGATGAATGGTATCCCAAAGTCGTGCACAGCAGATTTATGCTCTCCATCCCCGAGTCCAATGATGTCAACCATATCAGGTGGTTCATACACGTTAATTTGCTGTTTCCGCGGAGTCTTTCCAAGAAATGAAGCAAGGGAAGGGGATTCCGAATGAAGTCCAATAGTGCGGGACAGGGTCTTTGACGTGTCCAATGAACCGGTGGCAGATGAAAACATCCTTTTCAAACCAGGTATTGCGCTGCCGGTAACTTCGTTACCTTCTCGACGTAATATGAGGGCCTCAGATCCAGTGACGACCCTTCCGCAGCGATCAATGCACTCGTCATGGTTCCTGTAATGGAGACCATGCGACCTGGCATGAGTGAACAATCCATGAAGAGAATTATACTCAGAGCGATGACACGTTTCACACGCAAGAAGCAAGGTGACATAAGGACCGTTACGCTCTACTTGCTGGTGAACGAAGAGTGGGCGTTTCGATGGTGCCGCAGCGCCGGGTGAGGATGGAATGAGGGGTTCGTCTTGGAGGGTCTGTTGGACTGTAGAAGCCTCCTGAAGAAGAACCTTCCTGTCAGCTGAAAAACTAAACCGCTCTCGTATTGGATCTTTGAGGTTTATCGCTTGCAGGATGTACCGAGACTCGTCTTCAAAGTGGGCACTCCCTGCAGCTTGTTCTATGCACTAGAAGTATACAAGTTACATTGCATATGTCAGACCAATGGCGCCTACCCGGAGCTTGGAGAGATTCTACTAGTCCCCGTTGCATCAATCTTCCCCATTGTATCCTCGCATCCGCTGCATCAGCCCGACGCCGAGCCAAGGAGATCTCGAGCTCAACTTGCCGAGCGAGTATCTCACGAGCTGACAATCAAAAACTGGGGTGACGAATCGTAAATGATGTCTGTTTGGACTTTTCCTACCTTTTTCTGAATCCCATGGTGATTCTGGCGACTGTGGAATATGGTCGCTGGGCATGGCGCTTACATTGCTCATTTGAAAGTAGCGATCTTTGCCGCCTTGCCTTTTTGGGTTGGGCTTGCTGCGCTCTGTGACAGTACCGCTGAAACCTTGAAAGGCAAATATATTACATATTGCCTATGTTTCAAGGCAGTGTTTGCGTACTTCTGACAGGGCGCATCCACCGGAAAAGACCTTATTCACAGTATGGACATCTCCATATGCGTGCATGCACAAGAAGCGATCATTCTCAGGTAGATTCTGATCAAATTGTTGCGATTTCAGTTGCGTGGACGACTTGAAACCTTGAAACCCCATCTCATCAGACATAAAGCGCAACAAAACATGGCCTTCCATGTGGCCATCAACGGCATTTTCCCAAGGTGGGGTTTTCATATCGCCGTGGTATCGAGTGACATATTGCAAAAGCACGTAAGAAAATAGTCTCAGCACAATGAGACAGACGTCCATGAGAGCCTCGGGCATAAGCTCACAAATTAATATGGAAAGATGCACCAATCGCGAACATCGAACATTTCTTGGCCACACTGGGAAATCAGACAAATACATGGGTATAAGCTGGATGGCATTAAGAGAACGAAAACACTGGATCAAAAACAGAAAGGTGTTTGGCAGTCCGACAGAACCAAAGATGAAACAAGGTATCAAACCGTTGGGACGCAGTTCCGCGGGAGAGCTCATACCATCCGCCGGTTACGAATGGGTGAAATGCAACATGCACAACAAACCAAAGGGGGTAATTAAGGAGGTGGTTGTCGATCTCTCTGACGAAATGGTGTAAGGAGAGTGCTCTTAGGGTCAAAGTGTCCCGTTCTAGATGATGCTCCGGGCGTTGGCGAGGACGAACTAGGACCTTGGGCCAACCGCGGCTGAGGCCATAGATCCATGGACGCGTGCCGGCTGTCCATTGGGTATTGGAACTCCTGAGATGTATGGCTGTACTGGTTTGGGCCAGACGCCTGTGGCGGAGCAAGTGACGGAACGGGAGACACGCCGTCATACGGTAGTGAGGGGTGGGGAGAAGGATAGCCATAGCGCTGGTGCGCAGCATCATTAGGCGCCGATTGACCATAGCCATGGACCTGGTGGGGCACGCTACCATGAACTTCCATAAGAGGATAGTGAGTGGCCCGCTGATCTGCGTGAGATGGCCGGTGCATGCCTCGCGTAGTTTCTTGCTGCTGAAGTGGTCGAGGCCACAATTCCTGGGGACTGACTTGATAAGAAACAGGAATCGGGTTCTGAGCTGCATGCACGCGAGAGAGATTCTCGTCGCGGTATCCGTGTGTTTCTTGAGACGTCGAACCTCTTCCCACTCGATGGAAATCAGGGCGTGGATGGAGTGCCGTTAAAGGCTGGAAAGGATGACTCGTTTCATCGACATGAATATTCGGTTGCAACGACTGATTGTGCTCATACGGATGCCTCGGACCTGAAACGTTTGGTGGCGCGTGCCCGCGCCGATCGTAGGGGGAACGATGTTCGACAGGGGCAGACGATGGGGCTCCTTGAGACGAGTAGTACTGCTGAGAGCGGTTGGAAGGCTCCACTGCTGACTGGACGCCGGAACCAGATGGGAAGGGGGCAGGGATTTCGATAGAAGGGAGGTCGCGATGTGAGGGGCGATAGAGATCCATTTCTGGGCCTGTGGGATGCGCCGAACGCGAAGGTCCTGGCATTGTGGCATTCGGAGGAATGGCAGGAACAGATGATGTGCCACGAAATTCGGGATTTGATGGCGTGCGTGACATGCTTCTTTGCGTTCTCTTGAGATCCTTGAATTCTAGCGACGGGGGATGAGACCCTTAAAGTGGGCATACAAGTTACTGCGTACCTCTTGGAGTTCGTTTTGGCCCGTGCCCATGAACCTGAATGTGTTGGTTAAGATGATTCAATGTCCCATACGCCTTGGCACACCCCGCCCAATTACACGGGTAAACTCTGTCAATTTCTTCAAATTTACGCCGGGGCCGTTTCTTGGGTGGATCTGCATTGGGAAGAGCGATGAACGCAAACCCTGACGAGGACTCAGCTGGACCGTTGGTCTCTGTGCGGGAGTCTAGAGAGGCGTTAGAGGGGGCCCCGTCTGACGCGGGCGAGGCGCTCTCATGCGTGTCTTCTGGGAGAAAATTGATGGAAGGGCTGAAAGTTGAGCTGGAAGCTTCACTGCGGGATTGTGAAGACGTGAACCATGTTCCTTGTGGCACGACTTGAACGCCAGCGAAGTTCGGATTAGTGTAGGGGGTGGGTGGCACTGCACGAGGGTCCGAAAGTTGTGGATCAGCGCTGTATCCTTGGTGTGGGTGTGGAGAAAGGAAAGGAAGAGAATTAGTATTCATCGGGTCGGGATTTGATGGATAATTCAGAGTTCTGATGTGCGAAGTGGTGATGCGGCTGTTTGGAGAGAAGGGAGGGGCCATGGAAGAATGGGGCACTTCTTCCTGTTCGATCTTAAATAAATTTGCCACTGGGTTGAGCATGGAGAAAGGATGGAGGACCGCTTACATCAGGCTGCTTGGAAGGATCGTCTGTAGGCATGGCGTCACAGACGGGTTGTTAAACAACAAACAGCTTGATTGTGCCGAGGTATGGAGTCAGGAGCGGCTTAGATATTGCCACTGCCCGGTCTGAGCAGTTTTTAGACACTTTGACACGAGCTTGGTCGTGTACGTTCGAAGGTAGGCGCGTGCAAGACTCGAATAGACCAGTGAGAAACAAGGCGGCGATATCGCGACGTGTTTCAAGGTCGAAAATGTCAGCAACGACAACGGCGGTCTAACCCGTAAGCATTCAATGAGAACCAGTAGGGTCCCAGGATCCAAGCTCACCACTGAGGCAAATTTACGAGAGGCTCACTCAGAGGATGGAGTGCATAGTCTGCGAGATTCGCAAATGATACACGAGACTAATCTGTATTGGGAAGATTTGGGAATGAGTGTTCTTATGGATTTTCAAGGGTCGAATCCAATGGCGCAACTGCGGGTAGAATTTTGAGTTGGCAAATCAGCGGTCATATGCGTGAGGGATATTTGGGCGCCAATTTTTCAGGGTGTTTCAAACAAGTCAAAGCCACCGCCAACAACGTGCCCTCACGCCAGGTCGATGCGGTGTTGCACGACGCGGGACAACAACCCCATCTTCAATGAAAGATATTTGCATCCGGCACACAATTTCTCCATTCAATTCTCAAAATTGAAGCTGCTCAGTCCGTTGATGCCCTCTTCAGCAAAAATTGCGGCGTGGTTGCATGATCGCCCGATTCCGCGTTGATTGTGATGAGATTTCAGACCAGGTCTACGGAAACGGATTCCATTACATTATTCCTCCTCGCTGATACCATGACAATCTTGCACGAGGACGTCCAGAAATAGGTTGATGATGGATAAGCTTTTGCCGGATCGAAGGCGAAAGAAGCCATCGTATCGCAGTGTTATGCCCAGGACGGCTATTTGAGCGGCGTGCCATGTCAGCATCATGGCTCACATAGCATTCAGCCAAGGAAAACTGGTCCTGTGAAACTGATTTCAGAACCAATGAAGTCGTGAAAGCAAGTCCATCATCTGATCGGAGTGATCCGACTAAGGGTCGATGAAACCGACGTCGTAAGGAACGGCAGCGATGTTGTGTGAAATGACGGGGTGGGAACAGAAGGTGGCATTCGAGTCTCCGGCTTCTGGGACTTCAATAGGCTCCGCTCTGGTGGCGGATTTTTGGGCTCGAGTTTGCTATCTGAGGGGGCGGTTTGAATATGGTCATCATGAGCGATAAAGTAATTGGACTTGTTCCATCACACGCACAGGCTGACACTCATACCTCTTCAACTCGAAGGTATTGTCGAGCCTCGGGAACGCCTTGGACACGCCGTTGCGCCATTGTTTGATAGGAACTGCATTTCCGATGTGTCGCGTAAGCAGTCGCGTCGTTTTTCTTTGAATAATGATTCCTCATTCCAAGATGCCGCAGACGTGCAGGAGATTAGTCGAAGCTTTTCTGCGGATCTGCAAGTCCAAATAGAGGACTTGCAAACGCTGAGGTTCGAGAATACCTAGCACCTAGGGTGAATGCTTTCCCTGGGAACAATATGAATCATTTGAATCCTTCAGGAGACCGGGTTCAGTTTATCGCGGGTGCAGCTAAGAAGGAAGTGCGGGGTCGGAGATGAACTGCCTACTGCCTAACACGTTTTCCCTAGTGTTGTGGAAGGCGAAGACACGTTTCTGTTAGAACTCGCAACAGTCACAATCCGAGATATCGAGTGCGTTGGTGCCACAGTCAAAGGCAACCTAAGCCGAAGGCTGGCTCCTACATTCAGACGAGGGGTCATCGAGGACCTGGGCGTCAAATCCCGTGCGGCCATAGGTTCCTGCGCTTCGTCGGTCGGACGCGTATTCGAGAAAACAACGACAGCGTATGCTGCACTGGTTATGCTGGGCAGCCCCCATTAGAATGGATAGCTACGCATTTTGAAGATGTTGCCTCAGGCGCCAAGTGATTGCTTGTTTGGGACATCATGTGAGTACATACTGCTGTTGTGCATCTATTCAACGCAGCTTGCCGTTCCTCACCACTCGTTCACGGGCGCTTTGGCTAGCATATCTGAGGGTTCAGCCATCCACTAAAATATACTACCTTCTGTTCTCTGGGATACTTCCTGATCTTCGTACGGCTTTTGGCTGGGGTAGTCTTGGTTATGAAGACCCGTCGAAAGTCGAAGCCAGGCAATGGTGAAACCCTGGACACCACAACGCTCCACCCAGAATCCCAGGCATCTGAATCTGGCACCGCGTCTATTGGCTTTGAAGTCGATATTCCTGATGATGTAGACATGTCTGCTTTGGATAATCTTTTTCCTGGGTTCCCCCTGTCAAGTCCTACGCCAGACACTGTTGTCTCAATGTATCGCACATTATTGGCGCAAGGACTCACAATAGATGCCCTGGAGAAAGAAAAGGACCAAGCTCGTGCGGATGTCTTACGATTAGAAGTTGAGCTGGACCAGGCCCTTCAAGACCACGAGGTTCAAATTTCACAAATGCGTACTTCCATCGAGCAAGTCCACAGTGAACTCGAAGCAACTCAGAATGAAAGTAGACAACTTGGTGCGCGTTTCTCTCGACACATTTCTCGCCCCTTTCATGACATATCATTGCCTGTCAGCTACCGCGCGCTCCACTCTCGAGGTCCAGGTCGAATCGCTGACACAGGTTACTACCTCCACTTCTACTGAGACAGAAGAGCTACGGAGGGGGGTAGCCAAAATTGAGGCAGAAAAGCGAGATCTCCTGAGCGTTGTTGACTCACAACGAGAATCTTTGATGCAACGGGATGGTACATCTTTGTCTTAGTTTATCGCACAGGCACTAAATTTTTAATTTCGTAAGAGGAAAATCAGCATCTTCGAACGAAGCATAAAGAGCTACGAATTGAGATTTCCCAATTGCAATCCGAACTGGCCGAAGCGAAGTCTAACGAGAACGCGAGCAAGGTGCGGGATTCTCCACATAAGGACCATCGGAGAGAGGTCGACCGATTCCCCCCTAGTTCCATTCCTACACGCTCGAACAGGAGGCTAACCTTCTTCGTGAGGAAAACCAGCGACATATGGTAGAATTCAATGCACTTCAAGAATCATCCACAACGGAGCGTCGTTCCAAAGTGAGTGCTTCCCGATACCTCAAATTTCCCAAATTCCATAAGCGTTTTTCCTTCAGCATGCGGAAATCGTTAAGCTTCAATCTGAGGTCGATACCTTGACTCAAGAAAACGCATCTATCGAGTCCAGATTTTCCACTCTGCAGAAGGCCCATCGGGCGCAGGAGACTCAGTTAATGGAGTCCCTCAGCAAAGGTCGGGCCCTGCAAGCTGAGCTCTCGCAGCAAACCGCTCAGTTCCGCGCTGAGTCCGGGACTCGGGAACGCTTGGTTGAACTCATGGACAGAAGAAACGACGAGTCGCGACGTCGGGTTGAGGAGATTGAAAGGGAATGGGACGCAGTTCTTGCTAAAGCTTCTGCCACCGAAGATTCGTTACGCGAAGAACTCATGAAAGAGCGACAACGAAATGAAGAGCTCGAAGCCCGCCTCCAAGAACTCAGGATAGCCGGAGAGAGGATTGGCCCTGCGGACGGTATGAGCACTCCTGTCGGTGGGAGATTGATAACGTCTACCCCGGGATCATCGTCTTCGCCTTTCCTTTCGTTATCGCCCACCGCCAGTCTCGCCACCAGACTTCAAAAGAGTGGCAGGAGTTACACTGAAGTCTACGCTGACTACATCAAGATGGGAGAGGAGCTCACAAGGCAGAAAGAGGAAACTCGGCGACTGGAGACGGCCCTAGCTCAGATATTGAGCGATATCGAGGAAAGGGTCAGTGATCGACAGGAAGCATGCTCTGCTCCCGAATACTGATTCACGCAATGGGATCAACCAGGCACCTCTCATCCAGAGCCAACGCGTGGAATATAGTCGGGCGACGGAGGAGCTTGCTCAGCTGGCAAATCAGCTCGCTCAAACTTCTGCTGAGCGTGACGAACTCGCCCGATCTGCTGAGGACAGCGCTTCGCTCGCCAAGAAGCTGCGCGAAGAAAATGAGACTCTTGAACGGCAGCTTAGTGACCTAGGGCGACAGGTGCAGGCTTTACTGCGAGAGGTATCCGTTCACGAAGATCCTTCCTTAGGCGGCGTTGGCTTCGATCTGCCAGAGGATACTATTGAAGACACCGATTCTGATCAAGTTATCACAAATCACCTCGTTCTTTTCAAGTCGCTTCCTCAACTCCAACAACAGAACCAACGTCTCTTGAAGACCGCGAGGGGGCTTGCAGCACAATGGGAGAAGCGCCAAGCGGACATCGAAACCGAGTGGTGCAAGGAAGAAACTCAAGCCTTAGCGGAAGCGAGTGAAGCAGTAAAAGAAATGGAAGAGGAACTCCAGCGCCAGAAGGTTCTATCTGCGGCGCATCAACGGGAGCGTGACATGTATCGCAACTTGTTGACCCGACAGGGTCGTGATCCTGGTGCAGGATCCTCGACAGAAGCAACCTCAGCCCCGGCAGGCACTGGTGAGGGAGATAGCAGTGGCTATCGACGGCTTCTTGAAGAACAGCAGAGCCTGTTCGAAGCGTTTAAGACCGAAATGGGTGTTGATTCGACGAAACTAAAGGAAGATCTAGCTCGTGCTCAGCGTGACCTTGGTCAATTGAGCGCACAGTTAGCAAAAGCGAATGCGCAGATTGATTTCCTGCAAGGTGAGAAGTTTGTGTCGGGTCCCTGATATCCCTGCTAAAGAGTGTGTGCAGAGAGGATCAAAATTGCCCAAAATTCGGCCGAGCTTCAGTCTCAGGAGAATACTAACTTACAAAAGCGAAATCAACAACTTCAAGAGACTGTCGGGAAGACGGAGATACGTTCGTACCACGTTTCGGAGGAACTGAGGGATGTCAAGGTGACAATGGAGCGTCTAAGAAGCGAAAACGCCAGCCTTCAGGCGGAAAACAATTTCCTTAGGGTCGAGTTCTCTATGTCATAAGTCGTACTTCTTCTTACCACACCCTCAGGCATTTGAGGCTCGCCTCCAGGAAGAGAACAAGAACTTGTCGAAGGAGAGGGCTCAGCTCAAAGACTTGGTAGGCAACATACAGGCTATCCAAGCGGAGCTGGAAAGGTCCGGAGAATCGGAGAAACGTCGACAGGAATCGCAGATCAAACATCTGGAGTCTCAAACGTACGTGCCATATGACTATGGTCAGTGCCCTTTATCACTGCAACGCTTACTCAGGCAAGATCTCCGGGAGCAATTGAATAAGCAATCCGAGGAGAGCCGGCGAACCTTGCTTCAGAAAGATCTTGAACTTGGAGATCTTCATTCCCGTGTGGAATCACTCGTATGTGTTGGCAATCACCTGTGTTTTGCTCCTGCTCAATATATGCTCAGACAAATAACCTGTTCAAATCCAAAGAAGGATTGAGCATCGCTGAAACGAGCCGCGGACACCTTCAAACTCGTGTGGACGATCTTCTTAGGCAACTACAAGGCGCATCTTCGAAGCTTTCCGTCTACGAACGTCATCCTGGAGCACATGATGATGTTCCTCCAAGTGCCCGGGATCTTTCCGAGGAGGAGCAGCTTCGCGCCGAAGTTGCTGATTTGAGGTAGGGGAAAGCGCCGTAACTCAGCCGCACTCAATTTAATATGTTGCAGTGCTGCCTTGAAGGTTGCAGAAGGCGACCTGGCGAGGGCCCACGAGCACGTTGACCAGTTCAAGAACATCAGCCAAGCAAACGAAGCTGCTTTGGAGAGTTTAAATGAAACATTCGAGGAATACAAGCTTGAAACTGAGAAACGGATCACATCATTGACTGTAAGCATTCCCATTGTCCAACTTCGGCCGACACTGATGTGCAGTAGAATGAGGTGCAACGCTTGAAGGAGCAGTACGATCATACTCAGCAAGAACTAACCACGGCTCTGAGAGAACATTCTGAGCTGAGTCAGCAGCTTGATGCGCAACGTTTGGAATTCGAGATCGATCGCCGCACCTTGGAAGCGACCATTGCCGATTTCAGTACAGTAGAGGATAAGGCCTATGCGTCACAGAAATCCATTCAAGAAGATTTACGCCGTCAGGCGCAACTTGCCCAGGTAGAGATTACATGAATAACTGGTCTTGTCGGCCGAGTAACCCTTTCCCACTAGGATGCCCACGAGAAATATTCCCGAGAACTGGTTGCCCATGCAGAGTCCATGAAGCATATCAACGTTCTCAAAGAGGAACTGGCTGATGCACAAGGTAAAGCACGCGAATATCAGACACAAGCTGAAACTGCGATTGCTCGTGCCAACACATCGGAGAGCACATGGACTAGCCAGAAGGAGGCGCTTACGAAAGAGATGGAAGAAATTTCATCGCGGTGCAAAGATCTTATATCTCAAAATGCCGCCCTTCATCAACATCTTGAAACTGTCAGTTCACAAGCAACCAAAATTCGTCAGGCAGTAGAAGCTTCTCCTGGGGTTGCCCCACCTGCCGACGCCAACGGGAAGGATTCCGATAATGCTGTGGCTGAATTGCGAGCAGTCATATCTTTCGTTCGGCGGGAGAAAGAGATCGCCGAACTGCAGCTTGACTTGCATAAACAAGAAAACACAAGGCTGAAGTCATATAGCGATCATCTAGCCCAATCCCTTGAGGCGACCCGCAATTTGCTGAAAGAGGTTTGAACGTTCTCCCAACTCATTTTGTTGACCGCTCAATCACCCAACAGGAACGTGAGAAAGCATCCCAGTCAGCCACTTCTGCAGAGCAGCACGCCGACCTTATGGAGAAGATTAATCAACTGAATTTGCTTCGCGAAAGCAACACGACCCTGCGTTCCGAAGCTGAAGCCAATTCAGCCGCGGCTCACGATCTCCGAATCAAGCTTCAGAAGGCCCAATCTGAGGTGGAGCCACTTAAGGAGAGGGTCCGCGTCCTGGAAGCAGAACTCAAGGCTCGCGAAGATCACATTCATCGACTTGAAGAGGATAATAAACGACTCAAAGACCGCACCGAACAAATTCTTAGCAAGGTATTTCGGACTATTCTCGTCCTCATGGTTGTGCTTGACAATCGGGCCGCTGTAGCACCATCGTGTCGATCCAGCCGAGGTACAGTCATTGCGGGACGAGGTTGTTTCCCTGAAGACCGAACACGGCGAGCTCAAAGGGCAGATTGAGGCAAAAGATGCACAGGTAGGTATAACTTTTTGCGCGTACGTCAAGATGGTCCATGATGAAGTCCCCAGATTGAACGTCTAAAAGAGGCGCTTCAGACCGCAAAGGCTGCTCATAGCAAGCTCTTTAACGAAACTCGCGTCCGTTTTACTAGCCTCAACGACCAGAATGCACAGTTGACGTCTCAGTTGGAGTCCAGCAAGCAACTTGTAGTCTCGCTGGAAGCGGAGAAGACATCTCTGGAAGCCAGACTTGCGGAACAGAACACCTCTGGAGAAACACAAGCCAACACAGCATCGGAACTTTCTGCCACAGTTGTGAGCTAGTCATTGCAACCTGCATATCTCAAGTTGACCTCCTGATTCTCAAGGCTCTGCTCGAGGCAGAACGAGACGCGCTCCTCTCGGAGAAAAATGCCATGGCCGCACAAGGCACGTCGCCGGAGGTTAACGCGTTGAGGGCTCAATTTGAGAAGGAAATAGCCGATGCCAAGGAGACTCAACAGGTGAGTGATGTTGGTCCTGATGTCGCTCAAGTGACTGATTCAGGATGTGCAGCTCATGAATAATCGCAATGACATGATGAAACGCGACAACGTCAAGTTCAAAAATGAGATCGTAAGTCTCAAGTTGTTGATACGCATAACTTTCATGACACCCTTCTCCACAGAAAGCACTCGAATTGCAATTGTCAAGTTTGCGAAAGGCGCAGGAGGCCACTGTAGCCGAGGGGAATGTCGCCGGTGGGGAAAACACTGCATTGGATGTCCAAGAACTAGTTGCTCGACGGATCGCCGAAGCCACGGCAGCTCATGAACGCGACAAGTCGCAAGCCATTACAGCAGCTATCGAGGACTTCAAAAAGGACACGGTCCCGAGGAGTGAGCTCGAGGCTGAGGCGCAAAGGAGAGCAGCTGAGCTAAAGGCATTGGAAGAGCGAATGACCGCTTCTCACCAAGCTGAGGTTCAAACCGCTCGAGTCGCAGTTGCCTCTGATCAATCGATCTCTGAAGTTGAGGTGGAAACTAAGATCGCGGAAGCTCGTGGGAAGTGGGAGGCTGAAGAACTTGGCCAACTGAGGATCAAGATTGAAGGCGAGCTTGCGGCCCAGCACCTTGCGGATATTGAGGCGGCAAAAGTCAGTGTCACTCGGGAACTTGAAGCAAAGCAAAAGGCCAAAGATGCACAAATGAACCGCCTTCGCGCAGAGGTCGAGAAGTTGAAAAAGCAGATAGCAGATTTAACAAAACCCTCATCTTCCAACCTCCCTGCTTCAGCTTCAGCCGCATCGAAGCATTCACCTGCCACACCGACGGCTCCAGCACTACCTGTGAAATTGATACCGACTGCGCCTGCGAATAGTCCCACTACGCAGGGCGCCATCCGAGGCCAGGCTGCGGCCCGAGGTCGCGGCGTCGGCCGTGGTGCTGGACGGGGAGGCTCTCAAGTGCTTCAAAACGTGAATGCCACCATCGCGGCTGCTACCCCACAATCCACTTCACAACCCCCCACGTCGATCATTGGCGCTGCATCTGGTCCTCAAGCTGCGAAACGGCCGCGTGAATCCGAGACGCCAGAAGGGCCCCAGGGAGATGCGAAACGACCGCGAGGCGGTGCACCAGTGATCAACCGGAGTCGTCTGCCTGCCCAACCGAAACCTGCCACCCCCCAAGATCAACCTCCATCATGAGGATTCCTGCACAGCAGTTGGACATTCTTCCGGCATTGCATACTTTATCCCTTGTACTTTATTCACTGCATTTTCGACATTATTTACATGCACCTTCATATCCGCAGCCAGCTTTTCCCACTTCGTAGCGCGCGGTCCCGCAAATGTCTGAACCCCAAATGAATTCCGGCGTGCGAGAGGTTTTCTGTCACTGCCTTAGGTGGAGTCATTTGTCAGTTCCAAGGAAATAAATTTTTGTGGTCAAATAAAAAGAGAAGGAAGGTTACAAGGAGGCAAAAAACAAAAAGAGAGATCGGTTATCTTTGGCTATGATGAGTCATGTTCCTGCTGAGCTGAATACGGACTTAAGGCTTAACGCCGGCAGGCGCTTGTGGGGCATCTTCAAAGCGGCGCTTGAAAGTTGTGAGTCCGATTCAACACCCGCCATTGAGGTCACGAGTGGGCGCTAAAGCTCACCATGTATCCATCGCAGTGGCCGACTACATGCCAGGGGCGAATGATGCAGGGATCTCATACAGTCCTGAGCCAGACTCACCAACGACGTTCTCATTCTTGAATCCCATAGTTAGTAACACCACTCGCTCCGGAGCGGCATCGACAACTTCGGAAACCCATAATCAACCGACCACGGCCAACCAGCCGGGCTTCACGGGTGCGTGTGATTGATCTGCCCAGTATACGGGATTCTCGAAGTCTCACATACGACGACAACAGCTGAAAATCAAAGCGGCCACCAATCATCCACCCTACCCGTAGTCTACTATCCTTATCCGTACATATCATCCGGTTCACCATCAGATAAGCCAAAGCGCACGCAGGTCAAAAATGCGTGTACTAATTGCCAGAAGGCGTGCAAGAAATGTGACGAACAAAGGCCATGTGGTCGCTGCGTACGGTATGGTCTAACCGACTGCACGGATTCTGAGCGAAAAAAGAGGGTCACGGGCGCGAAGCGGGGACCTTATCGCAGGCGTGAACGTGTGGTGGCTCCGCCAGAACATGCAACTGGAGAGGCGGGACTTTCGGATTCTGCGACTACAGCCGCTGGCACAGGATCGTCTACCAGTATCGACACATCTCAACAAAACCATACTGCTGTCTTCCCATTTCCTATGTTTTTTTCCCCTGCTAATGGCACCCAGGCCGTCCAAGCCGGGCTTTTCGCTGTATATGGATACTCCACCAACGGCATTCCTCTTGGTCCAGATGGGCAACCGATACAATTTGGCACAACTTATCCGGTCCCAATCGGTTATATTCCAGCCACGATCTCTGTCCCCCCCAATCCTGCCACGCAAAGTGAACATGAAACCCCTAGCAGTTCCCAAGCAGCTACGCCTCAGGGCAACGGAAATGGGGAAGATTTGAACGAGCGGGAAACCTGCTCAACTGTGGACGTCTCAGATGCTAATGAAGGAACTCATGGGACAAATGGAGGAAACCAAACACCAAATGGAGAGGCTGTGGGATATGACGCACACACCTACACCCAAAGCTATCACACCCTTCCCAGCTGGCCGTCGGATACTCCGATCAGGACTCGTCGTTCAGTCCATCTTTCCCCATTACTTCCTTCGGTAGCTTATCGCCCTTAGCCAGTACACCGTCTTTTCACGCTTCACAACACAACACTCAACACACTCCAACCAATTCACCCTCGACGCGAAAACGTAAGATTGCTGAAGAGGTTTCTGCCGTCATTTACCACGATTCTTCACGAGAAGACCAGCCCCATCCAAGGAAAAAGGGGACCAAGGCTGATCCGGGGAGTTTCCAACTATCTGGCGATCTGAGAATGCCTCTGTCACGATCCGTGGCGTTACCACCTTCAGAATTGCCGTGATTCGCGTTGGCTGTTCCGGGATTTGGGAGGGGATAATGACGGGCGTCGCGTCATCGATTAATCTTATACTGATACTTAGTCCTATACTTATTACGCTTGGTCCGCATAATTACAAAGAGCATTTTCATTTTCATTGCAACATCATACCTCATGAGGAACTGAACACCTTGATCATGTTGCTAGTTGTTCGCTGAGCTGAACATGTTGATCAAAATCCGCACGTCCACCTACCGGCCTGGTGGATACAAATGCTGACATGGGCACGGGGTCGTGTCTGCTGAGACTGCAGTGTGACAGCAAGCGAGAGTCTCCAATATTTATACTGGTCGTGGGAATTACTTTCTCTTAACTGAATCCTTGCTGCTTGTTTTCGAGGTACTGTAAAACGGGAACCACCAATTAATTGGGGTCTGAGGCTGAGAGTGTGGGCAACTTGCCTCGGCTGATCAAGGACGTTCTTCATTATTGTGAGCTTTCCGGAAGAAGCGGCGGCAACCATTTGCTTCTCAATGGAGCTGCCAATCTTCGCAGTGAGTTTCTGTGAGTGAAAACCAAATGAGGGGGATGTGCAACGAGCAGGTGGGGATGCTTTAGCGATGTCCGCACCTTCTGTAAGGCATGTTGCTTGACAGCTGCTGCTGCCTTTGGAGCGACTACTCGACGGCCCTTTTTGGCATACTTCCCGTTGTCGGAACGCCCTCCTGAAGATTTTTTGTGGGCAAGCCTAGTTTTGCCTTGTGCCATTTGTTGGTAGTCACCTGACTGTCTCCCCCACCTGCCCAATAATAATATTGATCGTTGAACCAGCTGTGTGCATTCACCAAATAACAGTACTCCTCTAAGGGCCGGGAATGTACTATGAGGAACCTCGTTACTGAGTCTAGGCATGTCTGGTCCCTCCAGGATCTTTGTGGCGGGACACTATGCCACTCCTGCGTTGATGCGGATGAGGATTCGATCTACCTTTTATCTGAGTCTCCATCCCTTGGCAATTCAACTCCAAAAATTAGTTTCCAAGTATGGAAGATAGAGACTCAAGTGCGTCCTAACAGACCCGAAGGACATGGGCTAATTCTATTTTTCATCTCTATAATCCATTCCGTTACTGCTAAAGAGGAACTCGACCGCAGCTCCTCTTGCTTCATTCCAAGCAGCTAGGGCGGTGTCCAGAGCACCTCGCCAAGCCGCCTCATTTCATATTCTATCAGAAAGCAGACTGCTGTCCGTCGTTTTGTTTGGGGGAGATATCCTAACTATCAGCCTCGATGACGAACTTCCAGTAAGCCAATAATGCATCCCATCTCTTATTCGGTCATCTCTCAGGGTTTATGAAGTCCATTGATTTTGTTGGATCGGTGGAGTCTGGAATAAAGGCGGCTTGCTGGAGCTCCGATGAGACCTTCCTCATTCTCGTGAACGGTGATGGCACGCTTATACAGATGACCCGAGACTTCGACGTGATCTACGAGGCGCCCCTTCAGGCTAGTGATTTTGGGGAAGGTTTGCCTGTCATGTAGTTGATGCACCTGATCGATGTACTTATTGGTGTCACTTAGAGAAACAGAGCAACGTCGGATGGGGTTCAAAATCTACTCAATTCCATGGTTCACTTGGCAAGTCTGCTGCTTCTGCTGCTTCTATGGCGGTTGGATCAAGTCCCGACGATGATGCAATGCCCCGAATAACCTGGAGGGGTGATGCAACATACTTCGCTGTTTCGTCACTCGAGGGAGTACTGTCTACGCCCATCCGTCGAGTCATCAGGGTGTACTCCCCTTCTCCATCGTTATCTCTTATTTCCACGACTGAGCCGATCCCTGGGCTCGAACATCCCCTATCATGGAACCCCACCGGATCACTAATTGCATCAACACAGCGCTTCGGCTCGAATAATGCTGAGAGTGGCTTAGGTGCCGGTCGCGAAGGACGTCATGATGTAATCCTTTTCGAGCGCAACGGGCTGCGTCGGAATAGTTTCGAAATCGTTAGCAGCGGATTCCCTCCTACCGGCGAGATAAGTGAACCTATTACCGAGAAGGCACCTATCATGCAATGGAAGTACCGCGTTGTCGAATTATCATGGTCATCGGATTCCAGTGTTCTCGCGGTCTGGATATGCTCCGAAACCTCAGACGTTAGTGAGTGATTCTGACTCTCGGACTCACCCGTTAGCTCAGTACAATTCGAGTTCAATTGTGGACCATGGGCAATTATCACTGGTGGGTTCATGCATTCTCCCCAGTCAGTTTGGAAATGGACGTGATCTATTAGGTACTTGAAGCAGTCTGTACCTGCCCCAGGCGCAGCTGGACGCCTGACCAACATGTCGTGGCATCCTGAGAATGCATTAATCTTGGATTTAATATCATCAGGTAATTCTAGTTATCTTCAACAGCATGCATTTAACGGTTTGAAGACATTGTCGTCCGCCTAAAACTTGCTTGGGAAACCTGCGCATCCCGTCTGCCACCACCTGTGGAAACTGGGTCTGTTGCTGTGATCGATGGTGGTGAGCATCGGTGCAAACATGATGAGAATTTGAGCTCAGAAACTGTTTGACTCAGGGAATATTCTGATTACTCCATTCAGCACCCAGAACGTGCCCCCTCCCATGTCATCATACCGTATAGAAGTGACACATCCAGCAAAGCTCCCTTTCACCACCGCGCCTACGCATATCGCGTTATCTCACAGTGCCGACCTTCTTGCAGTTCTACATCACGATGGTGGTATTGGAGTATGGAACCTTCGTACAAATTTGACGCCACCCCACATGCATAAAGGCAACCGGAAAGATTACAATGTCGCAAATCCGATCCAACTTTGGGAACGGACCGGGACTGAAGATATACGAGGATCTTCGAGCTCGCGACAAATAGCTTTGTATCACCGGGAGACAGCAAGTGCGGTTGACGAAAGTTGGGGAGTAGCTGTCCTCTCCACTATTATGGATGGTATGTCATTGAAGGATGTTATTCATCTCTACCTCCCTGGTGGCCAAGCGACTACCATCGTCCTCCAAACTTTCGGAAGTGGGTGCTTGGTTGTAGCCCCAGTGGGAATATGGTTTGAAAATGTAGAGGGAGTTCTCCATGAAGGTGCGACTTCTAGTCCGTCTTTCAAACTTAGATTCCGCTCATAGACTGAACTCGATTAGTTGACGTTGAGAATGGGGTTCTCCTTTCTTCATCTAAACGGCTTGCATCTTTTGCATTTGGTGCTGTATCCTTCACACCAGGCGGAACTGAGGAGCCCATTTTTGTGGGTCTCTCGCAGACAGATGCCAAACTACTCTCTTCCTCCCCTGGTCTCCCTTCCATCGCGGAGCATGTTAGTTCATTCACTATAACTCCGTCACACATTGTATACATCGGGGCATCTCACGAAGCTCACTTTGTTCGCTTGTCCCTGTTATGCACCAACGGTTCAGGAGCCGAATCCGGTGCCCCTGATGGTTCTATTACCCCTAGGAGGGTGGAGAGGGGTTCCAGAATCGTGGTTGCGGTGTCTAGCTTAATGAACTTAGTGCTTCAGATGCCAAGGGGGAATCTGGAGACCATCTACCCACGAGCTTTTGTCATGGACGTTATTCGAGCCGACATTTCCAGGTAAGACGTGCTTAATCCCCACGCGTTGTAAACGCTGACAACACACGGACCTTTCATGCTAAGCCGGAGGTACCGGAAAGCCTTCCTCGCTTGCCGAAAGCACCGAGTAGACTTCAATGTCTTCGTATCCCACGACTCCCAGGCATTTGTATCAGACATTGGAGAGTTTGTCAAGCAAGTCCATGAGGTTGATCATTTGAACTTATTTCTAGCCAACATAGGGTGTGTTCCGTAGCTTTCGTTGTAGGATGTCATTTAACTAATACTCGCCCTAGTCGTGCTTCACCAGACACACCCAAGATTAATGACCTTTGTGATGCCATAAGGTCTTATCTTGAGGCGAAGGATTTGGTTGGATACATAAACTCTGTCCTCACTGCTTATGTTGTCAAGACCCCTCCAGAACTTGAATCTGCTCTTGGATCACTTGCTCGATTGAAAGGTTGGTTAGCTCAGATCACATTCCTAGGCCTCTCCTACTATAAATGCATCTAGCCCAGAACCCGGAGGTACTCGAAGAAGCGGTCAAATACCTGATATTCCTTGTAGATGCCAACACCTTGTTCGATACCGCTCTCGGCATGTATGACTTTCCTCTTACGTTATTAGTTGCCCAGCATTCCCAGCGTGTGAGTGTGCAACTAAGAAATCTACTTGATCTGTGATCTGACGAAACCCAGGATCCGCGAGAATACATCCCATTCCTCAGGGAGCTGAGGGGCCTTCCTTCCGCTTATCAAAGGTTTAGGATTGACGATCACTTGAAACGACACGCCAAGGCGCTTATCGGCCTTTGCGGCGCTGGTACGGATATTTAAAATCAAATGTGATGCGAATGACGACCCCTCTTTAGGATTGGAGAAGTTCGAAGAGGCATTGAGCTACATTGAACGTCACAAACTTTTCGACGATGCATTACGGGTGTGGAGCGGGCATCCTGACCATATTCGGGTGAGTGGTAATCTGATTGGGAATTCGAAAGCCTTATGGGTTTATTTGGCAGCGCATACATGAGATATATGGGGACCATCAGTTTGAAAGAAGAGAGTTCTCTCCAGCAGCGCTATGTCAGCGACACCACTTCCACTCCCTTCTGGTACTAAAACTTCTTAGCATTCACGCTTGCGGGACATTGGAAAAAGGCCATGGTGGCTCACGAACGTGCTCACGATTGGAAGGAAGCACTCTGTGCAGCTTTCCATGCCGGGCTTTCCCAGGGCGACACCAAGGATCTCCATGATCGTCTCATAGGTTCGCAGATCCTCAACAAACAAGTTTAAATTCTGACCGCTTCTCCGAAGATGACCTTCTGAGTCGGAAGAGGCATTGCGAGGCCGCTCGTGCGATGCTAGATTATTCTAAGGATATCGAGGGTGCAGTACTTGCACTTGTGCAAGGAAACGAAGTTTCCGAAGCTTACCGAGTCGTGCGTGTCTTTGGCTTTGCCTAATTAGCGAATGCTGATTTCAGACACACTAGGCATATCTACATGCCAAGCCTGAGCTTGTTACAACCATAATTCATCCCAATGTACTTGTGCTCCGAGAAGAGATTGGTGATGAGATTGACGAGGCCAGAGACCAACTAGCGAAGCAATCTTCTCGATTTGTCGAACTCCAGCGCAAGAAACTGGAAGAGCCAGGCCAGCTTCACCTGTGTGTTCGTCTTCTGAAAGACTGAACTTTCTGTGTCACAGATGCTTTCTACATGCTCGAGGACGCACAATCTCGGGATGTCGAAGTAATGACAGATGCTGGTGATTCAGTGGCCCCAACTACGTTCACTAGATACACTGCCGCACCCTCCGTAACGCCCCCCAAGTAGGTTCGCATGTGTAGTCTTCCGTTTGTCAATCTGAATCCCTTTCCCGGGAGGTCGAACCGTTCCACGAAGAAGGGGGAGCGAAAACGAGGAAAGAAGGGCACCGTGGATGAAGAAGCCTACATTCTGGCCTCCACGCTGAAACTCGTTTCAAGGCTTGACACATTCAGATGTGGGCGCCTTTCTCATTCAGCCGCGCAAATGATTAATGCTCACGCGTTGTAGCCGAATGTGTGAAGCTCCTGCCACATCTAGCCGTCATATCGGAAGAACATATGCGTGAGGCACGGGCGCTGCAGGCAACCTTGTTATCCTTCGAGAGAGGTTTGGAAGAGGCAATCACGTTCATGTGGCCCTCTCAAGCACCAATTTCTGAACACGCTATCTCACCTCTACCTAAGCCTTCGCTTACAGCGGGAACATGGTCGATAAAGTCATTGAATGTGAAATAAGCAGAATATCAAGATCACAGTAGCAGAACTAGCATCCAGATGCCATAAGTAGTCCAAATGCCTTCCAATCCGTTTCTTCCTTACTTCGTTTAGCGAACTCATTTAGATCAGTAAGATGTCTCATCGTTGGTCGACCGTGTGGACAGGACCAAGGCTGGTCCAACGTTCCCATGTGCCGCACAACCTGAGCCCAACCCATGTTAGCACCTGGACCACCAGCGTCAAAGATTTATCACCGTTGTCATCTGCCCACCCCTGAGGGGTTTTCCGATCATGATACTCTTGCGGCAAGCTCGACTTGCAAACATCATCCTGGTCTTTGAGCACCGTACCATCTGCCCTGGTGCTTTATCTTGCATCAGCGAGATCAGTTCCTCCAAATCTTTCGGTACATTTAGTTAATTGGAAGTACCGCTCAAATCGTGTGGGCCTACCTGTGAGATCAAAAACCGTGCCTTTACTCTGCGGCCGTGCAACGAGCTCCAACCGTTTACCAACTGGTACATCCTGGGATACTTTCACCTCAAAGCCATTTGCTCGGAGGATCTCTAAATTATCCATGGCTGTGATTTCGTCGGCCGCGGAAAGCTCTATGGGTCGGGGCCTAGAAATCGTAGGTTCAGTTCATTGAATTCTTGGGACTTGGGCCCCACCTTATCAGGCTTTGACATTGAATCTTGGTCGTTTGTTGCAATGTTTCGAAATTGTACTTCTCATCCGCAGCATGCTGGTCGACGATAAACAAATCGTCGTGTATCTGAGCTTCGCGCCGATCGAGCCGTGTGATGATGAAACCAAGATTGAATTGTCCTATCACTTGCATTCCGCTATCACCGAAATCCTCCTTCCCAATCACTCGGGAGAGAACTTCCTCGCACTCCTGGTTAGTCTTACTCAGCCCCGCAACTTTCAGGTCACGAGCGACGGCAAATTGGGGCCTAACAGTCGGGACGATCTGTTGGCTTAACAATCCCTTCCATCTTGAGGACACACGCCCTTGATTGAAACGCAGCGTAGAAGTCCGCCAAGAACCCTGCTCGGCTGTCTTAATGATTTCGATAACCGGCTGACAAGAATTCTCCGATTGTTCCAAAGTTGAAGTCGAGGGAATAAAGCACTTAGGTGGGCCAACATGACATGCAGAGGGCTCGCCATCCATTGCGGCCCCTACAGGCGGGACAGCTGGTTCTTGCAAAGAAATGCCTAAACTGGCTGACTTCGTGCGTTCGTCGGTGTTACCCTGCTTGTGGCTCAGCTGCGAAATGGAAGACCTGTCCACAGGTTTTTTATTCTGCGAGACTTCTGCCCGTATAACACCCTGTTCATCTTCTAATTCATCAACATCCATAGTGTTCATTTTGGACGACTGGAGGTCCGATTGGAATGATGACTTCGAGCCGGGAAGGGCGAAATCAGCCAACGTGCTAGACCCAGTTCGGCTCTGTCTTTGAATGGGTCGGAGTGATGTGTCCTTGTTCGATGACGAGGCGCCTCGCCATTGTGTGAGCGTGGTTTGAATCGCAGCGGATGGTCGAGACGAAGTGGTCGGAGGGCGTAATGAGGGAATAGTATACTCCCGTCTCTCCAATATGTCTGGAGAGGCCGAGCGCTTTCTTTTTCTCTGGTCGGGAGTATTTTCCGGTGAACCCAACGTGTCCTCGGATGTAGAAGGGGGACCACACGTTCCCTCCTTTAATCCGTTGTTGTCAAACCCCTCTCTACGTGAGTTAATTGAACCCTTAACACATGTGGAGACATTGTTACAACTCTGCGAACATGATTCCCACAATTCTTCAATTACAGGTCCCGATGTGGAGGCACCGACGTCACCGTCCTCGCCTCTCTGGTTTTCCGTGAACAGTGGTGTCGGTTCGCAGCGAGTTTTCGAGGAGTCCGGGAACGAGGGGGAGGGGGGTGGAGAGTCCAACTCACGGGCTGGTAGTGACTGTTGGCTGGCTTCTGTCCTCGAGGGAGATCCTTTCTCGTGTGTGGATGAATGAATCGTGAAAGCTGATCTTGATGGTGAGAATTGTTCCTCTAACGCGGCCTTCAGTGTGGGCAAGGTTCAGGATCCGAATATGATATCATTTCGTGAATCAGTACCTTAATCGACGTCAACAACGTGCTTTCACGATGGAGGAAGATGGTCCGTTTATCTGGCGAAACATTTACGTCGTACGAGTCTGGATAGCTAAGCGTTGAAAATGCGACAATTTAAAATATCAAGGATGACTTACTTGTTGGTAGCGAAATGTTAGCAAGCACAAACGGGTACTGGTTTATATTGAAGCTATGATAAACCTCATTGAAAACCTTCTGAACCTTTCCAACACGTCAGGAAGACGGACAAGCTGCAATTCAGGTCAGCGTCTCACTTTAGGCGAATTAGTGGGCCGGTTATTTATGTAGAAAAACTGTCTGTCCGAGGTGGCACGTCCAGAACCATGGGAGAACTTTGAGATCAACCCATTGACCGAAACCTCGATTCTAGCTTCGTGGGTCAGAATATCCGAGGGTATGGGTCCATAATCACTCACTCTTTGTTGTCAGTTTGTTTCAGAAGGCTCTTTTCGGGCTCTATGATGAAATTTAGGTTTACAGGCACAAGTTCAGTAAGGCATTTTGGCCCCCAGAGGCTGGACACGCCCGAGTTAAGGTCTGGGGAACCACTGGTTCGAAACTGGACCACTTTCTTTCTATATTCCTGGTATTTGTCTCGTGTTGGGGAGATGATCAAAGGATGAACCTTGCTCACCCTCCTTCGCTCTGGTTCGAGACAGACAGACGGATACCATCATTCTCTACCACGCATGGAAGCAGAGCGTACGAATGAAGCAGGTTAAGGGCTTTGGCGAACTCCCGTTTAACGTTCCTAGTGAGTTCCGCTCTTCGAACCGGAAGAGGTACAAAGAGCCCAGAAGCTGTTACTGTCGTTCCCCTCTAATCCTGTACGTATAGGCCTTGAACTCTGTAGGAAACGAGGGACATACCTGGCGAGCAATTTTTACTTCAGAACTTCTGAGTGTGCCATCACGTTCCAACTCCAGAGTGGTGCCTATTGGAGCTTCTGCGCTTGTGGCAGTGGTGATAACCACAGAGTCGCAAACTGCACACAGAGAGGATAGCGCCTCTCCCCGAAATCCGAAAGAACCAATGGTCGAGAGATCCTCATATCTAGAGAGTTTTGACGTGCAGTGCTTCAAACCTGGCAACGGGAATTTTTTTTTTCAAGTCGAACTGCGATCAGCCAGGAATTACCTAAAGCATTGTAGTCCTTCGGCGAAATACCCGTGCCATTGTCCACGACTTCAATAGACTTCACCCCATAATCCTTGAAGCGCACCTCTGCAGACGGTAAGACATGGAGGGATGCTGCGTGAAGTGATCCCCACCGATGGACGTTGCCCCAGCATCAATGGAATTTTCAACAATCTCCTTCACCGCAGATGGAAGGTCAACAATGACTTGACCTGATGCGATCCTATGGACAGATGCCTTATCTATGGGTTGGATACTACCCATGCACGTCTGGCGTACGAGATGTGACGCGTTGATGCATGTTTACACCGAGGATGCGTTCCGACCTTCCCCTACTCATAGCTACTGGATCTGAGTATTGATTAGTTCGCAATACGTGCCATAAGAATCATCCATCTACTCTGGCAAGTTTTACCCCTTGGCGGCATATCAATAGCTTCCGATCTTCCACTCGTCAGTCAGCACTGTCCATGAGTAAGACTAGTTACTACGCAGTCAAAGTTGGTAAGACACCTGGGGTCTATTTGACGTGGTATGTGGGGTTATCCCGGCTGCTCGATGGTCACTTCAGCTTCTCTGTGGCTATCAGGAAAGATTGTGAAGAACAGACCAAGGTCAGCCTAAACGTGTGCTGAGCTGACCCTCCGCTCAGTCATTCAGCAGGGGTGGCCGAACGCTCGCTATAAGAAATTCTCAACAAGAGATCAAGCAGATGATTTTATAGGAATATCGGGAGCAACAGACTCAGATTCGCTGTCTGCAATTGTATCCCCCTCTCCTGCTCCTCTCGGAATACCCAACCCAATCTTGACTGAACCTGAATCTGCACATGAAGAGGTTACGGAGAACAACGAGGTGGTCGAGGCACCTATAATGGAGACTCCAGGGACACCTGAATCCAGATGGACCACGGTTTATACTGACGGAGCCTGCAAAGGCAATGGTCAGGAAGGTTCTACCGCCGGCATTGGCGTATGGTGGGGTGCGGGGGACCCCCGGTGAGTAATTGTCAATGATTTTTTTCTGCCTTACATGAAGGGCTATCCAGCAATCTGAGTGAGAGATGTCCTGGAGCGCAGACCAACAATCGGGCAGAGCTTATAGTAAGCGATAAAGACGTTGTAATGCATAGCTTAACACCCCTTCAAGGCTCTCATTCGTGCACTAGAGACAACTCCTCTGGAACAGAAATTATTAGTCCGAACAGATTCAGAGTATTCGATAAAATGTATGGGATCGACTATTATTTTTGTGCTTGTGTATTACCTGATGTCCTCACGAGTTGGCAAGGTGTCACTGACTGGCTTCCTGGGTGGCGGAAGAAGGGATTCAGGAATGCGAAAGGAAATAAAATCGCCAACCTTGACATTATCCTTTATCTTGAAGCTTTGGTGGAACGCAAGCTGCCAGGGACAATTCGCTTCGAGTGGGTTGAGGGTCATTCCGGGAACGTGGGAAACGATGCAGCAGACCGTCTAGCTACAGAAGGTACTCTACTCCCATGGAGGCCAGAGAAAGAGGAAGAATGGGATGTGGCGAAACTGGAGCAGAAACAAATCCCCGTACCGGAAGCAGAAAAGACTGACGAAATGGAGGCAATAATGGAGGTTGGTTGCTTCGTTCATTATACCAACCTGTCACTTAAGCGTGTGGTGCTTCAAGTTTAGCGCTGAGGACCTATTGAGTGACGAGGAAATCAGGAACATGGTGCTGACAGATGATTTCTGATGCGATCTTGTCAGTGGCTTGGTTCTCTTTGTTTTCGAGCTTTTGTTTAAAGAAGTCGGGCCCTGGGACAGGCCAGATATCGTTTTTTTGCCGCTGCTTTGGATCGTCGACGCAAGTTGCACTGCTGTACTATCGAATGATGGCTCTGGAACATGTATTTGTGAGACAAAGGCCGTTTACATACAATCACATCCCAGTATCATACCGACATGATCAAGTCAAAGGTGAAAGGATCCGATTTTTGATTTGGTAGAAGCACCGCTGAGGTACGCACGCCGCAGGAATTACATGCAGGCTGCAATCCCGGCCTGGGCCTGGGCACTCTACCCACCATTAAATTCCCGCTGCTCCGTAGCGGATCCTACAAATCTTTGTGACGCGAAAACCTTATGGGCGTGCAAGAGGTCCTCTATCATTGCCAATACCTAGGTTTCCAATGCCTAGGTTACCGGCGAACTTTCCTGCCGAACTGTACCGCATATATAAATCCCAAGGAGATTGGGTATGTCTCATCCGTGGGTTTGCCGCTTTGCGACTGAGACTGGATTCATTTCGCCCGTCCATTGTGTTCCTAAGTTTTCCACAGACTTTCACGCGCCCGCGTGTGGAAGTATTTAATGTTCCGACAGATGCCCTCTTTGCGTGCTCTCTACATGATTCACTATGGATTCTGCCATCATTTTTCGTCTCGTTGCTCATGCACAAGCAGAGGACTTTTTGGGGTCCATGAATGCCCTGTCCTTGGCTTACCGAAGTGCTGCGTCCTCTAACGGCCAAAGTATTCGTGGGTCCTGGCACATCGCTTCTTACGCCTCTCCTTCCCTTGTTCCACAAGCATTGGCAAATTCTCAGCTATGGCCTTGCCTTTCCTCTTTCGAGGACGAATTTCCTTGGGCTCGGGGGCTGACATTGGTTGTCTGGGACCTCCGTCGGCGCACTTTCCGTGGCTCAGTGTTACCTGTCCAATTGAGTTGGAACGAGCGGATTTTTCTTCTCGGCGTAAGGAAATCACAATGTCTTGCGCGAATTTGGTATTTTTGGCGTCATTATGATGGCTGAAGTGGGGGCAAGTGGAAATCAACGTGCTGCCCCCTTTAATACGTGGCATGAGCAAGAGGTGCGGTCTTTCCTCTCCTCCCATTACACCTCCCCTCAGTTTCAGCCTCCCTCAGTAAACGCGACCAGATACAGCATGCATCTGCTCTGCACCCCGAAATGTGAAGGAATTATTCGCAATCCAGATCTGTACTCTAAACCGCATAAAAAAACGCTTCCGGTTTGGGACTCCACTGCGAAGGTTGGTAATTGTTTCCCGTCTGTTCTCAACCCCTTTCATCTTTGCGCTCGCAGAGGATGTCATTGAAATCCAAGAAAACGAATTTGGTTGGGCGTATCTGGACGATCAAAATTGTCCCTCATACCCTTCGTTAAATTGCCGTTGGCACGGTTCAGATGACATCTCAGCTGGCTCCACACCAAACAACAACAACACCCTTCTGTATTTTCTGAACCCCAATGGGAGCCAGAGGTCATTTCCGTTGTGTGCTGCCTTCACCTACTATGCAAAAGGAGTTTAAATTCCACGTTAACCTCCACGTGTTTGATGATGAAGGTCTAGATGTTCCCCGTGATGGAATTTAAGGAGTTGCTGTCGTCGGGACCGTCTCTTTTCATGTATCAGTTCCCACTTTCTGCATTTGCACTATGCCTGTCTTCAAAAGCTCACTTCCTATCAGCCTAGCACTCGAGCTCGAAATGCAGCAAGAGGTGAAAGTCGGTCCCTACAACTCCACCGGGCCACGGTTCGGATCGTTGGTCAGACGAACATGTTAGTTTGACCCCCAGTGGAGTTGGAATGACCGAATCTCACCTCTTGCTGTATTTCGGGCACGAGTGGCAATCAGCGAAAGCAGAAAGTGGGGATTAAATGAAGAGAGAAAGACAGCAACCTTCCTTAAACAGTTGTTCGATTCCATCACAGGGAACATCTAGACCTTCGTTGTCAAACGCGTGGAGGTCGATGTGCAATTTGAACTCTTTCTGTACGGTGGGTAAAGGCAGAAATGACCCTCTGAGTCCCATTGAGGTTCAGAAAATACAGAAGGAACCGTTGCTTGGCATGGAGCCACCTGCTGAGACGTCATCTGAGAATCGTGCGAAAGGCACTAACGAAGGGTATGAGTTCCAGTAGAGCAGTGAAAGATGAAGTACAAACCATGCCATGTACTTTAAATTTAATGGAGGCACGAGATTAAATATGACTTGTGTGCGCCGGCCTCAGCGCCTCAGTTTTCTTCTGGGTATCCGCCGTGCCCTTTGCTAGGTCAAGTCCTCGTCTGTACGCAATATTCATTGCTTTATGTCTTTAGACTGTTCATCCGCGATGTTCAGTTTTTCTTAGTTGTCTGGTATGCAATTGTGTCCATATTTCTGATTTCTGCTGCTTGATCGGTACGTAGGTTTATTTTCTTTCTCTTTACACGCGTCCGCTGTACGCTTCGGCCTCCGTGCCTTCTCTTCTGCGTCCGCGGTACGCTTTGGCTTCTCAGCCACCACCTCTTGCGTCCGCTGCACGCTGTTGCTCTACAGTCTTTGATCTCTCTTGCGTCCGCGCACGCTGGAGTTTATTTCCTTTTTCTATGACTCTGACGTATATTTCTAACTAATTCTCTTATTAGTTTTGGTTAGGGTGGTTGGTTGGCGTTGAATATTCGGTCTTGCATTGGATAAGGCAGTTAGCCTTGGTTACCCTTTGCGAGTTGGATCCCGGATGTTTACGGTGTCTTTCTCTTTTCGGCTCATGCCTTGTTTTTGTAACTTCACTTCTTCTCTTTTGTTGGCGCTTCTCTGCTGCTACTCTCACTTGTCTTCATCGTTACCCTCCACCTGCCCCATCGCCTCCTTTTTTGGGGGGGGGTTGTATCTACCGGCTCGCTTCAAATCAAGAGGCTTCGACTTCCTGTCGGGGCCGTCGCCACGCTATCCGTTACGCCTTCGCCCACGCACAAGACGTTCACTTTTTTGCCCTTCTTGACGGGGGAGGCCACGGCTTTCTAAAAACATGCCCTTCAGGGGATAGCATAATGCCGTGGAAAAATGGAATAGTGGGGCGCCAATCACAGGGTCCGTAAGCATAGCAAATTCAAGCTTCGCAGCTCCACACACGGCGTACACCAAGGAGGCGAGGGACGGAAGCGAGGCGGACGGAAGCGAGCGTGATATGAACCGAAAGGAAGATTTGAAGTTACAATAGGAGGCGGGGCGCGAAAGTTCGACGGCAAATAAGGAAGACCTGGGTGTTGGAATACAACTCATGGCGCTGTGCCTGATATATTATTACGAAGTCATAGAGGGCGGAGTCCTGCCTATTGTGCCTGCAGCATCCCACAACTTACCCAACACTGCCTCGCCGACGCGTCTGTGCATTTCTTGATCCGTAGCATACCTGATGTACTATAAAACTCGGCAGAATAATATCATAACAACAGGAGGAATGCACATGTTGGAAACCCAGGACATTGGCAATGACAAGACGACGGCTGTTGCACGGCCACAGGGCGGGAATGTATTCGGCCAACTCCGGCTCACAAGTTCACGTGACTATGTTCTCGGCCCAAACACAGCAAGACAATCACCGACATGGGGACGCTGAGGGACGCGCTCGTGGATGGGCTTAAAGGGCTGCCCGGACGTCGGGATCTACATATTTATACGCTCGTGTCCAATGCTATGCGCGATCAGGAGCTTTATTTCTATTCAAATAATAGACCTAAGGCCCATGTTCGCCACATACTGGTGCTTCTTGCGCAGCAAAGCATCGATGGGCCCGACACACATCGCGTATTCGTATGCGCTATTGAGGCTTTCTTATATTCACTGCCTTCTACGTCCTCCGCAATACTTTACGTGTCAAAGGTTGATTCTACAGGGCAAGGAACTGTGCGTCCCAACCCGACAAGCGCTTTGGTTCAGTCGTTTCTATCCTACTATGCATCTCCCGCGACGCGCCCTGCGCCAAATCTTTGGGTACAGTTATTTGCGCGCTCTCAAAACCAATACATATTCCCAAACTCTGCTGAACACTCGGGAAAACATGTGTTACGAGATATCAAGTTGTGTAAATGGTGGAAGGACGTAATCGAGAGGGTTGCACAAAAGAACGATCCCAATTGGGTCAGGCTGTATTATCTTCTTCCAGGGATGTCTTCCCTCGAAGCACTTTCTTCCCTCCATAAGTCTCCTCTTGGGGCGTCTACTTCCTACCCTTGGACATATTCGCACCCATATCATCAAACTGATGTAGTGCCTCCTTGCGGTGCTAGCTGGATGGAGATTGATTCCCCTCCGTCAATAGCCGAGCTCATACCCAGTTTCAATGATGACCCCAAAGCACGCTTTCTTGACGAAATTGCTTGCACACACTCAGAATCTACCGAGGCTGTCGTAATACCCAAAGGTTTCCCTTCTCTCCGTCCGTCGAAGCGTCTGAAGACAATTGAAGGCCAACAGAAAGAAGATAAGGCGAATTCTGGTTCTTCCAAGAATTCTGCGAACCCCGTCTCCCCAGCCTCCCAAAAAGCTTTAGCAGCCGTCCCCTTGGATGAGTTCTGGGAACGCATGGCGTTTCGTCAGGAGTGTAGTCAGGGTGCGGTCACCGGATTCTTCACAGCCATATTTTACACCGAACAATCCTGCAGAACTCCTTCGAGCATTTCCCATTACGAGCCTGCTCTTCCTCCGAGTCCTCCAGGCGAGGTATCTTTAGTAGTACTTGGACGTATTCTGGGTACTCTCAGTAACTTAGACTTCGGATCGACGGATCGGGCTGTTCGGGCCACAAACGTGCTAGAAGATGCCATTCGAGGGCTCCTTGACGCGGAGAAGACCTCACCGCCACAAACAGGGCCTGATACACAACTTTCTGCTTCACAATCTCCACAAGCTTCATCAATCTTCGACGAAATGGCAGAAACGCCTACGACAACTGCCAAAGAGACGTTGTTCGAGAAGTATATCTATGCAAAAATAGTTTTGGACAATCCCCCTGCCAGAGGTCAACCTGAAGCCGGACCACAGGGGCAACCGAAAGAATCACAACCTCCCGTTACGGTCCTCCAGGTACGAAAGAAGAAGAGGGCTGCAGGGACTGCATAGATGCCCAGTTTCTCTTGGGTGAAAACGAAGTAGACAGCTTCTCACAACACAGACCAGAATGTACAAAGTCCTGATTATCCGAATAATTTTCAGAAAGGGGCCTCACCGCTAGGGCGTGGTCTAGGCATCTTGTCTGGGAAGTAATACAAAGGAATTCCGCATGAAGCAAGTGCCGAAATCCCTAAAAAGGTTGCCTCTTGAATGTAGCGGCGATAGGGGATGGTGCTGATCACGAGGTGCAAAGGGAGCTGTGAGAATATGGATACACAAAGGAAGGATGAATCCGAGAATTTGGGAATTGCAAATGGGAAGCGAAAAATCACCAATAAATGCACAAATCCAATACCAAAACCAAATAAAATGTGGGGACAAAGGGTGAACGGGGTATAATAAACTCGCCGATGGGCAGACCATGAACCACGAAATTTGGCGGCATAAACACTAACAATGGGTAGAGAAATACTTAGAAAGTTGCACTTGCTCATACTTACTCGAAGAGAATCATTTTTGTACTGTGTGCCTGTCCGTTGGCGCAGGCGTTTTGTCACGATCATAGTCCATGAGAATGGTGGGTGATCGTCGTTTAGGTGTTTTTCCATCGTCATCGAGAAAGGGTATATCCAACGCCACTGGTGAGCTTTCGTTGTCGGCCGGCCCGTTCGCGAAACTCGACGGACCGTGCGTCGTTCACTGGCCTCCAATCTGAGTTCGAGCTCTCGAATGCGCCCTGTTAAGAAGTCGATCTCGTGTCTAGCTTCCTCTCGAACCGTTTGCAGTTTTTCCTCAATAATACGAGCTACGTCCTGCTCCCGAACGTAACCAGATCGATCATCAAGTGGAGAGGCACTAGCTTGGTGCTTTTGTTGGTCGTCGATCCAAGCGCGAATGCGTCTGGCATCCACCATAGAATCATAGACGCCCTCAAACAGGGACATAAAGGTGATTTTACTGATGAGATCGTCGGTTCCGGCAGCGCCCCCGCCATTGCGAGATGAGGACAAGGCAGTGTCTGGAAGGGGTGCTAGATGTCCATGTTGTCGCGGTCCCATCGAGAGTTGGGATGGTGGGCGAGCGAAAGTAGTGGCGGTTGCGGTGGAGTCAAGTGGAGTCGTTTGTTGTCCATGAGACTGGGAGAACGGATGACGCCTTTCGAGTTGGACAAACGAAGGTGAACGGTCAGAGGCTGGGAGGTGCTCCGAAGACGCTTGGGAATGGAAGCTTGATGTCCTCGACGGCGGGACAGGCCGTGGCCCATGGCTTTGTTGTTGCATGCCACTTGCATCATCATAACTGGCATTTTGGGGCCGAGGGACATGTAGGTGTGCATCCGATTGGCGATGAAAGTGTGGCGAACTCAACGTTGGGCGCCTCTGCGTTCCGGCAGACACACTGCTGCGCTCAGTAGGGCTTGAGTGTGAACTGAAACCCACACCTGACGAAGCTCCAGGGGGTTGGTAGGCCTCGACATCGCGGAACTGCAGGTGATTTGGTGTCGAGGTCGGGGGCGCACTGCGAAGCGAAGTATTTTCGCGGCTCAGAGCCTCGGTGCTTTGGGACCAAGCGATGTGGGGGCCACTCTTTTCCATAGATGGCCATTGACCCGTGTCTGTCCTTAACGTCAGTTTCGGATTTGAACGGCCCTTTCGAGAAGGTGGTTGCTGTTCGGAGTGGATTGTGCCCCCAGCAGCCTCTTCGCTCCGGGAAGGGTTTCCGTTGTCTCCCTCTGGGCGACGTCGCATGAATAATGGAGTTGAATCAGTCTCCAGTTCCATCTCCACATCTAACGCAGCCTCCATGGTTGAGGGCGATATAATCGGAGTGCTTGAGGTCGGATGCCTGCGTTCATGTTCCATATTACATGCAGAACCAGGAGAAGAGGCTCGTGAGTTAGTGTCAAGGTTGGTGGTGAAGGAGGTGAAGGAGGCGGTAGTTCCCGCGAAGTCTGAAGACCCTAGAGGTGAGACAGGGCTTGCGGCAGTTCCGCTTACTTGGCTCTCACTGCGCTTCGGAGGGCGTCCCCGTTTAGCTTTGCTGGTAGATGCCGTACCGACGATTGAAGGCTCAGGCGTCGCCCCCACACTTTGGCTAAACCGGCGAGCCTCAATGAGGGCCTTTTGTTGGTGCTTCAACGAAAGAGCGTTTCGGAGTTGGTTCACGGCCTCAGGCGTTTTCGGAACACTAAATCCAATAACGGCAGGAGAGATAGGACTCACAGCTGCGGACATTTGACCATACATGCTTCGCGTGGAGGAGGGAATGGAGGCACCGCTAACAGTGACTCGCCTCTTCTTTGGGATTCCAGAAGTCGCTGTAGAGGACGATAGTACAGACAAATTGAGAGGGTTTAAGTTGGCATTGAAGGGAGCTGTTTCCCCACTGCTCTCGGAGGGGACCCGCAACGGAGATGGGACATCGTAGGGCGTCAAAGAAGTTGAAGTTGTGGAGGTGGACATGCGTCGTAGAGACGCTCCGGACGGAGAAGAGGAGTGGCGAGAGCGATAAGATTGACCAGAGACTACAGAAAAGTCCGCAGCTCGGCCCGTAGGGTCATCTCGGTCTTCTACTTTTACACGTATGATGGCACGGTGGGTCCTGAAAAAGAGTTAAAACTTGAGGTTAGCGGTAAAAATGGAACTGTAAACAACATGCGGCATTACTTTCGTCTTTCGTCTTCATCATCTTCTGCATCAGCGAGATCTTGCTCGTCGACGTTCGCAAGCGGTGCTCGAGACTTCGGCGCGCGAGGTTTTGATCGGTCCTTGTGGCGGTCGACTTCAGCTGTCACCTCCCACCCGCCTTGGGACTGCAATGGTATTTCTTGGCGCACTCCCTCATCAGCTGAAGACTCGTGCCGGATAGCCATCTCATGCGATCGTTTGCGACCTACTTGAGTCGGTGACGTTGCACGCGTAGCAGGAACGCTTTGCGAATATTGCCTATTTTCGCCGGAAGAATGCACTCCAGGGAGTCCAGAGGAAGGCAAGGCCCCAGCAGCGCGCAGAGGGGGGAGTACAAAAGTACCACGCCCAGGTTCTTGGACGGAACCATTGAAAGCGCTTAAAGAAGCGCTTGAGTGTGAGTGGTCTCGCTCAGTGCGTCGTGGAGTTGAAAAAGATTGTCCACGCGTGCGCGAACGGTCGGGAAAAGTTTGAGAAAAAGAAGGAAGGACTGGGGGGAACGGATGATGGTATGAACCAGACATTTATGCGGTCGAGTGCCGCAACAAGGGCAACTCGAGTACTTTGCGGGGTCGGGCTCAGAACAAACTTACAGAGTGAGAGTCGAATATGGGGTATATCATTAAGGAGGGACCAGAGCAAGGTGAAACGGAACCCGTCGATGCCGCGGTAGAGAACGAAAAGGATGGGATGATGGACCCTTGATACGAGATATACAAAAAAAGCAAGTACCCGTGGCAGAAAATCGAAGTCAAGATGGGAAACGCAAGAAACAAACAGACAGGAATGGGAAAAGGTGCGGAAATATAGGCATAAGTTTGTCCATCATCTCTTAGCTTTTTTAGACTGTGAGCCCTTCTTATCCTCGTTCTGCGGCGATGGGGTGCGAGTGTCAGTGACATCGGATACAAATTCACCATCAAGGGTCATGTCTGCAGCCCAGATGCTCACCTTGCGCTTCGTTCCCTTACCCTTATCGCTCCCCTTGGTATCTTTGGATGGAGATTTGGCTGGAACCTTGGCGAAGAATCCATCCAATCGACCCTGTTGTTTCGCAGACAGCATCTTCGTGAGCTTCTCGGCACCTTTACGAACGCGGTCCTCGCTGCCAGGAGCATCGTGAAAAATTAGCACGTTGAAACGACTGTCGGATAATCACTGGGTGAAACGCACTTGAAGCCTTTGTCCCGAACGAGAAAATCGACGAGACCCTCAACATCAGGTGGTGCCCAGTTGAGCTAAATGACGAAATGGGAATAATTGAGCCGGCTCAAAGGGGCGAACCAGAACACGGAAGAAGGAACGGAACGTACCTCAATCTCACTAGCCGGGGTCACATCCGGTTTCTCGAACAGTTTCTTTGCCTCTTCCCACAGCCATTCATCCGGTACATGTATGCCCCCAGTCCCTTTTTTGACGCCCTTCCGAGATTTCTTCTTTTTCTTCTCTCCGTCACTCCCTACCCTTTCGTCACCCTCACCCTGACTCTCCGCGTTCTCATCGGCGGAGTCTTCCTCCACTTCCTCCTCCGCTTTTGCAAGCGCTTTTGCGTTTTGTCGCTCCTTCTCAGCCTGCTTCTCCCGTAAATGAACGATCACCTGCTCCAGTGATCCATACTCCTTCATCAGTTTCAGGGCCGACTTGGGACCGATTCCTTTGATTGGTTCAAGATAGTCACAACCCAGTAGTATGCAGAGCTCGATAAACTGCGGGATCATTCAAATGCCAAAGGCCCCAATGAAACGAAGGTGAAACAGGGACTTTGGACACGCGTACCTGGGACATGTTCATTTCAAGACCCTCGAGTGCCTTATCTAGCCTTATCTCGCTGATGGGCATCCTCTTTGCTTCGCTAAAAGTCAAGTGACGAAGTAACACAGGGGAGTTGAACGTTAACGTATCCATATCCTCCGATCCTGCAGCAAAGACCTCACAGAAAAGATCAGCCAGTTCAGCTTCTAGCCAGATAATGAACAAAAATTGCTTGCATACTTTGTTACCCCTGCATAATTCAGCGCACTGTGCCTCAGCTTCAGATGGTGCCTAAAACAGGGTCATTTCAGTGACGTTTCATTGTCGTAAGATATAGAATAAATTTGAGCGCGTACGATGAAGCATGGTATCCCCATCAAACCAAGAAGTTTTTGGCATTCTGCGTTATGCTCCTTTGTGACACGAACTTGTCGTCGAGACAGCTTTTCGACATCTTCAGCCGTGCCAACTTCTTTAGCTTCCTCGCCCTCTTCTTTCGCCTCAGCTCGCTTGGCAAATCGTTCCTTTAACTGTTTGCAGCGATCGAAAAGGTCACACATCGCCTCGTGAATTCAGAACTTGGCCGAGGTTCACTACATACCACGCCTGCTTTTAGATCCGGGGGCTTTCCATCAAACACATACATGGGTTTGATTCCTTGCTCAACCATCCGGATCGTCCGGTAGAAGAACCCCATGAGATGGCTGAGAAAACGCGTGAGCTGCCTGACGCGCGCGCAGATCTGTGGCTTCTACCTAGTAGTTTCGCCCGCGTCATTCGTGAGCATCTCTCCATCCCTTTGCCTTACTGCAATTAAGAACTGGTAAATGCTCATCGACGCGTCGATGGCGACTTTTCGCCCAAAAAGATGTTTGATGTCGTGTTCCTAGAGGTTTTCCTGATGTTTAGCCACGCGACGTTTGCAGGGCATGGGCCCTAAACACACTGTTATAGCCTTTGGCGCGTGTTCCGCCAGTAATGCTGTGAGTCCTTTGATACCCATTGACAAGTTGAGGAAATGTTCGATGATGAAGTCACGGTGATTTTCAGCGAGAAGTCACGCGATTCTCAGCAGACCCAAGACCCTTGCTGTTCACACGCCGAAACCAGCGATCCAGAATGCAAAAACCCATGGAACATTCTGGCACGTATTTGAGCTTTCGGCAAGGCAGCACTTGCGTGCAAGCGATCCCGATTCCAGCAGCATGCGCCGCGTCATAAAGACTACGACATATGGGAGTTGGTGTGTGCCGATAGGCACATGTAGAGCATCTCCCATCAGCTGCTAGACTTTTTCAGCTCTATTCGGCACGTACTTCCGCTATAGTTTCCACTTCAGCTCGACGCACTTACGTGAAGACACCGTTTCCATTCTCCAGCAAGTTTTTGGGGTTGTGAATCTCGGCGATGCACTTTTCAGCCCTTCCGGTCTAGGCAATCATGAGATCACATTGATTATACTATACTCACAGGTTTTTTTTTAGTGAGGGATAAACCATAAGGAACGGCTATCCAAGAAACACCGAATTGAGTTGGTGTGGCGACACTGATGCTAACCGCAAGCAAATTGCAATTTTTGGGGCACTCAAGGCTAATCCGCGTCTAATAAATGAAGGCGCCGCTAGGACACGTGACATGGCTTTTGAAATTTGCCCACTTCGTATCGTTCAGTTCTAACTTTGGCTGTCTTCTACTGGACAACAAATTAGATCGGACCTAGCTGTAGTAGTTGCCCCACTCACGTGCCATTGCTTGTGGAGTGCCGGTTTCTAGTGTGGGAATTCAGCGGAACTTCCCATCCTTTGTTGGCCCGTGGTCTGGGACACAGTACACCACCCGATACCCGACTGTTCAGCACAACCGACACGACTGGCCATTCTCCTTTCTAGCCAAGATCTTCCTTGGAATGCGTTCGCCGATCGAGTTTGGGGCAAGGGACAACTGAAGAAGTGGTTCTGGCAGTCAGGAGTCAGCGCCGAAATGACTCACCTATTCAATTCAGCCTGAGTCGTGGCGGCTGTCATAGATAACATGCACACCGTATTCTAGTTAATTTAAGGCCTTCGATCGGATGTTGATCCCTAAAGGACGGAACCGCCCCGGATTTGCATTGACTTCGGTGAACTGGACCGTAGCCATGCTGGCGTTCTCCTCCTAATCAGATATCAATGCTTCTGATGGTTGCTAATGTGGATCCGTGGTGCGAACCACTCATGATGGTCATTACTGGTAGGCATCGACAATCTCTGGACAATGATACCGTACGTTGTCCTGGATCCTCGATCCAACTGGCGAGGATGGCGCAGCTCCGCGCGAGATCAAAACGTAATCCCTGTCGTATCTAGCGCTAGAAGAGTCAGTTGCATAATATGCAGTCCCTGCTCCAGGGTCCACCATCGGATGAGCATACTTCCACCAACCGGAAACAGTTATTGGGCGTGGAATCACACAGCTGGTGACCAAAATCAAGCGCATCCGGCCCCAGAGGTTAAGCGGTTTATATCTCATCGGGCGCGTTGATGGTAATAGTCCTTAACTATCATATTCCACCCCAGCCTCGTCCGTCCTATGAAACAAAGCGTCAGCTGCACCCTAACTCTGTCAACAGAGCAACCTCATCACCTCGATTTGGTAGCCAGTATTAATATGAGGCAACAGGCCAGATGTCGTGCTGTGGGAATTTATCGGCCATCGCAATGTCCATTGGTTGGTGTCAGAATGGACTACCACACGAATTCCCCGAATCTGCCCTCTCTCGAAGAAGGGATCAGGACTGGTGGAGGAAAGCAGCTGGACGAAACCTGTATCTTGCCACGTCGTCGGGTCAGCCCAAGAAGTTGTTATTGACACCACCATGCAAAGGCTTAGGTCCGTACCAGATGTCTGCTTCGAGACGCAGATCCCCTTCTTCACCAGCACCGAGGTCCCAACACCTTTCCGAAACAACGATGCGTCTGCATGACCACCCGGCGTCCCAACGCTTGTTTGCGTCCCGAATGGAAATAGAAAACACTGCAAAATTAGGAGTGCTTATGGGATCGTGACGTTCCGCACATTCAGGTGGAAAAATAGGCGAGATACACCAGCCTCCATGGGGTTGGCTGGCACCACGGAGTATATGTGGTGCTCAGGCTCACCAACCGCGGTATGGGTGCTCCGGTCGGATGCAACACAGGCGGTGTGTTTAAAGCTGAAACATTCGAACCGTCGCGCCAAACCCGTCTGGGGATCATCTGTTACACCCGGAGGCGGCAGCGCCTGATAGGGACCATTCGCGCTTTCTATCTCCCCGAACACTGGGACTGCACATCAATGCGACCATTGCGACTATCTTCGAGGTTTTTCCTTTGCGGGAGAATGCATATCCGGCGGAGCTAGGCGCAATGTATCACCATGGAGTTCTAATGCTAAGAGATTCCAGGTCTATCAATGGCAAAATAACTGATCTTTAGACGCTTGAGATGCGGTATGGACGCCGATCATGGGCTCCTGTGAAAGGACCATCCTCGCGGTGGAACGCCCTCTGAATGCCAGAAACAGCGATCGCTCGATCGTCGGGCAGGTTCATGCAATTGGACTAGTACTAGTAAATGATGGAAATAGCGAAATCGGCAACTCGGAGAAAGACGTCAAGTGTATCGTATACTATCAGTATGGCATCGCGGTTCGTGGATGACGTAAAGGAGGAGAGTATCCACAAAGGATTTGTTAATGCAGTTCATCAATTGCTCCTCCGATCCCCCTTGCAACAGAACCCGTTCCGGAGCAGGAGGATAGCAACTAAGAGTAGACCTGAGGATATTATGTACGTACTAAGCAGAGTGAATTACTAATTTAAAAAAAAACATGTTGGAGTTGATCGACATTTGAACATGGATATCAGGCACATGCATCGAAGCGAAGAAGAAATTCAGGCTGCGGGTCTCTGCGAGTGGTTTCGAATTGACAGGCATCCAAGTCCGAAGAGTCTTTAGGGATTGCACGTTTTGAGTATGTATGACGGCCCATTAATGGGAACAAATTCCGTTGAAGCAAGAATCGACTGAGCGACTCGAACGATAGTTGCCATTAATTAGGGTCACATCAACCTCTATCAGCAAACTCTCACTCCAACAGGTTGATAAGCTTCGTGACCAACTGCCAGTGATGAGTTGCTGTGAGACGAACACCGTTCCTTCCGCCAGGGCTGTATGTATTCACTGTCTGGCTTCTATGAATTAGGCCTGATGGAAGCACGTAGGCAGGATCCCAGCGTCTACTAAAGTAGAGGAAGCACGCGGGGAATGGAAGAAGTAAACATTGCCTCAGGAATACAATGTGTCTTCATGAAATGTATCTCTGGTAGCAGGCGAGTGGGCTGATGGGGGCGATATCGTGGGTTGGTTGTCTAGCTATGTGTCTATCGGCGTTGGAGGTCATGACCAAGAGTTGAGAGAACTGAATGGTAATTTCCAACTTGGGAAATGATCGCATCATGTGCCTTTCCGTTCCTGAAATCGCCAGTTGATTCAAATTGGTCCGGGACTAACTTTTGACTCTCCTCCAGCCTCAATTTGGGACATTGGTGAATATATATGTATATTTGACTTTGAGACCTCGACATCAACGTCCTCACCACCCTCACCCCCCTTCACCTGGCGATAGTCCCTCCACAAGAACGAAGCCGATTTCTCGCAACAAAGTTGCCGAAAGCCCGCACCAAGTCGTCATCAGTCTCGGTCATATCCGACCACAAGACCTGAACTGTTCTTGGATGCATTTTCCTTTGCACGTCTGCCAAGCTTGAATTTCGACTTCCTTCTCCTTCCCCCCGATGACGCTCGCTAAAGACTTCCACCCCGTAAGCTTCGTCGGTGGCTGGATTGGCATTGCTCTCACTTCTTCTACAGATCGACGCTCACCCTTTTCATGTCGGATACAGTGTCTTGGCTGCGTTCATCGTCGTGGTACGTTCTCGCAGTTCTTCGCCTTTTATCTTCTCACTTCTCGCATCCTTTTGCTCCGCAGTTTGGGATGTTCTCTCTTTTTTCCAAGGAGAAGGTACTGTCTTCATTTTCTCCTCGTATGGACTGCTGCTCATCGCCTGGCGCTTAATTCTTTGGATAGTTATATGTTGGTGAAGCAGTTTGGGCAACGATTTTTGGCATTCTGATAGGCCCTCATTGCGCGGGGATCTTCAACCCTCGGGATTGGAGTAGCGGATCACTCGACGGTGCCAATACAATAACCATCGAGGTCACTCGGATCGTTCTTGCGGTGTGAGTTAATCGCAGCCAAATTTGCAAAGATTCATCACTGATGGTGCACTCCCTTTTTGTTTTTGTAGCGGTGTGTTCGCGGTTGGCGTCGAGCTCCCCAAAGCTTATGTTGGCCGTCACTGGAAATCTCTCACATTCCTCCTTGTTCCAGTCATGACATTTGGTTGGTTTGTTTGTGGCGCCCTCATTTACGCCCTCATCCCAAAGCTCGATTTCCTCAGCAGCCTCGTCATAGCCGCATGCCTTACGCCCACAGATCCCATCCTTGCGGCTGCAGTTGTTGGTGGTCGCTACGCTGAAAAACACGTGCCGACGCATTTGAGACACCTTCTGGCTGCTGAAGCTGGCGTCAATGACGGAGCGGCGTTCCCAATGCTTTTCATTGCATTGTACCTGATTTTCGATCGCTCAGATGCAGTTGCAGTGGGTCACTGGCTCTATATCACGTGGGCTTACGAGATCTTTCTTGGCACGATCTTGGGTGCTCTGCTCGGTTACTCGGCGCGCCATCTCATGAAGTTTTGCGAAAAGCATGACCTGATTGACCGCCAATCATACGTTGCGCAGTATATTTCCCTCGCCTTACTCAGTAACGGTATCACATCAATTCTGGGATCCGATGATCTTCTCGCTTCATTTGCGTGCGGAACTGCCTTTGCCTACGATGGATGGTTTAATAGGAAGACCGAGGAGAGCATGTTCTCTAACGTTATTGACTTGCTTTTTAATTGTGCATGCTTTGTTTACATTGGTGCTTGGATACCTTTTTCCGACTTCAATTACCCGGAAGTCGGCATCACACCTGGGCGTCTCGTTATCATCTCCGTTTTGGTATTACTCTTACGACGGCTTCCCATTGTGGTTGCCCTCTACAAATGGATCCCAGACATTAGGACATTTCGAGAAGCCGTCTTTAGCGGCTATTTTGGCCCCATGGGCGTTGGTGCTATCTTCATATCCACACTTGCTGTCGAGGAGATGCCCGCCTTTCGGCCCGAGCCAGGACACCCTCCAGAGACACAGCTGGAATTGCTATCAGTCTCTATACAACCCATCGTCTCCTTCATAGTCCTTTGTTCAATTGCAGTTCGTAAGTAACATAGTTGATGCGCATAGATTATTCACTTACCGGTAGTTACTCTAGATGGCCTATCGATACCATTTTTCTCTCTTGGTCGTAGGGTGCACTCCATTTCCCGCACATGGTCTCGGCACACCAGTATGGATCCATCGGGTCAACCAGAATGGACCACGCAAGCACGTCGCATCACGCGCCCAGGAGACATTGTTATCAACCACGATCCTGAAGACGTCCAGAGGATGGAACGTGGTGAATTGACAACGGTTTTCGGAAGCGGGATGTCCAGCGACATTGTTGATGAGAAGAAAGGAAACTTTAGTGACGACGTCGTCGCAGCAGGGGAGAGTTTGGGTCAGGAGCTTGGGGACAGTGTGCAAGAGGACCGAAAAACTCCCCCAGGCGATGCGTCAGCTTCAGATGGCGAGCGACAGAGGGACGAAGTAACTGAGTGGCGAGAAGGAAAAGATCTCATTATCGAGAGGGCGGTTGGGGATGGAGAAGAGGTACGCTGTCGCCAATAATTTTCTATTAATGAGCTCCACTGGAACCGTCAATCAGGTCGAGGTGGAAGTGGTCAAAAATGCTTTTGACAATGAAAAGGGGGCCGTCTCACATATCCTCCGAGGTGTCAAAGAGAACGTCCGGCACCACGTTCAAAATGAATTGGGAAAAGTCATCAGCGTGGAGGATGGCCTCCTTGGGCATGAGCCTCTTAAACACCAGGAGCGGAACAACGTGCAATCATCGAGTGATGAATCGCCCTCATCAAGGATCGGCGTTGAAATCCCTCAGGACCGGACTCCCGTTGAGGGTTCTCGGGAGTATGGGGATGGCGAGGACTTCTCCCCAGCATCATCGAGCCCACTCGCCAGTCGCATGAATGCAGGGATGACTGAAACTTGTGACCAAGAGCGCACTCCACCTTCTGGGGATTCCCCTTCTGGTTCAACGCCAGCACGATCAGGGGCTTCATCCCCTACTGGGTCCCCCCGGCGGCCACCTGTTATCAGACCCAGTGTGATGAACTCACGCCGAACGTCCTTCCGGCGTCGTTTGTTCGCCCGACCAAAACACTTACACATTAAGTCCCCGGGACGCTTGTCTTCGGATGATGATGAGATGGTAGAAGCATCTGGAGAGGAGGAAAGTGAGCGGGACGAACGTGAGGACTCTTCGCGAGAGACGGAGAGTGCACCAGACAGCCCAGTGGCCAATGTGGTCGCACCGGGTGTTCGGATGCTTGCGGAGGAAGGCCGTACTTTCACATCTTCGACGGGCATACCGATGGAGCGGTCATTGTCAGTGAATTCAGTGTCCAGCGCAACCCCCCAAACACCGGGGGAAAGCAGTGGCACGTCAACTCTAAACCCTATCATCTTGCGACAACGTCTAACTCATCTGGACGAATATCGATCGGGTCATAGACGGAGCGAGTCTCCAAGTTCAAGGGCAATTCGGTTCGTCGATGATGAATTCCAGCGGGCGCACCAACATCGTTCGGCTCGTGGCTACTCATCACCTCGGGGAAGTCGTCGTGCTCCAAATGCTATCGACTTAGGGGCGAAGGAGTGGTTCTGCCACGCCTGGCACCTATCGATTTCCTCACATGCAGTCTCGGTCCCCCTCGCGTGAACATCACAATCATCCGTCTTCGCATTCGTAGATCAGTTTAATTGCTGTGTATTTCCTTCTCACTTGCAGTTCCCGCCGTCCCCGGACTGTACTCTCACCAACTTCACGGCATGGCATCCCGTATCACACTGGATGTTGTGTCCATGCTGAGTCTTTTTTTCATTCTTGTGCTCTGTCTCATGCCAAACTTGTTAGATTAATAATGTGTACGCAGGGTGACCACATGCTTGCTTTCAATGATCGTTTTCGGGTTATAGAGTTCGTACAGAGCTAATACGTTGGCTATGCTTGGTAGCGGTGACTGTAAATATTCTCTAAGCCTGCCACATGATTATGTATTCCTAATCCCTCGGCTTCGTCTGGGACCGTAGTTAGCATTTAGGAATAGTGTATTCACTGTGGAAGCCATAATAGAAGACACATGCACAAGCCTTGCGTGATAAGGACCGCACCTGTTTTGCTACTATCATCAAGATGCAGCAGCTGAGACGCGATAGCCACGCCGTCATACTTCGAACAATGAACAGCAGCAATGCTTGAGACTTGTGTTCATATGAAGCCGCTACAGCTGAAACGGTAGGCTACCTGGCGCGAAACTCAGTGAAGATGTGTATGATCAAGTCGTTGCTGAATTGGTGAAAAACACATGAATGTGTCGTGTTCGAAGAATATTAGAGACAGGTCTGCAGCTCGCCGGTCCCCACCAATGGGTTTTCTGGGCACGGCTCCTGCAATGGGAGGATCATTGCGTCTAGCGGCGATGGGCAGGTGTTTTGCACCGTTTCCTCCTGGGTCGGGTGAGCTACGCTGAACTTTCTCTGTGCTTCTGGTTTATGGCAGTGTGAACTAGGGGAGATATTGTAGTGTAACTCTGGCGGACGAGGGTCGCCCCAGAAAACACAGATCACCCACATGAACCTCGAAAGGCCTTTGGGGCAGAATTGTTTTGGCGAGCCTCTGGAGAAAATATGGTTGGGAGGGCCTTGGCTTGGTGATGGTTTAGGACGCTAGGTTACGTCCACACCAGCGATGTCTGGTACATTGCCCTTGAAGACTTGGGTTAGGTCCCACGTTGCCACTTAGAGGATTAGGGGTTTTCTGATTGCGACTCAGGAAATGCGTAAGGGATAGGATGAATTGGGAATGATTGGTCGAGCGTGCGAGGCGTTTGTATGACTATTAAAGGCTGAGTGAGGTTCATGGCAAGCATGATAGGTATGTTTGAGGCACGATGGCATCTCTCCACATTTTCTAGTATATTTGGGTTCTCTCGGTAGGGACAGTAACAAGGCCCAATGTTCAAAAAGAAGCCAGAGTGGCCTGGAGGAGCGATCGGCGTGAGATGGCTGAAGCTGCCCGAATGTTCTTGGGCAGGTGATAGTATATTCTGAGGTTGTTGACTGCAGCAGCTCACATAGTCGGCGAAATGACGCAATACCAAATCAGGATCCGAGAAGCTGCCTTTCCATGATGAGAGCATGTACATCCAACAAGTTCATGTTGTCAGATCAGAATAAAGCTTCAAGGGTTTGGCGAATTTGTAACGTGTATCCATTTGGCCCTCCTGGCGATGCCCCAAGGCTCGGTTCTGCGGTATTTGGGACGGCTCCATTCATTGATCGTCGATTCCCTTCGCCGACCTGTTCCTGCATTGATCATGCGTGGCATTCAAGTTTTATTCATTCGTCGGCGCCGATTCATTCACTTCTTAAAGTTCTGTTTCGTGCATTTCATAGATAAAAAGCAAAAGTCGGTTTCTCTTTGTTTCACCAAGGACGACGTTCGCGCCGTAGCGGAGTTGGCCGAATTTCATTGACCCCATCAATTTGAAGAGTCGATACGCTGACAATGAGCACCCCTAACCGAGGCAGGCCTTTTACGGATGTGTCGCGAAGGGCCCCTCTAGATACAGGGAGGCTGCGGTCTGCCCGACCACCGACGCAAGCGGCTGAAGAGGAACGGAATTCTGAAGAATATCTCACGCAGATGGAAGAAGACTGGAACAAGCGAGTCGACACGGAGATCGACACACTTGTGTCTGACATGGTTACCTTGGCTGAGATTGCTTCGGTGAACACACTTCTCGCTTTCACGTCAGAATAGCCTGTCTCACTGAGATTGAAGATTGAAGATAAAGATAGGCTCCGAGCTTCCCAAGAAGCGTTTCAGACTATATGTCGGGCAGAGTCGATGGTAAAGTTAGTAGCTGGCTGTTCGGTACTGTGCTAAAGTGTTTTAGGTATCCGCAGCTTCATCTTTGTTATCGATCACGCATTCGCTTAAGCTGCTGTTCTTGCTTGCAGACGAGCAAGAAATTGCAAACCGACGGGCCCAAGAGATGGTTGTGGTTCGGGAACAAATAGCTGAAGCTCAAGAGTGGACCATTAAAGGATGGGAGACGCTGTTGTCCTCGGGAAGCAACTCTTAACGCGCCACAATGACATGATGCGCTGGCAATCTCGCCTCAACTCGGCATTGTAATGGAAGGGAGGATGTTCTGTGGTTCGGCTCGTAGTCCATCTAGCCGATTGACTGAGCTGGAATCGAACTTAACTTCCAGTTGGGTTTGATCTGGAGCTCAAGCAATGGCCACACCCATGTATTTGTAGTTCTCGTGTTGTATTTGTGCTCAAACATTGTTCCTTGTTTTGACTTGTCGGCAATTGAGTAACACGTGGGGGGTTCTCATACAGTCCGGGTCCTACAAACTCTGGGGTCCTCGTTCTTGCCCTTCTCGTTGTTCTGCTAATAACGCACGAGCCCTTTACTAAGGCGCTCTCTGTCGTTGCTCACGCTTCGACCCTCTTCCGCCTCTAAACGCAACGGGGTTCTTTTGTTGATACATTAGCCACTGAATTCTGTCTACACTGCTTTCAAGTTTCCTCCATCCTCACTTCCACTTTGCGATCACCCTGCATGGCTGCAACTGTACGAAAACAGCAGAAAGGCGCCAGTCCTTCCACTAATAATCGGTTGGTACACCATTCTTCTCATTCCGTTGGGTCTCAAGGTTGAGTGTGATTGCTCTTCGCGTTGGCAAGCCGAAGCGCCTGGAGAGGCGGCCCCCCCCACTTTACTAATCAGGGCCATGCAAGCCGTAGCCACGGTCCTCCAATACCCACTCCTGGCCAAGGCTTTCCCCCAATGAACCAAGTAAATGCGCCTTCGCTGTCTTTGCAACAGAGTCTGGGACTAGCGCTGGTATAGTGGCCAATTTTGGAGTCGGCGTTCCCTTTCTAACAAGTACTGCTTTCTCACCCTTGCACCCATCAGAACACGAATATCGTTGTCTTCATAAGGAATGGATCGCGCCACGCCGGAACGCTTGTCTCCATTGAATCTACTGGTTTCACGCTCAAGCATTCAAAGGAGCTATCACGCCCGAATTCAGCCCCGCAAGATTCCATGTTCTTCCCTGCCGAACAGCTCGTCAATTGGCATCCTGGTGAATCTCCAAGCGGGCATGCAAAAGGTATGATACTTTTGATCTGCATTTGGACATCACTGGTCGACCTGCTGACCTCCACCACCTCGCCTGAAGGTTTTAGAACGGATTCTGACATTAGCCAGAATGCGCGCAGCCCACGGGAACGTCCTCTGCAAGCATGGACAGCCGATCCGAATCATGTGCCTCCCCTTCAGCCACCAATGCCCAATGGAAGTGCACTTCAGAACCCCGATGATGCCACCTTTGGGCCCAATGCCAATACCGGTCAGCCTTGGGACCAATTTGTGGCCAACCAACAGCTATTTGGTGTGACTGCAACCTTCAACGAGGAGATGTACACAACCCCCCTGGACCGAAACGCGCCTGATTTTAAAGAACGAGAAGCGAGGGCTATTAAGATTGCGAATGAAATTCAGAGTGTATGTCCCCTTGCGGATCTCTATATTCACACCCCTCTCAACTGATTCATATCCCGCCAGTCTGCAAGTAATAATCCCCATATTGCCGAGGAACGCAATCTATTGGATGATAGTGGTGCTAACGAGGAAGATAAGTGAGTATAGGGCTTGTGCTTTTCCTTTGCGTTCTCTTAGCAATCGTCCGAAGGTATGGCGCGGTAGTTCGCGCCCCCGGTGCTTATGTTCCGCCAGGTGCAAGAGCCGCTGCAGCTGCACAACCTTCACCTTCGATACGCACTAGCAGTGATCGCTCTGCTGCGCCCACGGTGACGAGTTCGAATGCCACTAATGCAAGTGTGCACGGGATCGCAAACGCAACTCCAGTGACAGATGCTCGATTGTCTGCTAATATTTCCGATTCTAAGCCGCCGGGTCTGTTGGAAACGAGGTAGGTATCGTTTCCTCGCTTTAGAGAATGGGTTTCTTGTTCTCTGACCGTCATTGCTATAAGTCTGGGGATAATAAGCTTGTTGGTGCATTCCGTGACTTTGTGGACAGCGAGAGACAGCGATTCGTGCAGAAAAAGCAGCAAATTGTCAAGAAGGAGAAAGACAACCGTATCGCCGACTTGTTGAAGTTCTCACAGGAGTTCAAGGTGATAAAACATCATGGGTTCAGTCTCATTAGTTCTCTGATATTTTGTACTTCACTTCAGCTAAATCGGCCGATACCTCCAGATCTGTTGCCAATATTGTCAAAGGACGAAAAGAAGCAGCATGAAATTGCTGAGAGGTCTAAATCTGAAGCTTCCTCTACAAGCGCGCGAGCCATTGGTGCGACTGCAGCCCATTCAGGGGTTGATCATTCGCCCCAAGTGCCTCCACGGCCAATTGCGGCACTCCCTCCCCAGGGTAAGGCGGATGCTTCGCTCGTCAAGCGTCCGCTTGCTACTAGCGGAGCGACCCCTGTTCCTCCCCGGCTTCCTGTTACACCAGCGAACCCCAAGCCCATAGTTCCTTCTACTGTGACACCTTCAGGGCCCGCCACGTCCACATCTCGGGGGTCCACAATGGTCATACAAAAAATTCCTCCATACCGGAAGAAGCCTGATCAAAGCCCTCCCGGGACAACCGCCAGTCCTGCGAACCTCTCCGACTCGGGAGCACCAGCATCGCCAACAAACTCCAATGCCTCTGGCTCCAACGCTTTCAAATTCAACGCAAAGGCATCCTCTTTCCGCCCCAATCCGAATGCATCTGCCTTCAAGCCGGTTTGTGTTCGCTGCTGGTTCTACAACTGTAATGTTTAATTTGCACACTTTTAGGTTGTCACGTCACCAACACCTGCGGCAAGTACATCCAACGCCAAGTCTGTTAAGGTAGAACAAGTATGTGCTCTCGCTTTATTCTCATCCCAGTGAAACGTTAATCTCGTTGTAGACTGTACCGCCGAATCCCTTCTTCGGGGCTCGTCCTGTCAACAAGAAGCCCATACATATTAAGGAGGACTTCAACCCCTTCAAGTTCGCACAAGTAGCTGAGGCACCAGTAACTAGTACGTGTCCTGGCTGCACGCGGGAGATTGACGCTGACATTTCAAACTAAGCCCCCCAATGGCCTTACAGTGGGAAGCGTTACATGGCAATGTTTCCTACAATTCACTCCCCTAACCATGCACCCTCGGTTCCTGGTCCTCCATTTGAGGAAGATCCAGCTGCTGCGGCCGCACGTGGTTACGGTATGATGTATTATGCTCCTTACCCATACCAGGGCCAGGTATGCAGACCATACGTTCGACCGATTGGTGCTGACGATGGCATCCAGCACCCGCAGCAGCAGATGATGACAGTGCCAGGCACTGCTGCGCCTCCTCCCGGCTACATGCCATCCCCTTTCATGCAGCCCCTCCCTTACCCTCCTCCCCCTCATCAACCCAACGGACCCCGTAAGTGCCAACCATTAATGTCATCTAGCAGCATTGCTCAAGCACTTCCCTAGCTGCGATGTACGGACCCCCACCTTTAAATGGAATGCAGGGTGAGTGGCAAGTTTTGGTCTTGAATGCGGACTTTCCAGGAGCTTACGACCCGACCTGATCGGATAGCACATGGTTACCCACCCCCGCCAGGACCATATCCACCTAACGGAGCACCGCGTGGCTCAATGCCCCCCACACCAATTCAGCAGCCCGCCTATGCCTATCACCAGAGTCCTCAGAGTGGGTCGAGCCAACCCCCTGTTCTTCCTTTTACTCATTCCACCAATAGTGTCTCACGCTGTTCCGTACCCAATGATGATGAGTCAACCTCCACCCCCCGGTGGGGCTGCTCCGCCACTTCCGTACGATCAGAGTGGTCCGCCCGGCGGCCCAGGTTCCGGCCCACCTCCGATGAACATGGGGCATTGATATTGATGAAGTTGATAGCGGCTTGTTGCGTGGAATGAGTGAACCGTGAAGTGACGACAAATGGCGATCTGGGTTGGACGTAGTGGAGGATGTGGTTCTTTTTCTTGCAGGAAGTGTCTGGTGCTCTTCGTTGTCGTCCTCTGTAGCTCATTTCGCAACAAGATTGGATCATCTTCATCACATGGGCTGATCAGTAGGCAAGAGTACATATGCAGCTGAGGCAAGCTAGGGGGGCGGTACATTCGTCACCCTATCTACTGTGATGTCCGTGACTGCAAAGAATTATACAACTTCGTGAGCATGTGCTTGAGGTTTTTTCCCTTCTTATCACAATTCTCGACCAACCACACCTCCATGTCTCGCTGGACGGTGTCAAGCTCCTCGACCAAAGGCAGTTCTCCACCGGGACGTATTGATGAGGAGTTGAGCAACAAGTCAAACAGCCTTACCCAGAGGTCAACTTGCCAGTACCTCTTGAGGCTTGGAATAATCCGATACCAAGGTTGACCATCGGAATTTGACCCTGGAATGACCTGTATATATTTCCCAAACATCATGCAGTAAACGATACCAGCGACACCAGCATAATCCGTCTGATACGTCCATGGTCGTCCTTCTCTGATTTCGATGCAATCAGTAGCATCAGCGGGCCAATTGGCAGTAAAGCTTGTCCCCGGCAGGTAAGCATTGACATCAATTGCGCGACCAAAGTCGATCAGCCGTATTCCACGGTCACTCCACCCTCCATTGCCGGATGGGTCATAAATCGTTGACAATGGGGAGATACTTGGGTCTGCCAGCCTGAGCATGCAATTGTCTATCTTGAGGTCACCATGGATAAAATGTTGGCAGTGCAGTTGTCCCAACAGTCTGAGAAGTTCCACAGTGAAAAACATGACCAGGAGCTCGTCGAAGGCGAATGTATCCTGAGAATGAATACCGATCTGGGAGGCATTGTTGACTGCTTCCAACAGCGTACCCTGGGCGGAGTAATCGAGGACAAGGATCGATTCATTCTTGAAGAGATACAAGTCGCGGGGCTTGATAACCACTGGACAAATGTCGGGAACGAATTCTCGGATGGTCTCAAGAATTACCCACTCCCATTGCATGGCTGGTTTCACCACCTTGAGCGCAACGAGTTCAGACTTCTCTGGAGCTATGCCGTCATCTTCGCCGTTTTTAGCCCATTCCTCCACAATTTCAGCAATCAGGGTATCCCGAGCCAAGAATACCGCCCCAAAGCCACCCTCGCCGAGTTTTTCGAAGATCTCGTAAGATGCGTCCCCAATATTGACGAGAAGTGGCGTAGGAGGCTCGGAAGCGGAATGACCAAGACGTGATCGCTGGCTTCTCTTCTTCGTGTGTTTATCAAACAGCTCTCCGTAGTCTGACTCATCGGTCCTAAGGTCATGATATAGCTCAGTATCAAGACAACCCCAAACTGTATTGATGTACTGAGTAATGTTGTCGGGGTGAAAGGGATCAATCGGCCCTGGTGCCTCGAAACATTCGACCGCTGGGAGAGTAGACTTATTTTCATGTTCCAGCTTCAGCGAATCCAGATTTTCAACGATTCCGTTCTCTTTGGACGGAGTATTATCTATTCTTGGTCCTGGAGATGTCAGACGTATGAGTGACTTGGTGTTGGACCCAAACTCCATTGTGCGTTCAGCGATAGGAGTCATGATCGCGACGCCACCACGTATTTCGTAAGAACGAGGAGCCACATCGGGCAATTGATCATTCTGTTCCGAGCTTTCATCTTCCCCGGCATCGTCGCACCATGCTGTACTCACAGGGGGCGGCGCCATATCGTCCGTATCGGCACTGCGTGAACTGGGGGGAGAAGCAGCGGATCCCGACGTCCTTACAGTCGGGCCGAAGACGTCTTCAAGACCTTCACTACCGCTCTGCGGCAACGATATTGAGTTGGGCGATGAATTTTCCGTCAGAGAGTCGACAATAGGCACCGTTTCCTTTGGTTCTTGGAACAACAAAGTGGCCGAGGGCATGGAGTTGTCAGGGGAGCCAGAAGAATGAGCGGGTACAGAAGATGGATCGACGGAAGGGTCAACAAAAACGGTGATCTTGTGGGCTGGCTTCGACGAAATGTGACCTTTTATCACAGACGGCTCCTCACGAGAGAGGTCGGATTCCTGGGCCCCGGATGGTTCTTTCTTGGCAACCGAAGGGAGACGAGGCGCATTGTTATCTTGTAGCATAGCGAACTTGGTGGGTCCGCGCGCCCCCGGTAATAGGGACTCAGTGGACCCCAGACCAGGATCCGAGAAAGTCTTCGATGTCAAACGAGGCACTATGGGCACTTCATCAGCTAAGGCGGCCGATGCTGCGGATTGGGAAAGGGAGGCAGAAAGGATGACTTCAGGTGCTGGTATTCTTTCCTTAGGCGTCCAGACTGGGATTTTGGCAGACGGAGGGACTGGGTTAGGCGTAAAAGGCACAGCCATAGATGATGCTGAGAGCATCACGCAAGATCCAGGGCTACCTAGCTGGCCTGGGGGATCGATGCCATCTACCTCCTCCTCGATACTAGTGTTAAACATGCTGAACACGTCACTCAAGGCTGCCTTGGTGTTCGTAGTTGGACTGGCGGTTGGCCCCCCAGTATTCGATTGTCTACGCTTGCCTAAGCTTTTCCTCACCTCGACAGGTGCCGATGACTCATCCCTGAGCGGCACGTCGAACTCTTCCACAGGCGGGGGAGGCCATTTCTTGTTCAACAGCCCCAGAACACGGGCCTGAGATTCCCTCCGATCATACTCTTCACCGTCTAGCCAAACTTGTGATGTCGCGAAGGCAGGGATTTCGGCCCTCTTCCCAGGAGCTGGCGCTGGTAAGGATGGTCTGGGCTTCGGTCCAACAGCAGAGGAGCCTGACGTAGGGCGATGAGATCTGGAACTTGTTTCGGACGGCGCCGGAATTTCCCGCAGTTGAGGAGCATCATTTCGAGTGGTGGGTATCCCGCGGGCCTCTATATCCCCTGCATGTTTTGGCGAGGCGGGAATGTCTGGTATCCTAGGCAGTTCAAAATCAAACGCGACAGCTTGTGAATAATTCTTGAATGGATCCCGGGATATATCCTGATGGGCGCTGGCTTGGTGGGGTCCCAGAACCCGATCAGGGGTGTGCATCGTGCTCGGTGTTCTTGGAACCGATATCTCCTAACAGCAGACGTGAACGGATTGTAGACAACATTTGAAACTCTGCGCACCTCATCCCGATGGACTGGAAACCTGTCCCTTGGGGGAACCATTTTCTGGTGTAGGGGCTCATTACTCAAGGAAGATTTGGGACGCCCATTTTCTTTCACCGTTTCAGACTTGGTTCCCAGTCGTGGCCACTCGTTAGTCTTGATATCTACAGGCTCGGGATCACAAGCGACATAAACAGGGACCTTCCCAATGTTTGAACGAGGGGTTTCCATCGACACTGACGAACGCGTCAATGCAGCAGGAGGCCCTCCTCTCCTGGCGCCAAGGACTTCCCTCCCGCCGAGGACCAACCGACTAGTAGGAGGTGGCGGTGGCGGAGGCTCTAATCCTCCCGGTATAACCAAGCAACGCGCCTGAAATTCCTTATAGCTGGCCTTGATCCTTTCCACACCCAGCACTCTTCGAGATATGCCCAGTCTATAAACTCCATCCGCTTTCGAACGACTGAGATGATGTGAGAAGGGGAAAACAAATGAACAGGGAGACCTCACTTTCCGTTCCTCTCTAACAACAAGGCATACTGCTGGTAAAGATGTGGCCAGTTCGATCCAATATCATTCGCAAGCATAAAGGCGTAGACGCGTTCAGTCTGCTCAACGAGGTTGGCATACTCCATCCACAAGTGAACATATTTTGACTCGTTCTTGTAGCGCGGGGAGTCACAGAATTTACGCGTTGCCTCTTCCAATACGGGAAGCAGGCCACTTTCGGAGGAGCTACCAGATGGATAATTGTCGTTTATCCATTTCACGTATTGGCAGTAAGGTTCGAGGGGATCGCCATCAATTGGATCAACATCCTTAGCATCTAATATGAGTTGCTTATAGCACGCGTGAGACGACGCGAGCCCCTTCTGTCTCACGGCGTGTGGTGTTGAAAAGACTTGTGAAAGTGCATTTGCCGACCGACCTTCTCTCGAGGCCACAATGTTCTCCTTGGCGCGTTCAAGTAAATCGCCATCCACCACAGTGACCTGTTGGCCGTCGGGCGGTCCATGGGCGCTGGATCCTGCAGAAAATGACATGCAGCGGGGGAACCGTGTTTATGTTTGTTTGAGCATGTTGCCCACACTGGGCGTGGGAACCTACCCTGTACAGAACCTTATCACAAGCCCTTCTTGTCTATCTGCATTACATACATCATCCCCACATTCCTAATGCGAGGGAGGTTTTGCGTCCTCTACAGCCTTCATTCACTTGTTGTCTCGCTCTATCCGTGGCTGGGCGTTCGAGTGCCCCGTTTAAAATAAAAACACAGATGTTGACGTTACATCATACCTGCAACTTCCGTTCGTCCCCGTACACTCTCAATGCATTCTTCGGTTTTTCGATCGAGTATGGGACCCTGCCAAGTAATGCACTGGTGTCTGCATCCCACGCGCTGCTGCGTCAACGGAATGCTGTGGTCTGAGGCGAGAATATGTCATCAAATTGGAACGAATAACGTGTCGACATTCCCCCGGAATGAAGGCTATACGATATCATCACAGGAGAGAGCACAAGTCTTGTCGCTATCTTACCCATCGATCTGGATTGCCCTCTACGGCCTTTCTTAAGCACCAGCTAACAGCATCTAGGATCTAGCAAGCACCTATTCCTGCTAATACTGCTTAAGTGCAATTGCTCAGGTGGAAAGCTAAGATTCCTCCCGCCTTCCGCTGAAGTCAGGGATGTCCCACCGGTCCTTCTTCAGTCGTGCACAGCCGTCGAATGGGTCTCAACCATCATCGTTTCATGGAGCTTCTAGGCGCAAGGACCCGGTGACTGATTCCAAGCTTGCGGAAGACTGACCCTCGTTAGGCAAAGGATAGTATGAACATACTGTTGCCTAATGGTTTCCCTACTGGCAGCATGACACAGTTGAGCTCAACACCGGCACATGCGGTATCATCAATGCTGCCGACCTGGCGAGCGTTAACACTACAGTATCGGGGACTAGTTATTATATCCTATAAGGGTCGAACCAGCTGTGATTGGCAGCGTGCAGGCAATATGGCTGCAAACCCCGCCTCTTGAAGGTCGTTATTCTGAGACTAATAAATCTGTCGAAGCGAGTGTGATTGTCGCGCCTGTAACAGTGCAGCCTGTGGCCTGAAATGGCTATTGCATTGACCCGAGGTGTATAGGCTGGTCAGGTCATTGGGCACGCAGGGTGGGTGACAACCACCGGAAAAGATTTTACCTGACGGGAGGACACTGCTAATAGGACACTGAGGATATGCTGCCGGCTCCTATTACGTCTTTCGCCAGCACTCAAGCATGGCGTACATAAGTGCAATCACACCTGATTGCACGCGACGCCATACAGCTCGAACGCTAGCTTGAAAACTTGCAGAGATCTCACCCTAACGCCTTCCGCAGGGTTTTGATCGATCCATACACGCATTCCTCGCATTCCTCGCTTTTGGTCCTCGCATGTCAAACTTGGGGACTTTACCAATAAGAGGACCGCCAGATGTAGCAACTGCAGAATTTGACGCATCACTTCATACGCAACATGAAAAGGCCCACTTGCTCTTCGTGTTGAAGGATTCGGAATGACACGCATTTAGGGGGCCAGTGCAGGAGACCCCAGAAGAAAGGTCGAGATGTGCGTGACCCAGTGGAGATATACTTCACTAAAAGCAATTGACCAAAACATTATAACACACGTCCTAAAGCACCGTGAATGTACTGGTACACTTCTTCTGAATCAGGTAATATAAAAATGAATGATGAGCCCCGCTGACAGACGCGTCTGCCTGGCCTAGTGAAGCTTGATTCTGTCTACAGTTCCTCCAATGGCTAGAGAAACGAAAAGTCTGGATATTAAAGTACAATGAAAAGGAAAAATGCCGAAGAGAATCATGCGTGAGGTGTCATCACAAAACATTTCACTTGATGAACGGGAGGTGACGCTTGAAATTTCATGTGTCTTCGAGATCGCAACAGGGAGTCAAGGAATGTGGGGCAAATGGGTAGCAAAAGGGCATGGGTGGACGTCGTAGGAAGCATTCCAGTTGTCGCGAATGTTGCAATTAGGGTGTTCTGGGGCATCAGAACCAGGATGCAACGGTTCATATCCACGGCGGGTTATAGGTATTAGACTTCCAGCGGGATTTCGACACGGAAGAAAGGATGGTGTAGGGCATCCTTGACCGTCAGTCGCTGGTCGGGATCGAAGTGCAGTAGTTGCCGAACGAGATCTTGGAAATGTGTGTTGGTGGTATCTGTTGCAGGTATAATTTCCTATAAGATCAAACATCAATGTTGGTCCATCAGACAGAAAGAACTATGAATCGTGATTACCGAGAGAGGTCGTGTCGCCTTCACTTCCTTCCTGCTTTGTGAGGTTATTTTCTTCGATCTAGGCGGCCAATCCAACTTCGCGCCCTCCTTAAAAAACTCGGATTTCGTCTTAGCCGCCTTTCGGGCCAACAATCCAGGCATAGGACCCATTACGGCTTCCATCATTGCAAGGTGCTCCAAATTATCATGAGTTTGAAAAAGAGCCATGCCAGTGTAAAATTCGACAAGGATACAGCCAATCGAAAAAGCGTCGCACGGGTATGACCAACCAAGACCTATCAAAAGATGAGATAGTGAGCACAATGGTCAGGCCTGCAGTGGATCTTTTCACTGACCAAGGATAATCTCCGGTGCTCGGTAGTGCCGCGTGCAAACGACGGTGGAGTGGTACTCGGATTCGAACGTGGCACTCCCAAAATCAATGAGCCTTACTTCGGTGGAATTTAGGATCATCTTAGACGTGGGAGCGGATCGCTAGATACAGAACGGAGTGAGATGAGGTTCGGGAGGGCAATGAAGTACAGTTACTTTGCCATTGGAAGTGTGAGACGCTGAGACAATACGATAATCATTATTGACTAGGAGGATGTTTTCGGGTTTGAGATCTGTATGAACAAGGGTGAGGTCATGGAGAACTGAAACGAGGTGTCAATGAGATTTCAACAATAGGTGTTAGGAAAAGAACCCACAGGCAACACTGGTCAGCACTTGTCGAGCGAAATCTTGTATGTGTAGCCGAGGAAAAGGAGCAAAGTTATTCTCCTTCAAAAAGTCATATATGCATTTCCCTAATAATTCGGAGACGATGCAAATGTGGTTGCGAAAGTCAAACCATTCTATTAGGTGAATGCATTTGCTATGTGCTGGTCTGATCATCTGTTGATAGGCGAAACGAATTCAGGCATGACTTACAATTTGTTGGTGGGGTCATGCTGTTTGAGAGTCTTCAAAACTCGAACCTCAATTTTAGAGGCGTCGCGATACTTGGGAATAGATCTAATGATTTTGACTGCCACCAGACTCCGGGTTGACAGATCCAAAGCCTCAACGACCTTCCCAAATGTCCCTTGGCCTAATAGTCGCACGATTCGATCTGCTCCACCATATTAGGCATTGTTGTTGACCGCTAAAATCAGACGCACATCTTTGTGGGACGCCAATAACATCGCCAGGTTGAATAATATAGTGACCCTCTTTATCGTCATAACCAGCGGGACCCGTCTTTGCCGACGTACGCGAGGACTGAGACTAGTTGAGCAAAGGAGAGCAGTCAACACTTGTTGTAATGATATTAGCAGACCTTGAGCTCTTACCTCACGCAAATTTGTAGATGACCCGTTAGTATAGCCAGTTGCCTTGGCATCATATGCACGGGCAGCAAGGGCTTTTCTTTGTAAGGCACCACCTGTCGATGAAGGAACAGGCTTTGCTGTCGTGCTCCCCCCAGACACAGGAGCCGTATCCTTCTTGCGACGCTTCGCAGCAGGCGGCGCAGCCACTGTGCGCGAACCAGATGCTTCGGCGGCAACCTGGGCCCTCGTCCTGACACCGTTAGAGTACGCGGATGATATGGCTGCACTAGCGCTATGGGTCGATGGAGTGATGGACGTCTGGGGCTGAGGTGGAGGAGTAGGTGAGTCGTCGATAACTATCACCTCTCTGATGCGGCCTGTGACGCTGTCTATCTGAGTCTCAGACCGATAAGACGTGGCTGCAACAGGTCTTTTCCTTTTGAGAGTGCTTGTCCTTAGGTGGGATTGTGTGGGGGCCATTTGTGATGAATAGGAGACCGTGGATGACAAAGGAGGGGGTTTGGTACGGGGCAGTGGATCAGGGGGTAGGCGATGACTGGCAATCATGGCAAATTGGGGTTCCACTCACTGCCTGTTCACCCAGAGAGCGACGTGGGCAACGAGCTAGCAGGTTTGTGAGTACACACGGATATAAGAGTTTGCTGATGAGGCCTTAAACGCCTAACTCCGTTTGAATTGGCTCAAGACACCTTTTCCTATCCAGTGTTGCACGGAAAAGCATCCTCGTAACGATATCTTACATGCTCATCTACTAAGATTAACACCATACAAGACAATGAAGCCGGTCATGCTCATGCCTATAATATCAACAGAAAACCACGAGTTTTTAATATCTTCAATTAGAAAATAATCCATGTAGAAACAGATTCCACCAACCAAGTATATATAGGACTTTTTGTCCTCTCCCCTGTCCAAGTAATCTCTCTGAAAATTATTATATCAGATAGCTATTCCCATGCAGCGGATTCCAATAACATACGTCCAATAGTGCCTCAATGCGTTTCTTGATCCCCAGTGGGTTTGGCGAAAAACGATGCGACAATTGGCGAGTCACTTCGTTGATCAAGTCATTGTGGGACATCCTTTTCCGGTCTTTCATGATCCGCACAATACATGCCTAGATCGCAAGTAAGCACTGCATTAGATGGATGCCCTGTAACCAACACACCTCCATCTGGAATTTTCGTTCTTCGTCCACTCTGTCAATTGTCTCCTGCCGCTGATCATTGGTTTCGATCTTGGAAGCTACAGTCCCGATCTTGATGCGTTGCAGTGAACAAGTGAAGTCCAGGTTGAAAGAAAAGGTGTCATCCGACATCACGTCTCTGCCCGGCGGATGCTTCTTCAATATCTTGAATTTTGCACAAGCTAGAGACTGTAATGTCCGTCGTAATTCAGCGTCTGGGATAGAGGCAGAATCTTTGATGTCCTAGAATAAATGTCACTTGGCTTAGTTTCCCCGCATGTCATGGCTTGCGTACCTCGAAAGACAAATGTTCCTCCGGAGTCACTTCCTCGAACAGCAACAGAACAATGAGGGCATATGTTGACACATTCAGATCATGTCTTCTACTCTTGAATGTCACTTTGAGGTCCGCATTTCCAAGTGAAGGTTGCCATGATAATCTTCTCCCACTGTGCCGTGATAAGTAAAAACGCTCGAACATTTTACATGAAAAGACCATGTCATTGGCGAATTTGCAAGCAGTAGCATCGTGTGACATTGGCCAGAATGTTGACGTGAGAACCTGAACAGAAAGTTCTATTGGTGGGGGAAGCTAGAGGGGGAAATGAGCGGAGAAAAGAAGCGAGAAAGGCGTGGACTCACCGCAATACTCTTGCCAAGATGCTCCCTGTATGCCTCCATTGTGTCGTTGGATATTTTCATGTCATGGAACATTCCCTCGAGTTTCTGAGTGAACTGGAAGCCACATTCAATTTTCAATTTCGCAAGCATTCCACGCTCCGCGTCATCAGAAACCGAGCGACCACCTAACAGTCGCTTTGCAAGGTGAGTCTTGTAGTATCGCTCGAAAACGTCCTTGTCAGTTACAAAGCGGAACACAGTAATGGTTTTATCGAGGACCGTGTCGACTTCTTCATCAGTTTTCTGGAAGTTCAGGAAATAAATGACCATGGATACAATCAGATGCACAAGCATAACTTACGCCCTTAAGCCCTTTCTTGAGGTTCTCGTCGATAAATAAAGAAATGTACTCCGGGGCTTTGGGGTTGGAATTAATGAAAGATTCAAATGCCTGTTAACCGCAGTTAGAGTCGTAATATGCGGTGACAACAAGGAGGCGTACCTCGTTCATAGCCACCTGTATACCCCTGTCATCTGCAAATGAGACGCGCAGAAGGCGATCAAAAACGTCCTTCACTCCAAGACATCCGAAACCCATTTCAGAGCTGCATCAAGACGTTTCTTTCCGGCCAAAGGAGCATTTCCGGGACGAGGCTTCCTCCCTTTTCCTCTGGAAGCAGGCTCATCTTCTCCTGCATCTCCATCACCTTCTTCCATATCCCCTTCGAGCATCTCTGCTTCATTAAGGTGTCTACCGCGCTCAGCGATGGAGTCCTTCAATGATTTTTTTAATGCAGGAGGGCCGGCTGGAACCATAACGAATAATCGGAATAGCCGAGCGATGTTATCATCTTGATGCAAATTAATCATATTGTCGAGACCCGAGCCAAGCATGGAAAGGACAGCCTCGACGTGGGGCGCTATCAGTGTACGTTCAAGGATGGATCTGAGCGGTGCTTCGATGGTAGAGAGGTAGTACGATGCTCTGACTCGTTCGGATTCAAGTCTACCTTCGACCTGTCCCGAATTAGGATAAGCCCCAGCAATTAAACCCTTAGACTTACCCTCCGCAAGAATTCTGGAGCATCACAAGTATCCAGCAATTGCTCCCCCTCGCGTTTATAATAGGTCTCGCTTTCCTCAAGTATGGGTGGCTCCATCTCTTTCTTGAAGACAGTCACATTTAGACCTCCATCAATTAGTTCGCGATACACATCAATGGATCCTTTAATAGCTGATCGGTTGACTGGATATCCATCTCTTTCTAAGCGAATTTGCTGTTGCAGAGTGCTAAGCATGTGACGGTGGACAGCGTATAGGGGGGAGCGGATTATACGATCGAGGAAAAGCTGCATTCCCGCATCCCATATCATGGGGACCTGTGCGGATTGGATGTACACACGATCCTGCAGAGAGGCAACTCAGTTTTCAGAAGTTGTGCATAAAGCGCGCTCACCATGTATTTTAAAAGGTCACGCAACTTCTGCATGCTCATTTTGTGATCATTCCAAACTTTCCGGAAAGCTTTGAGCAGCATTTCACCCTCTTGGGTCTGTTGTACAGGATCGCGTTCATTCGAAGAGGGGAAAGTTGGAACAATGACTTCCTTGGCGAGCTTATCCAAGTTTTCCATGAGCAACTCCTTTACACCCTCATAAAGTGTGGAACCCTGTTTGTGCAGCACCATATTATACGCGTACCGGTAGTTCTCCTCGAAAGAAAGGTGTGATGCATTTCCATTTAATATCTCCCGAATGGCACCAGATAGCAATGTCCACGTATCGAGTTTGCTTTGATCAGCGCCTGAAGTCTAAACAAGAGTCAGGTCATATTGGCAAGAAACTGAACTTCATGTTTACCATACCCTTCGTGGTGGAGGCCGCTAGTGGAAATTTTAAAAAATCGATAATAATAGAGCGCCAGGTAAACACCGACTTACAATCCTCCCTTTCCCCCGACGTGCTGGTGCTTTTGATTTATGAGTAGGTTGACAGTTACGGTGCCGAGACGCGATGCTCACCCGACATTCACTTGACAAAAGTGTGGGCACCGGTTATAACCGCGCTCTTCCCTGATTGGAATCAATAGGAGGGGGAGCCTGACAGGTGCCCAAGCGAAAATAGCGAGATTTGGGACTTTAAAGCGTGATTTCAACGTCGGCGAATGATTTTCAATCGAATGTGTGATCACGTGAACGATCGCGAATCCGTGTTGTGGTGAGCAAACCATAGTATTTGTTCTTGTTTTGTCACTTTCGCCAGTGTATTGGCTTCTGCTGGCCTGGGTCGCCTTCAAGATTCTTTTTGTGCCAGATTTTACCTAATTGATGCTCCAAACCTGAAATTTACCTCCTTGCCTGCGTCGATCTTTCGTTGCGGCCTTTCTATTTTGCAACATAAATGGACCAATTACTGTCCGCGATTGCTGTAGTCTCGGACCCCTCTCAGAATAGGGACTTGCAGCAGCATGCGATCGACTATCTGAATAGTGTACGATCACACCCTGACGACTCATGGCGCCTTGCTCTCGAGTTGTTCATTGCCAGAACGTCCGATGGAACGTGGTCAAATAATCCTCAGATCAGATTATTTGCACTTCAAATCATTGACGACTTTTTGAACTTCCAGCCAGAGCGAGTATTCCCTCAATCGGCCCTCTTCCCGATTACCGCTGACTTGCACGACAGAAAGGCTCCACCGGGACTGTCCGCCATTGAAGAACTCAAAATATCATTCCTCAGCTATATCCAAGAAGAGTATGTTTATGGCGCCGCTGAATCATCTTTTCCATGTGCGTCTTCTAAAGAGTAGACATGTGTCGAAGCGCTCGTGACATTTTTGTCAGATATTCGTAACAAGTTCTCGCATACATTAGCGTTACTTTTCTTAGCTTCGTATCCGTCTAACTGGCCCGACTTCTTCCCAACACTGTATAAACTCCTTGGAACCTCTACAACTTTGCCCGCCCAAACATTCAATCTGCATGTCTGTGCACTGTTTCATCACTTGCTGATAGAAATTTCTGGAGAAGTTGCGGATTCTATCCTGAAAGGCGCGAGGGACTTTACGGAAGAGAGACACCAACGAGATGGAGGAGTACGTGATGGGATACGTGAGAATGACTCGAAAGGGATCAGCGATGCAGTCTTGGCAATTATCTCAGATACGGAAGCACGCTTAGTCTCAGCGAGGAGCGGCACAACGCCTGATGATCAAAATATGTTAGTCGAGGCTATTGGTTTGGCAGTAAGAGCTTTCGCAAGTCTGATCTGTGAGTGCCAAGCCCTTTTGTCCTAACATTAACGCTGATAACCATCAGCCTGGATCAACGTTAATTTCACTGTAACACCCGACACATTGCCTCTACTCTTCCGCCTGCTGTCGGACCCGTCTTTGCCCGTCCGAGTGGAAACGGCCAATGCATTCGTTAAGATGCTCCAGAAGGGGTTAAAAGAACCATCAGACAAGCTGCACCTTATACGAGTTCTGTCCCTTGGAGACATTCTCCCTGGCCTGGAACAAGGCACTCGGGGTGACGAGGATCAGATGCTCTTCCGTGAAGGACTTGGGAAGTTGACTAATGCTCTTGGCCTCGAGCTCTGCAGGCTCATTGATGAGGTACTTTGTGGCAAATTATCGTATGCCATCCTCTGAAAGTTTATCTATAGAACAGCTTGGCCAGCGAACTACAAACTCTTGCCCGTCAACTGCAAGCTCAGATATTACCAGTTACACTGCGCTTTTTGGCCGATGAATGGGATGATACTTCAATCACCGTCCACCTCTTCTTGTCCACTATCCTAGGGGCGGTATGTGTCTCACATACCCCACTTGGAGAACGTGGCTCATGTCTGAACATTTAGTATAAACGACAACGGAAGAACTCGCCATTGGCTCATATGACGGAAGAGAAAAAGCAATTCCTTTCGTCCCTGATGGAGGTCGCGTTCCAGAAAATGAAATGGGATGCCGATGCCGAACCAGACTCCATGGACGATGACGAAAAGCTCGCCTTCGACACAATGAGGAAGGTTGGGACCACTTGTCAAGTTAGCGATTTGACTCTTAAATCCTTCTTAGGATCTTCGGACATTCGCGGACTCAGTCATGGCTATCGACGAGCAGCTGGTGAATGGCTATGTCGAAAATCTTGCACTAAATACTTTACAACAGTACCGGTCGGGGGCTGTCATTTCCTGGCAGGATGCAGAACTCGCCGTTTATCTTGTATTTCTGTACGGGGAGCTCCAAAAGACTGCCAAGGGTGAGAATGCGATAGTTCTTCACTCCTCTCACCGCTTATCTTTCTCCTCCCAGGGCCTTCGCAGTTTGTAATTGTACCGCCAGAGGTCAGAGCTGAGATGAAATCAGCGGTTTCCATTTCCAAGAAGCCTCGCATCGATTACTCCGCATTTCCTCTCAGCCCTCTCGGAAAGCTCATGGTAACATTAGTGGAATCAAATATCTCCTCCCACTCGCATTATCTAGTAGTGACGCAGTTTTTCGAAACTGTGGGCCGTTATGGGGACTTCTTCCGAACTCGAAAGGAATGCAACGAAGCTGTTCTCACCGCCTTCATTGACTCACGGTCAGAGTTGCCCTGCCATTCCCACTTCTCAACCGCACACTGACAGTCCGTTCAGAGGAATACACACAGAGCGTGCTGAGCTGCGGGGACGCCTGTTCTACCTTTTCCATCGCTTCATCAAAGATATCCGACAAGACATTTTCAAGCATGTTATTCCCATAATTCTCAACGGAATTGGTGACCTGTTAGTCCTTAACATCGAATTACCTGAGCACGATTCCCCTCCTGTTGATCCGTTGGAAGCTGCAGTCAATGCGCCGAGTTTGTTTGATAGCCAGCTTTATTTGTTCGAAGCTGTTGGAACGTTGATATTCCAATTGAGTGGAGAAGACCAAAGTCAGACGGCCCTTCTTCAGGTAGAAATAATAACCGGCATTGGGATGCGTATTAACCACTTTTCCTCATTCCCTCACAGAGTATCATCGATCCGCTCCTGTCTGCGCTCGAGGATTGTCTTCAGGTTCAGATGATTAGTGCTCAGGATGTGCTTCCAATCTTAAGGGTCCATCATCTTATCCGAGCTTTGGGAAATATCTCTAAGGGCTTCCCTGACGCACCCGTTCCCACTCCCCCAGATTACAAGCTTCCACCTTGGGTTGCTGTGTTCCAGCAAGTGGCCGAAGCGATCCTTCTTTCACTTACCACCATGAGCCAGTATCATGTCGTCCGTGAAGCAGTGAGTCCACTCACAGTTAATTGTTACTCAGTTGTATATTGGAGCTTGCAGACTCGTTTCGCCTTCTCCCGAATAATCGCATCCTGTGGCCCCGCGACTGCTAAGTATATCCCAACGCTCCTGGGTCGCATGCTGACCTCATGCGAGACTGCTGAGATTTCTCAATTTGTCGCATTCCTTGGCTTGGTAGTCTTTAAGTTACAGGTGTGTTGTTTCAAGTGACCTTGTTCGAAATTTATGTTCATTTTACACAGTTTGAGATATTTGACGTGCTTGATGAAATGGTGGCGCCCCTACACAATCATATGTCGAGCATCGCGTTACGGCCTGTTGACGGTACTGACACAAAGGTGGAGCTACAGCATACGACAAAGTCGTACCTGGACCTGCTTGTAACAATCATGACGGGCCCGCTCTTTGTCGTTTTTGTCTCACCCAGTAAGCATTGGCATTCACGTTCATACCGACGAAACTGATCTACGGCAGGGAACAAGGATTTGATTGAGTCACTAGTCCAATTCGTCGTCGCCGTAGCGGGGACCCTTCCGACCCCCAGGCTCAAAAGGTTGCATGGACTGTTCTCGCCAGGTTCACCACTCACTTCGGAAGAAGCGCAGCGCAGGCTGAAGCAATCGCGCGAGAACGAGCACAAGCTAGCCAGCCATTGGAGCAGAATCATTACATCCCTGGCTTCGAGGTGCTGATCTACGAACGTCTCATCCCACTGGCATTCGAAATCCCGACTCGGCCTGGTTTTAGCTTAAAGGATGCGCAAACAGTTCAGGTGCGTTGGATTACGGGTCATAAGCAACAAGATGATTTCATGTGCACTTTAGGTTCTTAGTGAAACTGCAACCTTCCTTGCGGCAGCCCGAAAAGCGAGAGGACCAGAAGCACTTGAGTTCTTCTCTAATGTCTTTCTGCCATCAAGAGGTTGGCCGACCGAAGCTGTGACCAACTTTGTGACACAATTGAATGCGCTGGATACAAAAGGTTTCAAAAAATTCTGGACTGACTTTGTCCGAAGTTCCACCAATGCAGCCCCTCGGTGACACAAAGCAGCATTCCGACACAGTCCTGCATGACGACCTTCATGGTGATGATTTATTTCCCACATGCATCCCATCCTAGTTAGAAATATCATTCCTTAGATCCAAAATGTTGTTTACGAAACCGTGATGCGTCGGTGCACACATAGCTCATCAACTAACATTACAACGTCAACTGACCCTTGTTCTGATGCTAACCATCATACAATTTGTGGCCCAAAAATGGCTTGTTGTGGAATTGTCCGATGTAATTCAGTTTTCCAAGCTTCGGCACCGAGCAATCAGACGCGCAAACTTTCATGAGTCGCAGAGGACGCCCTAACGGTGTGCGCGGCCCTACCTCCGCCTTGACCTCATACCTGAAGGTTTGTTACGCGTGTTTGTTTGATTTCGGACTACTCAGCCCTCGGTAGGAACAAGGCATTACCGCTGGGCCAATCAGCGTTTACAGTCGCCGGATTGGAGGCAATCAAGAGGAGGCCGGTGGTGTCTCCACAGATGACCAAGCTGCAGAAGAGAATAGCGCAGATGCAGAACAAAACATGGGGGCTGGTCCTTCTGGACCCCAGGAGCCCACGGGATCAAGCAAACGGAAACGGCAGGTGAGCCATTGGAGGGCATGACTTCCCGTGTCGGATACATAGCATAACCTGTCGTGGGTAGGATAGTGATGGCGAAGACTCTGATAATCTTGACGACGACGAGGACGAAGAGCCTGTTGCTACCTCATCCAAAAGGCGCAGGGTTTCTTTGGCGAAGGAAAAGGCCATAGCCAAGGCGAAGGCGGCGAGGAAAGGAAGGGCGAATGAAGATGAAGAAGGGGAGGATCGGTTTAACGCGCTATCCAATAAACCCGGGGGCAAAGCTTCGGCTCGACCCCCAATCGGCAGCCTTGAAAAATGCGGGCAATGCGGCAAGAAGTTTCCAATGGTAACGGTTCACCAAAAATCCCACTCTCACACTCATATCACACACAGACTAGATACACTCAACCGGCGACTCCAGGTCCAGGCTACTTATGCCATAAATGCACTAAGGCGTTGGGAAATGACCCATTTAAAAAACCTGTTACCCAAAAACGCCAAAGGGAGAAGAGGAATGTTCAATATTTTGAAGAGAAGGAGCGTGTAGAATCGCTTGCTCGACTATGCATTAAAGTGGTCACGAAACATATCGATGACGTTGATGCCTTAGGAGACATTGGTGCAACGAATCTAGATTGGATATCCAAAATCATTGCTCGTAATCGCAGCCTGTAGGTTCTGATGACTTCCCGTAAGCACTCTGATCTCCATTATTTTTCCCAGGAACGCTCGCAATGCTCTGTTGTTCTACGACGTTGAGAACACTACTTTGACCATGTACGATTGTACAGGTAAGTTCGATTACTGCCGAAGCGCTGTTGCTGACGCCTTGCTCAGCACTTGTTCCTGACGCTCTCTGTACACTCGCATCCTTAAATCCGAGGCTGGAATCTGTCCGTTTGGATTATTGCGGCCGAATGAACGACACCGTTTTCACACATTGGTGCAGTGCTCTTCAGCATCTCAAGAAGCTAGATCTTCTTGGACCCTTTAATGTCCGAAGTCAAGGCTGGGTCACTTTGATTCATGGGATAGCTCAACCTCTGGAGAGTTTCTGTATCACCCAATCCCCTCGTTTCGACATGGGATGTTTGCAAGCTCTCGCCACGCGTTGTCAAAACTCTCTCGTCAAGCTAAGACTACGTGAATTTTCAAAACTCACAGATGAATGGCTCTCGGTCCTCGCATCGTTCCGAAACCTCCAATCCCTCGACATCTCGTATCCTGCTACATCTGTGTCCGAAGGGGCTCTTATTCGGTTACTAGAAACAATAGGGGGTCATCTGTTGCATCTGGATATCAGTGGGAACGAGGAATTAGGCGACCCAATTATCGAAGATGGTCTTCGTCCACATTTAAGGAGTCTAGTTACCTTGAAAGCATCCCATCTACCACTGCTCACAGATGATGGCGTCGCTGGATTATTTTCCCGCGATGGTGAAACACCTACAGTGTTGCCCTCTCTTGAACTCATCGACCTGTCTCGTGCCCCCGAATCGAGTACTGGTGCTCTCACGGCCATCCTATCGCATTCCGGCCCCACCCTTCGTGAACTCAATATCAACGGTTGGAAAGGAGCGAGCAACGAAGCTCTGACAGAAATTGGCACGTCGGCGCCCTTACTGAAGAGGCTGGATATAGGGTGGTGCCGATCCGCTGATAATTTTACCGTGAAGAGCATTCTTGATGGTTGCAGGAATATCCAGGAGATTCTCTGTGCAGGCTGTAATCGCGTTAGCATCGATTGTCCCAGGAAGGTGAGCGCTGGATATCGTTTCCAAGGTTGCATGGGTGGCTGATATCAAATACACTATTTTGCAGCGTGGCGTTTCTATTCGAGGAATTGAGGCCATTTAGGTCTCGGGAGGTCGGCGACTGCGTTGATGATCCACGTCATTGTTATCACCAGTTGCGATCCGGGCACTGCTGCAGGGGAACATGTGTATAAGGCGTGTTACTTATTCTATTGAGTGTTTTACGGACCGCATGGCTCTTCGGTTTGCACACGATGCCTCGCGGTGCCAACGTGTACTATTCGCTAAGAGGGTTATAAATTGACCACAGTCGCCTCAACAACTACAGCTCATGGATTCTGTTTCGAGCCACTCAAGCACAACTAGCAGCACCCGTGTCTACGTCTCTATCAAAGACATCGTTCTTGTGTATGTCAACACTGACGTTGAATCAAAGTGCAGCATAATCGCACCCACGAATGGGGACAACAATTGACAACAGATTGTTCAGGGCTGATGATGCTACCATTTTGGCATTGGTGAAAGCGTATCAGAATGCTGGCGGAGACGCTGTGCGCATCCTTCGGAAATCAACTGCTAGTGATTCTGTTGTCCGCACGGGTTCTCGGCGGAATTTTAAGGTATGTCCCTCACAATCATCGTTACGCTGCCGATAACACGGCAGTTTTAGAGCCGAGTAAAATTCTGGCTTCCTAAACGGAGGTTCAGCCAGCCGATAACTCAACCACCCCTGAAACTCAAGATTTGCTTCCAAAATTATTTCGCCCACATCATCATCTCACCATCGAATTCAGGAAAACATCGGTGGGACATTATCCTCAGTGGGAGGTTACCTGAGCAGCGTATCAATGACATCCCGAGCGCCAAGATCAGCCGTTTCGTGTTTGAGCTTGTGATATCCATTTTACAAAGCCTATAATCCCCACAATTTGACTTATGTGGTGTTAACAAAAGAACTCAGTTATTCGATCACTCTGGAATTAATTTGTGCAAGGGGCCAGGATTGTTGCATTGGATCCTGCGAACGGGGGCGGCATAAATCTTCATTTTTGGTGACTGGTAAAAATACATGAGCAAAGGAACGTTGGCGATTGGCGCGCAGCACGGAAATCGCTCCGACACAATAAAGGGATTCGTTGGTCATCAGATGACGTGACAGATATGAGCAGAGAGGATGCGTGAACATTAAAACGTGGAAGATTGCGTGATGAGTGGAAGTATCCAAGATCGTAGATTAAGTGCGGTTGAGTAGTCGAACAGTTGGGCGTGTTAGAATCGTGCCGTTCGTGCATGAAAGTGACAAGTGAACGAAAATATCGAAGTATCGAAGGAACCCGCGATCGTGCAGGGCCGGGGGTCGTTTCAGTATGGCTCAAGCAACGGCGATGGGCGATTTGGACAGCATGGGAGAAGAAACCACTCGGAAAAACGCCTTCTTCATTCGGACAGAAAAAGTTTTGTTGCGAGCGGTAGCCGGATGGGGATGGGTTTCTATATGATTGCCTGTATAAGGGGATTGCAAGTATGATAATGTTCGAGTAGCCTCGTATTCGCGCGCGAACTTGACGGCTTCGTCCTGCTCTGTTCCGCGAAGAGTGGCAAAAATACCCCCTCTTCGATGTCCCCTGTTCTTGGACAAATTGAAACTCTTGCTGCCCCGGATAGATGATAAGCGTCGTTGTCCCTTGTCATCAGACCTCACTATATATTCGGTGGACGAATGGTGCATCTGATAGAAGGTCGAGGGAGAACAGTTTGTTGCCGCGTCAGGATTGTAACTGTAGCCCTTGCCCATCTTGACGATTCCTTGTGTGGCGAGTAGGTAGCGGTCATAATCTGCTTGACTTGTAGGGCGTGGAGGACTGGACTGCGGTGCAGGACCAGGCTTCAAGGTATGTGGTGTGGCAGAGGAGCTATGCCTGTGATCGCGGCGCTCTTGTGACGGCGAAGTTCCGGTGATGTCAGAGATACGGGGGATAGATGTGTCAAGTACTGAAATTGTCGGGATAGTTGATGTACAGTCGTCCTTATGCAGTCTGGAGGTGGCCCCTCCAACATCAGAGTTAAGGGATGTTGAGGGTGATGAGGGTCGTTTCTTTGCAAGTGAGGCCAAATCGGAGGTTTTCAAATGATCATTGCTTAGTACTCTTCGTACGTTTGAAGCAGTGGAGCTGACAGTGTTCCTTCGTCTCGGAGGAGGGAGCGAAGGAGAGGTTAAGGAAACCTCTGTTGACCTCTTTATCTCCTGGAGGGTCAAAAGTCGAGACGAGGAGCGGCGTGAGACCACAGTTTCATTGGCCTCCGCCTCTCGTTCAAACTCTTGGCGGGTATCCTGCACAACTTCTAGTTGAATGGGTCAGTCTGAGGGAAATAGATAAGATCAGAACATGAACCTACTCTCGACGTCCTTAATCCAACGAGTCATTCTATCAATTCGCTCCCCATCGGCCTCTTGCTCAGGCTCGGGTGGGGAAATTTGAGATTGGTCCATGGACTCGTCAAGAACGGCACTTAAGTTCCCTGGCACCAAGTATTGGGTCAGGCAGCAATGATTGGAGACGTGAAGCACCGACCCGTAAATCTGGAATCCTTCTCCAAGTCATCCCAAGACTTCTGCAGTTCCGTTGTGAGAGTTTTAGATGCACTGCGTCTCGAGAGTGATCCGGCCGCCGTGGTCGACATCTTGCTCAGTTTTTCGGCGGTTTTGTCTTAGAAAAGTCAGCGACACCAGAGTGAACGAAGCAGAAACCCACTTACCGATGGACTTCTTCACTGAATGCCCTAACGATCGAAGCCCGTTCTGGGTCAGCTTCTTGGGCTTGCTGGATTCTGCGATTGATGTTAAGTTAGATGATCGCAGGCAAGAAATGGAGATCTCCCCACCCGATATCTTGATATTTTGCACTTGAGATAAAGGACGACGTATTTGTGTCTGTGCAGGAGCGGGAGAGACTGTGTGAAGTAAGCATTAATGTTTGCTTGTGGCGGAATGTTTTCTCACTTTGCTTCGCAAGAGCGGTGGAAGGATCTGCGTGGACAAGTCGAGGATTGGACCCTTTTATTGGACTTACGGCCGTCACCAAACTAGCGGTCTTTGGCGCCCGCGTCCAAAGTGGCGTGTTCACCTCCTTTTTACGATTCTTCACTCTCAATAAGGACTTTGTGGGCGTGGTACCTATAGCAAAAGCCGGAGTTCGTGCAACACTGCTCGAATTCGCATTCACAGGACTCTTCGGCTTTGGTCGTAGAACAGGACCGGCCATGTTCTCTTTGCCGGGAAGCGGCCTGAGCGAAAGCATAGTTGGAGAAATTGCGGAGGGAAGATTGATGGATGGCTTCGCCATCTCGGGTTCTGGTCGAATGATTGGTTCTAATTTGAGTATTGATGGTGGGGAAGCTAGCTGAGGCGGTTTTTCGGGGCCAGCAGCTCTGGGTTTTGCAGTAATCGCCGTTGAAGACATTCTTACAGTTGATGCTCCAGACTGATCCGCATTGACGTCCTCTTTCATGCTAACTGAGGCAGCCGTAACACCAGCACCGATAAACACCCGTGAAGTGTCGGGGGAAACGATAGATTTGGGCCGTGAGTGAGAGAAGAACGATTTGGAAAGACTCGATACATTCCGAGGCATCTTCGACTCCTGCTGGTTGGGTTTCTTCATTGGATCAAACTGAACCGAGTGAGGATCTGGACTCGCGATCGGTAATGGTGCTGGGGGAGAAATTAGTATGGAAGGCCTTGAGGCACCTAAAAGAAAGAACATACGGGCCTTTCCAATAAAGTTCTGGAAGGTCCCCAATTTGGAACGTGGAAGTGCAGGTGTCGGAGTTGGAGGTGCCATGGTGAAGTGTGTCTTTGCTGTGACAAACGAAGCTGGAGAGCCAATGTTCATAGACGCTGGTGCTTGGACCACCTTCTTGGACTGCACATCGATGCGGATGGCTGATATAAGCTCAGACTCTGAAATTCCATGTTAAATGGATACGATTGAGAGCGACGACAGCCAATTACCTGAGGGAACAGTAAAGTACGGGTCATTCAGTACCTCCGGGGCGTTGAGACGTTGATCCGCATCGGGACGCAGCATGGCCCTCAGCAGCCTTTCTAGCCCTACAGAGGGTGTGAGTTGGCTCGGAAAAAATCTCTGCTGATACTCCATGACTAACCAATCGACATCTTCCATGTTCCGACCCAAATGTCGTTATTAGTTCTATGCCAATATCGCTCAAGATCCTCTTTGCTGGAGAACTCTTCGCCCTCCTCGAGCTCGAATGGTGTACGACCAATGATAATCTCAAAAAAGGTAACACCGAGGGACCATACATCAGACTTTCTAGTCTGAAAGAAACAGATGTGAGCAACGACAGCCGACGTGGAACAATAACAATGTCGCCTACATCGTGAATGTATCCCTTGGCACGTTCTGGAGACAAATACTCCGGAGTTCCATAAGCGAGATTTGATTCAAAGGGGGCTTTCGGCACAGATGGTGTCAAAGAAGATGAAGACGAAGAAGGGGAAGCTAACACGGATCGAGAGGGCCGTAGGATCGGTTCGTCCAAATCGTATTTTTCAGCAAAGCCGAAGTCTACGAGCACTGGTTGTTCAGCACGAGTGAGCAAAATGTTAGCGGGCTTTATGTCATTGTGGACAATGCCATGGACATGTAGATGCGCGACGCCATCGAGAAGTGACTTGAACCATATCTTGGCTTTCGACTCACGCACTTCGACAGGGACAAGGCGAGGAAGGAATTCCCTGTCCGAAACGATTACAAATGGTGTACACTACAGACCGCAATTACTCACATGGTAATTAATGCATAGGATGGCGTGATAATGAATGAGTGAAAGTCAATGATGGCAGGGTGCTTGTTGTCTTTGAGCGAGCGAACGATTTTCATTTCGTTCCATCTGAAAGAGCAAGCATCGAATAAGATGGGGGCCAGAAACTCAGGCTTGGACTTACAATGAACGAACTCGTGCTGGGGTTGTGCGTGATGAAGTTCGATGCACCAACTTGACAGCTAATCGACGCCGAGTCTGGGCGGGTGTACCAACACGAGAGCGACAGCTCCATACGGATCCCCAGTTTCCGTATCCTGAAAGGAATATGTTAGAATAACAAGTAATATGGATCGAGCATGTCATATAAACCAATCTCTTGCATGAACTCCAGGTTCGCAGCTAGCTGCTGGTCGGTAAGGGAATAGATGTCAGACGCAATATCGTCATTGGTGCTTGCATCGGAGATAGAGGTCATAGTGATGAATGAATGAGACAAACGGTCAAGGTCTTGAGCAGCGCAATAGCTGCTCGTCTCAGGTCAATACCTTGTCGTTGTCGGTTGGGAGAGTAAATAAGATGAGAGCAAAGTTGGAACATTCCGTGTTCGTGGTGCCGTATTTGTGGCCCAAACAAGGATCCTGATCACATGCCGAGAATCAATTAATAGTCAAGGGTGTGGTCACTTTTCCTCTTCACTTTCGAAGGTACCAGAACATGTTCATCCTGCCGAAAGCCGGCACTTACATTCCCTAAGGAAGCCTAGCACCACCAAGTTCGGGGGGGATTGCAGTTCCGTGTTATTTATGCATATTTGTTCCGAGACGCGTCAAAAAATTCACGCGACGCGACGCCTGTCTTCCAACAATACATTTGCTGTTTCCACAACGACTACAGAAACCCCCTGCATCGGTGCGCCTATCCTGTCGACTGGAGCTACGGATTCAATAATGCAGACAAGAACGTATCAGTTCAGATCAGTTCCTCTTGTCCATATCTGCGCTCGAAGCTGCCTTACGCTGAATATCACAATTTCTTTCCTGAAGCATCCCAGGTTTCGATCATCAAGAAGCTTGGCAGCTATTGGACAACTTCAGGATTCACTTTGCCTACACAGCATTCGCCCACATGTTGGGCCGTATTTCGCAACTTCCCCAAAATCCAGCACGAATATTCAGTGAATAACTAGCCTAAACAACCGGTGATGAGAGGCCCTCCGTGCCCACATAATGAATATGCGCAAGAGCCAATTCTACCGTGCATTCAAAAATCCTGAACGTTAACCTCGCTTCACCATCGCCCCACTATTGTTTGTGCGGTCAGCCGATACGGGCACACCTGAGGCAAAGATAGAATATCCAGATGGGTTTCCACATAGCGAATTCATGTACAGTACTCGATGTGACAACTATGCATCAGTTGGTTCTGGAAGTCTCCCTTCAGGCGAGGTCGATTTCTCTGACTGAATATAAGGTTAACGCATCAATACCATTGCAGTCCCAACTAAGTCACCGACACTATCAAAGTTGTGCCAGTCTTGGGAACATGTTGCAGGTTCCCGACAATAGCTTTATTGCCATGGCCGCATTCCGAAGAAGCCGGTAGATAAGGACGGTTTAGTCCTATCGTGTAAGGGACATAGATCTGTAATTTTTCATGTTGACGCTCTCATTGGTCGCTCCGGTGTTCTCCCAGGACCAGGGTGGCAATCATTACCCTTCGCTCTGCGATATAATTTTGGGTGTGAAAAGCCAACAGTGCAACAGCCCATGCACTCAGGCACTGCGGAGGGCGCCCATTTGCACTGTGAAACCTAATGTATGAGATGGATCAAGGGTTGGAGACAGGGAGTACATAGCCTGGTTTCAAAATGGCCTGGAAATCATTGATGGCAGTGGATGTTGGAGAACCCGCTCAGTAACACGGCTTGGTTGGGATGGTGGTCGACTCTTAAGTCGACACAGAAAAGGACGAACACATGTTTTGAGCTCGATTTCCAAATGCCCACATTCACAGAAGACTGCGCATCACATGTGCGTGGCTATTTGCCGCATAGGCTTAGGGGGCGACGAGGGTTTGGACCGAGGACTGGCGGCCAGCTTTGCAGGGAAATTGTGGCACCCTTGACTCTCCGCTGAATCCGGTGTTGATGCACATTCTGCGTGACATGCATCCTTCCCCAGTCCGAAGTATGGAGCGATGCATGATGGGGACCCAAACTCTGGCGCTCTTGTGGTGCGTGGACTGGCAAATGGTCGTGTGCGTCCAGGAAAGCGTGCGGACTGAAAAACGTACACAACAGGGCTCTTGAGTTTCAAAGGCTGTCCAAGCGAAGACGGAAAGTAGTCATTGGAACGGGATTTCTGATGCCTCCGCGTTAACAGTCGACAATTGACAAGCGTCACGGTTAAACATTAATGTGTCAACATCGACGTCAATACAGTCAGGGTCTAGGGCACGTGCTGCCAATTGTGCATTCCTTAAGCAGACGAGGAATCCTCTAGTGCTGTTGAGAAGGTGATCATTATTTCGATTCCACTCCGAGTGATACCCAGCATTCAAAACTCCGGATCTCTAGATCGGGCTTTGCGCAGAACTCCAGCAAACACTCAAGCGATCAACACCTCGCCCCCTCAACAACCATCACGCCACCATGGCGCAGTTCTTTAACAACTTAGGGTGGGCAAGGCATACATAAATCGAACGCTTTGTGAACAACATCTTGTAGGCGTCGTGCCAATTCTCGGCCACCAAATTCCGCGCAGATGCCAAGAAGGTCCCCTACGATAAATACCGATTCAGCCGCCGAATCAAACTCCCCTTCGGCGACAGTATACGGAAATGGTCCCAAGCCACTTTACCTTTCTAATCCTTTTGTGAAGGCCGCTCTCGTCAAAGGGAACTTTAAGACAATCGTCGCTCAGCCACGCTATTGTGATTTGAATGAGGTGAGTCGATGTTTGCATGCTTTGTACCCCAAGCTGGAACACGATCTATTTTTAGTGGGTAGCTGTGAACAGTGTGTTCCCCTGTAGCAACATTTTTTGAGTACATTCTGATGGCTTCCTTAAGTTTTCGATTTCTACACGAATCTCAACATGTTCTACGGCATCCTTGCAGAAGTATGCACTACGTCGAATTGTCGAACGATGTCCGCAGGGCCCACGTAAGCAATATGATGCAACTTGCCATTAATATGACTTGACATCCTCTTAGACTTGACTATACTTGGATCGACTCCTCTCGCAAACAAGTCAAATTACCGGCGCCTACTTATATTGACTACGTGATGTCCTGGGTACAGCAGACAATCGATAATGGAAAGGACTTTCCCACCAAATGTATAGTCACCTCAGTCAATAACCTGGACAACAGCACTGATTACGAATGCTTTAGTCGGTGTTGATTTCCACCCGAACTTCCCCACGATTGCCAAGCAAATTTACCGCCAACTCCTCAGAGTATTCGCTCACGTTTATAATGCCCACTTCACACATCTCCTGCACCTTAGTGCAGAAGGTCACTTTAATTCGCTTTTTGCCCATTTCCTCGCATTCGGAAAACAGTATGATTTACTCGTAGGATCCATGATTTGTCAGCCAAGTCACGAAATCACTCATCCCCTTTTCTAGGATTATAAGGACATCAAAGGTCGGCCTGGCGAGGGCGTCGGTATTGGGGACCTTTGGGATAAGTGGAAGGAGATGGGCATCCTTGAGCTCTGACGTCTCCGCATTACCCGACCTTTTGCATTTGACATTCTCTGGTTAGCATATCCCACTGTACCTATGTACCACCGATCCAGTAAGCAGATGAACTGCACGTTCCTGGAGTCAATCCGACGATGCACTTCGTAAATATCAAAGTTCGACAATGTACCGAATTTCTGTGGTGCAAAGGTGGTATAAATTACCGCAGATCTATGAGTTACACTCTCGTCGAATTGTTTTTTAATGATCCATGCAAATCTTGTTCTACATAAACATAAAAACGTGAGGTGTGATAAGCCTAACAGAATCCTACGTACGCATCCCCCATACATGGGCTCTAAGGTCCAGAAACTCCACGTGGAGTCCGTCCTGAAGACGAAAACGCGCATGTCAGTTGAGCCATTTCACGTCTTACAGCCTGACACTGTGCTCACATAGGTCTTCTTAATTTCTGCACGGAGCTTTGACACGTCCTCCTTCGCAGCTGAGCTGTCCACCAGTGCATTGAGGTCCTTCTCCACAGCCTCGATGCGGCGAACATGGGCAGAGATCTACAGATCATCCCGGTGAGCCCAAGGTCATGCGAGTTGGTTGTGTCCAACCTGCCTTTTGTGTACTTGCGTGAAGTTCTTCAACGCTAGCTTGCATCGTTGACGATGCGAGCCTATACTCCTCTAACAGGTGGTAAGACGCAAACTGCGTTTGGCGTGAGAAGTCCATTCAGTGCTCGTCAGGTGGCATCCAATTGCGAATGAAGGCATACTGAGGAAGCTAGTGAGAAACCGAGCAGAAAGCCAAAAATGCTACAGTCGATCAGGGAAATCAGCTCATTGTCGTTAGAATCCTATGAGCTAGGTCCTGCAAATGCACTAACCCTCCCCGAAATCCACCAATTGGTCTTTTTGGCTTTACTGCCTCAGCCACCTGAGCCGATGACTCGCCCGAGTCTGCGCGAAGCACGCGCCCGTTGGAAAATGGCATAGCATGTCTCGGAAGGACCAAAGCCCTGGTAGAGCACCGAAGGCGAAGGTGAGAGGACATGGCAATGGGAAGCATGAGCGCGAGAAAATACACGTGATATCAATGAGTCATTGTCGGAAAATCGCGAGATCGATCAAAAGCACGAGACTTGACATTTAAAACGCCAAAATTTGACGTCTAATCAGACGGTATGAGCACTTAGTGAAAACGGCCGGAAACCGAGCTGGTCCCGGCCTATGGATTGACGCGCGCGGGCATCGTGCGACCTGTCTTGGTAATATACAAAGAGATACGACGATGCCAAAAGGATTGGTCAACAATGACAAATCGAGAAAACAGATACAAATACAGATACATAGTATCGGGGTGGTGAAAAAGGGGAGGAGGTGGGTGGACGCAACAAACAGAAGAATAAACGCTAGAAGCAGAAACGAGGCAGCACGAGTGCTGCAGTAAGACTCCGCAAGGAGTAAGCACAAGTGAGATGAACTCACTAGGATGCACAGCGCGACAAAAGATTGAGGGGAAACTTCAATGCAGACAACTTGTCTGAAGCGCACATGTAAGTTTCCGGCCCCGTTGCAACCAAGTGAGGACTTACCAGTCCCGATGGAGCAAACGCGAAGGCAGCGCTGAGGGAGCGGGGAGAAGGGACAACACACGTGAAAATCACGTGAAGACAATAAACGCGAAGACTAGTGAACACCCGCAAGGTCCCATCAGCGCTGCAAAAACGCAGGACCATGCGGCACCATTCAGCGCTGAGGAAATTTGTATCCGGTGCGACTACTGGACTAGAGTGCGTGCCTTCGCACGCGCTGACCTGCACTGCTTTTCAACACCCTAGTCAGTTGTACAGAAAAAAGTGAACCATGATTAAATCATTATTCCACACAAAAAGGGTGCATAGATGTTCTATGCTCAGGAGAGATCCCGAATCATGGCATCGGGCTATGTCAAGTGTGTGGAGACAAATAGCGGAAGTGTTCCGGATAATAGGAAACAAATAGGAAAATGGGGAGCAGAAAGAGGACATCAGGACAGCGACTTGGGGGGGGACAAGTGTACAAATGAGGATAAGACAAGCGCACTGAAAATTGGTCAATAGTATCGACTAATAAATCTCCTTCCCTTGCCCAAAGCGCCCATGCGGCAGGGCAAGCGGGGGTGCAGCAGCAGTGAGGGGGTTGGACCAAGAGCTGCGCAGTTGGGCATGTGTCTGCTGCATCCCTTCAAGAATGGGCCGCATCGCAGGCTGACATGCCAATTCATGAGTACGACACAGTATTTTAGCAGATGCAGGCTGTGGCTGTGTCATCGGACGCAGCCTAGCACGACGAGTAAGGCAGGTAGGGGTGCAGATACAAGTAAGGGGAATTTTGGCCAGGTAAGCGCTGGGCGCGCATTCAGGTGTGCTTGGACTAAGCGCTGACATTGCGAAGGGCAGAGTTCTTCATATTAACTCCTGAAGTAGTTGGGCATTCACCCCTAAACTCGGGACGTGGATAGATCTAATTCTCCTCTACCAAAAGAGCCCAAAATCAAGCCTCAGAGATTCGTAGGTGACGCTCACGTTGGGTTTTGCCAATCTCACTTGATTTTCAGCGTGACTCACTTGATTTGTCTACCAATTGTACGTTATAAATATAAAAGTCACAAGGTCATGAAACCTAAATGGAAAATGAACACGTCAGCACAAGTGGCAGAAATGGCGTAATTTCACCCGGACGGCTGTGCAGGTAATACAATGCGGAATACAACACGTAAGCAAAAGTGGCACGTTTTACATAATTATGGGGGAGGCAGAGTGACCTGCAGTGCAGGTAACTTATCCGGAGCTCCAAATTCTTATGACGTAAACCAGCGTGACTGGACAAATGACATAAAATGGACAAGCCTGGTATCGAACCCAGGACTTCTAGCGTGCATCCATACACTACTCGCCCGTTATGCCAGGGGGGGGTACCCCTTCCCTGATGGTTTGGGAGATCACTTGATCCCTTCCTCCAACAAGCGCTAGATACCATCGTGATTAGTCGTGTGAAATAAGGATATTAAACCATGATTAAACGTGAATTTTGGCATCTAAATGTTGTGATAAATTGTTTATGGCGTTTTTTGATATTATTGAATGTGTTTTTATACCCCTCAAACGCTCTGAATATGTTTTTAATAACTTAATAAATGCGTCATAAATGCTTCCTACAGCATCAAAATCGTCAAAAATCCGTCTCATATAATACATAAAGTACCACTACATCTGACTAATGTATTCTTATCGGCTGTTGGGTAGTTGTTGTAAATAAACGCCATGAAACGTTTCCCGGGCGTTTAAACGATATACGGGATTTTCCGACAATTGAACCTTATAATGACTTTCGAGCAACGAGATCGCATCATTAGCAGCAGGTACACGGCGATCATATATCAACAAAGCGTCACACTAAGCCTGCACACAAGTGGCTTGCCAACGTCTCTTTATGAATCAAGAAGATCCAACCGAGCAAGCCAGTAGCACGTCTCCTCCCTGTTGCGAATCCGCGCCAGAACCATTTTTTCGTAAAATGAATTTGAGCCCGCATTTTCCTGCAGACTGACAGGGGTTAATCCCAAAATACACCAAAGCCTTGAACTTACTTCAGCGACGTGAGGATGCGGAGGAAGGCGGATAAACTGATTGCAGCAACGGCATGCCCACGTCCGCGTGTGAGAGAGAATCTCCCCGTTGTTACAAAACCGAGAAGTGGTCCAACCGTTCCAGCACACTGAAATGGAGAATTCGAACGGGGGGGCCAGGGAAAGACGCTGAACTCACATCAACTTCCTCTTCGTCCGTCAATGAATACTTTGGACTCCTTTTACGCTTCAGCCTTTCTTGCTCGCGAATCATCTCTTCGCAAGTAAGCTCGTAAAGTACCGCATTATCCTTTGGACAACCCCTCCCTACCATATAGACATTGACAGAGATAAGAGAGGAGGAAAACAGAGTGTCAGGTAAGATTGAGAATTCGGGATCGAGGCCTCGTTTCCTTCGCAACTTCACAATATGGGAATATAACACGTCTTGAAACTTTGATCCATGAGCAACTGCGGAAGCTATTGACTGCACCAACAATCTCACTCCAGACCCAAGCAAGAGCCAGGGTCGAACCGGTTCTGACAATTCCGCTTTCAGCACAGATGCAGAAGTTGGCAACTCTGAAGTGCCATGAGGGCTCAGTTGTGGAGAGGGGACGGGGGATTCAGCCGGCAGCTCTTGGATTGGTGCACGCTGTGAACCGTCTGAAACAGGTGCCAAGAGACTTTCCCAGTCCGGAGTCCACCGATCATATGTCAAACCCTCAGAGTTCTCCAAGATTTTGTAGTTGAATCGCTTGGCTGGAGGTGTTCTTTCCCATTTCGCCCTTTTGGCAGTCACAACTTGAGTTGTGTAAAGGTCATATTCGCACGAGGTGACGTAGTCGTTTGGGAAGAAGCGCTCAGCTGAGGTCGGACTAGCCTCAAAATGTTGTGTTTGCCGTTCCCGTAGACCGCCGACTTTTGCCCCAGCATGCACCAACGAGTTCAGGAATGGCATGGACCATCCCGCCGGTAGTAGAAGTATCCAACCGTGCATTGAAGAGGGACTACTAGATGCATGTACCCCACTCTGATGCTCGTTGACGCCGATACTCCTTTGTATAAGAATGCAGGGGATCCGGTCGTCCTCGGCACAAGGCTTCAAAGGGTTCCCAGGGACAGCATGCTAAGCCATGATTCATAACAGGGAAACGCTTTGATTCGAGTTGGGCAAGCGCACCTTCCGTCGTCTTTCATTCAAATCTGCATTTTTAAACTTCTTTGAACGAAGTTTATCCCGCACCTCTGCCTCCCAAAGACTCCCCTGAGCAAGGTCCGGAGATGGCTGAATTACCAACATATCCCTTTCACTAGACGAACCTCCGCTCGCCTTGTGACGTGATTGCACTCTAACAAAAAGGATGGGGTGGCCGCGCGCAAAACAGGAGTGACGTTACGTACTGCAGTCTAGGATCCCACACAGTCGCGTGCAGAATCAGTCCCTGTGGAACAGAGCCAGACGATTGCAACCCAAAGATAGCCCCCAACGCCTAAACAGGATGAGCAAGAAGACGCGAATTTGACGATTTGCACGAACCTTAGCTTTCGAGGTGCTCTTTTCATTTCGCACTATCCGTAAAACCCTGCGCAGTATCTCTCCTGTCCTCGGACCCATAATTTCGAATGCATTCAAACTGCCACGAAGATCGATAATATCCAGATGAGTCTCGGAATGGTGTTCTGACCGTTCCATGGACGAGTCCAAGGCGGCAGCAGCGCCCGCTTTGAGCGCCTGTCTCACATCATCAAAAAGAGCAGGATGGAAGCGAACCCAAACAATACGGCTTGGATTTGCGGGAAGATGCGGTGTTTCTGTGCTACAAGGCTCCCGTGAAAATTCCAGCGTGCCATCTGAATCGGGAAGCGGTTTCCACATAATGGTGGCCGGTCCAATTAAATGTAGTGGATATTCAGAGAAATGGTACAGAGTGGTTTCGCAAACTCGTGCCCCCGAAGAGTACCTGCGCGCGGGGGTGAGAAACATCATTTCCTTGAACAATTCCTTACCTCTTTGACGAGGGAGTGAGGTCTGAGGGATCGCAAATGGATTTCAAAGTTTGCCTCAAGAGATCCTCGGGTCCTCGTATCTCGAGAGTGGAGAAATAAGAAATATCGTTCAGGATTGACCCATTGAGGGCTGCTCTGTGCGACATTCGGAACGATTTTTCGCTGGTGTGAAGTGCCTGCCAAAAACATGAATAGAGAAATACCCTTCAAGGGACGAAAATCATACTAGACGATACCCCCATTGATCGGTCATTTTCATTCTTTTAGCGTGCCAGATGTGAGACTCTAGCCATGCTTTCTTCCCTGCCGCCGGTTCAACAGATGTTAGTAACAAAGAGGGGACACTCACTTTGACGTCTTAACAGGATCTCAGTTCTACTGATTTTCCTTCCCTTCCCTGGCTTGCGGTCCTTTGAGGATTTTCTTTTCCCGGGCTTTGGTCCTTCGATCTAGAGGGCCCATGGTTGATTAAACCGGTTCGCAGAGCTTGTAAGGAAATTGACAACTTCGGATTTTGCCTTCAGGCGCAGCCGCGCAGGGACGCGACGTGGGTCATGGCTAGCAGCTCGGCGCCGGAGATGGCGCGGGAGTGTCTGCCAGACCCTTTTAGTCGCACCCTCCCTGCGTGTCATTCAGTTGAATCGCGAAGTCGTCATCGATGGAGTGTGCGTTGCATCGCTACTTACCGGGTTGTCCTCATCGCATTGATTATAGCCTCGATCTCATACGTTCTAGACTACGTGTAGGATAAACGAACCTGTCCATTTCACATTTTGGGGGCACGCTTACAAGTACGAAACGCTCGGTATCAACATTTCCAAAGCTGTTGGGAAGCGGTGGTCCAGTGCTGACGGAGATCGTGCGTGCTTCGGACATTTTCTGCCTTTTACGAAGCCTTCCGGAGGCCTTTGGTGCATCCTCTGTCGCCCGGCGCTTGTTGGACATGATTGGCACTTAATTCAAGTCGAGAGAACCAGTTGACGGCAGTCCCCGAGCCCACCTCCCTGTGAATCGACCATGTTGATGCGGCTATCCCGTCGAGGGGATTCTCTATCCACCTCCATATAGAACTATCACGCCCATCGAAGGTGCCGCATGTATGAGGCTGGAATGATCGGTGCTCATAATGAGCACAGCAATGACTGGCGATAAATCAGAAGCTCATGACGTCACAGCATCACTGAGTCTGCAATAGGAACACGTAATGTCCGGTCAGAAATTTACTAATAACGCTACGCCGGTGCAGAGTCTAGTAAAGAGGGGAATTTGTGAGGCGTAAGTCTCAGAGCAAAGCTGATTTTACATAAAGGAATTAGAAATCCCTCCTCAATCCTTCGTTCCCTATCAAAGGCGAATTGGGTCAAAAGATTATGACTATATATGAGTAGGGATTCAACTGATAGAGGCTGGGATCCTGCCTATATAGGATTCAACACACAACGCCTAATTAAATATACCAGTGTATTTTCAAGCTCATTAATGATAGATGAACACTTGACGTCGTGCATGCAGGCTGAGACACAGCGCACATTGTGACCTAAGCTATAAGACGGCAGCTGGGGTGATAGAACACATCCTGCTTTGGCCGTAGAGCAGGAAGGACATGTGAAAGAAGGTAGCGTACTCTTGGGAGATGGATGTAGGGAGGAATTAACCACACCCAGGGCCAGCGAGATCATTAGAGTATGTAATAGAATGTGAATCGACGCGAAATAGTCGGACGCGGCCGGCATGCATGGCAATTTTTGATATTCATCACCCCATGCATGCATTAATGCTTCGGACTTCCATGGTATCAATCTGGAGTCATCGCGTTGCAACCCCTCATGCAGGCATACGGAGTTTAGTCAGGTCCCCGGGCCCACCCCCCACAATGTCCTCGCATGTCGCGTTCTCCGTCACGGCCAGTGATTGGTATGCGTGGGTGTACACACCAGATCGAACACGCCTTTTTTCTCTTATCTGTGCATTAATTATGGCCGGTATTTGTGAATATGTAGATACATTAGATCAAGTCTTCGAAAAATAATCCAAAAATCATCACTAGTCTTCCGAGGCGCGCTCGAAAAACTGCTTTAATGTGGTTGACAATATATCAGGAAGCATTTCGATGTTCCTCAACACGATAAAGTACTCAAACGGAAAGGTGTCCATGTAGTTGCGAGTTTGTATATCCAGCTTTCCGTTTGGGGAACGGGCGTAAGTGGCTTGCTTCATTGTCATGATGGAGCTCGAGTGATCATTGAGCCCATCAACCACCACAAACACAATGAGCACTCGTTCTTCGGAGGCTTTGCGTAGGATTGCGTGTAACCGGTCGTGATTGTCGCAGATTCCGTCTGAGATGATCAGTTGCAACTGCCAAAGATCGGCTGATGAAGACGAGCGACGATTCCGTGCTTCCGATAAGAGGGCGAGACTGCGGTCAATGAGGGATAATACATTGGTTGCGGGTTGGGAGAAAGCGAAGCTGGATAATATCCTGGCACCGTCTTGGTCACCGAATGAGCCCGAGGTGGACGAGTCAAAACCTCGTACCACCTCGACGTCCCTTCCAAATTTCACAACAGAGACCTCCCCGGATTCGAGTCTTTCGAGGGCACGTATAATGAGAGCAATGGTGCCGAACGCCAGATGGCTAGCCCGTCCCTCGCGCATTGACTTGGAATCATCCAGGGCAAGTAGAATCTGGTACTCTCGCTTGCTGGGACGGGTACGACGCAGCCAAATTTTGTCCTTTGAGAACTCGGATGCGATATAAGGGATGATTTTTTTCATGTTCAGCCTTTTGCCAGTTCGATAATCACCCTTCAGCCGGGTTGCGAGCGTCGGTTCTAATATCAAACGCAGTTGCTCACAAAGTGAGTGTGCGAGGTCTTGTGTGAGTGATTCATAAGCTCTCCAAAGTCCATTGATATCTCCCTCTGGACGTCCAGATGTCTGCCAGGCGCGAAGTTTGAACTCGACTTCGGTATCGTCTGGGGGTATAGATTCCTCCGCCGAAATGTCATCGCGGCGACCAGTATTCTGAGATGCACCACCGTTACTCGGCGGGCCGTTTGGCTCGGTATCATCGTCCATCATATCCTGTGGAGACTCAAGGACCGACGTGGCCGGTTTGACTAGGGGTGTTGGTTCCGTCGGTGCCACATCTTCCATTTCCAGCAAGGGAGAAGTCTGTCGTTCATCCTCGATGATCTTCAGTTCATGAAGCCGTGACGCCTCTCCGTCATCCCGAGGGCCCAATGCTTGCATATCCTGATCTTCATCTGTATTGGTGTACTCAACCTGTTCAGGGTCTGAGGGCATGTCCTTAGGTGTATGCTCTGAAGGAGGGAGAATGGACTCGAGACGCCGTCTAATCTCCCGCACCGCATCCCCCAGGTCGCGCAATGGATTCGGGATAAATGAAGTGGGGTCAGAAGAGGGCGGGGGATCTCGCATGCCCTTAGGGAGATCCATTTCTGCACCATCTCGTTGTGAATCCGCTGGGTTATCCTCAATGTGTTCTTCAAGGCTGGACAGAATCATGTCATCAAGGGAGGGCTAGACCGTCACGGGGGTTGGCTTACCCATGAGATGAGCCAGTGCGATCCATGTCCTGGCGTTCACCAGTTTGGGGTGCTCCATTCGGGTGGGATGAGGGCGCGGACGGCTCATTGGATGACAAGTCTCCACCATCGGGTTTTACTTTATCGTCAGCCACTCCCTCGTCGCTTGGGTTCTCGGGTTTCGAAGCATCTGTGGATGAGTGGAGCGGGTCTTCATCCATTTCATTAGTAGTAAGATCCCTGTCCTTCTGGGGCTCTTCTGCATCCTCTGGTGCGTGTGTCTCTTCATTGTGCACCTCCGTATCATCATGCATCGTCGCGTCATCTTGCTGTGGGATGTTTTCCGTCGGCGGGTCACCATCTAAGGGGTCCAAGTGTTCATCGTCGGTGTCCTCGTCCATTTGCAAATCGTCCTCCTGCGCATTTGGCTCCAAGTCCAAATCATCCGGCAAGTCGAGGGTATCGGCATCTGGAACATGCTCATCTAGCTTGCCGCCCCCACCGCTGTCGTCCTGTTCATCAAGGGGATCAGGTAGGTCGTCACTAGATGCTCCCTCCTCGGGACTCATTACATCCTCTGGTTGCTCCTCACGCGGTTGATTACGCTCATCCATGACCTGATCGTTTTGCTTTGGTACGATGTCGGAAGGCTCATTTTTATCGGGGGATCTGTCCTCGTCAATCCCACCGTCGGGAGGGCGCTCCTGGTTATTTTTGTCTCCCCACAGCTTCTCGTCAACTGCGTGAGGATCTGTCGGGTCAACGTCATCAATCTGTTCCTGAATCTCCGTAGTGTCAGATGACTCCTCATCTTCTCCAGCTTCACTTCTTTCGACGTCCTCCAAGGAAGCATCCAGATCTTGACTCATCTCCACAGCGTTTTCGGATTCCGGGACAGTCAGTCCCTCTGGAGGTTCAGAGTCCTCGCCTAGTAATCCTTCTACTTGGCTCTCGTCTTCGATCTCTTGACTAATGTCGTTCGCTCCGGATCCTTCGCCTATCCCGGTGCCCTCGAGAGCCCCTTCGGTTGACTGCTCATCCGAACTGGACTCTTCGGGAGGTTTGCAGAATCCTTTCTCGGAAAGGAACATAAATAATGAACACAGGACGTAGCACAGTTTGAAGGACGACTTCAAGCACAGCGCGAAATCTGTGAGAATGATTCCCATCACACGCACATATTCGTCAAGGAAAGGGAAGACCTCGAGGATAGGATCTATGGGAACAGGATTTAATTTTCCATGCTGTGGCATCAAGCCGCATAGGAAGAGTGTCAGTTGTGACTCGATGAAGCTAAGACGGGCAACTCGTCCAAACGTTCGCCATGACATCGTGGTGCGATGGTAATAACCATCACTGTCGTACTGAACCTGCCACTCCTCTTTCTTGGACCAAGTCCTTAGGCCTTGAACGATTACCAACAGCGATGAAATTATTTCGTCAGCAGGCACAGATCTCACAACGTTGGCTTCAGAAGGAGCCGGTGACTCGGGTTCTAAGTTACTGAGAATGGGACCCAAAAAGGAGTCCATCATTGGCTCTTGATGGATTACTGTCTTGAGAGCTTCTCCTGTCGCAGCAACATGTTCCCGGACTCGCTTCAGCAACGTTTGCTCACCTTATATCGAGTTGAGTTGCTGTCTGAAGAAAGAACTTCAAACACTTACTTCGAAGTAAAAGAGGAATGAAGGAGCTGTAAATTTTTGCGCGGAGAGAAAGAAGTTGATCACGCAGTTCCTCTACTGTATCGAGCTGAGCTTGAAGTTGTTGGACCGAATGTGAAGGGAGTGGTGTTGAACCTCTGCTGGTGATATCCGACAATACTTCCAGGGATTCACGAAGGCCACTTGACAGCACGCCCAGACTCATCATCAGACACTCAACGTCAGGAATTACTGAAGGTCCGATGCGTGTAACGGTTTCTTTGTCCGTCGTTAAAGGTCGGAGGCGGTCCACTAATCCAGAAAGCCGAGTAAACTGATGGCCAACAGTGCCCAATCTAGAGCGGGAACGTTGAAATAAACGTGGTCAAAGGACGGACATTTTGACGTACTGGTTCCTTAACTCAAACGAGATTGAGAATGTAGTCTCGACCCTTGACAGGAGACGTTCAAGATCACGGGTCGGAACGTCCGCGTTATGCTTTGCCAAAGTATCTCCTGCGGTTTCTAGGCTGTTGACCAATCGATGCAAATAGTCATCACTTTTCTCGAAGAGGACTTTCATCTGAGGCAACGACCCAAAGGGAGTCATTGTCAAGTCCAACAAACGAAAACGAGAATTTTGTTTCGAGATAAGATGGTGCTTGGACGTTTGAGGCGTGCCAATGCGCTTCAATTCCTTCAATAAATCTGCCAGTGCTCGTTTCTTGCGATTGAACAGATTTTTGACCTCCTTGTCCTTGTCCTTAGGGTTTTTCGGCACGGGTGAGGCGGAGAGCTCCCGAGAGGCGGAAATAATGCTTGCGGATAAATCATCCGCTGCGGCGCAGGCCCAGGTTGAAGCAGTTTGCGTTATGTCCGAATGCAATATATCCTTGAATTTTTTCAATAAGGTGCCATGGATATGAGTTGTGGTGGTGGATGCATTGATACGGTTAAGAGAAGACGATTGATTGGCAGGGAGGGTGTCTATCATCTCACTGGATCCACTGATAAGATGATTAAATGAGACATGTGGGAGCAGAGATGACTGCACTGGGGTTCTAAGGACGTCCCGGAACTTGCGGATACAACGGTGAAGATGGCGGTGTGTGCTACTTGCACTCTGCTTCAATGCATGTATATTGACATCTTTCCAACTAGCCAACTTGATGTAGTCTCGCATCTCCTTTTCAATGGGCTCCCGAAGCCTCTTAATTTCGGCATCCACAGCAGAGACGGAAAGACGATAGTGTTGCACAAGCGAATCAACGTGGCGGATGATACGGAGCATGCTCTGATCCCTTTGCGACTGCCGTCCATCGATTATTGAAGAACCGTAGCGTGAAAAGGATTCAAGGAGGTCGAGCCGGATCTCGTATTGACCCACAGGACATTCTGTCATGAACTGATCCAACGAAGGAGATATGCGCGCTAGGTGCTCCGTGATGTCACTGAGGGGTTCATCGCTACCGGAACAAATGCTCAAAGGACCCTGGATCAGTAGTTCATACAGTCGGAACCACCACTCAGCTACACCGTCCCTCATATTCTGGGCCTCGGCATCGAGCAGTTGGGACCAACAATTGAGCTCAAGTTGACGCCATGAAACTATTAAGCGAATCAAATCGTTTTGTAAAGGCTTGAGAGAAGTCTCTCGGCTGGCATACTCTTCCCAATCCTCCATGTGACTGATCAAGGCTTCGAGGTACACCAATACCATTGCCACTGGGCTCTGGATGCGTAGGCTCAGGATTCGGTCTACATCACCAAGAAGATGTTGGAGAACCATATGATCCGGCCACTGCTGCGAAAGTGACAGCAGGCGTACCCGAAGAGCACATAAGATTGGGATGGCTTTGTGGACTTCTGAATGTTAGGATTCCGATAGAAGTTGCCCGCGGGTCTGCGGGGCTCGACGCTGGTAGTGCTCTGCTGGTCCGACAGTAAAGATAGCCGCCAAGGAGTTGATTGGAGGTCCAAAGTATCAGGCATCTCGAAGAAAGCCTCAGAACCCATAAAATGGGACGCGACATCTCGGCAATGCTGCTGATATTGGGAACGAGCCGCGAAGTGCACAGCACCGATCGAAGGCTGCATAAAGAGATTGAAGTGCAGCTGTAATAATTTCAGCATGCTCGGTCCCGATACCAGCATATTGGGGGTAGACCTTTGAGTAGTAGCTGCGGTATCTGTACAATCCTCCGTCGGGCTAAATGTAGGAAAGAGTCGAAGAAACTCCTGTTCTTCCAACTCGGCGTCGTTAAATCCACTGCCACTCATTCGTCTTTGTTTGTATATACTGCTGGCTTCCGCTGCTTGTTGCTGTTCGCGTTCGCGATCCTTGAGCCATAAGGAGAGGAGATAATCATAACAGATGCCAAGACGCTCTCGGCATTCCTGGACGGGAGTTGAACATGCCAACTCTAAAACAATGCCTGAGATTTGCAGTAAAGCAATCTCGGACTTTGAAATGGACGGGATGTCGGGAAGCGTTGTGAGCAAGCGTAAATGGCGAGCTGAATGGATAGATGGGAACCTGAAGATGGAGTCAGGAGAACCAGTGCTTGATTTGAGGGCGACATGTCTTCTGCAGAGCCGCAGGCCAATTCGGCAATGTTGTAATGCCCACACAATGGGCCAAATAATGTCCCTTTGATCCGAGTAAGCGTCCTCCAGCCTTTGGCAAAACCCTTCGATCAATCCTTGAACAGAGGACTCGCTATTTGCGAGGTCAGTTGCTTCTGCGGGAATGGTGAGGAGATAATCGAGTCGTGGAAGTACGTGACTGGTGAAGAGTGATAGCTCGTCAAACAGCTGATTCAAACGCAAAATGTCCGGATCCCTTGGCAAGGGAATGGGCGCCAGTTTTTCCGACATGTCGTTGATACGAGCCTTGATGTCCTCAATGAACGTATTTGACGAGTTGTCGGAAAGGATCCGCTCTAGACGCACATCAACGTCTAGGCAGGTTTTCAGTCGTGATATGCTTGACCGAATACAGTCGTTCTTAGTCCGAATCTCAACCAAAGGATCCAATACGGCATCCGGTAGGTAGAGGTGAATGACTGTGAGTGAAAACACAGCAAAAGCTCTGCCGATGGAAAACCATGCAGATGAAGAGGCCCTGGACCTCACTAATGCTTCACAAAGGGGCGTCATGATAACTTCTACATTTCGATCTTCCGCAGCACGGATAGTTGCGCACACGCTCTCAAGGTTCAAATCAGATGGATCGCCTGCGGCGCGAGATAACTGTGCAGCCAACGCTTTAAACTGGCTGGGGGAATAAGCCTCCGGAAGTGCGACGCATATCTGGTGATTGAATATGAGTTTCAATGCGGTTGATGCGCATTAATGGACACACCAACGACAGAGATTGGATAAGGAATGAAACTAGCTGTTGAGAACGTGAACGAGAGTGCCCCTGTGCATGCTGAAAGCAATACGAAATCTGGCGGTGAAGAGCATCACTCCATGTTGATATGTAGCCAAGAGTAACTCCCTCTATACGTCTGCTCAAGTTTAGAGCTGTGAAACTGCGATGAAGATTAGACTCACGTAGCTTCAATAACTTCCTTGAGAATCACAGGATTCAGGAAACCGGCCGGACCATCCAGGCCCTATGCTTTTACGTCAGGGGTATGTACACCAGAAAAAGCAGAAGATCAAATTCTTACCTTCCCCTTATCACCATCAAGAGTCCAACACATTTTCATCCAATTCATCGATATCATGGCTCTTTCGTTTCGGGCGCGTAACATGGAGAAAGCAGGATCTGATTTGGCGTTGTTGTCAGAAAAGCCCGAGTGGATATCCTCATGGATCCATAAAAGATGTTGCCAATAAGTAAGCGGAAGCAGGTGAAGTCCTGGAGTCGATGTTGCAACGGAGATCATATCCCGTATCTGTTGGTGGTAGACGCACGCTCAGAAGAGTAATCAAATTACCATTGCGTGGACATACCTCACGAGGATCTGCTTCTCTTGTAAAGACGCGCAGTTGAATCAGCAGGAACATGACAGTATCACCATCCAACGCCGGCCGGTTTACCAAAGTGGCGTGGTTGGAGATCTGGAAAAGGGATGCACTTCAGTAATAACACAAGAATCCTTGAGGATCGTGCATACATAGCTGGCGATATCTTGTTGCAGTGCTGTCAAGTTCTCTGATTGATTGGAGGTTGGTTGAAAAAGGGTGGAAAGCGACAATGCCTCCAGTGCACGGCGTCTCAAATCTATGTCTGGATCAGTATCAATGCCCCACATGATTGAGGAAACGTGAACCTTCAGCGCTCGTCAATTCAGTTCTTGAAACAAGATCGTTCAGAGCTTGCGTGTTGGATGCTGGGACTATGGAGACAGGCAGGAAGGCGCTCCATATCGCTTTCATAGAACGCCCTGTCTTCAAAGAGGTGAGTTGAAGTAGATTGTCAATTACGATTCTGAGGGATGGGGTAATCCTCTGAATGGGTGTCACTTCGGCAATCGAGGCTACGATGCAGCGAATGGCGGTCAAATTGAAAGCTTCCGCTGTATTAACCTTCCCAAGACTTTCTAGACGGTCGAGGAAGAGGCAAGCCGCACGGATATCTGCCTGTAGCTTGATGTAGACAGATAGCAATCAAACCGATGACAAGACGTGCTCACCCTGTAATCAGTTTTATCCCTGCTAAAGGCGGAGATGAAAGCAGAGGTCCATTGCCTTGCTTCTTGAAACAGGGGGGAAATCCACTCGGTGACTCCGTGCTTGATAACAGGGGGATTGGGGGATAACGAGGTGACGCTACGATACAAGGATGACACGGAAAACTCGGCCTTGTCAAAGAGACTTTCGCGTCGAACTAAAAGCTCCAGCATGTCCCTGAACTGAGGGAATGCGACCGACAGGCCGGATGGGGGTGCGACAATATGAAGATCTAGGGGCTTTTGATACACAATTTATGCATATAATTGTGCCAACAACAAACGTCCTCGACATACCTGAGACCCCGCCCACTCATTCAGAAGCTCAGATGAGCTCAGAATATGGGCATGTGACTGGGGAAACGCCGTTGAGGAGAATAGCTTGAGTAAGGCATTGCGTATCCAGGCTCTCTCGATATTTGTCATGTCGGAGAGGGAGAATGCAGCAGTACGAACAACTCGGAGACGATCACGAACTGACGTGGCACGGAGCAAATGGAAGAGCAACGCCTCCGAACGATACGGAGAGGGAGGTAGGCGGGCTACGTACGCATTGATTGATCCCCAACGTGTGACGTGATCATCTCCACCGAACCAGATATCTCTTGTCACTTTTTGCGTACCAAAGTCCAATCCTCTGCGGTTGAGTTGGGCTGAAATAGCGTCATCTATAGAGGGGCCTCTCACACCCTCAGCCTGAACTCCTAAGCTGAGAGGCGGCGATGGGTTGTCGATTGAATCATTAGGAAGACATGCGACTTCAACTCCCCTGTTCCGCATGGCTCTGGAAAGTTCGCCACGTGAGGGATTAACTGTCATAATCAGCCTGAAATTTGGATGAGGTTGTAAAACCTCCATTTCACCATTCACCAAGCCCCGTTCCGTCAGAGCGAGTGAACCTTTGCCTTCGCAGAGTGAATTTAGCCGATCAAGGACTGCAGGATTACATAAATTTGCATTGTCCAAGAGTAGCCACGAACCCGATCTCACAGCAGAGACCAGCGGACCATCAATCCATTCGAACAGAGCACCAGCCTGATGCCAATCTTGCTCCATCGATTTGATCTCATCCAACAAGGTGCTGTTTTCTGAATCAGTGAGCGCGCCAATGCAGTCGCGCAAGGTGTGGAACGCATGGGGAGGCTCAAAGGGCAAGTTGGAGTGGGAGGCGAATCGTCGCAAGTGGAATAATGCATCCAGACGTTTGTAAGGTTGCTGACTTGCGCGGCGTTCCAATTCCGCAATGACTGAGTTAGCTAGAGCACGGAATCGTCTCCGGGGATCAACTTGCTCGAAACTACCGATCAGATCTGAGGCATCCATGGAGCCGCTTATAGGAATGGTTTGTAATCTGGAGCCACGAAGATCAGCTAGCGTTGTTGCGACAAGAGTCTTCCCAGATCCACTAGGACCAGTCAAGATGAGCAACCAGCCGTTGTCCATACAAGCAGCAGCGGCCTGCAAGGGGCGAAGTAACATATGAGGAATAATATGTCGTGGTTTGAAGGGACGCTCGTGCTGGCGCGAAAGGAGAACGGTTCCTATCTGAACCATCGTAGGTCCAATGGATAGTACGGGACGACGGTACAAGTCAAAGGAAGGAAACGGAAAAATGGCGTGGGCCAGAGACATAACTCTCGATTGATCCTCCTGGGTGCGGAATCGTTGGGAGAACAGGATGTCCACATGTTCGAAAGCGACATCGTGACAGCAAGGGAATGGATTTCTTTCGTGCAAGCTTAGCCACCGCTGGAGATCCCGCAAATTAAATTCCCAAGGGGATCCTTCCACGCCCAATTCACCGCATATTGACTGGCGGTGCAAGGTTTGAATGAATTCGATCATTTTTGCTAATCGCTGGGAGGGTAGTTTGGGACAAGCTTCTGAAGCGATCATGAGAAGGTCTTGCGAGTCCAACTCTTGGATATGAACCTTGATAAAGCGGTTCAGGAAGGACTTCGGCAGGCCTTTTCTTCCTCCCCCTTGATGCAAGGGATTCTGGGCAGCGAATATACGGAACCTAGGATGTCTGAGGAAGGTGCGCCCCAGTTCGGGTATGAATACGGTTCCTCTGTGGTCTAGAATGCTGTTTAGCCCTTCTAAGACTGCTTGTGGGGCCAAGTTCATTTCGTCAAGCAACACCCACTCTCCAAGTTGTAACGCCCGTAGAAATCCAGCATCCTTCCATTCAAATTCTCCCGAGCGACCACCTTCCACTGGCAAGTCCGAGCCAAACAAATCCATTACATCTGTTTGATCGGACAAATTGATGCGACAAAGCCGATGGCCAGTTAAGGCAGCCAAGGCAGCGATAAGGCTCGTCTTTCCTACACCGGGACTCCCCTCTAGCAGAATTGGCTTATGGATCTGGCATGCACGTAATATCCGCATCATATTCAGCCCTGCTGTAGAGGCATTTGTGCTGAATGGAGGAAGTGCCACTGGCTCCGGACCAAGAGGAACAGAGAATGGACCCACAGCAAAACGGGATTCGGTGCGGGACAGATTGAAGTTGTTTAAACCAGCCACTTCCGAAGTCGATAGGGGAACGAGAGCGAGAAGTTGAGTGGTGGCCTTTTCATGCAGCCTACGTATGGAACTATGTCCCACAGACTGGAGACTTGGAAGAGAGCGCAGCCCATCAAGAACGGTCATATGACCCGCGTGATGCTGCCAAACACCGAATGAGAATAACACTTAAAAATAAGCTTGGGACTCACGAAAATGGCGCCTTCCGATATCGCTGCATCAGTAGACTCGAAGACCGTGTTCGAAAAAGACACCCAACCCTTAATACTTATCAGACACAAGACAACTGCTGGACAATGACTGCTCACCAACAAATCTCGCATTCCAACAACAGCAGTTGTACCGATTTCTTGATGAATCCAATCGGTGAACTCAAGCAGGGGCGTGGTGAAGGACCGGAAGGCTGAATGCTTCCATGATGAATCAATGATTACAGCTTTGTCCTCCCTACTATCCAGTGGAGGAACCCATATTTCCGTAAATCTGTTCCGTAGAGCGGGAGAGAGTTCCTTTTTTCCATAATCTCCACCAGGGTTCATAGTCGCAACAATCTCGAACCCGGGTTGGGGGGAAACCTGGACGTCAGCAATATCTAATCCCCCTCTTTCTGCAAGTAACAACGTTCGCGAAGGTTCCAGGACACTATTCAGACGCTCGAGGACGGAGTCATCCGCCAAAGAAATTTCGTCCATGAGGAAGACGCTCCCTGTCTTCATAGCCTTCACAAGAGGACCGTTCTCCCACTCAAAGAGAGAGTCCACGCGCAGGATCTGTTGGCGTAGTTTGTGCAGCTCCTCAAAATGAGCAGAATGTTTTGTATCGCGGAGGAGAGATGAAAGGGTCTGTGAATATGCTTTGATATCACGGGAGTCACTGTGGTCAACAGCAATTCCAAGCCGTTCGAAAACGTCGAGGACCGCGTTACATGCCTCTTGCCTAAGCAATGCCCGATTACGTACGGGGCGTTGTGAACCAAGTAGATCTCCGACTTCTGTGTTCTGGTGACAGTTAAGCATGATGAGGTTGCGACCCATGCTTCTAGCCATGAATTCAGTTAAGGAGGTTTTCCCTGAACCGGTCTCCCCAACCAACAGAACAGGCTCATGGTTTTTCAGGGCCGTAGCCAGTAAGATGAACGCTCTCCGCAGAGACGAAGTCCAAGTGAGTCCAGAGGTCGGCGGGAGTACACCCAACCGCGAGGATTCGGGAGCCATGTACAAAGACGATGGGTCAAGAACAACCTTCAGTACAGATTCAATGACTTCTTTGACCATCAGCTTATCATCTTCCCTTCGTGTTCGTTCCGCCAATAGCATGTACCCAATCAGAGCAAGTTCTTGCACTGATGTAGGCTGTCGAGTGGCCCACCGAAACAGGTCCCTGAGAGTAGCAAAACCTCCCTTACTCTCAAACACACGACTGGTTTGGCGACGTTTTTGCAACTCGGTGAACACGGCGACGATTCGTTGCGCATACGACGGCGCGATGCGGGAGCGTTCATGAAGAATGGTCTCCAATTCAGCCCGAGGGACATCAGTGAAGTGAACTTCCAAAAAACGATTCCGGAATGCCCGCGAAAGAAACTTGCGACCGCCGTAGATACCTGCTGGATTCTGGGTAGCAAACAGCATGAAGCCTGGATGCGGCTTGACAACCTCCTGCGTTTCGGCGACCAAGAGCTCTCGATTATCGTCTAACAGACGATTGAGAGCCTCCAGCACATCCGTTGGGGCTAGATTCAGCTCATCCAGAACAATCCAATCTCCTCTCCGTAGCGCCCGGACCAACAACCCATCTTGAAAAACAAGCTTTCCTGTGGCAGGGTCTGAAACGTAAGTCCCGACGTACTCCTGTATATCTGTGTGCTCATGATTGTTGATACGCACGAAGCGATGTCCTGTCCGTTTGGCCAAATACTCTATAGAACTCGTCTTTCCAGCAGACGTAGGGCCTTCTATCAAGACAGGGAATCGACGAGTTAGGATGATGCGCGCAAGATGAACCAACTTATCCTGGACTGAAGGGGTAAGTATGTAATTACTATCTTGACTAGGTGGGACTGGACCGCGCCGCAAATAGAAGGGCCCGACGGAAACAAACTCGTCCTGTGAATTGGTATTCGAAGGCACTGGAAGGGATGGACGATGTGCCAGCAGGGCTTGCTTATTTGACACTCCATTAAGTAGGTATGTCTCGGCAAATCGTTGGACTAGCAGTGAACTAGGCTCATCAAGGATCATATTGAAGGCCATCCAGCAGCCTTCCCAGAGAGCCCGACGAAGGCCAAAAGACGATACAACGTCCGACGCGAAGGTCAATGCTCGAGCGAGAGTCCGCATGCTGAAATGAGGTCTGCGGTTAGAGCCATCCGCAATCTGGCCAGTACTCGCAAGGCGTCTGACTGATTCGTAGTATTCTGCGACATCCAAGACAGCAGATGGATCGGTGGTGGTGGCTTTCCCGATGTACTGCTCAACTATTGCCACGAGTGCTGGTCTCACCTCATCAGGCGGTGCAACCCAAACCTCCGTAAAACTTGAGCGTATGTTTTGTGGTAGATTCTTCTTACCCACATCAGTCGCCGGGTTCATCGAGGCAAAAATCCGGAAAGATGGATGTCGAGGAACAGGCTCAAGAGTGCCCTTCTCAACTAGAATGATGGAGGATGCGTTTGATGATAAAAGCGGGACCAGCGCCTCCAGGGTTTCTTCGGACGCCAGATTAACCTCATCCAGCAAAACCCTGATGTGAAACGATGAGGTAGCATAAAACTAATTGATGCACGAACTCACCAATGTCCCATTCTAACAGCGCGTATCAGTGGCCCTTCGATGAAGGCGAATGCTAGTTTTGAGGCCGCAAGAACATGTTGAGTCTCAAAGATTGATACATCTTGCACAAACAAGTCCCATTCCTTTTCAGACGGCAGAGAACTAGTCGATCCATCAAGCTTCCGCTTTTTCCTTGGGGTTGCCACGATGGGAGTAGATTCAAGTACCCTAATTCAAAAGAAGCACGCAGCCAGCTTATGTCAATGCAATGGTAATTTGTCGAGAAAATTCCTTACAGCCTACGAATGCGACTTTTAGCTTTGACGTGGGCATCCTTCCAAAGTGCAACTACACGCTTCCACTACTTCCAGCAATGGCCTTCCTCAGAAACTCGCTGTGCTCAGCATTTCTCCCCAAACCGAACGTGGAGTCAAACAATTGAGAAAACCTTGACTGAAGTTCCATCGCCGGTACACGGGCATCCACAGGTTTGAACCCTCCCATCAAATCGCTAGCCTCTGACTGATTCGAAAGGTTGATCACGGTTAAAGTTTGGTTGGCCAATGACGCTAAATACTGAACGGCCGTCGTTTTCCCTGTCCCCGTCTCTCCAACAAGAAGGAGTGGCTCCGAGTAATGTACAGCCATTGAAAGCTTCTCAAGAAGTAGTAAGGCAGGGCGATGAAGGGCGAACGGCCGAGAGCCGGATAGAGGCAAAGGTTGGATGGATGTGTCCACGCGGGAGTGAACAGTGGCACGTCCTATTGAAAACTGGCACACAGACCCATCGGAATCGCTCCTCTCAACGCGTAACTCAGGAACACGATGTTCAAGCAGCCAAGCCAGCCTATCTGTAGATATGTCCAAGTGCTCGAATATGACTTTGGCAATATGGGATTTAGGTGATGAATGATTTGTGACTGTAAACGGAGAGGAGCCAAGAAAAATATCGTATGCTTCGAGATAGATCGCCTCCTTGACCGCAGGACTCATGAACAGCTCGCGATGAACACGAGAATCGACTTGACAGATATTGTCCAAGCAAGACATCTGGTGCGATTCTATCGTCGGAAACAGGCCTTCAACCCGCCTCGCCCACTTCATCAGGTCACGAAATGAAGGGCTAGTGTCGTCTCTGACACTGACACACCCCTTCAAAACCGAATGGATCATACTGTACGTCGACACCAATTTGCCCAAAGGGAATCCCCGGAGGCGGGGGAATTGTGACGCAAGGATAAGTTCTTGATCAGCTGTGCTTGGCGAAGGAATAGGAACCTCAGACCAATATTGATAACCCAAAAAGGTAGATGGCCGAGGAGTGTAAAATTCTGTTGGAGTCCCGGAATTATTAGCAGAACGTGTGGCAAAGAGCGCGAAGTCATCATGCGCAACAACCCGATCTCTTCCAGGGATGTCAACCGTTGCGCGATCCCCAAGACACCGGACTGGAGCTAAACTCTGAGCCAATGGAATAATTGCTCCCAACACTTCGTCGGACGCTCTGTCAATATCTTCCAGTACCAGCCATTTCCCCTCGCGCATGGCAGCTACAATGGGCCCATCGATCCAATCGAAAGCACCAGGCCGCTTGATTGAGGTGACATATGAACCCAGCAAGGACTTAGGATCGATTGATGAATCGGATAGATGGATACTGACGACCTGACGGTGTGACTTAGGATGGATCGTTCTCGCAAAGTGAGAAATCATGAGAGCTTTGCCCGCGCCGGGGGGTGACACCAATAGCGTCGGAAGCCGTTGAGAGTATCGCAAAGCAAGCTGTCGAAGTGCGAAGTGCGTTGTAGGTGTTTCCACTAAATTGGTGGGTGTCGAGGCGTCCGGTTGACTTCGTGGCAGCAGTATACCAGAAACGCCGACAACGTGAGGTGACAAGTCTGAGTACTGTAAAACGGGCGAACTTGTGGAGTCAATGAAAGGGACTTGGTTTAGGGTTCTGGCGCGTTCCTCGATTATCCTTTGTTCTTCAAGAAGAAATAAATTCCACCCGTCAACGACATCAGGCTCAACTTGATCCCCGACGTAGCGCAGGCCGCGCGCTACAGGGACATCAACATTCCCCAACCCCCCAAGATTCGAATGCTCTAGACTTTCGCGCTCGCGCTCTGCCATGCCTGTTTGCAATGCGTAGCACCGAATGGCGAGAAATCGAACACTTGGAGCAGCTTCTTTGGTTTCGATGAGTGTAACAAGAGACGAAAGGGGCCAATGGAAACGCTGGGGGATGCATACATCTGCCCTAAGAATTCTATAGTACGCTAATAAGGTTTTGTCTAAGATACCCTCTGCTTTTGCTAGTTCGTCATGGCGCATAACGTGCGCAATTGGTCCATCAGGTTGGAAACTGCCATTGAGGTATCGAAGAATTATACTGAAATAGCCCTAGTCAGCAACACCACGAGAAAATTTCAGGCAGAAGGCTCGGCCACGTACGGGTAGGTTTCATCATAGATCCCAATAACAACTCCAATAGCCTCGAACACGCTTAAATCGACGAGCTCCGGTAAATCGAGCCATCTCGAGCAAAGATCAAGTAAAATGGGCCGGAAGGCATTTGCTATGTAACTGGTCAGAAAGGGAACCGCCATCAAACGCGACAAAGCATTTAAAATTTCGCCATTGTTGGTCGTGAGCACGTCGGTTGTAAGCTCACGAGGAAAATGAGATTTTGGAAATTCGGACACCAGAGACTTGATCTGCGTTCTTATGTCGAAGAAAATAGTGTCATGACCAGAATATAGCTGGGAGCCTGGAGACGCGATTGCCACCTCCATGGCAAACTGGGGCCACAACGCTTGTCGGGAGCAGAAATTTTTGAATGGTGTCCAATCGAAGCACGTGATCTTTCAATATTCCCCTTCACTAGTCGAGACCCGCCGGAGCTTAACTCACAAAGCGCCCGCGTTGAGATTAGCCCCTGTGTAAAAAAAATGCAATTCTCAAGCCATTTTTGAAAGAATGTGGTGGTTCAGATTTATTACCGATATACCGTGGCAGTGCAATCCCGTCAGGTTACACCTTAGCATACATGAGGGGATCATCAATATATAATAAAATTGCTTCTGCGATGAGGTTCTCGGGTTGGTGTCTTCTGTATTTTTTTTGAAAGGATGAGAGTATGTACTAGTACTGGCAGTTGTTGCTGTTTTCCAACCACGTGTTACCATTTATTTATTAGACTTCTCACAGATTCAATTTGAAAGATTGCGAAGCCTGCGACGTGTTCATTTTTCTCCTCCTGCCGACTCCACCATGAATCCCGCAGTGTCAAACCTCATGTTCTCTCTTGGGGCAATGCAAGGTAATTGGGTAGTCCTTACGCTCAGAGTCTTGGCTCAATGGGATGAGACAAGTTGCCCGCAAAATACCGATGGATGACCTTCAAGTCCTCAACTACGTGCGAGCTGGTTATGCTGTGGTGCAGCTCTTCGTCATTGGCATATACTTTTATGTGTCTTCTATCGTACGTCTCCTTAATTTTGACGTCTATTATCTAACACATAGGTTGACTTGAACAGATCAAAAAAAAGAATGACTTAGCTGTGCTTAAATACGGTATGGACACTTCATCTGCACAGTATGGTGCCTCGCTGATAAGCCTTGGCACAGTTGAGCCTTCCCCTCAGTTTGTCAGTTTCCCCTTTGTCTTTCTTGACTCTATGCCGACTATGGACGGATTTCAAGTCTCAAGAACCCCCGAAAGTTGTACAGACAACAGTGAAGGATTATGACTTAACAGAGGTTTCCAAAGCTGTGAGAGCCTTTTGTTCGAGCATTGCTAATGTGGTTCTTATATGGTTTGAATAGCTTCGTGGTGTGTACATGGGCATTGCCATGCTAGCATTCATGCACCTCTACCTCAAATACACGTAGGTAACTCTCCTATTTAAGTCAAACTCACATTTATCCCTGTTTTGTACATCAGCCAGCCGTTATTTATTCAGGCTGTCATGGGTTTGAAGAACCTTTTCGAGGCTAAAGAATTAGCAATCCATCTTTTTGGGAAGAAGGCAGACGGAGATCTGAAGAGACCCTTCAAGGCGGGACCAGGACTGTTCGGGAGTGAGTATTACTTAACCCACCATGCTGATTCGGACGCTCACCTTGGTTTCTTAGTGGAAGCGCCCGGTCCCTCGACTGATCCAGCCGCCATCAAGGCGGCCGAAGATGCGGCCAAGAAGAAGAGTCAGTAGAGAATTGGAGGCCCCCGCGGTGTTTGTTCATATACTTGCAGCTGTTGGTCGTCGATCCTATGACGAGCTGATAGAATGATACATATCTTATTCTACATCTGCAGTAAATTAATTTCCTCCTTATTCGTGCAAGAGAGTATACCCCCGAACGCACGGCAAATACCATAAGGCGTCTGAGAGAATGCCGATGTAAGAGATAAACGAATTTTAATTTTTGAGAAGGATTTTCGATCAGGTGATAGCTGGAAGATACCGGCTCCCGGTAAGTTTCCCACCTGTTGCACCCTTTCTTCGAGACGTTCGCAAGGGCGGACAGGTCACAGAATCAGTAGACTTCGGCCAAAGCCTCACATCGCCATTAAAAACCCGCCAGCCTAACACCCATCGTACTCTAACATGTACCGACCCCTGGCTTTACGGCGATTCCCCCGGACTTCACATATTGCCTCGAATCTTTCCAAGCCCTCCATCCGCCATAACTCGTCATCATCATCTCCAGCTAACACTGCCAAAAATACTGCATCCAATGCCCTCGGAGCAGCCCAGAAGATATTAGCTGGGGCAAAACACTTATGTGAACGCGCTGGAGCCCAAGCGGGGCAGTTCCTCGGAGGTGCGTGATCCACCAATGTAGATGTTGAGAACTGGTTGCTTACTCCTACCCCCCTTTCACGGCGCCTCTGTCTACTCTTATTTCCATTACAGTATCCAAGGAGCCTTTGATATACAACTTCGCTGTTGCACGTGAACTGTTGAAGCAAGTTTACATTCGAGAATCCTTGGTCCCCCCCACTACCCTGTCAACGTATACTGGCGCTTATCGCACTATACTTGAACGCGCAACCAGCCCAGGATATTGGAGGAGCGTTTTAGAGTCAGGCGAATGGGCCAAAATCGGGATATACGGTTTGGAAGCGTATTTCATCTTCCACATTGGTGAAATGATTGGACGAAGAGGAATGCTTGGTTACAAGATCGAAGCACCTAAGGCCACCCATCACTAGTTGACATTCGCTTGGAAGAGACTACACAATGAGGTTGCATATTTATTCTGTAGTAGTCTTAGAGACGCGGGTGCCGCAAAATCTACATTTCGCTATTACGAGCCTCGGCTCAGACGAGAATATCAGAGCGACTGTGTCTACAGCTATCAAAAAATTCGCACCCTCTCTCCACGATTCAGAGTGGCTATTGCCTGGTTTACCTCGGCGAACCAAGAGATGCCCTTTCTGCCGTCACGCCGACTTCGCACCGTATATCTCAAATCAGCTAGGGTTGAGTTGAAGGGCGGGCCGAAGCAATGCAGATGTAAGTGCTGAACCGAGGTAAAGGGCGGAATATGGAAGCCAAATCTAGGAACACAGTACGGCAATGCATTGGTCGACGAAGGTGCTGGCACATACCTTCTATGATCGCTTGTTGCACCCAGGAGCGTCAGTGAGTCTGCACCCAACGCGAGCATATCTTGGACTTTGTAAACCAGCGCTCCCTGAAGTCAATCATACCATATGTCTCGATATACCCTGTTCTCACCCAAAGGAATGTGCGACGCGTCCAAATCTTTCACGCTTCCTGGGTATCACGATTCGTAGGTTTCCAGATCTAAGTCAGGACACAGGAACAAGTCATACCGACATGCTTCCTAGGAATTACGAGCAGATGGAAGGCGGAAGCAGGACTATGATTTTTGAACACTACATATTCAGGGTTCTAACATGAGTGTAATCAGACTGGTGGGGTTGGCTTATTGCGGTGAGCTGCCTCCAAATGGGAGCGACAACTTGCCTCATTTACAATATCAAACCCCTTGTCCGGTGACACATCACAGAAAGGACATTCTGTAGTAGACCCGCACAACATGATTGTCAAATAAGTGACAGCGCTTCTGAGATTTCGACGCCCGAATGGCTGTGCATTCCGACATTTCAAACAAAGCGTTCCTTCGATTCACTTCCGTGATGGATGACAAATTGTTCTCTGGGTCTTCATCTAACTCTGAGGGTGAGGAGACATCTATGGCAAGCGCAGAATCGATGCTGTTGTCCGCACCCACTACATCGCACACCCAATTAGGTCCGCCAATGCAGCTGCATTCGACGTGCGAACACCTAGTCATCTTGCTCAACGATGCTTCGAATCATATAAGATTTATGAGCAAATACGAGAAACTGGTGCGCTGGGGTATCAACATGATGGTCAAGAAGGATCTTGTGACGTCAGAAGGAGAAAGGCCAGTGAAGCGGAAGGCAAGCTCAATCATCCCTATAGGATTGGCTGGAACTAATGTTCTGGAAGTATTCTGTGCCCCAGTGTGGCTCATGTGCCAAAACTTTACATCGCCCATTCGTCTGTCTGGAGTGCATGTATTTGGGATGCTGGAAGGAAGGACACATTGCGGATCATCTCGAGGAGACTGGTCATGACTTTGGTGGGATAAGCGTGCCGCGCTTTTTAACGACTGCCATTGACTCCGCCTCGCATTCAGCACTTGATGTTAATTCCGGTGCTACTTTTTGCACCGCCTGTGAAGATTTAATTTACCATGAAGAACTTGACAAGCGTAGAACTTCCATACTTTTCGAGGTGGAAATTAGGAACACTGCGTTTCAGAGTGAGTGTGCCCTGTGTCTCCCCTCGATGACTGCTATAACTTGACCAGGCTCTGGAGCCCGTCGAGCGTTGTACAACTCGTGGGTCCCGAGCAATGTGGAGAAGTTGAAACTCCAGAGATCAACGCGCCTTAGTTGTCAAGGTAAGTTCATGCTTATTCTTTGTAGTGAATTTACATTGAACACTTGCAGGCCGGAAAGGATTTCTGAATCTAGGAGCAAGCTGCTACCTTAGCGTTATATTACAAGTCCTCGTTCACACACCTTTGTTGCGGAGATATTATTTGAGTGATAAACACCCACATCAGTTATGCGAGAAAGACATATGTATGGAGTGTGAGATAGACAAATTGCTGACGGAGGCAAGTGACGGCTAATAATGCAACGACAATTACAGAGTAACTAGGGATGATGTCTCTAATATGTAGATTTATTCGTCGGAGTCGCCTTGGATAACTCCAACCTCATTCCTCTATACACTGTGGCGGCATGCAATAGCCTCGACCTCTCAAACCAACTCTCCATCAGCGCCCCAATCCAGTGACACAGGTATTGCTGGATACGCTCAGCACGACGCTCATGAAGTGTTCATTACTATCCTGAACGCCATTCATTTAACATCGACTGGAGATCTTCCACCTTTCAAGTGCCGCTGCATTATTCACACCGTGTTCGGAGCAGAGTTGCAAAGCGACGTTCAGTGCGGCAATTGCGGGAGTGTGAGAAGCGTCGTTGACCCATTGCTGGATCTTAATTTGGAGCTGGAAAGCAAGCCATCAGACGGCGACCATAGTATGGATACCCTTCATGAATGCCTTCGACGGTGAGCGAAAAAACTCTGACAAATTAATTTGCTATCTAATCAATCCTTCGCCTCAGCTACACACGTTTGGAAAAGTTGGGGGAAAATGAGCAACCGTCCTGCCAAGAATGTGACAAGCAGTCGGAGGTCAGCTGCAGAACCTGGAACCTGTGCCCCTTTTGATTTCTCAAACCTCAGAACGCCACTCGGCGCCTCAGCCTGAGAAAACTTCCTCCTGTGCTGTCATTCCAGTTTAAGGTATGCTTTTTCAAAGCAGCTTCATTCCAAAAGACAGCAGCAGTGCCCAAACTCCTGGCAGCGCTTCAAGCAAAACGGCAACTCAAGTACAGTACAAAAGGTGGAGCATCCGGTTCGATTCCCTGCCACATTGGACATGTCACCGTTCACCACGCATGCGGTTGGGATGAAGGATGAAGGATCTCGGTATGGATCCTGAAAGCCGTTGTACGATTCAAGCCTCACCTAGAGATCGTGTTTCACTACTGAAGGAGAGCGAAAATGGGACCCTTATCAATGTATGAATATGAGCTCTTCGCCGTTGTTAATCATGAAGGGCAGATGGACACCGGACATTACACGAACTATGCACGGTATCATGACGAGGTATGTCAATAACACCTAGTGGGGCTTAATATGGACATGAACGTTGTGATTTCTGTGCAGTGGTACCGGTACGATGATGAAAAGTATGGCACCTCTAGGATATCGAAGGTGTCGAAATGAATTACTCTCCCTCATAGGGTAATAAATGCGACTCTCGCGGAGGTCCTTCGGTCCAAGCCGTACCTGTGTCTTTATGTCAAGAAGTATCTTGACTATTCCACGGCGGTCCGTATCACCAGACTATCTTGTTTATGTATCCCAGTTGAGCGTATCTCCGATATAGGGCATCGCCGTTCCCCCTACTGCATGAGCCCTCGTTCCCGTTTATCCCTCAGTCGATTCTGAATCCGTCAATACATGACTTGAATGCACCAAACTCCACCTGCAGTACGTTGATTCCGTGGGAGTGGTAACAATGCACGTTTCATGTATGTGCTTTTGCTAATATTGTGCACACTTGATGCATCGGAGTCCATAAAATTTCATGGCATTCAACTACATGTCGCACCGTGACGTCGTGGAACTGGGTGGAGTTGAAAAGTAACGAGGGGAGATATTTGTACATGATATTTACGATTAAATATCACAACACCCGGTTTGGATTGCATTTCACACGGCTCTGATTAGCTCAACAGATCGCCAATGAATCGTCTGCTGTACCCCGATACAACTGGGATCGCGCGCCCAGCTTCAGCCCCTGGTGTAAAGGTGTCATCAGGATTTCTTACGCCGACAATAGCTGCGGCTATTGACCGCATTAATGTTAATGCCTGCGAAGCTGACGGCGCCGCTCATCACGGCACGTTCAGATTCGATAATCCCACTGGAATGGACATTCCTCCCGCAGCCCTTAGGCCAATGCTAGGCTACAGTTCTTCTGGTAGGCGACTCGGCGGGGAACCTCTTCTGCCTCCTACAAAGGACAAGTCGACAGTTGACAACATGAGCAAACTACAACGCATAGACCTTATCATTAAAGCGCGGAACGGGAGTGTTCTCTCTAGGGGATCGATTCTCAAAACAGACCATTATCCTACTGGTACGGGATTTGTTACGTGATATTAGTGGCGTTGCCGTGACCCCGACTCTAACTAGGACGCGCTTTGAACCTCGATGTGACAATTACGGGTGCCCCGAATTTTCGTAGCCCACGTGTTGGCTCCCTCAATGTTTTTGGGGTCGCGCAGCCTCGCATCAACGGTTTAAAGGCTGTTCTGTCTGTTCTGGGATGTAGGCCCGCGTATCTAAATTCATCCCTCAAAGCACGAATGCCGAATCCATCCGGTTCGGCGACGCCTCTTCTCCCAGATATACCTTCTCCCCCAACACATTCTCCTTCAGCCACACCTCCCAATTGCTCTCGCTGCGTGTTCTTCTCAACTCGTGAGGAGCCTGTGGTCTATCTCTCCGGTCAACCTTTTGTCCTGCGTGACGCTTCTGATCCTACTGAAGCACTTTCGCTCTCTGTCCGCGCTGAGAATCTGGAGGCTATAGAATCAAGACTTAAGGCAGACATTCTAGCCGAAGCTGCAAAGTATGTTAAACGTCTTTCTTTCTTTCATTATATTCATTGAGTCATAATCTGCAGATTTGGGGGATTGATCTTGACTCATTATGAGGGAGTTGGTCAGTGATTCTGTATTTTCACTCGGCTCAGTTCACGCGACGACCGAACATGTACACAGGCAGCGAGGAAGGTATTTTACCCACATGGACTGCAGTCGATCCCAGCAGTGTCCTTACGTCCAGAGAGGTGTGGGACCAGCTGAAGGGCGAGGGATGGAATGTGGAGGTCAGTCAACGGTGCTTGTCATGCATGATTTCATACTCACGACTATACGCTGTCAGTACCATCGGTCAGTGAAATCGGCTTTGTGAGAATCATCGATACCACAGATCATGGCCTCTGTCGTTCCCAGTATCCCTATCTCGCCAGATCGCCCTATCGAGGTTCGTGCAGTTTTGCCACTTCCGCCCGTATGATTCATCGCACAATGCAGGATAACTATCTTGATGCTTATTTGAATGTAATAATATCCACCGATCCGCGACACACTTCGCTGGTGTTCAGCTGTGGTATGGGTGTTGTCCGAAGTAAGACAAATTCATTCATCACAAGCCGCCATTTTCATTGACAATTGACGCCTTCGCCAGCGACTTTTGCCATGGTAGCGGCCTCTATCATCCGACGGAAACAGTTACTCAATACCGGTCTCCCCGATCCATTCTTCGCCACTCCTGGAACAAACGCGTCGGGGGGAGACATTATGCCGGTGGGTAGCGGGTATCGGCTTGTTGATTGTGCCCCTCTAATGCTCATATTTGATGGGAGCAGATGGACGAGTCTGCGCCGACTCTGATTCCCACACCACAGGCAGCAGCTGGACTGGAAAAAGCCAATGCCGAACAAGAAATGCAGAAGGCGCTTCTTCGTTTGACCTTCATCATCCAACAGAGTACTCGCCCTTGATTCGCGCACATGCGTGACTTACTGATGTTTTCCCTGCTTTCAGATATTCAGCAGACAGCGGCACAGAGATCTCAGTCGGCGATAGAAGTTCTTTTATCACAACCCAGTCTACTTGATAGCTTGTCCAGAGCTGTTCGTGGAAATTATGGTATCATATTGAGCTTGCTTGGTTGCCTGGATAACGGCGCCTTTGCGAAACGGCTTGTAGATGCCGTCGTTGACAGCTGTGAGCATCGTTTTATACTCGTTCGGCAGTTAAGTGACCAATTGGATTGTCCAGGTGACCATGTTGTGAATCTTCGAGAAGTTGTGCTTGACCGTCGTATTCACTACTCTGTCACAACCACGAACAATGAGAGGCGCAGCGATTACTTGATGAAAGCAGGGAAAGCCTTAGAGAAATAGTGAGTATTTTGAGCCTGTGCTCCGTGAGTCATGGACGATGTTAAGGCGTTCGTCTAGCTACTTCTTGATTGCGTTCGGTAGCTATGTTGAGCGAGCTGGTCTGAATGATACACACGAAACATTTTATGATTGGCTGAAGGCAAGTGCCCGATCTGCAAGGATAGAGGCCAATACGAATCTTACAATTCTTTGCAGGCACGCGTGGAAATTTGGAAGTATGGCTCCATTATCATGCACGCGCTTGCGACACCTTGATCATTGTCTCCTTTTGCTTAGTCAAGTTACATTCCTGCGCAAGGCTTCTCTCAGTGCGTTCGCGCCAATCGCCAATCTTTCGGCCATAACACGCTCGGGGTCGGCAGCGCCTTCGCAAGAACAAGACGTTCTAGGAAGAGAAGGTGGAATCCTGGCCCAACCCAGTGGAACCAAAGTCCTTGGAGATGAGTGGACCGATCATGTCATCAAGGTTCGACACCACCGTTCACGCTCTAGTTGTACATGCTGAACATGGGTTTCCCTGAATACGTAGAATCGAAGCGGTATCATTCTTCGTCCAAGTACACTCCTGAAGAGTGATTTGTGGAAAAGTGAGTCGCAGAAGGTCACGTCGACTTCGGCTGTTCGGGGTACGATCAATTTCCGCAATATTGCCGGGACAAATATCTATGCTCTTGGTAAGGTTCCTTGTGCACTCGTAACAAGAGTGGGGTTTGTTTTGAATATCATGCAGGGCAACCGGCTGTCGAGGCCATTGATGCAGTTCGTGACAGAATCATGGAGGACCACCAAGGGTCGACTCTTATCATCTGGATCAATCTTCGGTATGCTCAGGAACTACCCCGGCCGAGCCGAACACGGGTTCATGACCTGCTCCCTTAGCGAAGAACCAATTGTCTACATCAATGGAAGCCCATATTGCTTGCGGAGGGAGAACTTCTCATTACGAAACATGAAGGTAATCCTATTTCTTTTATCGAATCAATGCCGTGTACCGCAAGTCACCTCTCTCATTTAGGACTATGGTGGCATATCTGCAAGTCGAATGGAGATTCTCGAGGAACGCCTGAGAAATGATGTCATTGCGGAACTTCAAAGCTTTGACGATAGGCAAGCCTGAGCATCGAGATAACATTTCTTTCCTGTCAATTAGCCCCTGTAGGGTATTGCTGCATACGGAGAATCCTTCAGGTGCTGTAGTACCTATGTGGGAACATGTTCAAGCTGCCGACGTTGCGGATCTTCGTACCGTGATGGAGAGCAAGCGCCATGCTGGGCCAGTGGAGATGTCCTTTGTCAGAATCCCAGTGACAGCTGAAAGGCCACCTGGTCAGTCCCGTGATAAGATGGAAAAATCGACGCCAATTAAGCTTGAATCCCTCGTCATAGATGCCAGTGATATAAACGAGTTAGTCAATCCGATGCCGATTCTGTGGCGCCGAAACACTCAAATAATTTTTTCCTCGATGGAAGACTATTGGCCTTGATGCTGCAAATAGATCATGAACAAACGCCAATAGTTTTGAATTGCCAATTAGGTCGAGGTCGAAGCACCATTACCTCCATATTCGTCTATTTGATTCAAAGGTGGCTCAAGACTAGACGGGCTCGTTCGGCCAGCAACGCAGGACGCGGAGAAGACGACGACATTTTCATAAAAAGGCAATCAAGAATCCCTTCGTACCAAGTTATCAACAGTAAGCCATTCATTGAAACCTAAAACGACTGCCCTGCTAAGAACGATTATCGTAGGCCTGCTTCGCCTTCTTCGTAACGGGGTACGAATCAAGGAGGATGTGGATGTCGCCATCGACAAGGTATGTTCCGGCTGGCTCACGCTGCAGCTTTCTTCATGGCAGGGTTGTCAGTGTGGCGAGGTTTACAACATCAGGGATGCCATCGAAGATTGTCGTCTAAATGCCGAGCAGGCCACGAACGACCAGGACAAACGATTGTACGCTCAACAAGGTAAGTTTGAGTGGTGGTTGTCATTTTTCGTCATTGATGGCTGACAACGATACAGGCATGAGTAACCTCCGGCGTTACTTCCTACTCATCATCTTTCAGGCTTACTTGCGATCGGTTCAACCTGACACGCTGCGTTCGTATGATACCTTTGAGACATTTGTGAAGAACCGACCAGGTGTGTGATAAGGAATTGATAAGGATGCTACTAGAGAGGATCAATGGCGAATCTTACGCAGTGTTCCGAACCCTTGAGAAGGAGCTGCTATCGAATCCTACTAATGCCCTCAAGCCATTGGAGCGCATTGAGGTTTCTGAGGATTTTGCCTCCCCAGACGAGGAACGCATTATAGTTGCAAATCGCAGTGGCTCAGTCCTATCGGCATCGACAATGCTTAAGAGTGACCTCTTTACAAATCTCCAGAAGGTGACTCGTTTGGCTCGATCCGTTCGTAGAAAGTGCTCATCACCCCATAGATGTCACTGCCCGAGTACGTATTGAACCAATTATGGACAAACTGGGGAAGTTCCCATGTTGATTGTCATTTTGCATGTCGGACAGACGAGTAGTTGGTGCTCCCAATTTCCGGAGGTTACCGCTAATCCTTTTTGGCGATGTATCATCCCTTTCACCCTCCCAATCGCAGCTTGTGGTCTGTGGTAGCGGAATGCCCACCGTTGAAGGGCGAGTGTTCAACTAGTTCCAATTAGGACTGAACTAATCAATGTTATTTGTTGCAGCATGCGGCATGTGTTACGACTTGTTCAGGCGACACAAAAAGGGCCTAATTGCGTCTCCTGGATCTCTCTTCGCGAGGCAAATGCTCACCTATTGCATGCCGCTTTTTGTTCTAAGTTCAACCGCTTTAGGAACCCGTTGTTTATGTGGCAGGCAGACCTCATGTCTTACGCACTGTAGATCGCCCGCTTCAAAATGTGGAGGCCACTGGCATCGCCACAGATGTAGTTGAGCAGATGGAAAAGGCACTAAAGAAAGACGTCCAGGGCGAATTACGACGCAATCAGGGCAAGATTCTATTGCACGATGAACTCGAGGGAAGCCCAGGAAATTACGAAATCACGCCTCTGTACGAGACCGCTACAGAGAACGAAATAATGACACCTAGAGACGTGTTCGAACTAATTATGAGTGAGGGCTACAAGGTATAGTCAGGATAACAAGTTCGCTAGGTGTTCAATTCTGACTTACGAATTCACCTATAGGTCGATTATGGCCGAGTAGCGATAGTGAGTCCCACTCCACTTATTTAGTCTCAACTTTTGAAATGTCCTGTAGACTGATGAACAAGCACCGCTTCCTGAGGCCTTGGATCAAATCATTCAGAGAGTAGAAGCTGCCTTGAAAAATGCAATGCACCTCGTGTTTAATTGCCAAATGGTGCGTCGAAGCCAATCCCAAAATCAGACACTTATCGCATAAGACGTAATAGGGGTATGCAACGTTCAAGAGGTTCATTTAGAACCCAATTGATAACCTTGTTCGCTTTCCAGTCGCGGCCGAACAACGACAGGAATGGTCGCGGCGGTGCTGATCGCCACTGTAGCTGCGCGTGACGTAACTCTGGATCCCGTGGACGACGATGACCAGGAGGATGCTGCAGATCTTGCCATGTATGATCGCTACGATGGGTATGAAGAAAAAGCGTACTTGAATGGTATGATCTCACTGCTTCGCCGTTTGAATGCTCGCTAATTTTATACGGCAAGGCGAATATAAGACAATCCTTAGATTAGTGGGCATTTTATCACACGGAAAAATTGCGAAGCGGCTCTGCGATCGAGCCGTCGATAGTGTGGACAGCGTGCAGAATCTCCGACGTGCTATCTTCGAGTAAGCCGCCTAGATATGCATGCGCACCCAACTCATCATGTTCTAGCTACAAGATGAAGCTGAATGCGCTTGATCAGTCCAGCAGCAAGTATCGATCAGTATTCGACATTGCCTGCAATTATCTGTATGTGCTGCACTATCTCCTCATGATTGAACTTTGTATATGAACGATTTTCACAGGTATCGGTGAGCACCAGTGGCGTGGAAGAGCAAGAGCTCGCTTGCTATGACCTTTCTACTGAGAACATTCCTTACTGCTAGCTATGGAACCCTGATTGTCCTGACCAACTACCTTATAGAGCGACAGGCTCACCAATTTGCTGGACAGGACCAGTCTTTCCCTGTGTGGTTGCGAGAGCATCGTGAGGTATGTCCATTTAGTGGTTGATGCGTACCACCCTCCATGACTCGCTTGGAAATCATTTGCAAAGATTACCAACCTACTAGGACGGCGGACTTTAGAATAGGGTTGGGTTGGTGGGCTTCTGATCCATCAGAATAATCCTAATAAGAGTGGAGCATGCTTAATGTATTGTCTTATCGCTCGCATGTGTGCGGCATGAAACTCAGCATGCACTGATCTGGCAGCTTCGTCATTCTGTAATATATTGAAATTCCGCCAAGCGACGTCGCTTGAGCCAATGATCTCACTGCATAGCACAGTTATTTGTAAACTGGTAAAAAGAAATATGAGAGAAGAGTTTGAGATGTAATATTACGTGAAGCGTCATAACTTCCGCAAATGCGCCGCCATGGAGCCATCTACATTTAGGGAAAACTGAGTGGGCAGCTCTCGTGTATGGGGTAGATCAAAACTCCTGTATAGCCCTTCCCATGAGACGATTCGAAGGGGTTAATGCACCATATCCTCTCACAGTCGGAGGAGTGGAGACCAAGGATATGAAGCCGACCGATAAGAGGAGAGTCCTAATAGATCGGTATGAGTCCGGGGAGATCTAGAAAGTGCACTAATAACTAAACTAGGGCTCAGAGGCAGCATTTTCGGAAGATAGATATCTGCATATGCATCCGCAGTGCCTCCCCGCAGACACGGCTCGAAAGAGAACTTCACACACATTGTATCAGTTCCATGACGTTGATGTAAGCAATGCCTTTCCTAGTTGGGGTGTCCGTAGTGGAAGGCTAAGCTTTCAACTATGAACAATCGAATGGATGAGCGGCTAATTCATGAGAACTTCGCTTTAGGCGCTGACAGACTGGACGCCATTGTCGATGATGTGGTTATGTCGGGGCTGATACGCAGGCTCCTGCTCCATAAACATCTGCCGCGCGGCCTATGTCTGGAATGAAATTTCCCCCTGATCCTCCAACATTCATCACTCCCTTCTTTGGTTGGTCACGAGTCTGCGCTATGGGTATCTTTCAGGGATGGGAGGGTTCGCTGCAATGCAACTACCAATCATGACTGTGGTTCACTGATCACCGAATCAGTGTATTGCTGTTTTTGTCCTCAATGCGCGCACACACGTGCAGAATTGTATGAAGTCAAATCACAAGATGAAACCATGCCCCTGCATTGCTCGCTGGAGCGGCACAACGGGCAACGGTGTCCGTGCCAAAACAAGCGAGCCCAATATGTCCAGGAGAACATCCGATAGCATCATTACTGAGGTGTGGTATCGCTGATCCAACCACATGACATTTCCCGCATGTATTTCAGCGTGTGTCGTCCTCCAGCCCAGAAGGAAAACAGTATCAATGAGAAACAAGATCGATGTATCCAGTACATATGATGAGTACAGGGGAGCGGGCGTCTAGGAGAAATGCAACCAACCCGAAGTTGGGAGAACATCAAGATCTACACGCTGGGGATGTTGCATGCGCAGCGAAGTAGATGGATCTGACTGTTGTCACTGTGGGAACTTGCTCCAGCCCATGTGTTGAAGAAGAAGAATTACTGATGTAATTTCTTCCGTTGTGGGCTGATGCTGAGGACAAAGGATAGAGAGGGATCGGTGGAGGTGAAGACGAAGAGCGGCGTTTTCAACCGTGTTCGGATCAATACTGGGCAAGGAGCCCTGCTGAACGCTGGAAGGGGCCGTTTGCTGGTGAAAGACTTGATCACTAACGGGCATGACCCGGTGTCGACGTCCACCGGAGCCCCCTTCATATGCACAGGGAGGAAGGGTACCGGTCACCACTAGTTAATGGGGTCAAGGATGTATCGAAACCCAGAGACATAGGAAGCCTCACACGCACTGGCTGCCCCCCCACTGGTTCCGGCAAGTACAGGTAGAGGGTCAGCCGGGTTCATCAGTGTCTCCCTGACCTGGTTTATGAACGCTCGGTCCTAGTCCAGGCCAAAAGAATTAGTGTTTTAGCCAACCAAACATGCGCCCAGCAGCATGCCTTAGTCCATCCTGGTACCGCCTCGCCATATCCTTGGCATTGCCAACCTTTCACACGACAATAGCCACATACTCCATCCTGCGCAGTCATCGGACACACTACACGCGATATACTGAGAATCGAGTGGTGGTGTGGCATGCAGGCAGGGAATCTCACATTTTTTGCTCACCCTGCACTGAAAACATCCAGCAAGTGGCTTGGGAGGCATTTGAAGGGTTTCGCAGAAGCTAGAAAGTAATAGTGGAGTGTCTCCAGTGACAGTTGGTTTCAGGCAGTGGAAATGTGATGATGTTTACGACGAGTGTATGTCGTAGAATGGCAGACGAATTACGACCCCATAAACGGATGCCATAATTACTGTGCAAAGCTGAAGAATTGGTACCACAGCCACGCACGAATGGCGCGCGCATGGGTTGTAGGTGGGACACATCTCCGGCAAACTCCGCAACGCCTCCCTACTGAATCCGTGATGAGCTAATATGGTGTGTCAGAAAGCTGAGGTAAAAAGGGGGTATAACCAACAACCGTGCACGGCCATTCAGTCTACGCTTCCATGGGAATTCTCCACCACTCCGGTTCTCAGGCGTGACCTGCATCATGTGCAGCATGGGCAAAAACATGCGTTGCGCTTGGGCCTGGCAATGGCACAATTCTCCCCAGATTCGATAACTTTTCATCGAACCCAGTGAGGGTATTCACGAAAGTGCAAAATGCGCACCCGGCCCTAGGTGCTTCCTATAACAGAGAAAGGGATGTGCATACATCATTGATCATGGTCGCTCAGTTCAGTACCAAGTCTGCCGAGCTTTAGGTCAAAGTGACGAAGCGAAAGATGCCCACGAAACCACAGAGACGTCCAAGCTGAAATTCTCAGATGGCTGAGGAGAACAAGTAGTGATAAACAGATGTAGGGGATGGGGGCGAGACCTCAAGGTTGAGAAACGCCGTGCTTCTCGTCCTGCGCAGAAACCCTCGGGAACGTCAGAGTGCACACCAGCCACACGCTGATCGGCCCTGGTTGAAAGGAGGGATGTTGTCAGGAAAATATCATGTGCGGTTTGTGTAGGTTGCATCGAGCTGTTGGCACTTTTACTACAAGTACGAAGTCTGAGGTAGGGCTGGGGCCTGCCCAGTAACGTGGACACGCAAGGGAATGTGAATTGCTTCCGAACCCCTCAATAGACCTTAGAAAAACAGCTGTTTTCCCCAAAGCAAAGCAACCCTGACCTGGCGGCTGAGACGTCCGCATTTCTTGTCACTGCAGTGGTTGTCCTGGCACACACGTTCAACACCAGTCTTAAAATCCATTTTTATAATTGTGTATTTACAGACGCATCTAAAAGTTTAAAGGGTACATAGGGCATGACTCGTAAAGAAATGGGCGCCCCAGGCCCATCACCATGTCACGCTTAACCACGTTCACCGCTACACACCAGTCACAATGGGCAAGCACCTCGAACCTGCAGCCAAGGACCTCGCTGTCACAATGTACAACTCAATGGGCGCATCTCTGCAATCACAATGAATACCACAATATCGGACTCCGCTTAACCTACCATACCTGGTGGACACCACCTGACGCGGCAGGTCCCGCCACTCTTCTGTCCCCCGTCGTAAGGTAGGCATCGTACATAAGTAATCGCTCTCCGGAAGCAAAAATCACAAAACTGCGTTGCCCTTTATCGTCAACACAGGACTTCCACTGCTCAAATGGGGGCCTGGAAGCTGTATAATAGACATCCTTCAGTGATTTGGTGGATTTAGATTCTTAATAAATGGACACCGGCCATGGCAAAACTTGAAGGGTCAATAATTTTCAATACCGGGCAGAAAACGAATGGCGGTAACTGCCGAAATTGAAAAAAAGAAATCTGTTCCTGTTCCCTTTTCCCTCCAAGAACCGAGTACTGTGTATGCCTCCAACAAAAAAACGAAATAATTTGGGACTATACTCCCAGATTCTTTTTTTTTCCAATCCATATCTCACATATTCTTGTTTTCTGATTATTTACAGGTTTGAAAATCGCTCGCGACATGTTTGCCGCGCACAGCCACACCGGAAATTTCCGGGAGACTTGTGTGCACGCTGGAGGAGACGCAATAGAATAGCGTGGTGACAGTCCTGGCAAATGCCAGAACCTCTGGAATTGAAGACAAGCCGGGTAATTTACAAGGATGGAGATTGGGGAAGGAGGAGGGCAACGCGAAAAAACAAGGATGAGGAAGAACAAGGAGGAGAAGAACGGAGGTTACAAAAACAAGGGAACAACCGAAAATAAAGAAACCTAGAAAAACTAGAGTAAGCACTCGGGATCCAACCCACCGAGAGTAACCGGAGGTCACAACACCCCTGCTCAGTGAGACCGAAATGCTTACCGGAAGTAAGGGACTCCGAGAGAAAACTATGACAAAAATCGCTTTTCAGGCTAAAAGAAATGAGACTAAAAAAGAAACAAAGAAAACGCCTTCAGCAGAGGATGAGGAATAAGAGGGCCAGAGCCCAGAAGCATGAGCGGACGAATAAACACGTATGGAATTTGTCCGAAGAAATCGACCCAGGTATGCAGCAGCAATAAAACCTGAATTGGCATGACTGTAGCCTCGGAAGACACAGTATGCGTAAGGCCGACAGCGGGTACGGCGCATAAGATGAAGGCATCACCGGGTAATGTGCCATGCACAAAAAAAGAGCGCTTAGTCCAACCGCACACAAGTCTAATTTAATCTCGTACCTCCATTAAATAACAAGTGATTACTTATGTACGATGCTGTTAGAACTGGCGGAAACAGACGACTCCGGAGTGGAATCGGAGACTTAGCGTGGAGGGACCTTGGCCTCAGCGACTCAAGCGGAGCGCTGTGCCATTGCTGTTTGTCCATTTGGTCCTTAATTTCACAGTAGGTGAGCAGGAAGTCTCTTGGGGGCATTTCAGGTCGATTTCGGACTGAACCAAAACGAGTATGTACAAGCACCGATATATATAATGGAAGGGGCAAAAGCACAAGGAGAACAAAGGGTAACCGAATCGGAACGAAGACGTCCGAACGGGAACAAAGGGTAGAAGAAGCGGAGCAGTACCGAAGGTCATAAGGCAGGACCTGTGATACATCCGAAAGGAGGTAGGGAGGGCGAGGCCCAGAGGGGCAGGAGGATGAGGGGAAGTGGGGATGATGACTAACTGGCTAGAATAGGAAGAAGCAGTAGTCCAAATAGGGGTGAGGGGAAAACGCGAGAAATACATTACAAGCGGCGAGAGGGCCGAAGGTGATCCGTGAAGCTCGGGGGTTGCGGAGCTTACGGAGGTTACGGAGGCGGGGTTGAAAGTCTGAGGGATATTGGCAATGGTGTTTACGTAGTATGAGGTCACCAATGCAATGGACTAAGACCGAGGTGGAGTCAAAGTCCGAGGTAGGGACTATGACGGAGGCTCGGAGTAAGGTACGAGCGGTGTCCGAGTGCGAAGTACGGAACATCGGTGGAAGGTCGTAACTTGGCGGAAGGGTGGCGGAGGAGTAACAGAGGGAGGAGAGAGGGGGAAGGTAAGGAAGAAGGAGTGGCGGAAAGGAGAGTAGTCAGGTCCGAAGGTGAGTATCGGAACGGACGGGGGAAGCGTAGGGGGATGACGAGAGGGTGGAGGTCCGGAAGTCGGGTCGGGGTCGGGTATGCACGGATATGACAGATGCCTACCTTACAAGGTCTCTATTATTGCCAATTCTAGATAACCCAGGTCCTCCCAACAATTTCCCTTATACCGCACCACTCTCATGCCACTTACTTTGCCTTCCCCCCGCTCCTCTTTGTACTATCGTTTCACTTCGCTGCTTCTCTCATGCTTTCCGGACCACTGCTACCTTCCAGTTCCTCCACCAATGTCACCAGTGAGTAACGCAATTTCTTCTTGCTCTTTCTCTTAACAGAATATCCTTAGCTCCCTGGTCTTACAGCCTGCCGAATTGCCATCTAATGAAATAGGAGCTATCGCGCGTAACTCAGTCTCGAAATAGAGAACTAGTATTAAGATTTTTACCTATCGTGCATAACTATAACATGAAAATACAATGAGTTATGCGCAAACACAGATAGGAAAGAAATGGTATCACCTCAGTCTCGAAATAGAGAACTGAGGGAGGGAGAAAAATTACGGCATCCAGCGTAACTTATACGACTGGAGCCAATATCGCTTAAAGCGATTGCCAGTGACAACTGGCGATATAAGACAAAGTAAATTGGGAGCGCATGGTACCGCGACTCTGAAACAAAAAGGTATAGTCGTTGTTAGTCACAACGATATTAAGTTAAAATAAAAACTCCCCAATCCATGCTGCAGCTCGGCTGTTGTCGATGAGCGTTGATATTCCAACACCATCTTCTCACCAGTTGATTCCCCTTGCTGAAAACCACAGTGTTTCTTTTAACATTTGCACTGTGTCGCATGCTGAGGCAAGGTGGCTATGCAAAGTAATTCAAAGTTTCCATTTCGGGAATGGATTTACATTCAAAAATGGCTTGTGTGCATGCAGGAGACTCAAGCGATTAGCGGGGCAACAGTCCCGGCAAATGCCAGAACCTCTGGAATTGAAGGCGACCCGGTTAATATACAATAGGGAGGAGACCGGGGAAGGAGGAGGGTTTCGCAAACGACAAGGACAACGAGCAATAAGGAAAGAAAGACAGAAGTTACAGCGAGCAAGGAAACAACCGAAAAAAGGAAACCTAGAAAAACCTAAGTAAGCAATCGGGATCCCACCCACCGAGAGTAACCGAAGGTCACAACACCTCCCCCTCGGCGAGACCGAAAGGCTTACCGGAAGCAAGGAAGACGAAGGAATGTCTTCGTCAAAAAACAGCATACAGGACAAAAGAAAAGACTAAGAAAGAACACGCCTTCAGCAGAGGAAAGGTATAAGAGGGCCAGAGCCCTGTAGCATAGGCGGACGAAACTCACGGATGAGATTGTCCGGAAGAATCGACCCAGGAATGCAGCGGCAAAAACCTGAATCGGCATGACTGTAACCTCGGAAGGCACAGTATGCGTAAGGCCGACAGCGGGTACGGCGCATAAGATTAAACACCACCAGGAAAAATGCCATGCGCGAAAAGAGACCAATGAGTGCGTTTAGACTGAGTGCGCACAAGCCTAATTTAATCTCGTACCTCCATTAAATAACAAAAAATTTCCCCTGCCGGTTGGGTGTCACGCGTCTCCCAACGAGTTGCCGGTTGGTAGTTTATATCATGTGACCAGTCACGTGCCTGGCTCGGCCGGTAGTTGGTCATGTGAGTACAGTATATTATTACGAAGTCATAGTGGCTGGAGTCCTGCCTAGAGCAGCAGAGTAAACGGCACGAGAGTGGTGCGGTATAAGAGAAACTGGTTAGTGAGTTGGGAGGACCCTGGGTTATCTAGAATTGGCAATAATAGAGACCTTGTCACCAAACGCATTCAATCAGGGTCGAAAATTTTACAAGACCCGCTACAGAGTTAGCGGGAATTTTTAGATATCACAAGACTCAATGTCATATACTGTATTAATCTCATCCACGCAAATTGGATTTCCCTTTCTGGTTCGGTGCCGAAATAAGCGAGCTACTCAGCTGCTACTGGGGTTCCACGAGAAAAAGAGCGGGATCTTACGATGCCCAGCAACAGGGATAGCATTCTGTGATCTACCCCCAAGCAACACCCATTCTCTGCTGACGACCATTGCCTCCCTTCCCCTCAGCCAACTGTTGCTTCAGCAATATCCCAAGGCCTTGCCCACCTAAGCGTCCTCACAGACACTATGGATCTCAAGCTGGTTTCTGGACTGGCGGTGCACCCACTCCCATATATGACAATTCGGTTCCATCGTATGGAATATTCCATGCCGATCACACCTAGCTTCACATCAGAATAAGACTCTTTTCCCAGCATTGTGTCCCTATCCCATCCCCACATCATCGTAGATAATGCAAATTAAGCACCATTGTGATTGCGCCCTAATTTTTCCCAATGTGCCAACCGCCATCGAGCTCTGAGGTTCAGATTGGATCTCAATTTCAAGCGCATGAAATTGGAAGGGGAGGCTTCTCATGATGATGGAAAAGGAAATCTCGCTAAGGAGGTTGTTGCCCCGTTTATGCGTGGCAGTGCGGCTATCCCGAGACCCGTTGAATTGAATCCGGAACCCATTTTGCTAAATGGCGCGGCACTGTCCGCAGCTGGCTATCCACGTAAAATATCCAGAAGAAAACAAACAAACAAGCCTCTTCGAAAGGGTCTGTCCGATCAGACGTGAATGGGTATTGATTATAGTCGAGTTAGCGCCCATTCTCCACTCCCGGCCCGTTGAATGATGAGACGGCGACAGCTATCCAGCCAGCTCTCGACCCCAGTGCTCATGTCGGCTGAGAAAACATGTCAGCGCTGAACTTCCACACATCATCACCATCTCATGGGTACCGGACACACGTGTACACCTCTCCAGACATTGTAATCACGAGTCACCGAAGTTGGAGGAAATGCAGTTGTACAGGAAAGGAACCGTTCCGCAATATATTTCACTTTGTATATATATAAATACGCACAGCTGGACGTTCACAAAAATCATCAGTTTTTGCCTGAGCTTACATGATTCAGATAGGAATGACGTTGCTCAGACGGCTCCTCTACATGACAATGCAACCCACTTACAAAATTCCAATGGATCATGAGTATTGCATAACGTATTTACGGATACACCGGGCGATGAGGACCCTAAGACCTGGTACAGTAAAGTCCCGGAGTGAAAGCAATGGTATCGAAGCATGAGAACAACAAATGACAGCGAATTCCGTCCGTGAAATAGAGTCCTCTACGTCAACATAAATAAAAATCCGCAACATTAACCGAAACAAAAAAGAAAAAGAAAAAAAAAGGGGGGTACAAAAGATGGCATTCGTTAGATCATCCGTTTGTATCCCCACTACTTTTCTTGTGCTGATCGGGATTGGCCAAGAATAAAGCAGGTTTTTCGGATAAACCCCACTTGACGCTAGCCGTTGACGCGATTGTTGGGCTCAAGGTAGGGCGCCGCTCAATTTCCTCTGCACCTGTGTCGGGTCCACCATGAGCTGCGCTGATGGAAGCGTTCATGGTTGCAAGCCGTTCGAACTCCGCCACACGGTTGGCCACCCTATGTGTTGGAATTTTTCGTAAAGAAATGCGTTGAGATGACGTGGTTGGTTTTGGCCGAGGACCAATCATTGCGCGCGGTGGTGGAGAATGCATGTTCGTTGGAGTCCATTCCGTGGGTGATGATACAATTTCCCCCAAGTCAGTGACGTTGTCAACAACTGCCTCACGTTGTCGAGCTGACGAGACAGACCCCAATGGAGTGGGTGTGCGAATCGTGCTCGCGGTATGCATCCGTTGTATAATGTGCATATTGCCACCCAAACGCTCCAGCATCTCGCTGCTTGCAGTGAGCTGTGAGGATAGAGATCCTGACTTCCTGGGTTTGGGGGCATCCGATATATTGCTAAGCTGGGCGCCAATACCCCGGTAGGACCGCCGATTGTTCTCTCTTGACAAGTGGCCTCCAGGTGACCCATCTGGAGAGTTAGCCACCTCCTCTATGGCCTGCAACTTTGGAGGCGGTTTTGGATCCCGGAAGTCAATTGAGAAGCGATTATCCGCTGCAGGCGGAGTTCCACTTGAAAGAAGCCCAAAACTCAACCGACGTGGACGGGTAGCAGGCGGCTTTGTGTCAGATTCCCCATGGGAACTAGAACTCAATAACCCAGTTCGCAACGACGTTCGACTGAAACGAGCCCACCAAGAATCCGATCGCTTCAATGGTTGCAACGGGGCCCCAGACATGACACTTGTGTGAGTATCCCCGCTTTGAGGGAAGCGGGAGAGTCCGGAAGACGGATTCGAAGATGAGGCAGTAGAGTGGGATTGGTCAGATCGGGAGACAGTGAGTGTAAGGGATAACTCAGGCAGGTCGACCCGAGGGGGGGAACTATGCGTAACCAGACGAGCTTGTGCGAGTTTTGAAGACAACTCGTCTTCTTCCTGGTGCGCCGACGGGGAAGAATACTGGCCAGGTGGGTGAATCGGATCGTTTTCAATTGGATCAGCGAAGGGGTCACGGTAGCGTGACGAGGACTCAGATTGCAATGTATGAGAAGTAAGTCCATCTCCCAGATGCCTGGACACTCCCGGTTGGTAGGGACTCGCAATTTCATCAATAGCATGTCCATCACTCGGGCGGCCGTTTTCATCTAGTAGCTGGGTATGGGTTTCGACGTACTCCATATCCTTTTCAAACCAGTCCCGACTGTCCCGGCCTGACCCCGATGGACCTGCAGTCCCGCTTACTACCCTTTGCATCGCTGCACCTGCAGACTTGATACCGTCCGCAATGCTTTCTCCAACAACTGAGGTCCATGTTCTACCAGACGCAGTTCGACGGCCAGGAGGGCTCCCAGACATGCCTGACGCACCACTGCCGTTACGTTGGACACCGACGGGGTATATTTCTGGATCATTGAACACGCGTTCATCCTCGTCCGCAAGCATATCAAATCGCTGATCGCTCCGTCCGTTAGAGTGAGAGGCCTGAGGACGCCCGAGACTGAGCACAGCCCATGCAACACTCTTCCTTCTGCTTCTCCTGTCCCAGCCACCTGAAACAGAAGCCATTGGAAGACGCCTCATCCCGTCTTGTAGACTGGTCGGCGAATCGACAGGTTGCTGGTCACCTTCATGCTCATCGTCATCAAGGGGAGCCGGGCGATGAGTAGAGTCACCGGCTAGGGCATTTCCTGTGGTAGCGATTTCTGCCCCAGTCGGAGCTCTACCTGCGGTAAGCTGGCCTCTGGGTCCCCCATCGCCGTCCTCCTCATCACGATACAGTGGACGAGGAACAATCTCCCAAAAAAAATCACCATCGCCTCCATCGTTCCGCCATACGGATGGGTTCCGACGTAAGTAAACACAAGTTCCACCGAGTGAGGCTGCCACAAAAGCGCATACACCAAAAATGGAGCCAAGCGTGATTGCAATGATCCTCCTGTCGTGTCTGGCCGCCTCTACACCATTCCCTATGCTCGTACCATTAGAACAGCTCGACGTGCAGGTTAAGACCACAGAGCCGGACGTTGAGGTGAAAACATGTTTGGGCGATGGGTTTGTTATAGAGCTAGGGGATGTTCGGGAAGGTTGAGGAAAATCAGTACGGGTGTGAGTCGGAACTGGTCCTGGCGAATAAGTAGTCATGCTCGAGCCGGAGTTAGCATCATAGAGAATAAGACCAGAAGGCGTTGGCCCTCTCGGCCCGTATCCTAGGGAAAAGCGCGTTCAACGATGGTGTATAGCGGTATGTGATAGGTGTCACGCACCGAAACCGAAAAATGTCTGGCCATGTCCCAAAGTCACAGCAAAGTGACCAGCTCGCGGGCCAAGAAAATTCGCTAGGCCTGGCGCATCCGTCCAAGTCAGAGTACTCAAGTTCAGAATCGCCGCATCACCAAGGACAGTTTGTCTCGAAGGGTCAGATGTACCACCATGGATGAGGAGTCTTTCATCATCCAAAAGTGAATAAGCGAAATCGAGCCGAGGAGATGGAAGGAAAGAATTAGAAAACTGTTGGCTGGACCATTGCGGCGGACCCGTATTGGTCGTATCGACAGTCCATATCATATTAAGTGGGACCATCTGGTACTGTTCCCGTGCATAACCGCCAAACACGAGGAGAGTGCCGTTGGATAATAGAACAGTGCCATGGCCTTCTAACTGCGGGGAACTTCCACCAAGGTCATCGAAGTGTGGTTGAGGGGAGGAAGCAGTGGAAGGAATGAAGAGGTATGTGGAGTTGAAATTAATACCGGAGCCGTCCGCTTTCGTACCGCCAACTATCCACGCGGTGCCTTTAACATTTGTTGAGGTATGATGAATGTGTCGGATAGGCTGGTTTGCCCACCCTTCGTACTGACGCTGGAAATTGGGGAATGAAGGGTCTGTTAGGATCCAAGCTGAATCGGGTTTTGTAGCGCTAAGCATGCTTGGGCCCCCATCACCACCGAAGCCAAGGAAGTTTTGGTCATCTAGAGGGGTAAGGGTGTGAAATGCTAGGGCAGGCGAACCGAGTGGCGAGCCCGGGAGGCCACCGCCCGCCAGAAGCTGCCATGGCGGATTGGCAACATCAAAGGACGAAGTTAAGTCTAGCGAAATCAATTCGTCTGTGTTGGGCGCGGAGAAGTAGGAGTATTCATTGAGTGGATCGACTTTCCCTCCGTGTATTATGAGTCTTTCAGACGTGATTGTATATGCCTGGCCCCATCTTTGGTAACGAGTCAACATCGGCACCTGGGAGCAATGGAATAGTACTTACCTCGACTGCGGTGTATAGGCAATGGAGAAAGTAATACGGGAAAAATATATATACAGAATGGACCACAACAAGGCACGATCTGAGAACTTATGGCGATGTTGACTCAACTTGACACACGCCAACATTGCTCCAGCCTCGAGGGAAAGGCAATCTTCGGCGCTGGAAACCCCTGAAAAATGAATCCAGTCAAGAGTTTCTGCGCTGGAGTGCGTCTGCCACCCCAAGCGTGGTCATGAAGGTGTCTGCTGTGTAACTCTCGAATATGGCTCTCAGGAGCTGTGCGTTCGGGGAGGGAGTGCGGCTGTTTCCACACTCATGTGATTGGTGTGTGTGCACCGCCACGATCGGCCAAGTGAGTTATGCGTACGGTATTATGTCATTCGACGACACCTGGGCACAGCCATTCGTTTTTTTTTCCTGCTTATCGATATCCATTCTGACAGTGGTTGGCGTCAGCCTAGCATAGCTGCTGACACGACTCAGCATGGGGCTGTGGCTCCGTCTCCGCATTCCCCCTGTGCCTGTCAGCCGGTAACAAATCAGCTCCTCAGTCTTGAGACCCACCTCGGCACGAACTGGCGCCTTTTCTCTATGATTAAAACTTGGGCGTTAGGAGGGTTGGTTCGATGCAAGATTGACAATCGTGACAGTAAACAAGCGCACCTTCCAACCGCAGCTATGGGCCAGCATCAAAGTACACGTCTGATTGAGCCTAACATCTCTTCCATTCCCGGCTCCTTGAGCTGCGAGTCCCACCTATCCGCATTCTTCCGGGACGTAGAGCACCCAACCAGCGACAACGTTCTAGTCAACCTCGGATTCGACTTCGAGTCCTTGGACATTTTATAGCCGCCCGGCGCCTTTCGCCTTCGTATAGCCCCGAAGCCAAATATTCTGCAAGCAATTCGTTGTTCAAAGCCATCTCGAATCGTATTATCGGGGAGATACGAGGGTCTTCTGCCTGATAGTGATCAGGCTTTACAATGTCTGTGGAGGGGCGTTGACACTCTAAAGACTCAGCAGAGACCAAGCTGACATTCCAACCCTTTGCAGATCCAGAAGAAGCGTCCAACCTATAGTCACATACCAGCAGAAGTGAAACAGTCGTTCCCAAGGCCGTTTGATCCATCGCCCAGATCGCAATCTGTATGAACGATTCTCCGGGTGCTCATTCGGTCACTCACGCTAAACGTGAGAATGTGTGGGTAGGAACATGGAAGTCACCTGCATGTTACAAACTATCTAACTGTCGAACCCCAGTGGTATTTTCTCTCACAAAATGGACTTTAGTTCATTGTACAACAGTTTTTCGACATTACGATTCACATTCGGGATACACACAGTTAGAACAAGCATTTCTCAAGAAGCCGACTCAACCTGATTGATAAGATCCGCCGCTTCAGCAGCTCCAGACTTCTCAACGAACTTCAAGGGGTTTATACGCGATCAGTCCCAGATATTTGAAGAGAAAAGAAAAAATACACTCACTGTCTTGAAATACTCGACATATTTGACGTGGGCATCTTCTTTCGTTGTACCCTTTACGCTGTCCCAAGCATCCCACTTGGCCTTCCCCGTGAAATCGAGCAAGCCGGGGCGCGAAGTGTTGACATCCCCAACGGTAGCTTGCTTGAAGTATTTATAAAACTGAGCGGTCAAAAGGTTTGGTCAGCTGTTGCAGAAACGATGGAACTCGTTTCTTCGTACAACGAGCCTGTCATCATTAGTAGGCTGGACGGGGCCATCTTTTGGCAAAGACTGTAAACAGATCGGACAGCATCAAAGGTGTTTTGAGCGAGGAATCAGGATACACGGATCTAGGAAATGCGCACCTGAATGATTTCAACGGCTTTGTTAAACTTGGCTTCAGCGGACATGCTTTGTCTTCCTTTCCTATCGTTAACTGTAAGAGTGTGAGAGAAGGCAGGGATCACGAAATAGTTAGGGGAAGTTGACTAAATTCAATTGTAGAGGATTGATATTATCGCAGATCGGCGTTCTCGGGGATTGCCGAGTCACGTACCCGTTTCCATTGTCCAAAGCTGCAGGATGTCCAGTGTGTTCCAAGTCACCCTCTACATGCTTCGTCTCACTTATACTCCCCATGTGTTTAAATATAGCCGTGCCAGTTGCACCGCCAACGCCTCAGGAAATTCAAAGGAAGCTTTCTGTGCATGCAACCACCTCACCCGCCCCGATCACCCCAGGTTCGACGCGCCGGCGCTCGACCAAAGTAAGATTTGAGGCACCAATAGATGGGTTTATTTCCGTGCATATTAATATCGTCGCAGAAGCTTGCATCTGGCACCAATGTGAGCAGCAACGAGAGCGATTCGGATGCGGGACCCACGGGTGGCTCGTACTTCCCTCCTCAGGTTTCAGTCTCGCCAGACATACCTGCGGCATCGCTCCAGCCGCCTCTATCTGTTATTACTGAGCGAAGGTCACCCAGTGGCGAAGAATCGGACGAGGATGAGGAAGAGAGCGAATGGCGGCCTGGGGAGCTGCACGAAAACGAGGAAGCCCATGATGAAAGTGTAGTGAAATCGGGGTATCTTTGGAAGAAGGGGGAACGCCGGAAGGTGAGTAGGATTGCATACAGCATTATCGAAATTGAAAACTCTACCCTTGTTATCAGACGTGGAAGAAACGGTGGTTCGTGCTGCGCCCAACGAAACTTGCTTATTATAAAAACGACCAAGAGTACCAATGTCTCCGTATTCTACATCTCGGTGACATCCACACCGTAACAACCGTATCCCTTAAACGTCATAACAATACCTTTGGCATCGTCACACCTACCCGAACTTTCTACATCCAAGCACCCAGCCTGAGCGAATGCGACGATTGGGTGAACACTCTTAACGATTCACGCAACAAGCTCAAGGATTTAGAGACCCCGCTGGCTCCAACTCCAATCGTTGGGACTCCTCGAGGCAATAACGCTGGTGGGAGTTCGGCAAGCCCTGGCGCACAATGGCCCGGAGCGCCTCCCTCAATCACAACGACAAGATATGATAGCCTTCCCCCGCAATTGGGTGCACCTGTAACACCCACATCGCCCATCGCGGCTTTGAACCTGTCTGGAGTGTCTTCAGACTCGGACGACCCGTTCACCTCGGCCACTGGCTCCCCTCCTCGTTCAACTGTCATTAGTGTCCCCCAAACCCCTACTGCACCTTCTACTGTACAAGGAATCAGTGCCCCTTTACCCCAACAGCAGTCGAGCAGTAAAGTCGTTCTTTCCGGTTATCTCATGAAATGTGGCTCGAAACGCAAAACGACTTGGCGAAAACGGTGGTTCACTCTTTCGACCGAGAAACTGTCGTACGCAAAGTCGCATATGGAGGCGAAGCATGTCAAACACGTACCACTTGTGAAGGTTGTGGATGCCATTGAGTACACCCCTGCTGGAGCATCTGCGGGTCACAATGACAATCACGGGCATGGAGACGAAGGAGAGGATGGAGGGGCAGAAAAGCCGGGTTTGAAGCATACGTTCAAGATTATCACCACGGAACGAGGAGCGATCTTGTTATGTGCGCCTAGCGAAGAAGAGGAGATTAGGTGGCTGAGTGCCGTGAGAGCGTTGACCGCCCGGCGGAGGAGCACAGAGGGGAGACCACACTAGCCGAGGAAAGAGGGGGGGGGGTTCAGGGGTTCAGTGCTGTGGGTGAAAGTAATGGTTGACGACGGTGTTGGTTGTTGCACCCGCGAAAACCTAAATAAGGTCATGTCCAAAGTTGTCAACTGAGTTCCACGCAGTGGGGGAAGATGACCGTGGTCAGCTCTGAACCCTTTTCTCTTGATTGCCGCAGAGCACCTCATTGTAAAATCCGGACTTTAAATCATGTATGCATATTGCTATAGCACAGAAGGTATGACAATTATTTTTGCAACAATTAACCCTGGAAGTGTCATGATCGCTGGAGCCAAAGAATGGGGTTTCGTTTTCCCATTTCAGCCCTCGTCTTCCAGGAATCAAAAGACTCCAGGCCAATTAATGCTGACTCGCCTGCGGCATCACTACCCGAACGTTGGATGGGTGTTTCAGGACGTAAAGATCATTCGGCATCCTCGTCACGGAAAGTATCCAAATCAAAGATCCCCGAGCGCGCACGTACGTAAATTATGTATCCTGACAACCAATATTACCATGCGCCCAGCAACAATACAATTAGGAAATCGGGCCCTCGTGAGATATATAAATGCACTGATGGCGATGACCGAGGTGAATATGTACCACGTAACACGAGGCAAATAACGTGTGTAACACATCTGAATACGACAACAACAACAACCTTTTTGATGGCATCGGCTAGCTGCCGTCAACAACAATCTAGTCCCTTACATCGTTACTTAGGGGGTTTACCACGGGGACCTGCTGATGTGAACGTACGTGAACTCGGCACCAATGCTTCCATTGATGGGCGCGATTGCAAAGATCGAAAAACATGAAATCGAGCTTTGCAGGCGCGCACCTTACAAAATGGGGTTTATCTTTCAATTTGCAGACTTGGAGGCGCGCGGTGAAGGCAGCTGTGACGCGGAGAGAGAAGCTACTATAGACGCGGGGAACGTTAGCGCGCGTGTGGAACCAATCCAACCAGCAATGAATGAAAAGTGGAAGTCAGTGGAAGTGGATCCAACAGAAGAAAAAGCTGAGTTTCCTAGTTTACGTAGCATGATTTGCCAACGTCCTGCTACAGACGATTTTTTGCGGAAATGGAAATGATTTGACGCCGATCCAAAATATTCCCGTACAACCGACTTTGTTGAAACGAGGCAGCAAGTACTGACCCCAAAGTTCTCGTCATAATGCCCACAAAATGACGCTCTCCGACCGGAAAATGGCTTGGTATTGGAGTAAGAGCTGGCATTGAGAGCACACGATCTGACAGCCGGCTGCTGCCAACATATAATCAGGAGGATCTTATCTTGCTCATGGATCATGAAATGGCAGACGAAGGTAGAAGAGAACCAAGCGCTTGGTACAGTTAGTGAATAATACCCAGTACGCGGTTGGCAAGGCATTGAAACTTTACTCTTCTGCCGGCGAAATCTTCACGTTGCAGCACATAATTGCCTTTTTAGTTAGGTGCCGAAACAAGCCCGTCATCTTGGTCAAATACAAAATATAAAAGATGCCTGGCACTAAGAAAGAGAGCGTTCTGTGGTCTCCCCCCTAAGTAACACCCATTCTCTGCCGACAAACACGACCTTGTTGCCTCCCTTCCTTTCAGCTAACTATTGCTTCAACAACCCCAAGGCCTTGCCCACCCTCAACGCCCTCATAGATACTACCTCACCAAGTATGGACCCTCAAGCTGGTTTCTCAGGGAATGGGACTGACAATAATGGGCTACTATCTAGTCAGCCCCACCCTGTAAGTCCAGTTGAAAATCAATGGATTGGTACACTCACTCCCATATATGACACTATCGCACAATTCGGCTCCCTAGCTATCGTCTAGTAATTTAGTGAGCATGGAATATTCCATGCCGATCGCACCCTGGCCAGCTTCACACGATATCAGAGTAAGACTCTTTTCCCAACTCACATTGTGTCCCCATCCCTCATCTCCCCTTCCCCGGTTGCCTGCTGCTTGATGGTCTTAACAACTCACCAATGGTTCCGATATTGATTCTGTAGCATGGCCCTCTGCGCGGTAGCGCACAGCAAGTTCCCTCTTTTCGGGGTGAGTTAGACATTGCGGGTGGAATTACTTCGACGTCGAGGCCCAATGGCTCAATTCTTCCACAGGAGGCCCCAACTCACCGAATGTGCACGCTGGATCCAGCCCACAGTATCCGTTCCAAGGATCTCAAGCACAGCTGGTTAGAACACTGAGCCCATTGGGATCGCCCCTAGACGCGCTAGCTCCATATTCAACTGCGCCACCCCCAATAGGTTTTGGTCAGCCGTCATCTTCCATGGTACATCGCGCTCGGGGATTCGCCCGTGCTCAATCGGTTGACCACTCATCCTCCCCCGAAAATGCCACAATTCTGAGGAGTGTGGATAACGTTGTGGCCCAAAGCACAAATACCGTTGTCCATCCTCCTTTTGCACAGGGGATGAATCGTCTCCCCCACATCCCGATCCACCCCTTCGATGTCTTTCAACTCTCCAATGGAGGCCATCTCGGATTTCCTGCTCGTTATTTTGCCTTGCTTTCCAATCATCTCATTCACGTAACGGGAATACCATCAGAAACCCGCACCAACCCCCAATGCGTCCCCCAAGGCCTCTGCAATCTGCAGCAGGCCCTCAATGCTGCTCACCGTGACGTTAGTCGTCCATACTTCTCAATTCTACCCGCCGCCACCGAGGAGATTGCGATTGAACATACCGATCATGAGTGGATGGCGAATGACATCCTCGCTTCAGTACCAACACTGTCGAATCCATTCTTGTTGGGTGCATACAGGTACGCTTCCCTCCATTTCTACAACTCGATCCGGTTTGATCGCGTCATTGGCGTGGCGAATGAGGTTAGTCGTGATCGTGTCGCCCTTACCGCATCTCACCTGAATTCCTTTCAGCCCATCCTAGCCATCGCAGAGATCTCGGCGTTGGCGGAATGGAAGAGGGAAAACGAGGATTCATCCAGACTAGACAGGTTTACTCTCTATGACATGGCGAAACGTATCGAGATGTCACTCTTGTGCCCCGATTTTCTGGAGCGATTCCAAACCACGAGCGAGGACTATGGACCAGCTTATCCCGTCTTCGTTAACAACGGTGGTTCTTGGGTTTCCTTGTCCTACTTCGTTGTCAAGATATCTGAGCTATACATGCTAGCAGCCCATGTCTATCTAGCGACGGTGGTGTCGGGTGCACCTCGTGCTTATTCGGTATTGTCCAAAGTCTACACATTGGTTGACAAACTATGCCGACACTTGAATACTCATTGGGAGGTTATTGGAGAACACGAGCAAAAGCTTTTGAAGTTCCCGATCTTCGTCGCCGCGTGTATGGCAACTCCGGAACTTATGCCACAAGTGGAGCAATGCCTCTTATTCTTGAGAATCAACTCCTGCAGCGAAGCTACGGAGGTGAGTTGAGGATGTTCCCAAGAGCAGATCGCTCATTGTCGTCTCCGTATTCCAGATAGCGGACCTCGCCTCGGTCCTAGGGAATATGCGCGAGACTCATCCTAGGGTCGACGGAGCAGGTAGCCGGGATATCCCTCCCGTCACTTGGCGCGATGCGTTCCTTAGAAACATGCAGGGGCCTGGGATCCCCGTTTGTAATCTCCTTTGGATATGAGACTTAACAGAGCGCAGAAGCACGTAGTGCCTTCGATCCCTGAATCATCCCCTCTCTCCCCTCAGAAACACAGCACCTCACCCCGTGTGGCTTCTTTCTTTCGTAATTACTGTTCTTTTTCTTTCGGACTATCTTTGTTGTGATCTACCTTTCTTTGTGTCCTCTGACTGTGTGACTTCAGCCCTTAGACGGTGAGTCTCTCCTTTTTCGTGCTCGATCCCCGTGCAAACGATGCTGTTTCAGATGGTTGCGCTACTAGAAGTGGCCTTCTACGTTGGGGCATTTCTCCCTAGTATGGTACCACTCCTTTTCTTCCGTGCTTCCAAGTTCTGCCATCGAATGGCTGAACTGGGGCTTGGATTGCAAGCAGAACTGACTGAATCGAATTTACCTTAATACCGACACTTTCTTCTGTATTCACTGTACTTGCCTTTATAGTCTGTAGTAGTCCTTTATATTCGAATACAGCGAAGTGCCAATAGTAAACGCGCGTGGGGAAAGATCTCAGTGATGGGTGCACCGATTCGCATTCACAATTGATTTTTCATCAATATCACTTAGCCGGGGAGGGGGGGGGAATCATATCAAAGATTCCTATCGGAAAGGACGAACAGTGTCGGTGGTGGACACGGACACCAGTCTCTGTTAGGATTGATCAGTTCCGCACACAGGCGTGTGAATGTCTCAGCACCATAATAAAATTGCCTGCAACATAGGCGTCTTGATTTGACACTATCTCTTGGGGTGGGTACCAATCTGGTACGGGCTGAGAAAGGGGTGGAAAGATCTTGACCACCAAAAAAACCGCGCGGGTTTTGCACAGCATTTGATTTAACCGCGGGGCCCCACGTATGGAGCCATGCGCCATCGTGCGCGCGCGGCGTGGCCGCGAGGACGAAGATGGCGCTGAGAATTGGACAATGCACAGCCCAGACGCCAAGAAGAATCATAAATATGTCTGGGAGTGACAACAGAACGCGGTAGAAAGGTATTGGCAGCACAAGAGGTGTCGCAATCCTCAATAGATTGCTGTGCGCGGGTTATGTTGCTGCGCAAGGTGACACACTTTAGACGGTGCATCAGAAAGACCTTATCGCGTTGAGCTATAGAGACGCGCGCCGAATCTCCATGCCCAGGAAAGCGGAGGTGACCAAGTAGTCGGTTTAAAATCCCGGAAGACGAGGTGTGCGCATTGCTGATGCTGAGTCTTGATCCAGGGAGTCGGAGCTACAGGCCAGGAAGATCCAGAGGATCTCTGCATAGCATCTTGCTGTGTTGGATACGATGGATCCGTCGATGTACATACGTATATTTCCACCCTCGCCTCACCGCGGATATTGGTCCGGAATACGCAATAGGGAAAGAAGTGCTGCAGCTCATACTGTACTCGGTAGCTGCGATTCGTTATGGCGGTTGTAATTCATAGGCAAAAGCCTCCACAGTATGATAGTCCCTGATGGACCTCCTTCTGTGAGCATATTTGCGGACAGAGTAGTCATACCGCATTAATAACACCAAGTATGTGAAACTGGGTCAGGCTGCCAACTGTGTGGACATGTGCGCAGATGCGGTGCCTGATTCACCTTGCCTTTAGCCGAAGTGGTACAAGTCATAGTATCAACAGGCACGCAGCTAAAGCAGAGAACGCCGCATGCCATTCAGCTGCTACTATGATCAGGAACATGTGGTTGGTATATGGTCAACCGTGCATGGGTTTTGAGCAATGGGCTAGGCACTAACGTTTGCATTGACAGGTTGAGCAATATCCCTGGCTTCTTATCCTTATCAATGGCGCTCCACCTTCACCGATAAAGAGGGTTGAGCTTCTCCCTGTTTTGTACCATCCATGACAGCTCGCCGCACGTTTTCCCTGTTTGGAAATCATCGGATTTCCAGACTGAACCCTGCGGTATTGCCTTGGGCCCAGCTTGACGAGCTCTCCTAGGAGGCTCCTCATTAACCGTGTGTGTAAATTCCACGGCCATGGAACAATTTCGGTTGAGGCGAGATTCCCATTCGCTGGTTCTTCGCGTTTGCGAACACTGGTTCATCGCATCCTCCTGTCATCTCGTAATTGACCCTGATCTGCGATGAGATGACCTGGCCCACCGACTGAGCCCACCTGACAAGGGAGCGGAACAGAAGGCACTTAGCCAGATTCGTCTCAGGGTAGCACTCATGTTCACGAGTATTGCGGAGGGGGGATCCTTCCAATAGTGTGCTAGCCCGACGCCATCTCTTGGGAGAGACAACAAAATAACTGTCGCGGAAGCTGAGAAAAGGGGCATGAGAGCCGGAAAGGGCTTGGACTATCGGGAACGTGCGGATTTTGCAAAGCATTTGGTAATGCTTGGCCAAAGTGCGTACGCACGATCCAGGCATTAAGAAAATCACAAACGTGTCTCAAAAGAAGGGCATGACAGGATGGACGTTATTCGGGACGTATAATTTCTTGGGAACCATTCCCGCCCGAGGATGACTTGGTCCGCCCGCTAGCGCGTGTGCGCTTCTGCGCGCCGAGCAAACCTATTGAACGATACGACAGGTTTTTTCATTGCGCTCAGTCGGGTGCGCGCGCAGGATCCCCACGCTCCAGCAGTCAAGTGATTAATTTGAAAAAGAACGTGAGGTGTGCGGAGCGACACTTCCGTCGAGGGAATTAGCAAGGAGGTCCTTGAACCAGAAGCTTGGGACCGCTAGCAGATAGAAAGCTCTTGCGCGAACATTTCATCATGTTGGACTTGGCGCGAGCCACTTGTACGTAAAATTGCTCCCCCTTATCGCCACCCTCCGTCTCACTGCTGGTATTGTATAATACGTATGAGGATGGGGAGGACGACACAGCTCATACTTACTCGGTAGCCACAGTATGAGATGAGGAGCGAGCAATATGTAATACCCCGCGGGCAGCTCCCCACTGCATGCTTGTCCCTGATGGACCATACTTTGTACCCGTATCTGGGCTAGAGGGTTAACACATGTGCTGCTAGAGAGATTGACGCGCTAGCTTGCGGGCATGTGCGCCACATGGGCAGAACCTGACTTTGACCAAAGAGATATTGAGGATAGCCCGCCATGAAAATACTCGAACAAGACCCAACAGCCTGTCACCCGGGCCAGTAGAACGCACGGCGAGGTCTGAAAAGGAAAGATCGGCACCAGCATAATTAAGCTTGGCAGTAGGAAAAGTGCATGCCAATTATTGAAATAAAGGGGTGCTCTGTATCTGCGCCAAGAGATGCGGAGAAGGGAAGCCGCACGTCATTTGAAAATCCGTTTGCTGACCAACTCGTCGACGATCAGGAACAATCAGGCGACATGAGTGCTGGGAGCCGGAAGCAACGGAGCGCACGCAAGTCTCGCAGTAGTTCGCAAGATGAGACAACCTAGCATCGGAATCACTGACGATTCCTGCATCCAAGTCCATCTCCCGCATTTTCGACGAAGGCAGGCGCTTAAGGAATACGTCGTAGGGCACAACGACCATAGCAGCACCTCCGTAACTGCTCGCAAAGCTGCAGCTTCATTCGACTGAACGCCGTCCATTTTGATTCTGCCGAACACTTCGAATATTTTATGGGCTGCCTAGTCGATAACGCCTCAGCTGTGCTGCAGCCCTATTTCTACGCTATTGTGGGCCCAATACAGTTACTGTTGTACCGGCGAGTACGAACAGGGTGAAGAGCCAGGGCCAACTAACAGCCATGCCGAGTGGCAAACCATGCCAGAGGCTCAGATGATTATTTGAAGATGCTTTGGGATGGTTTGAGCTTGGGAGATGAGGGTTGTAGTTGTACGAACAAGCCGTGACGGCACTCAGCGCTCATAGAGCGGCCACGTCATGATATCAACATTGTTCATCACCGCTTTACGAACTCGTTCACGACGTTCATTACTTTGATCATAGTCATTCTCCCTCTCATAAAATGTCTGGGATAAGAATGGTACATAACTAATATTTCCCTCAACACTTGAGAACGGGGTTCGAGTGGCTGTGTGACGACGCCTGCGTTGACTACATACATCCAGGTGCTGGCTGGTTGCGTTGGATGCTCGACTTCGCGAAGACATTCAGCACCCCGCACACTCGCTACACCAATTGCTTCGCTGTAAGCTGCCATGGTGTTGCGCTGAGGGTCATGGTGTTTGGATGTTTCCTCTTAGGAAGTCAATCCGACGGACACCCTCGCCGTTCTGGATCCGTAGCAATGCGTCGATGGCGATGTGACTGAGCCCATCTGGTGATTGCGTATGCCGAAATCGCCAAGGCTGAGGCATGGGATATCCTCAAGAACAATTTCGAGGTGCCCGCACTGACGTGACGCGTTACCGGGGAATTAACAAGCTGCCGGTAGAATTCATCATGGCATGGTGTAATTATCTTCTCTGGTGCCGCATAGCCAGACCTGTTCATCTTGGCTGTGATATTGTCGCGGAATGTGGTGTCTGCAGCGACTACTCTCTAGAGAGTTCTAATCGTGATTCTAGGCGGTCGACCTGGCTACTCGAATGAGTACCAGGGGCAGGGGTTACGAAGAAACCGAACAACCTTGTCCCATGTGTGAACCCCTGACCACACTCCGCTTCACCTGACAGCGGCCTTGGCCAGGCCCTGCGCTTGGCGGCATGATGATCCACCTATTGAGTAAACGGAGCTTGCCAACTCGCTTGTTATCCATAGCAAATCAGATAGGCCGGGGAGGAACGTGTTTTTACACGATGACTACGCAGTGCAGGGTCACCCGGCATTCCAGCAGAGCGAGAAACTTGAAACTCGTCTAATTATCATTACATAATGATCTGAATTGACATCGGATCACGTAGCCAATTAAAGGATCGAGCGTTTGTACCGACTCCCACTGCAGGCATATTGCATTTGTTAACAATATATGAATGTCATAAGTACAAAGGCGTGAACAAAGGCATCCAAAGCCTGAGGTAATCGTAGCCGCTGAAATAACCGAAAGTGAGGGATCTGCCTTCAGGTTGCGGTTCGATGATTAGCGGCTCAGTGGGGATATGCCCGCCATATGCCCGGGCGCGAAGATGACCCTCAAGCTCGGTTATGGCATAATGTAGTACAATCGCTGACGTGAGCGCAATTCGCAAAGACCAAAACTCAGGCCGTATGAAGTGCCCCTGTGACGCTGTCTGGGGGGATCGATCACGCTGTGCAGGGCGGGGCATATGTATGTTCAGAACAGCATGCGACGCTTTTGTTTCACTGAAAAATAATATAGACGCAGATCTATTCGTACGAATGGGGTTCATTTAAGTGACCCCGCATATTGAAGGACGAATGAAAGCCGAAGTCGGCTTGTGATTGGCGGTTCAGTATTGTACAATGACTTGAGCTGCAGTGCAACAGAGTCTCGCTTCACGTCTCCCATGCAAGCCTGATGGGCTTGTTACCCGTGTTTGATGCAACGTCCTCAGGGGCCTTGAAATCGAGTGCGTTGTTACCAACACAGGATTCTGGGGAAAAGTTCTTCAAATGCGCTTCTACCAGTCCTGAAATGGCACCTTTCAAATCCAGTCAAATCATTAATAGCGGCTGTCGCTGCGCTTCCTTGCGGAAATTTCATGGTTCGAAGTTCAAAGCTTCCGCCATTCGGTGAGGTGTTTAGCTGAAACGATGATTACTAATGCTTACCCGAGTTTGAATGGTTACAAATGCCCATTCGGACGAGAGATGCAGTGGGTTGAAGTCCACATCTTTGAAAAACGAGAAGAATTGACAACAAGATCGACCAAAGAGGCATCAGATAGCCTCTTCGTTAAGATCAGTAAAACAGCTGTACTGAAAATTTTCAAAGAGCGATCGAACGTTTCCACGGTTAAGCGAGCATATATCCCATGTGACCTCTTGATTGAATAAGTCCATCGTTTATTTTAGGTCAGGATCCACAGTGAGATCGGCTCACATGTGACAAAGGAACTGATGGATGATAGACAAGCTTCAGGAGGATGGCTGGCCGACAGAAGGGAACAACGACTTTTCGTGATGCGAGAAAGACTACCACAAGTGGAAATCCACCGCTCGCTAAACTGCAACGCTTAGATATGCTGATTCTCCAGGTTTACTGCGGTCAGGGATGAGGGGTAGATGGTTGAAATGTGAGACATTTGAGCCACCTATGTAAGCACACCAGTTTGGGGCGTGGCACGACATACTGAATTCGTGGCAGTTTGACGCAGCGGATGAATATAGGATGCATACGTGCGCGCAGGTGGAGCAGGCCTCGTGTTTCGCGAAAGGCTGCGCAACATCGGTAGCACTGGTCACTGAGTGAGATTCACTCAGGGCAAAAATAAATCATATCGGGCGGCGATGAGTCTAAATGGAGAGAAGCTGGAGAAGTTGGCGAGTCATTTTGCTTGTAAGCGAGAGCGGCGATGGGAAAGATTTGGACAACCAATCTTTCGACCCAAAGACAAATGTGAAGCATGAAGCACGATTGCGCCTTTAGTACTACTGATATGGCGCAAGGAAGCCGTCTACACTAGCCAAATTGGTCTTGGAACCGGTTGCTCTAGTCCAGGCACCTAGCTCCTTACGTGTGTGTTGGACAGAGGCAGCACCGGCGCGCACTGCCACAACGCACAGCCGCCACAAATAGCTCAACTGAAGTCCTGCAAACTCGACTTAAGATTCGGTCTCATGGATCCCCGACCCGTTCCTCCCCCCTCCTCAGCGTTCGTTCGGTCAAGGCCAACTGTATTTGCATTGAACCTGCCCGATGCCTCTGGCTACTGCACTTCACCTTGGAACCTCACACCTCCCTACGATCGTTGAGATTTCCAAAGCCCCCTTCAAGCCTTGCGCAACTCGTTTATGCGACATTGGACACTTTCGAGAGGCTCCTATGAGAAAGAGTACCAATTATTGGGCCACGTCACACCCCTCCCGGGTAACATCTTCTTTTCGCATCGTCGCTCGTCGGAAACGTATGGGCACGCGTTGCCACAGTAGAGATATTCTCTGCGACGGCTTGTGTTCTTTCCCTGCGATTAAGGGAATTCGTTCTCCACGATCTAAATCCTCGACGACATATTTGCGAGCCCCTTCCCCTTCGTCATTCGAACGTCCTTCCTTCCCAATCAAGATGGGGCATCGTCGGCTTGGCATTCTATTAGTGCGGCGGCCGAGCGTGTTTACAACTCGCTTGCGCCCCAAAAACCTTCCCCATATCGAATCCAACGCGTCCCGCAATGCTCGAGCTCAACGTCTCTCCACGCTTCACACCGCTCGAACGGTCTCTGATTGTTCTACGACTGTCTCGTCTATCACGTTTCCACCCTCCTTTCCTATCGATGACAGTCCCGAGAAGGACAAAGACCCTCATTGGGACCCGAAATTGTATCCACACATCGGTATCACCATCAGCGAAGAGGATGCGCTTACCCTCGTGAACGATATTATCGACGGTGCATTGAAGATGAAGGCGCCAAGATGGAGAAATTTGTATACACTCTTTACTACTCGTGAACGTCGTGGCGAAGCTGCTTTATTTTCCCTCGCAGCTATTCTAGGCGGACCTGACAACAATGTACGTTGACGTTTTCTCAAATGGTTCTCCGAGAACATTCTAACATTTCCTTGTAGATATTGTTCAGTATTGCAGAGATTGCGTCCCTTGCTCAGTGGAAATATGAGCAAGCAGAGGCTGGGACACTGGATGTAATGGAACTTGACCGTCGGGCACGGTCCATCCATCTCTGCTACTTCGGTTCTCATGGTGCCGCGGAGACTATGGTTCATGGTGGACTGCTGTTGGCAACGATCCACCAGGGGCGACAATCCCCACTCAATCTTTTCGAATTGGCAGATACAAGATCTACATTATCAGATCTTTACCTCCTCACATCCATGCTCTTCCTTGTTTCCGTCATATCTCCCTCGCCTCTCGCTGAAACCGTTTCTCTCTCGGTCAACGCGTTGCTCGACACGTTTTCCGACCGTGTTCCTCGATTACCCACTTTCAGCGAAGATTTTGGGAAACGTGTGCTGTTCCCTTGCTTTGTGATGTCTGCCATGGCCAGTTCCGTTCATGAACAGCGTGTTGCGGAATGCCATAACGTCCTTTCTCTAAAAGGAGACACAGTGGCCAAAAGTAGACTAAGCGAGGTGAGTCACTTGGTCTATCCCTTCTCTAACGGAGCTGACCCTCGCCCGGTAGATCCTGAATGCCATTTCTCGCCTGCATGCCCTGAGGGAAGCAGGGGGGCTCGCTCATTTGTCCAACGTATGTTGGGCAGATGCCATTGGTCATGATTGCTCAATGTTATCTTGGTGAAAAATCTAATAGATTTTACCGCAATATTTGGTCTTTACCTTCCGCATGTATGAAGTCATCCGGTTCTTCACTACACTTTTTCTGGGAATTAGTTGTTTGATCTTCACGTTCATAGGGTTATCGTTGGGTTCTTCCGCCCAATTTCCGCGACACGTTTCTATAGTATTCCGTCTCGTTATTTATTCCCTAGTATCGTGTTTCCGCAATTCCGCAATTCGCTCTTCTGGTAAGCCTGTATATATAGACGTCTGGTATCGCATGATACCAGTCGAAAATCACATATGTATGTAATTGAATTTGGCCGCCCTCTTGGTAAATGTCTCATCATGCACGCAGATGAGGGCGAATAGGAAACACCTCGCGTAGTTTCTGAATTTGCTCCATTAGTGGAAAGCTAGTCGCTATGGGAAAAGCTGTGCTGAAAATGACGTTGACCATAATCTTGCCCTGTCACAAAAGTGCGTTGCAACAAAAAAAGAGAGAGAGAGAGCGAGAAGAAAAGCTGAATTAATACATACACCTGCACCAATCCCTACTCACGCTCATCTTTTCCGCCCGGGTTGAGCTGAGGTGGTACGTTTCTGAGCTTTCTCGCTTCAAGCAACTTTATTGCGCCCGTTGAGATGAACGTGGGAATTTATCAATTTGATTATAATTAAATCAATCGGTCAGCACCGAGCGCTTCCGGATAATTGACGCCACGTGACTGACTTTTGACGCGCAAACAAGCTGTGCAGGCGAAATGATGGAATGTAAACAGGACCCCCCCGCGGTCACCTCAGGATCCCTTCTCTTTCCAGTGACGTTGATGACTACGGGTCCTCTCGCTCTCCCCTTCCTCTTACGTGACTGAGTAGAGCGAATGAACAGATTTGGCAACGGCCCCTGCGCCTAAGCCTAAAGCCTCTCACCATCGACGCGTTCCACACTTGGAGACTTTACCTCCTTCCTCCTCAAATCCGCTCACTCACCACTTGTTTTCATGGCACGGCTCTCGTCGACTTCCCAAAGCTCACAGGTGCCTCTTACGCTGAGCCCCTCACCTTTGAGGAACAAGACTGGTACGTCCTGCTAGTCGTTGGCCCCTTCTTCAATGCATCACGACGCTCATGGATGTGACAAGGTTGCTTCACTTGTAGAACACGCGCAAAGGCAAGCAAGGCCTCTTCTTCATTCCTGCAAACCGCAAATTGAACATAACTGTTTTGCCATTAACTCATTCTACGTATGCTGTTGTCTCCCCCCACCATCCTATTCCTGCCCTTCTCACAGAAATGCGACGGAGATTGGTTCGGGCCGTGTCCTACATGTTTGCGGTTGAATGTCCCATGTTTGGGGTTTGGAAAGGAAATTCCTTCATGGCTCAGGGTGAATCACCCCTATTTTTTTCCTGCGTTACAGTGATTCTAACCAATGAGTCGTTTCCCCTTCTAGGATAACAAGACTAAAATACGTGCATTGCTAAGGGACCACATTGCTGAAATGGCCTCCGAAGGTGGGAGAACCCTCCCCGTTAACTCTTCTTTCTGATGACTGGCCCTTTAGTGTTGTCCTTAGAATCATTTTTCCCGAAGGGCTGGTTCCCATATTTTGCCTCACCCAAATCGGATACCCATGTGACGATCTCCTCCGATAACGGAAATGATGCCGATGATGGCAGTACAGCTTCATCGTCACCGGTGCATATAGCAACAACACCCGCCGATCGAGCCGATTGGCACCCTAGTCCCACAATCCCTGATTTCTCGACGACGACTGTCGAGAACGAGACTACGCTCGAACTTAATGAATTCAAGTTCCATTATGATCCCATTCCTCCCAGGATCTGGGGGGAAGTGTCTTATTTGCTTTATCGCCCTTCTCCCTCCCCTTCCCCTGAGCCGACAGTTATTCACCGAGCCGAACGGACAAGGTGCCAAGGAGAGGGTGGTGCTGTAACCCATTCACAAGTCCGATCTGCTATTCGCCTCCAGACTCGCCTCCAGGGACGTCACATGAGCGACATTCGATTCGCCAGTCGTACGGAAGGAGCGAGGCACCCATCCCAGAGTAGCCGCACCACCACCAGAGACACTTTACTAAAGGTGGCTTCCAGCAACAGAGGGCCACCATCGATGGTCCAATCACTCTTCTATTAACCGATCTGTGACGTTTGTCCAGTAATTTAGTGGTGTGGGGGCGTGGGACTCCGTGCCTTTGCTGTGCATCGTGCAGGGATGCTCCTTCACCACTCTGGTTCAGGCACCCAGAGTCACCGCTTCTTCCCGCACTTCCTCCCCTTTATATGTCACCCCTTCTCCTTGCTATTCGTCTAACCACAATGATGCGCGAGGGTGCCTGAATGCGTCGACTTTTTATTTCTATCTCTGGTATAATGGACATCTGCCGATTCATGGGGCCTAGATTTTGGTTTCGCTTCATCCTTGAGCGAATAAATTATGTACAACTGATGTACCTCTGCACTGCACCTCATTTGAGAACAAAGGAAGACACGGCCCAATGGGAGATTTGTGTCTGTGAAGTGTGCCTCGGAACAGAAAAAACCCGACGTAGAACGCGGCCCACGATTTTTCGTGCTGATCCTATTCATTGCTGGGAAACGAGTAGGGGCTCAATATGTACAGCAGCCGCTAAATAGTGATTGTGGGATCGATTTTGCTTAGAATGGTGAACAAGGTCCGCCAGTTCGAAATACTCATGCCCTTGCAGGACACTCAGTGTTCCGTGGATTCAGTATGGAATAAGCGCTCATCCCTGTGGGTCTTGATGCACTTCACAGCTTCGCAAGTGGAATCTCATGACCTACAGGTGGCAAATCTCTGTTTTTGGACCATTAGACTTCAATGGTCTTTTATCGGCAAGACCAACCATCTGTAATACAGGTGACAGCTGTTGCCCTTAACGGTATGGGTAGTTTTACTTGTTCGAATTCATATCCCCAAAAAGGGAATATCCTCTTTAACGGGTTGTGAAGCGCTGCTGGCAATTGATAAGGAGGGTGCAATCATGTTCCCCGTTACACCCTCCCCTTCATCGCCCTCCAGTTACCCGAGCTGGTATGTCCCCCATCCTCCGCTCAGCTCGCACAGTGAGCAGGGACGTTGTTCCCGCAAGAACTTATCCAACGCCAAGCACACGAACAAGAACAGGTGGGCGAGTCGAAGCTTTGCAGGGTCCCTTCTATGCTGACGTTGAGCCGCAGGGTGTCATAACTGCCGTCTTAGAGGAAAGGTAAGTCGAATCCTGACCTTCCACGAGAAATCTCTGCCTCGCAAGCTCTGCTCTTGCAAGGGCAGGGCCTCTCCTCGCTGTATCAAGTTGTGGTCTTGCAGTTGTAATAATGAACGTCACAGAAATGTAACGGGGTAGCTCATGATAACGTCCCTTGTGGCCATTGCACACGTCTCTTATTGGAGTGCCTAGGATACGGAGACGAGCGGCCAGACTGGATCAGAGTGCGTCCGATTCGAGTATATAGTCAGGGCTGCAGCTGATGTCGTGTCTTAATAAGAAACATGAACCACAACTACGAAAGGCCATGAGACGACATATCAGCACGAAAGATAACAAAGGTAAGCAATCGTTCTGTGTATCTCGACCCAACATGCCTCCGAGTCGTTGACGGCATTGACCATACTGTTCCTTTGTAGTCTTAACGTTCGAACGATACTACCAAAAACATGCATGGCGCCCATCTTGTGAACAAAGGAGCGAAGAAACACCGAGCACCTCATCTCGATCAACTGTTCCCGGATCTGGAAGTGCCGTTGAGGACACGACGTGGGACAAAGGGTCGAAAGCCTCAGAGATTGACTCCGCCCCTTCCTCCCCTGCCCCAACATCCGCCTTGACCGCCGACTCCGGCGAGCACTCGTCAACCGAATCATCCGATACTCCCCAAAGTGAAAACTACTCTCACAGTCCAGCCCCGTCTTTTCTCAGTGCGTCCTCATCGGATCAGTCAGCCCATCCTGCAGATTCCGCACGGCCTCCACATTCAGTCATTGTCGTAGGCCATGATTTCCCTACTGACGATGAGATTTCCCAGGGCGCCGTGCTGCACGGGCAAGGTGTCTTCCAGGATCCTGATCTCGATGGTTTGTTCATGACCCCAAAATCTCCAGAACCACTTATATCATCCAACAAACCCGCGCTGATGCAGGAAAATGGGGCCGACTACAATACCGAGCCGGAACAATGGCACATGTGGGAATTTATCCATGATCCCGACGATTCGACAGCAGTGAATGGAGGTGCCATGGAAAATCGGGCGTATACTGAGACACCAGAACTCTTCGATAGCGCTTCACAGCTTCTGAGTGGATTTACCGTTGATGTTGACGTGTCTGTGCGGGATTGGGTACAACGTGTACCAGCTTGGGATACTCCCTGTGAACCGCAACACGGGCAACCTGCTGTATTTGATGGGCATGGCGATGCAACCCAGAGCCATGTCCAGACGAGTCGCGCACAATTTCCTTCGCCCCCTAGTTACTACGCTGATCACCTCCTGGACATCCCCCAAACCGCCTTAGCAATAGGACAGCAAACCAAGACATCACAACACCAGAGGTTGGATCACTCCCCCGCTCAGATTGTCAATGATCGTGCGTCATTTCGTGCTCCGTTTTTCGTGCCTGCGTGACTGATGTTATCCTGACTTCTAGGTTTGACGACGTACTTCAAGCAGCTCTGCCTCACCACACTGAACGAACAGTCCTCGTATCAAGACATGGGCAGATTGGCTCAAGAACTTGCCGTAGTGTTGCCCTTCATACACTCGCTGCCTGAAAGGGCCGGCTGGAGCACAGATCTCCACGTCATCCATGCTGTCACCCAGCAATGGAATTTACACGATCAGGGTCAAAGCGTCGGCACTACTCATGGCCCTCAGCCTGTGGACCAGGAGACATACGCGTTGTTGGCAATGTTCGGTACGTCTCGATCTTCAGTGCAACTGAGGAAGGAGTGATGGACATCCTACAATTCCCAGGCATTGCATTTGATCTCTTGGAGGGGGAGTTAGGTCTTGGGAGTGGTACTTGAAGGTCGCTTGCGAGTGGTTTCGATCGTTCTACTGTTCGCTCCCCGGTAAGTAATTTCCGTCGCGTGAAAATCCGCCGGTACTCACCTGCACCCGTATTCTCAAACCCCTGCAGAAAGCTGTTCTTTACCCCCGTTGGGCCCGAAGATTCTTGGGGAGTTAGTGATGTGGGTGGATATTCTTGGTTCAATAACACGACATAAAGCTCCCTACCTCTCCGACATCTACTTGGAGATTGAGAAACGAGAATCAAAAGGGGCCGCATGTCCTTTCCGATTAGAGAATGTCATGGGTTGTTCAAACTCAGTGAGTGCCCCAAAGTGTTCATCTCACTCGCCATCATACTGATATAAAAAACCACCAGGTCATGTTTGGCATTGCGCGTATATCCGAGCTGCAATGCTCGAAACTTCAGGAAACATCCAGCGGCCGTATTGACAACGCTGTACTATCCCAAATTGCGGACACGATTCAAATGCGGTATTTCTCCCAGTCAACACAAAGGGTTCCATTTACAGTGATTTGTCCAAGTCTACTGGGCAACCTATACGGGTTATTGCCCTTCGCATCTCGATCCATGGATAATCCCTACACACTACCGATTCTCCAAGAGTCTTCTCTTTCCACTGCGACCATCACCGAAGCGTACCGTTTAGGTGCGCTCATTTATCTCCAGACGATTGTCCCTGGGCCGCCACCTTTTCCCAAAGGAGCGATGGAAATGGCCAGCGTCGCTGCACGCTTCATTCACTGCCATGTCCCCGAATCGCAGATGGACCAGTGCTTGAGAATCCCTTTATTCCTGACAGCATGCATGTCCACAGGAGACCAGAGAAACATTATGGGCGTGCGGCTTTGTCGATCGCTAAACATGGGGGGCAGTGCTGGTATTGGTCAGAATGTGAGTGTGCGCCACTTTTCCGCAGTTTGACACTAGGAGTGACCGGCCTCCGTTCAGGCTTTTCTTGTAATGCAAGAAGTCTGGAGGCACTTGGACCGTCGTGTCCCGATTGATTGGTGCCATGTTATGAGGCGACACGTCCTTCTGGTATGATAAGTTATGCGGAAGATATGCTTTCGAATGCCCGGATCCCCGATATTCTCTCTCAAAGGACAACAGCAATGGACTAAACCCCTATTAACACCGCTCGGCAAATCTCTGAATGTAATCGTAACCCACTCTGACCCTCCGTCAACCATGACGAGTAGCATATATGGTATAACATTTTCAATGCAAACTTTTTCCTATCATGTTCCGTGCTACCCAGAACATCGTCTACATCGCCCTATCTGGTACCCAATGAATACAGCACTGCCTACTCAATGGCGCGCGGCTAAATCATTGTTACCGCAAGGTTTTGGCATGTTCGTGACAATGATGCATTTGGCACTGATTGACGCCCAGATTACTTCCCGGCCATGATTCCACAAGTCACTGGTGAGAAATTTTTAATTTGGCGTGTCTTGATTTACCAATCGATCCTTGCACTGCAGTCGGTTAACCAGGGTCTTGCAAAAGATCAATTGTACTTTTTCGCAGCTTGTGGCTTCGAGAGGAACAATGCCTGGCGATTCTTTCTGGCTCAAAGACGAACATCAAGGCCAAGTCTCGATTCTCCCTGAACTTTGCAATACGCCATCCTTGCGCTACTGTATCTATGTTCGGGTTTCGTTCAGGTGATTCATTTGGGCTCAGTCTCGTTACTTTTTTTTTTTGTTTCTGGTTAATAGCAGGGAGCTCGCGATTGTGATGGGCTTCTTTGCCGGGCCGACCCCATTGACGCGATGCTGACGTTCATTGTGGGAGAAATGCCTGTGTGCTCAGACTGGGTCCGTCTCAAGTATTGTATGGTAGATATGAAACGCTCTGCCCTTCTAGAGGGTGGATTCTGTTTGAGGCCGGTTGGGCCCAAGTTGTCATTCATCTTCGAACATAAAAATACAGAGTCTGTGGCGACCTGCACCATCAAAATAGGACACACCAGCACTAGAATTTGGCACAGGTATCCGGAAACATGGTGTGCAACTCCGCACCTGCATTGCTACTTGTCGTTTTTGCAACTCGAATGAACAGCAAGCCCTGAAGTCCGGATGGGACGTGCTCGGGGCATGAAAGGGTCTAGCTACCAGGGATGGCCTCACTGAATGTAGAAGTATTCAGGCTGTGTTCTTGGTAAATAATATTGTTGTCCATAGGCCTCTTGCCTATAGTTAGGGCCTTGCAGGTGCGCGGGGTAGAAGTCTGGAAGTTCCCCCCATGAGCCATTATCCAGTAAGAGCGGTCCATTTGGGCCGCGCGTGGGTTGGGGTTGACCATCTTGGAGCCTAGCAACCTCTTCGGTGCAATCGACTGTCGTCGCTGTTGTACAACGAAGAATCGCGTGAGCCGAAGAGAAGAAAGTGATTGGGTTCGCTTACGGTGCACGAGTGATGCTATGTGTTGATAATTTCCAGTCCCCGTTAACACGGTGAAGGGTCCGGCAGCTCCCCCATTAACGAGGGGAGTGCCATAGCCTGGGTAAGGATCGGAGCTCTGGCCCCTGCCAATTGCCGGCAGATGAGGTTCAAAATGCATATGTTTGTTTCGCGAGTATGCAGCATGCGGGTGCCTTTTTGAAGTTGCGGGTTCAGTTGTTGGAGCGGTCGTCGGAGGGGATCTTGCGAACTGAAATTGTTCAAGATTGGGGATTGCTTTTGAAGCTACAGGTTCAGTCGGTGGGGGGGGTGCAAATTCAAATCGTTCAAGATTGAGGAATTGGTCGCCTGACTTATTTCTTGGGTCTCTGGTCCATTCGGCAATCGCCTTTACGACGATCTCTTTCCTATAGTCCTTTTCCTATCACTTGTATCAATATGAGGCGCTTTCGGGGAGGCAATAATGCGCACCGCCAACCATGAGGGTCGACTTTGTCCATAACTTTTCATGCATTGGAGACGGAGGTTGAAGCATTCTTCGCAAGAAAGTGTGTCATGACCCGCGTATTGTTTGCACGCCTTGCGATCAGGTTATGCACGTGAAGTGACACTCAGGACGGCTCTGAATCGCACCTTCCTGCGAACTCTACACGTAAAGCACCCGTCTTTGGTCCTTGGCGATCCACGACTCATCATTGAGACGAAAGAAACTCTTTGGGCTTGGAGTTAAGCAAGTTAGCTCGGGATATCCATAGAACTATGCAACGTTATATAACATGGACTGGCCGAGCGGTAGCTTTAAGCTGAGTGAACCCGGTTAAGAGCAATCGAAAGGATGGGTGAGTAAGAAGGAAAGGGGTGCACAACAAGGTCAAGTGAGAAGCATTCAAATGCTCGCTGACTAGGAGACTGGAGTCATGTCTGACCAAATGAAGAGTGGTCGCTCGCTCTCATTTCAATTTGGAAAGAGAAGAAATGCACAATACTTTGTACAGCCCTTCTCGAAACCGAGCGTTTGCGGCAGGGAAGCACATCCGCTCGGCGGGGTCGCGTCTAGGTGCTATTATGGCGAGTCCTTGATCGCAACGGTGAAGGACGTTTTGCAGCAGACGCATTTCGCGTATAACTAATACTTTATTGCATTTATGCAAGCTGGCTAAAACTTGAGAACAACCCATAACGAGTTCGCAATGTGAGAAGCCGCTGCAACACTGCTGGACTGGGGAGTATGCATTTGGTCCCACAAGCATGTTTAGCTGTATGTGGAAATGTCCCTCGGCGGGGACATTCGGAGGCGCGGTCGCCTATCATCGGAGCCAGGGCCATGTATAGTTGTGGAGAAGTATGAGCGTCGCAAGAGGCGAATGACCAGTTAGAAAGCCAACACGTTGTGCTGCGGCAAAAGTGCAAGACGGATACGCAGTTCGTCAGATCGCTTGTGTTGGAACCAGTGGTTGCCTGGATACACGAAGGAAACTCAGCCCCTTTACGACACAGTACAGTGACCTCTGGGTTCGGCGGGCTGTGGAGGCCGCTCTTTGGGTCTCTACGGTGTCTAGCAAAGACGATCTGGCCAATCAAGCGGGCGGCGACCTGACTGCTGGATACAATGCCTGGCGTCGCACACCAGGACCTGGGAAAAAGCCTCGAGTTTGGCGGAGGGTGTGGTCTGCCGGATTGCCTAAATGGAATCACTGATAGGGGGTAATGCATGATAGTGGCGCTGAGCCCGGGCTCTTGTCGTTGAGTTCAGAAATTGCACTATGGTCGGGTTTGCTGATCGGATGGTGCACTGCAACTCAAACAGATCGCGCTCCAGACTCGATGAGGGCTGATCGGTGGAGATGGGGATTTGGCTCGACCTCTGAGAGGTCGCCCAAGTTGTCATCTCCTGGCCGCTGTAGAGTTAATAAGGACCAGGGGTGGTAGAGTAGCAAGTCTGGATGTGGGAGTGAGAGAGACATGGTCACGGTCAATTGCAACGGAGCGAGGCCGGCCGGTTGTGCAAAACAATCTGACATGAATTGCGGGATCCAGAAGCAGACAATGAACCAAATTGGTGGTACAACAAAGCCTGGAAGGCCTAAGAACGACGTAATACAACAAAATAACTTAGGGACAGTGAGTGCCGGAGTCAAGATAACAACACAGGACTACAAATGAACCATGGAAAATCTATCACTTTTCCGCCCCTCTGCGAGCGGAGGCCCAGCACCCACGCCAGAATACTCAGGAGCATCGAAGATATCCTCTGGTTCGCGAGGATCCTGAGCAATACTCATCTCATCCGCTAAGGTCAGCTGCAAACTTCCCGAACGGTTGTCAACCAGTTCCGTTCTTGACACGCCGACGAGATGAGAGTTCAAATCGCCATCTTCTTCTTTCACATATATGGACGATGCGTTGGAGACGTTGCTCGTACCGCTGACTTTCCGTTGTCCAGGCACATTCGTCCCCCCACGTCTCGATCCCAATGGGCTGGGGTTTGGCCGACGTTTTCGGGGCGCTACTCGTGGCCGACGAGGTGTGGGTGGTATTGGCGAAAGTGCGGTTCGTACTGCGGCGTCTAAAGGAGATGCAACATGGGTGTGTGCTACGGAATTTTGTGCCGGTATGGTGCTAAGTGTCCCGAGTGTTAGGACAGATGATTCATCGTCATCTTCACGTTTCACGGATGGCTTATTTTCGGGAATTGGTATGATTTTTGAGGTCGGAAGCTGCGGAACGACACCATTTCCGATCCCAATGTGCTTAGGTGTTCCAATTGAAATCCGATTTGTGCGAGTAAAATTGTGGAGCAGCGGGTCACTCAGTTTCCGAACATTCGATGCTTCCTGGTCTGGGCATTGAGATGTCTTTTGGGGAGCCGGTTTGTCAGGGATGTTGTCGCCAGCAGACGCATGCAGAAGGTTGGAATTATGGCTGACTGCTTTCTTAAACGATATATTCGGCCGACCCTGACTTTTCTTGACGAAGCTAATGGTGCGGACTCGGCTGGGTGAGGTGGTATTGGCGTCATTGGCAGTTGCACTTCCGTCCCCCAATTGAGACAATTCTCCATGTGATTCATTTAGCTCATGATTCTCTAGTGCGATCGTCGTGTTGGAGACAACACGACGTGGCTTTGCGCGGGCTGGCTCTGGGAGGAACTATGAGTGTGGTTTCCCCTCGCATAGCCAAGGACAAACCTTCAGGCAGCCGAGTAGCATTTAGCTTGGACTTTTTTGATGACCTCTCGCTAGCTTGAAGGTTCTTCTGAGGCTCACAACCGGTATCCGTAGCACGTTTCCGCTTTTTGGCGGAGCTAAGAGGCTCTGCTGCCAAGTCCGGTACACGGGTCCCATCCTGACCGCTGTGTAAAATCCGTTTGGCTCTAAGTTTTTCGAAGACGCTAGAACGCCAAGAGTAGGGTAAAACTCCGGAACCTTCGGTCACTGGGACATTTGTAATTGAGTCATCCGAAGATCGTGTCCTGCTGAGGGCGAAAGAGCCATTCTCCGGATTGGTCCCTGTTTTCCGTAGTCGCGAGCGGTCCAATCCGGAGAGTACAGACGAGGAGGAGGTATTGGCCGATGTTTGGGAGCCATCCACGGATAGAGAGCCAGCCGAGGATGAGAAAGACTCATCTAACCCTCCACGCGAAACCTTCCGCAATTGAACTTGCGAAAGCTCACTTAAGAAGGCGTCCACATTAATGTCGGAGAAGGCAGGGCGCAATGAAGAGCGCTTCCTGGCGGTTTGGCGAGCCTCCGCCGGGGGGCACGTTGCTATGGACTGGAGGGGGGTTACAAACTGGTGGTACAGATCGGGGGAAAGACTTGACCTTGAGGCTTGCGCGCTGTGATACTAAGAAGCCATCTGTCTCCGCCGCCGCGGTGCTGCTTGATCGATTCTGTGGCGGCAGAGGTGGCGGAGGCGGTGGTGGTGGCGGAGGCGGAGGAAGGCGAGCTATGGGAGCATGAAGGTTTAACAGAGATGGGGATTGGTAGCTTCTGGACCTGCGGGATAGCTGTAGGAGTTGCGAAGGAGTTGAAATGGGCAGTGAGGGACAGTAGCCAAATTTCCTGGCACTCACCTCGCTCCGCAAGTCAGCAACCTCTTGCTTAAGAGAAGCTATTAACTGTTGAGCCTCACGAATGTCCATAGAGCTGCGGCCATCAAGTGGGATGGCTTCGACGGAGGAGTCAGGCGTTTCGCGTGAAGGGAAAGGAACAAGGGGTTCAGCTCGTTGTTTTCCTTTATCATTGGAGAGCGACCGAGGGAGGGGAACGGACACTCCCTTATCACTGGTTGGGATGGGATGAGTGCTGCATATTTGTGAATCACGGGCGGACCGTGCACTTCGTGGGGAGACTGGCGTTGGTAAGGCCGCGTGAAGAGTCTTTCCAGGCGGAGGGGACTCATCCTTAACTTTTACTGGAAAGATTTCCTCCACAGAAGGAGAGCGACGCGTGGAACGGTTAACTGCTGTCCTTAGCTTCTGGGAGGGGCTTCGGGACCAAGGCGGAGTGTTGGCGTTTATGGCACCGGTGGGTGTTCTGCCTGAGCGCCGCTTAGAGGCTGATTTCTGAATAAGACGATATTCAGGGATCGAGGATGCTTTATTATTGTAGGGATATGGAGTTGGTGATCGGGGATTGTAAGATCCCGGCATTAAGGATTTTGGTTTCCCTTCAATGGTAGCCACTGTATCAGAGCCGTGTTGGGAGTGCGTCTTCTGTGAAGTGCTGCTTTCTGCTGGTTGAGGCCGCTGTGGTTTATGTCCATAAATGACATTTGCAGAATCAAGGGTCAGGAAATATCAAACATACTGATGGTAGATGCCCAAGATTGCCTGTCGCTGTGGCTACGAAGGAGTCTATTTCGCGACCTACAACACCCCAAATACTGGAGATAATCCCTGGCTGCGCACGGTTCGCGCTATCTGCCATGTCCTCTATGCATAAACAACGCCAAGTTTAATGTTGATGTTGGTTCACGTGACTTTTACATCACGTGTGAAAGTCCCTCAGCCTTCCACTGCCAGTTGATAACTCGTTCAACACTGCCTTATCGTCTCTCGACCCCCTCTCGGGAAGATACCATCGTAGTTGTCGCCTCAACGCTTGCAAAATAAAGACTTTTAGTCATTCCGCATGGCGCTTATCGACCGCATCAAGGTGAATAAGGCTTCAGAGTCAACATTCAAGGTTGACTTTCAAACAACCTCCTAACCCTCCTTGTTCGGCGAGTAGGATGCTGCCCAAAAATTCATACCTGAGAGAAAACCGATTGGCCAAGGTCCAGGGATGGTGCCTTTCGATGATGAGGTGTGTCTTATCTACTTCATCTTGTGGGGATTTCAACGGGTGCTTGCTTCCTTTAGATGCCAATATCCAAACCTGCAATTATTTTCCATGCCAGCCAGATGTTTTTTGCTTTTCTTGCCATGTGCTGCTTTGCCTCAGTGGCATCCTTCCAGGCCAAATGGAATGTTGGACCCTCTGGGCTTTCTGGTCTGGCGGTGTTTGTGGCTGTGACGAACTTGCTGCTCGCAGTTACTCTAATTCTAGTTCCTGTGCTATATGACAAGTACAATAAGTTAGCGAATCTTGCACGCGCATTCAGCGAGCTGCGGGTTGGATTTATCCTAGCTGGAATTGGACTCGCGGAAACTTTTCTTATTAGGTGCGTTAATTACCGGCTAAAGGGGAGGTCGCTAATTAAATGGAAAGCTTTGTCGCAACTATTTCAGGTCTGTTGGCCTCAGTTGCCTCTGCTGCGGATTTCAATTGAATGCACTTCTTTAGCCTGGACGGAAGCTGGATGCAAGGACCCTAATAAAGACCCTCATGCCAAGTCTGGTGGCGATGCTTTTAAGAAAGCTCTTCCTGGGTGGTGCAGAACTAAGAAAGCTGGCGCTATCTTCTTTTGGCTTGGTACAAGTAAGTGGCAACGTGTTCACTGTTAGCTTCGGTTAGTAACATACATCCTCCAGTTTTCTGGATTTGTTCTGTCGTTTTATTAGTTTTAGACTGGCGATCTGGGCGATCCGAGAGAGGGCTGCGGCCCCGTGACCCCCCATTCAGGCATCCCTCTGACCCTAATGACGACGACGCTGAGTCGATGATGTCACGTCAGCAATCACGCCGAACCACCGCACGCCAGGAAGATGCCGAGGAGGATGAGCTGGAATCTCCCTTCAGTGACCCCTATCCCCGACGCCAGGATTCACCCTATCGTTATCAACAACCTGCTGCACGAGTGAGCATGGATACTTATGGGGCATTCTCAGACCCGCTGCCCTCCGGTTACACGAACGCAGCGGCGCCATCCAGGCCGTCATTCTCATCTCCACCACCCCAACTCCCCCCTCTTCGTCACCCCGGGGATATCGAGCCCCCACGTTATCAACAATCGGATTTCTACCGGCCCCCACAACCTCCACAGGGGATGTCCAGAACCATGGCGCTAGCATACGAAGATACTGGGACCACTGAGGCAACCTATGATGATCCTTATGACAGAGTGAAAGCCAACTTAGAGTCTGCACGACCTAGAGATCCACCTAGTGCTCCTTCAGGGTACAGATGATAAGGGATGCTGCTTTGTCGTTTGGGTGCGCTACTGATACACTAACACGGACTTCTGCCACATATCCAATACATGTACACCTTAATATATATATATCTTCTACTGCGTTCATTAATGTCGTCTACCACTGCCACATGGTGTCTGATGAGAGAGGCGTTTACGGTGGCTCCAAACCTTCCAAATGATCTGAGTGTTGAGCGGGAAAAGGATATAATTTTCGGCCTTGAGCCACAGGTGGTCTGGTGTCGAGTAAATGCGTGTGATGCCGACCGCTGTAGTCCCCAACTATTGATGAGTTGGAGTCTCATGACCATCATCGTCCGTTGGTTCGTCCGACTGGGACTCAGGGAGAATATAGGGACCAGGCGGTGGATACTGCGAAGGTTGGGTATACTGAAGCTGGGGATTGTATCGTTGCTCTACAACCTGCTGTGGTTCTGCCGAGGACTGGGTCGGACCGACATATTGTTGTGCGGACGGCAGTGCGACAGGAGTGTGCGGATGAGGAAATTCATAAGGTAAAGGTGGCTGAAGGCCAGAGGGATATCCTGGCGGAAACGTAGACGCAGGGCCATGAACATGAACAGAGCCCTGGATATCTGAGTATGATTGGTATGGAAAGTTCCCCGATTGAGGGGCGGTTCCAGGCAGCATCTCACCTATGGGTGGAAGAGGAGGATAGTTAACAAGAGGCCCCTCCACCCATTGAGAGCCTTGTTGAGAATTAGTACTACCCGTTGACATGAATATTCGTTACATACCCTGAGCCGCTGTGTCGGAGGGATGTGGCGAGGGGTGATAGGGGTGAGGCTCGTAATAAATTTGCGTCTCTCCAGACGAAGATGGCTGATTTGGAGGCCACCCATGAGCAGGAATACCGGGGGGACTTCGACTTTGGTGCCTAATGTCAGATCTGGGAATATACTCCTGTTCGTTCGTCAATTCGAAGAAGTGATCGAAGGATAAGGGAGCGCCCCCAAGGAAGTTGTTACGATTGGAAGTCCAGTTCTTGATCTCCTCAGTGAAAGCTTTGAGTGTGCCCTGATCCTAGCACAGGGGATTTTAGCGCTCGAAAATGCTCGGTAACAGACTCCACGGACCTTCATCCATTCAAATCGTTCTGCCCTGAACCCTAGGCACTGGATATTGAGACGTATGCACTCTCCACAGATCGACCTGGAGCCTTGGGATGGGCCATCACATTTCTGGGCGAGCAATCAGACGATCGGATGCGCGTGACTACGGATTGAAGCCTCAGATACCTTCCTCCGCCCGCGGCAGGTCAGACAGCCACTAAGCGATCTGTTAGAAGACGATTCTTCCGCCATAATTTTGTAGGAAGGCTGAGGGTTCAGGGGGCGCTATGAAGTGAAAAAGTAGGGACAAGCCGGAGATCTGTCTACTTATCTCCGGAACGAAAAGCAGAATGAGATGCGAAACGAGGAGACATCCGAGTAATTGGATGCAACGTGTGAGAGGCAAGGTTGGGAGTAGCCAAAACGCTCGAGAACGTCAAAAATGACCAAAATCTTGGTTGTGCTTGCTTGCAATGGGGAGCATCCACGTGGCTTTCGGTCCGAGCAAGAAACTGTGCTTGAACTACTCATATGCGGCCTGATTGTAAAGGAAAAACCTTGAAGGCTTCCATAAATGTTTTCATGGTTTCATAGATACCCGAAAGTTGGCCAGATTTGCTGGCAAAGATGGAGCTAGCACCAAAGACAAACCCGTGGCGCGTTGCAGCATCATGTCAACGGCCTAGCTTCGAAGAATAGTTGGACCGCTGCGACCCGAATCGAAGTAGATCCATTCGCGGCGACGAAAGGCATCCATATCGCCACGACCCTTACGAACTGATCGCCGGTCACGCTTAATCAATCCTTGCATCTCTCGGCCTCTGAAGATGACGATATGGTATCAAAGAAATCTTCTGGCGCTGTAGGGTCCAAGAGAGGAACAAACGTATAATTCATCCCGATTTGGGCCCTCACTAGGCAAACACGTGGCGTGCATTGATTCTGATAGTGCCTCCCAGCAGCTGAACAAGGTGGGTCTACTGCAACGATGTTAATTGGGTCTGAAATATCGACAGGATAAATGCTCTTACCATTCTTTGTATTGAAAGAGATTACCACTTTGGGGAAGACGACACAAGACTAAATGACATGTTGGAGAGCTGCAAACATCGTGCTACTCGGGATTCCCCCGACATTCAGATTAGCCACTTGATATCAAAACTCAAAACAGGGGCTGCCGCAGCTACGGGGTTCATGGCAAACGGAATTCCGTGCACTCAGGGAATCAATCCCGTGGACAAATAATGCAAGAACTGAGATTAAACGTACAGGTTACATCTATATAGTCGACCCAGCCGCGCAGAAGTACAGGAGCATAACGCAGTGTAAGATGTACTCATTCGAGACCGCAATGATGTATTATGGATTTCATCTCAGACTGAGGACATGCAGTTACGTTGAAAAGCCCCTCCAGGATACGAGTGCTTTAGTAACCCATCTGTCTGAATCGGCGATTGGACTCACCGGAAGGTATTGTAAAAATCTAAGTCTGGCTCGTGAACTTGGCTCTTAAGCCCATAGCTTCCGGTGCTCGAGTCGTCGGGTGTTAAGTCAGGAAGCTTGTATGGCATTTCATAATGCAGGTCCGAATCCGCAAATTCTGCCGGAAATATTTTTTCAAAGGAGAATTGTATATAGTGGGGAGGGAATTCTGCTCCTTCAGTTGGGCGTTTCAGATCGAGTAAATCAGGTAAGTGAATGGGCAGTCTAATATGGTCCAAGCAGTGCTCAAATGAATGCTGTGTATGGGAGAATCTGGCGAGCCCACGAACCCACTGGAATCCACTGAGATTAAAAGGGGGAAATCGTTCGATTCTGGGGTGAGTAATGTGCCCGTGCAGTCGGGCCCGTCTGCATAGGCTGAGGAGGATTCTGTGTCAGATGGGGAACCCTCTGGTTCAATTTCCGGGGAGGAAGGGGTGCCATGTAACACCCTTGCAGCCCGCTTTTCCAGACATTCCAAGCTCAGCAACGGTGAATTTCTGTAGACTTCAGGTTGACTGGTTCTGGCGCGCACGCAAGCAAGGACATAATCAAGGGTACCCGGTGCCTAAATAGTTATTCCATGAGCGTGTTGGGCCGCATGGCCAAGTTACGGACCTTTAGCCACGATGGCCTCTCCAGTCCACGGCTGTCACATTTCAGATGGAATCTTGAACAGTCATGACAGATCCCATGTCTCGAACCAGATTTGCACTTCTGTTCCTCAAAGTTTCATGGACATTCAATGGAGCCAGCACTTGAGAAATGTACCTTTCTCCTGAGACGACAGAACATGCAGCCATCGGTGCTACGAGGCCGACCTGCCATATGGAGTATTCATCGAGTGACGATGGGTCAAGGATGAAGCAAAGCAGGTTGTCCCGCTCACCACGCTTTTAACATATGGCTGTGACGCTCGGGTCCCAAAGTTGTAGCACTGGTTGATAACCATCCCTTAACAATCATAAGCGCTCGTCTTACTGGTCAAGAACTACAATAGCTTCGTAGCACGACGCGAGAGAAGATCTGAATAGGAAAGACGCCCATCAGGGGCGCAGCGCCACTCAAATGATGCAATTGAATTTGATGGAAGTCTATCCGCGCGGGAATTGGAATGGAGAGTGTCCGATAACAGCGTCAAGGCCTAGTCTCATGACTATTGCGTTACCGCATAATCGCAACACTCCCAGCATGCGCGCCTCACAGTTCCAATTGCCCGCGCGGCCTATTCATGGTGCGTGGCCGTGATGCAAGTCATCGCACGTATGATAAAGCCACATGCATTTGCCTTGGAGGATGAATGCGTTGGTTAGGACGCTGGCACTGCCACAATAGGACCCGGGTTGGGCAAGCACAGACACATGCACTGAAGCGATTGTTTCTGCCGCTTCGCCCACAATAGAGGCTATTGGAGTGTGAGGATCAGTGAACGCATTCAACGACACGTGTCAAACGCATTGTGTCCACGTGATCCATGAGCACAAAATTAGGACACGAACTCACCTCGAGGCCCGCTCGCGCCATCTATTTGCTACAAAGGGATAAGAAAACAACGTGTCTCGGGAGCTCTGTGTGAAAGGCCGCAGCAAAGATTCAACTATTTCTCAGCGCAGCGCTCGCGTGTTGTCATGTGGGAATCGTTGAATCGCCAGAGTGACGAGCGATCTTCGTCTCCCGACATAAAGTTATCCCATGAATTGATGTGTGATAAGTCGGACCGAAGGTCGATCACGACCTTTTCCGGGGATTTCGGAGCTAAGCACGATTGCGGTGTCTTGCCAGTTTCCGATACATGCACCAACTGTTTTGTTCGATGCGGGCCAAATGCGGTCTTCATTATTGGGCCTGTAGGGATGTATCAAACACAGCGTACAGAGGTAAAGGGAAGACATGATCAGGGATCTAACTGTCCAGACTGCACAATAATACGAGTACAAGAGTTTACATATTGGTGGCGGCGCTCCTTCCTAAGGCCGTTATCTCCCCGGATGAGCATCAATTGATCCTTTGTGATCGGGATATCAACGTCCGTGCCCTCGCAATCCAATCTTACAATTGTCTCATCACTTTCCTTGTTTCCGCGGCGACGACAAATTAGGAGACTTCTGCTCGTTCAAAATGACAAACAGTTAATACCATGAGCCAGTGGGGGAATAGAACGGAGGCGGTGATGAAGGAATCAAGTTGGGGTCAGCGGACACCGGCGAACTAGGATAAGGTGGACACGAATCCGATGGCGTATATGAAGAAGCTGGTGATTGAGGCTCGTGGCCGTAAGGAGGGACCCATAACTTCACGTCACTATACGGTTCTATCGCACCGAAGTCAATATGGCTCTGAATCTAGTGGAAGAACGCACCACTTTTCAAGCCCAGAACTCCATCAAATAACGGCCAGGACGTTTGGAGCTCATCGTGAGTTTTTGGAAGCATGAATGCTTCGCCCGTGTCCCAAGCCGAATGTGTTTGGATGGAGGTGGTTAATCCAAGATGACAATTCGGATCGACCTCATGAGGCTGCCGAGAATCTTGCATTAGCTCCAAGGGGTTATGTGTGGGTGCAAAATGGGGATTGCATGGAAAACCGTCTTCATACAATCTCACATCGATTTTCGGACCTTGAGTGAAGGTGGGTTCGTCGATCGGTTCCTGGACCGCAAAATATCCTGGATATTTGCGTTCTTCGTTGTCTTTCTCATCATCCGTGGATGACGCGTCGTAAGAAGCAACGGGGACTGAAAGCTGGTTGGTATGATTGAAAATTGTGGGGAATTGTTCCACGAGTTGAGCAATAGGTGGCTCAAGGCTTTGCAATACAGCTGGGAGCTGTAGGCGGGGCGATTGGCGGTCCGATTTCCATTTCTTCTCCTTTATCCAGAGGCTTATTGTGTTCAGCACCGGTTCCTTGTCTATCTGTGAGAGCAGCTGAATCTCCGTTCCGACCCTGACGTGAAATTATGCCCACCGGAGGCCGAGAGAGTCCGGCTCCAAAACATTCAATGTGAAATTTGCTACACTCAGAGCACGACCCATTGTTCTTCCCTTCGCTCCCCAGTGAGCAACGCTAATGGGATGACAGGTAAATCCACAAGAGGCAGTTCATCAAAGAAACGATGGTAACGAACTTTCTTTCGCAGACGACAGATAAGGCACCCTGAAATGTCACGATTCCTCAGAGGAGATGAGGGACGAGAGACGCTGCCGCGACATCGGGAACGACGGCGAGAATCAGGGTGCGTAGAAGTTAGGGCATTAAATGACTTCATCGGAGATAGACACTTCAGCGTGTGCGACGTTGTACAAGTGTTGCACTGCTAATGGGGGAAAGGTTCACTGGAAAGACAGTGAGCACGTAGGACTATTGTAGTTCATTTATGTGATATAGCATGCGATTTAAACCAAACAACATGAGCCATATGATGGCTCTTACTTAGTCCATTGCGGAAATCCATGATGCTAGTACCGGTCAACTAATTCAAAATTTCCGCTCAGCGGAATTTGGGATTCCGTTAGACGCGATGGTCCTGAATGCGAGTCAATAGAGAACAGCCTCATTCTCATGCGGCCCCGCCACGTTTCGAAGTCACGCAGACTTTCAATTGCAAGAGGGGCCACACACCCCGGCCCCGTGTTGTATGCCTGAAGTCCGCGCACTTGGTTCGGTGTCAGTTATCCATGGATGTGACACAAACTAGCAACCGGTGTACAAAGCACAGCAAATGCACAACAAATCGAATGTCCGTGAGAGCACAGCGAGCGGCTGATGGCGAATATATGAAAGGAAAGTGTCCAAAGACGAGTACAGTAACATTGTGATAGGCGAGGGAATGAGTGTGGCTCCGTGCATGCAAAGCAAAGGGACGTAGATTCAATTCGTTTCAGACTGCTGAGCGCGTTGCCCGCCAGCAATAATAAGATCGCAGGCGGAGCCGCGGCTCGCGAGGGAAAAGGGAGAAACTAGGGAAGAACCAAAGTGAGCGGAAGACGTTGGGCGTATACAACAAAATGGATAGGGTGTGCAGGTCCAAAAATTGTCCACATTAGAGATTTTTGGCAAAGGAAAATATATGCACCAAAGGAACCGAGATGATGAATAGAAATTAGCATTCGAAGGTATGTGCAGAACTACGTGTTTGGCATCAGATGCAAATGATGCGGCTCGTCGTTTCCATCAGGGAGAAGGTTAAGAAACGCCGACACCAGTTCTTGCTCCCCTGGGCCAAATGCTCCCGCAGAAATTTGGGCAAAGTTATTGTATGTGTCGTCATAATTAATCCCAACTAGGTCTGTCGGCATGCCTACGTGGATTAATGTGTCATTGTGTCCTGTGCTGGGGACGCTATATGTCGGTTCATTTACGCTGTCCCCAGCATCTACACCGAGGTTTAGAACACTGAGATCAAAGCCCACACCGCCCTCAACCTGGTCGTGTGAGGATGGCGAACCAGCTGGGATAGAGCTAGGTTGTTCCCCAAGGTAGACGTCTGGAAGTGGAGCTGGAGGGTTTGGAGTACTGGCACTGGTGAGTGTGTGGGGAGCCCCTAACCCTGGGTGAGGGCCGCCCAAGATTAAGAGGCTCGAGTCATTGCCAAAAACCACTCCTTCTGTCAGGCTCCCAGTTGGCTGGTGAATAGACTGTTGAGCGTAGGGAGATACGGGAGGGGGTTGATCGGGGATCGTGGAATATGGGCCACTTAGGGGGATAATTGGATCATCCAAATCGCTGAAGACTGATCCCGGGCTACCGAACATGGAGGGAGACGACAATGGAGAGTTGGGCCCGCTTGAGTGAGAACGCCAAGCTGGAAACTCGCTCGTAGAACCTGTACTCAAGATCAGCGGGATTGCTAGGGACAGATCAATTCGCCGGCATAATCTCACCATTCGCTGCCTCGGCAGGTGACACAAGCAGTTGAGGGATGGGTGAATGTATCGAGCTGTCCGCTGAGGTAGGGGAGGTGCCAACTGAAATCACAATTGTCAGCTAATAGGGAAACATAAGTCGCCTGAACCGAACACTTACAGCTACCAGGATGTAAGGTATGCTGTCGGGAATCCATTGACGCGGTTCCCCTTTGATGAGTGAGTTGGAATTGGGGGATATTCTCAGGCTGATTGTCAAATAAGTGCACCCGCGGCATGGAGGACAACGAGCGGGAACGCTGATGACGGTGGACCCCCGAATGAGGTGATACTAAATTCAGAAAATGTCTTTTTGTTAAGCTCGGACCCGCGGACATGATATTAGAGACCCACATAGAGAATTAGTTTCGTTGTGATTATTAATCCCCTGCTGAGGGTACGGCGCTGGCCGCGCGCCAGCGGATTGCTGGAACACGGGGTCAAGTCGGAGCGCAGGCCGGTGGGGTCGTGACGCGTCGCTCAAAGAACGGTGCAATCCAGGGGATCCAAAAGAAGACTCTGCATGTGAAAAGGCCTCTGGTGTTGCGATGGGATGCATGAACTCTTGTGAAATGCTAGTGCGTAGACCCCCAAAGTCTGAGTTCACTGACGCAGGCGCAGCGGAGGATGGACCGGAAATATCGGAGGCATGGGAGACAAGGAAGCTGTATTCGGACAAATTAAGGGGCTCGACGCCGTGATTTCGATTGCTCCGCTTCGAAGTCCAATCTTTAATCTTCTCTTTCAGCTCTTTTACTTTCTCCTTGTTCTGGGATAAATAAATGCGTGTTCAATACCTCGCTAGTGTGATAAGGGCTATGATTCATACCTTCTGCATACCCTTTGGCCTTTGGCCAGGGAACCCGAGACAAATGACATTAAGAGCCTTCAAGCAAAGGTCGGAGAAGGCTCATCCTTGTACAAACAATGACGCTTACGATGCACTCCTGGCAAGTTATGGATTCTGCCACCAAAGGGCCAGAGCAATTCTATGCAATCGATACGTGTGAGATCCGTACATGGTCATTCTGTCCCATAAAGACGCACCTTCTTGCGCAGACGACATATTATACACCCATCTCGCGAACGCTTGTCTCTCGAACCTCGATGTGGGTTGCTAATGTTTCTCTCGAGTGACGCTTCCATGAGATGTTTTGATCGACGAAAGGCTCGGGTGAAAGGGAAAGTTTAAGGATCTAGAACAAGCAACAAAAAGGCAGGGAGTGGTGACTAGATGGGGAGGTGAAAGGAGTTGTCTGAGAGAGCGATGACGAGTCGGATGGGTCAGAAAATGGTAGCGATATAAACTTGATGGCGGGCGTTCCTTGAGAAGCGAGCTTCGTCCTTATATGCAAGCCTTCGCGCCTAGGTGGGTGTAGTCAGCATCGCCTCAGCGATCTTCTGAATAAGGATACTCTTGAATAAGTGCAGTTACAACACGTGTCACAGGGGTGGGGGGGAGGGTTGGCTTTCTGTTCGCTAGGGCTAGGTGTGAGTCCACGTTCGGTGCTATGTTGAATGACTCGGAACGGCTTCAGAACGTTTCCAGCATGTCATGTCACATGTACAAATCAATGCTGTGCGCTGGTCGAATTTATTTGTATTCATTTACATTCCATACTTTGGTTAAGGGGCGAGCGCGACTAGGGTTTTCTTTCCTTTTATTCAGTGTGAAGAATGGCATGAAGTGCATCAGTTGGACGTGATGGTGGTAATGATGATCCAAAAAAGTTGGCGGTGTCACTTAGGCGCGCAAGACGTGCGCCTCCAGATCAGCATCTTTGCCAGCAGAATGGGCCCATCCGAACGAGATCGATTCAAAATCGGTTTCAAGGAAACGAAGTAGTACAATTAGAGGTTACATACGCCAGCCAGTACAGCCAAATGAACGATCCAACAAAGAATCCCAAATAATACTTATCCTGAAACGCATCAAGCTAGCAAGACAAGCCCACCTACTTCTAAAGCCACGTTCCACCAATCAATAGACGTCCGCCGATTCGCTCGTTCTCTCCTTGACCACACTTCTTGGACAAGTCGCATTACCTGCACAATGTGCGAAAACATAAATCGAATTCATTCCTAGGGGGTATCTTTCGGTGCTTACTTGCACTACATTGCCTAGACGATCCCCTTCGATGAGCTGACCGAACTTGTCTATAAGGAAGTTCTTCTGATCAACCGTCCTGGCCATGCTGCCAAGCACACAGATCGAAAACGCTACGCTTCTGTCGAAATCCCCAGCATTGGCGTGTTTCAAGCACTGAATTCCTTCCACCGTAGCAGCAGCAATGACAGGGATATCCGGGAATGATCCAGAAACAACCGTGTGCAAATACACCCTCGCGGCATGAAACAGGGCAAGTGCGAGTGGTGGCGGCTGATTCGTAATGACGGGAGGGGGGGTACGTCAGTTGGTCCGTTCGTGGCGAGAGCGCTTTTTGGTGATGAAGGGGCGGCGCCGGCGGGAGATTCAGGTGTTGCATTAGGTGAAGTTGCACTTGAAGAAACAGCAGCAGCGTTGGTAGGAGGGGCAGTTGCCTGGCCAGTGGTGTTGGTCTCATTTTGAGCAGGAGGATGAACAACTCTAGGGGCTTGTTCGACCAACATCGGCAACGAAAGGAAAGTCGACTCAATGCGACGTCCTCCGTCACACAGCCGTTGGACGTCCAAACATCCCTTCGACAATTGGTCCTCCTTCCAGCCTGCGAGCGCAGAGGTCTCGGCGATTCCCAAGAGTATCTGACATTTCTGAGTGACAGCAATGATATTGTGTCAAGAAAAACTCACCTGATTATCGCACCCCATCACTTTAGAGAGGTAAATCCCATGATTGTCTTGGCTAGCGTCGTTAGTCAGAAATCTAGGATAAAAACGTTGTAGTTTTGGAGAACGCTGAATGCTAGGAGACGACATAATATCGATCCACATTGTTACTTCCGCCAAGAACGCCGTGGCATGGCTAAGTTTGGTTGAACCTGTATAAATTGATAAGTCAACATCACCCAGACGCACCTGAAGGGCTGCAACACAAGGTCCCCAAGGAGGATCGACGCAGCGGGCGTTAGATTCGCCTTCGCACCTTCAGGGGGCTGACTTGGCACCGCCCTTCAGGTGTGGGGCAATTTCGAAGACGAACCTTGAAGTATGGAAATGGCCTCGCTTTCGAGCCAAGCACATGCCATATCAAGAAACGACTTCCAATCACCCGTGCCACCTCGATTAAGAACGCAGGTAATCCCTGAACAGACACAGCAGACGTTATGTCGTCAGATTGACTCGGATAAACCTGCCAAAGAGCGTATGTACCAAAAATAGCTGCCAATCCATGGCCATCATGATGCTTTTCAAAGTCAAGACTCTGCTGCAACAGTTGCTTTGCAAGTGACAATTCGTTCTCGCGTCTTCGCCTCTCTGCCTTGTCGATCTTGACACCAGGTTCTCGCTTCTTGAAACATTCGAGTGAAAGCAAATCTATTGCACGAAAGAAAAGCAGACGAGCGAGGCGATGGCCAATCAGAGGGGTTGTGAAGGAGAAATTGGATGAAAAAAGGAAAGTAAATCCATCTGTCACAACTGCTTCAAGATGCTTTTCCCTATCTTACGTCTTGTGACAGATTGAACGCTTTTATTCCCCCACACAGTCTGATAGAGCTCTCGAGCATACTCCGGTTGCGTGAATCGGCGCTCGTTCGGGGCGGCGTTTGTCCCCCATGCAGCAAGGGTTCGGTCGGTGAAGTCATCATACTTACGAATATCGCTCAGTGAAGGAGCCTCGTTAGCAGATGGGTTGGCCGGAGCCAGGGAGACTTTGAAAGTTGAGGTGGTTCCGCCAACATCCACGATAGCACCTCCATTACTGTTCTGCCTAGAATTTGGAGCCACTCGATCCAAACTATTCCGGTTAGGGCGAGCCTTGGCTTCAGGATCCGCATCTGATTCGCTCTCGAGTTCATCATTGAGGTCCTCGGAACCACCACCACCACGGAGGAAGGACTGCTGGTAAGCCGCTGGGCTGGGATCCGCTTTTATTGTCGAACGAGACGCGGAGACATGGCCTGAGCTTCCCGAAAGCGGGCGAGACATGCTGTGAGCGGAAGACGAGAGGTGGTGATGAGGAACAGGTAGAGGGGGCACTCCCGGGCCCTGTGCTGCAGAATGACGCTGCTCATCTGGGGAGCCACTAGTTTCATTCATAGGCTCATCTTGAAGCTCATCTCTCTCAGAGTCTGATTGACTGGCCCATGCAAAAGCTTCCTCTTTCCGGTTTTGACGACGGACACTGGAAGCAGGATTCTTAGGCTTTGACGTGTGGGGTACAATCTGCAGCGGCTCGGGCACTTCATCTCCATAATACTGTGCTAGTGATAAGCGTCCACCTGTTACACCGGGATTTTTCAGCTCTCCGAAATTGTCCGATGGTGATCGATGACGGCGCTTACCTTTCGGGCGCTGTGAACCTCTTTCTGCTAACCAACATCTGATCTCCTTCTTGCAGGCCTCAAGCTTAGTATGATCCTACGTCCGAAATTTGGTTTGTGCTCGTCCTATCAGCTTTATCGAAAGTGAGACATAGGGGCCTTGATACCTTCATCCAAGCCGGGCGCTTCTCTGCATACCCCAAACACTCAATACTAAGACGGCTACAAGCTTCACAGGACCCCTCGGCATCTTTCAGTTCAGTGCATTTCTGGACATATACCGATTCAGTGTGCGGAATGCGGAACTGCGGAACATTATGCTACGCACCTTGCGCCGGATGCGGCAGGTGAGGCACCCGTTCCTCGACCTGGACATTTTCTCTCTTTCTTTTTTCTCATAAGGTGTATGACGAGGGACCATTGGCAAGTCAGTGGGGGACACAGACACGCGAGACATGGGGCGGACTTGAAAGGGGGAAATGGAAGATGGGAAGATGGCCGTTATTATAGCGTTTCAATACAATTCAAATTAGCGCTGATCTAAGCTAAACGCCCCTCGCTTGGTCATAAGCGCGCGCTGAAATCAATAATATGGACGGATCATCTCCCCTGTCTTCGCATGAGGACTGGCGCCCCAGTATCCGTGTCAAGCGTATACAAAGATACACCAAAGTCCGAACCGTTGGGGAAAGCGGCAACTAGGCAGGTTTCTGAATCGAGCGCGCAATATGATGTCTTACGTGCTTTTTGTGTTGCCAGCTCTCCAACTTTGGATAACTCGAACCCCCTTCTTTCAATGCCAACAGTGGTAAAGCTTTCGGATGAACTTAAATATCCCTCAGGGAGTGTGGTAATCTATCTACCTGCCACTTTATGTGCGGCGGGGGCAACGGGCCTCAAGCTCCCGTTCACATCCTTAGTAGCTAGTATTGTGGAAGCAAGACGCGCGCTCGTGTATCATTTTCTGCAAAAGCCCTGAGAAACACTTTGGCCTCGTGTTGACCTTTGTCCGCATACAGATATTACTTAGGTAGGCGCGCGCACACACGTTTGATTCCGCGCATTTCTCCTTTTGGCAACTTGATCCTTCCACAAAAGGTGGATCCGGTGCATTGGCAATATCAGCGCATCTTCAAATCGTTGCAGCGAAGCTACGGCTAAGCGCTCCAAAATAGTGAGTGCAATTATTATTGTTATAGACTCCTGGTCACCATGCCCCAAAGTGGACGAATCACAAGGAAACCTGTGAATCCAAACCGTGCTGTTTACGGTGAAAGCAGCGCATCAAATGGGGAAGAATTTAGTCGCTTCGCTATCGACGCGCGCTTGCATGGAGCCTGGATCACCTTAATATGGAAAGTGGTGTTTTGGGAAATGATACTCCAACAATTGTTTCATAAAAGGCATCTGAAGCGGCTGATATCCAAGCTTTCAGTGCGAATCAGCCCACATGTTGGGCGCTTCTAGAACTCGCTTCTGGGCGCTTATCTAAATTCAACGGTCACCCCAAAATCTCTCACAGGGAAAAGCAAGCCGCGCGTATGCCTCACCCTTTTCGTGCCACTTGGGCCTCATGACTGATATGTCCGGCCCTGTGGATAAATTTCCACCAAGGCAACGCTAGCGCTTATGGAGGCAACTCAGGTATGATGCTGTCATTGTTGGCCCCCGCCCGAATCAACGTTGATCAATGGAGATGACCGAATCTGCCTCTATCCTACTGCCCCATATCCGCTCCAGAGCCGGTGGATTTCCCCAGTGAGGAAAAGTGAAATCGCACCGGGTCTGCACAGCCTGTCCAAACTAGCTGAGAAGCACGGCCACGACAGGGAGTGAAATGCACGCGCTGGAATGATAGGGGTGCTGGTGCTTGCGCCCACGCACCAATTAAAGAGTTTACGATATGGTGGTTCCCATAGAGAGCTCCTGGTTTAGGAAAGTCTCCGCTTTCTTTTGCCGGAGGGAGCACAGATATCATTGATTGTCCCGAGTAATGCATGCTCGATCAGAACGTTTCCTGATTTTTAAGAAAGGTTGAAGCAGCCATGACACGTGAGATGTCAGGATGTTGCAGGTTCACGGAGTTGTCCGAATTTATTGTTATATTGTTATGTATTCCTAAAGTTGGCAGTTCTTCCAATCTCAACACCCCAAAAAGAAAGGGGGTCCCAATGAACTTCTGGCAATTCTGCGCTTAGCCTAGTAGAAAGGGAACATCTGCCTCTCGCTTGACTGTGTTCACAACCACCACTGGACCTTCCACATAAAACAAGTGACTCTGGCGAGGACTTGATCCTTGTTCGGACTCAACAATGCTCAGCATTCGTTGGTTCACGGGGCTTAAGATCCCTGGAGGAATGACTCCTTGGTGATGATGAAGTGCCCGGAAGTGTACTATTTCCATTTCGACTGATGCATTTGGAGGGCGGTTAGTTCAAGATTCAGCTGGGAGCTCCTCTTACTAAACAATTCCGATGCGGAAGTGGATTAATAAGCGCCGGCCGGCAGTATATCACGCAGTTCTGATCGGCTCTACTTCTTGACAGCTGAGTCCGACCCTACTTGTAAGAGCATTATCCAGCCGTCGTAGACCGCCGCACATGTGTTGCACTGGCGTTCGGGATGCCCGTTGTATACGACCATTGACTCTTTTCTCTAACATTCCCAATATATTGCCCAGCGAAATTGCAGCAACTCTTATTCGCATGTCCTCATCCACTGAGGAGCGGGACTTGCAGCTTCCATGACTGCCCAATATGTAAAATATGCGTTTCGCGGTTTACCCCTATGTGGCACGGCACAGCCCCCTGGCTGTGTACTTGTGCAGAAGACAGGGCCACCCTCTTGGTTTCACATAAAAGGACTCGGCCGATAGAAACAGAGTTGGGTGCTCACCTAACGTGCAGCATTTCGAACTTGAAAGTAGTCCCATAAATGAATCAGCAGCAACCCCCCCCCTCCACTGTGCAAGTGCAAATGCGGTTGCGGAAATCGGAAATCGGAAATCGGAAACGGAATTTGGACTTCAGCCGCACAGTAGAAAGCCTTTTTAAAAAGGATGCTGCTGACATCTCACTAGCATCCTCGGCGGGGTATTACCCCACCTCATCCTTGAAGACGGCCATCTTTCGTTTTCCTCGCCTATTCCATTGTCGTCACGAGCTGCCTATTCTTGTACGTTAGGGTATAATTCCCTCAATTCCACCCCCGCGCGCGTAATAGCCATATATATATATATAAGAATCACTTTTGGATTTCACAGCTCCACTCCAACAAAGTCCTCGTCTCCATCCTTCCACTTCGCCAACAATCCGCTTTGCGCTTTCTCGTACTCTGAAGCCAACGACACGTCCATGAACGGCGATGAGAAGAGGAGGACAAGGAATGGGTGCTGGCTGTGCAGGTTGAGACGGAAGGTTCAAAGCTTCTCACTGTCATTTTGGAACCATCTTACATACACCCTCCTCATGAACAGGAATGTCGTGCCTCAAATATCCGTAGTCCTTGCAGTCATTGCTCGCGGCTGAGCATCATTTGTCCCCTTGGCTATGAACAAGCTCGCCCTCCGAGTATGAAGGCAAGAGGCGGTTTTGGTCATTACTCTTTATTCGATTCTCTGACTACGCAGGGTGATTCCACAGGAGAAAGGCGACAAGGCAAAGGAAATGAAAAAAACAATCAAAGACTGGACGACGCAGATGCGGAGCAGGGCGGGCAGGGACCGTGCTGAGGGTCAGATGCTGGACCTCTCCTATTTGATCTGGCCCTCGGGAGGAGCTGCCGTTGCCGCGCCTATCGCAGGGTCTTCGGGGGCCGAGGAATTTCCCACTCCATCAGGCCCCCACCTCGGCCAACCAGCTTCAGCTCGTACGGTATCTCATGTTCACGAAGACGGAGAGAGCAGCATTGTCCAATCCATGTTCTCTTCTCCACCAGCACTGTCTATGGGACCCCAAAGTACCAAAGGGGTAGCGCCTTTGATATCACACGCAGGTACGCCTCCACGCTGAGTCAGGCACTTCGATCATGACTAACTCGATCCGGTTACGGGCGTTAGATCGGTTTGACGACGGTTCTATACCAGTCCCGCCGCCCCCACAGACCACTTTGGGAAACTTGGAGCGGCGTCCAAGTTTTCTTCCTGGTCTTTGGGACCTGCCCTATGTTCCAGTGAGTGTGCCCGAACGTCCTTTGAGCCCGATGCGAGTGAATATGCAGTTCTGTGACGGAATCACAATCAACCCTTTTCTTATCGAGGCCACGGTGCCCGGGAGCCTGGACCACGTCGGGGGGGATCAAGCACCAACTCAGCAACTAGATCCCCCCATCTTCCCGCTGAATTAGGCCGTGACATTGTATGTGGTGGGGCTGGTGATCAACAAAGCCCCTTCGTCTAACCTTCGCCACTTTATTTCGATGCCACGAAGCTACCTCACCCTCTCCTTTCATTGCAGGTTATCCATTAGACCTAGGTGCGACAGACATCTTAATAACCTCATACGGTTGGTCGCTTGACGCTTGGCGTTGATTGTCTGCATGTAGAAACAGTTTGATTTTGACTGGTATGGCGTGGGACGTTCCTTTGATTGTGTTTAACTTGTCGGCTGCCTGTGCCACGGTGTTTCGGACCGTCACGGTTATTCTCTTGTCATTCCCAGGGACTTCTTCCGGGTCACTTTCAACCAGGTGAAGTATCCATACCATGCGTAGCCTCCGGTAACCAACCCCTTCACTCCTGAAATCTTGCCGACACTATATTAAGAAAATGTAGTGCCGCCGCTACTCTCTCTTAAGGAGGATATCCAAAGCGGAGCATTTCGCATCTTACAGTCGGTTATGCTGCTGTAGTACGTGCAATCATCCGGCCTTTGGCTGCCGTAGTGTACGTTATATCTAATATGTATTTACTGTCTTCGAGTCGTTCTGCCCTTTGTTCAACTTTTTACGCTTGATTTTGCGGTTTTTTTTCTTGGCATTCTTTGTATCTGGATGATGCGGTCCATCACTTTTTTCGAGTGTGTTCTCTGGTCGTATCATTTCGCAATCTATTGAATACAGAGTCGACAAGTTCAATTCAAAAAAGCTGTGCGGGTCTTGCCGTAGCCAATTGAGGCACGCCAAAGCGCGTTCGACATACATCAATACAGCTCGAGTGCTCCATCGGATCTGTGTCTAGCCGCAATCCTGGCACTCCCGAATAGCTCTGTGACGGAACCCAATATGGACCTGTCCAAAACTGGATCAAGGCGCAATGATTTCTGCTTCCATTCAACACACTTTTTTCTCGTCGAACCTGTGATTTGATAAGTTCACCACCGCGGTGTTTGGAGACTCAGCTTGAGCGTGGGCTCCATCACGTTCTGCCGATTGGGCCGTGACAATGATACAGCTATTGTGACACTGTGGGAGACTCTTAGCCGGTGCTCAGCACCTAACCTGGTTGTATTGCCTGATCACATATTGCGATTCAGGAGCAGCCCCTACCCGTTGATAGGCTTGTTCTGGAATTGTCGGTCGAGATGCGGTGTCATGCGTCTGGCACGTCTACATCGAGGAAACTTATTTGCATTCGAACACATGGTCCGCTGTTCTTCGAGGCACCCCTCCTGCCTCCTGCACACTATTGAGGCATCTTTCAACAATTTATGGCCTCTCGCACCGTGCACTGTGCTCATATCGTTCTTTGCTTCGTTATCCGGTGCCCATGCCCGAGAACACACGTTTCGCTGGATTTGTTGATGATGTTTTGAAGCGTGCTTACAGTAACAAGCAAAGGTCACCCAGCCTGGATCATTGCCAATCTGAATTGCATTGAAAGGGTATGGTGACAGGACATCTTCCCGGAGCCCTCTTCCGAGTGGCTCCTGCACATTGATTTCAGCGCGCGCTTGTGACAACAAGCGAGGGCCGTTTAGTTTAGATCAGCGCTGATTTGGATTTTATTGAAACGTTATAATAATAATAATAACGGGGCAAGCGCTGATTTGAATTGTATTGAAACGCTATAATAACGGGACATTTCGCCACCTCCCATCCCCCCTCACAAGAGCCCCTCATGCCCCGCGTGCCCTCGCCCCCCCCTACTTTGTCGACGGTCCCTCGTCATGTGCCTTACGAAAAAAATGGAGGGGAGAAAACCTCCAGGTCCAGAAACGGCTGCCTCACTTGCCGCATTCGGCGTAAGGTGCGCAGTCTAATGTTCTGCATTCTGTATTCCACATTCCACACACTCAGTACGCCCCAGAAATGCACTGAACTGAAGGACCCTGAGGGATTCTGTGAGGCTTGTAGTCGCCTTGGTGTCGAGTGCTTGGGATATGCAGAGAAACGCCCGGTTTGGATGAAGGTATCAAGCCCCTCCCCATCTCATTTTGATTAAGTTGACGGGATAAGCACCATCTGTTTCCGGCGTAGGATCATGCTAAGCTTGAGGCCTGTAAGAAAGAAATCGGATCTTGGTTGGCAGGAAGACGTTCGCAGAGCTCGAAAGGTATGCGTTATCTATCTGTCGCTGTCGGACAAATTCGGAAAGAAAAATTCCGGTGTAACAGTCGGGCACTTGTCATTGGCGCACTATTATGGGGATGAAGTGCCCGAGTTGCTGCACCACATGCCAAAGGTTCACCGTCAAGGCCGAAAAGAGGAAACCCTGTTGTGGACCGCTGGATCCGACCTGGAGCGAGACAAGCCCCAAGACGAGCCTGTGAATGAAACCAGCGACCCTCCAGATGAGCAGAACCATTTTGCAGTACAAGGCTCCGAAGTGCCTCTGCTGCCTCTCCCTCACCACCCCACGTCCGCCGCTCACAGCATCCCCCACCCACATCCCCGAAGCTCAGGCCATGTCTCTGCATGTGGTCCAGGAATCAAACCGTTTTCCCATGGCGGCTCACTTGTACCGGCCAGTCAGTTAGATCCAGAGAAACGAGACGAACATGTGAACGAATCCAGCGACTCCTTGGATGAGCCTGAGGTGCTGCGGGGTCTTAGAATGCCTCCACTACATCCCCATCCCCATTTTACGTTTTTCACTCAGAGCATATCTTGCCCGCTTTCGGGAAACGAACCCTTCACAGACGCCTCTCCATCTCTAGTCACTTTCCGTGAGGATGGACCTCAGGCCCGTATAATCGCTCGTGAAGCCGAAGCCGCGGAGCCATCTGGTTTTCATCATCAACGGAGCGATCGTATGGTCCCGTCTTCTCCTATAAGTTTTCCTCCTTTAGGAAACCCACAAGAACAGTTTACCACGAATGCTCATAACTCCGTACCTCCCTTTCCGGGATCAGCAGGTTCTCGATCACTCACATTTGATCCCCGTCCCAAGTCCATAATTAATGCCGCGGAGGACGAGCACCTTGCCGGCGTCCACCGGGGGTTGTTGATTGGCGAGAGTGAACAACTGTTCAAATTTTACGACTCTGTGCCTGCGGGTACTGGGTTGACGGACTCCGCTCGCCCCAATAACTATGTGAACCAATCACTCTCTGACAGCAAATTACCATATTTGAACACCTCTCTCCCTTCACCTCAGGCACTCACATCGTCGTTGCAAACCGAGCCCCATTCAGTTGCACCCACCCCTGAATACGATCTCATATTGAGGATTACCAGTCTTCTTAACCGAATACAGCCGCCTGGCCTAACTGGCCTTCTGTTTATCGTTGATGATGAACGCAGAGTTCAGTTTTGGAGAAACCATGTCAGGGAATATCCATCTTGCCTTCCAGATAGCTTCATCGGGGCTCCAGCATTTTCCCCGCTGGGTCAAGATATCCGTGGCCCGCATTGGCACCTCTAGCAGCCCCCGTTGCCCCAACTTGTGCAGTGGAATTGGGATTCTTTCGGGCAAAGACCTAGCAGGATTCTCGCTATCGTGGATCGATTAAATATTCCATACCACCCGATCCGTGTAGTTTTCTTGATTACGACATGTATTGTGCTGCCCTTTTAATGATTGTTGTCTCCAGACAGGTGTCAACTCAAAAAATCCGCAATGAATGTATTGATGAATACCTTAACCACTTCAGCCTAACAAGATTACTTGCTCGTCCAATAACATGGTGATTGATGATGAGGATGATAATGATTTCATTTTATAGTGCGTCACTGCAGGTCGGCATACGCCGCACTTACCTGAAGTGAGAAGGTGTTTTGGGGCGAGGTGTTCGTAACAAAAGCGCGGGAGTGCGTATCCATAGGATCTCGGTTATGAGTTCGTGGGAGCGCAGGAGCTGTTCTCAGCTCACACATCGTGCTTATATACATCTCTGAGTAGCACAAAGGGACAAAGCACTAACACCTTTAGCTTTGTTCTTATGGTGGCAACATATTGTTGACTAGCCAACCATCGGCACGAAGGGCATCGGAATGCCATATCAACAGGAGCTAGGGAACATGGTGATTGTTTGTGATGCCTGGTCGCCTTACGGTCACAGGATGAGGAAACCCGTTTTCATTGTCGGCATATCGGCGTCAAACTGCGGGGATATCTGATCATGAGATTGTATTTTTTCTATCGGCGCCTTTGTCGCTGAAAGTATTTGGGACCGTCGTGGAGAGTGATTAACGTTTTAGGAAACTGACTCTGACCCAGACTCGAACCCAGCCGTCTCCGCTCCGTGGACGCGCAAAATGTTAGAAAATAATGAAGTCTCCTTTGTATTACGATTCAAAAGTCACGTTCTAAGTCACGTTCTCTGGACAAATCCGCACCGCATTAATCAATAAATAATATTGTCAATACAAATAACAAGTCACATGTAACGGGGTTAAAGCATTCATCTCCGATCATCTACTCCGAAAACCAGCACCGCGACACTTCGCTACGACGACTGGCACACTATGGCAGTGGCGATGCTCTCCGGCAAAACCCGAAACAACTCTTGGATCTCAAAAAGGAATCTCTTAGAAGCGCCGAACCCCCCCCCCCCCTACTCCTTCACCATCTTCCACACCATGGACTCTATTAGGATGTTAGCGATTTACGCTAGCGTTTTATGCTCAGTCAATCGTTGTTGAACTTATTAGATTGGAACTAATTACCTAGCGTTTTACGCTAGGGCACATGAGGGTACATGAGTGACAAGATAAATGTGTGGTAAAAGCGCAGTCTCACCTCAGTCAATCGTTGTTGAACTGAGGGAGACGAAAGTGAAAAATTGTTCACTGCTTTTATAAGCAGTCGCCTCAATGGCGCACTGACTTTGGTAGCAGGAATACCAAGAAAGGAAATATAGCGCCGCTAGCTCAACATCACATTGTGAGTTGGCCACAGCGCACTATAACTCCCAAGAAAACCAAGATTTCAACACACCCACTCGATGTGGCTACTCACACAGTCCCATCGCTGTTCTGAACTTCGAATGTTTGGCATACGCGAGAGCCTTCGTCAATACGTCGGCTACTTGATCATCGGTAGGGATGTATTGTAAAGAAATCGTGTGATCTTCTACTTGATCGCGAATAAAGTGATGTCGGACGCCAATATGTTTCGTTCGTGTGTGAAATGCGGGATTGGTGGCAAGCGCGATAGCGCCTTGATTGTCGACAAGGAGGGTGGTTGGGTCGGAAGGAGGGAAGTTAAGGTCGCGTAGAAACTGTTGAATCCAGAGCGCTTCTTTAGTTGCATGGGTAACAGCCATATACTCGCCTTCGGTACTCGAGAGCGCCACCGACGTCTGTTTCTTTGAACTCCAGCTTACCGCTGCTCCGGCCATGGTAAAAACGAATCCAGAAATAGATCGAGAATCTCTCGGATCTCCAGCCCAATCCGAATCGGAATAGCCAGTCTTGTCGCTAGACTTCGAATTACCGTCGTAGACCAATTTGAAATGTTTCGTAGCATTGAGGTAGCGTAGTAGACGATTGATAGCGGCCCAATGCCCTTCTCCTGGATTGGAAGAATATTGGCTGAGTATGGTGATGGCGAAGCTGATGTCTGGTCGAGTTCCTAGCATCGCGTACATTACCGAACCAATTCGGGATTGGTATTCGCGAGCGTTGATGTCAGGGTCAGAGCTTTCGTGGCGAGTGAGTTTGAGATTCGGCATCATAGGAGTCGAGACTGTACGAGAGGTGCTAAATCCAAAGCGATCGACAACCTCGGATATGTAGCAAGATTGAGAGACAAAAATTAAGCGCCTTTGGCGCTCGCGCATGATTTCCAGTCCAAGGAACCAATGAATTTCCCCCAAGTCCTTCATCTTAAATGTGGACATTAGCTGCCTCTTCTTCTTTCGAAGAAGGGGAAGGTGGTTGGAAAGGATCATTAAGTCATCGACATAAAGAGCGACGATGCAAAAATGAGCGCGTTGGGAAAGAATGAAAACGGCGTGATCTGAATTCGAGCGGGAGAAGCCGAGTTTGTTCAGTTCGACTTTGGCTTTCTTGTACCACGCTCGAGAGGCCTGTTTAAGGCCGTACAGACTCTTCTCCAATTTCCATACGATGTCTCTCCTCCCATAGTCTGCTGAGCCAGGAGGCGGCTGCATAAAAATCTCATGCTCCAATTCCCCGTTGAGGAACGCGGTCTTCACATCCATTTGATGTATTTCAAGATCGAGACGGGCACCTAACGCGAGGAGGATTCGGATCGACGACCATTTGACCACAGGTGCGAACGTCTCCTCATAGTCTACCGCGTAGATTTGGCTAAATCCCTTCGCCACTATTCTCGCCTTATACCGCTCTATTTCACCATCGGCCCCTTTCTTCAAAGCAAACACCCACTTACTCCCGACGACGTTGTGGGGATCGACTTCATCTCTGCGCACAGGAAGGTAAGTACCTGTTTCCTTTAGCGCATTTAATTCGTCGGTACACGCCCCTAACCATGAGTCCGCGTCAGGACGATCCATCGCCTCGCTGTACGTTCGTGGTATTTTGATGCTCGCCGTCATCGCCCAAGCGACATTCACTGAATCAGTGGAAGGTTGAGTCCGATTATAAGAAGATCTCTCATATCGGGGGTCGTCGTCTGGAATGGGCGCGTGGCGGATTCTGGTTGAGCGGCGGGGTAGGGAGTCCTGGACTACAGGTTCAAGTTGGAGCGGGGGTGAGTTTTCATTCTCTGCTTCTCCTACTTCCGACGTCCCTCCATTATCTTCCTCTCCTTCTTCTAGATCTCCTCCATCATCATCATCTCTTTCTCCCGACTCTCCATCTTCATCTGCTGGAACGATTACGTGTGTCGGGGAGTTGTGAGACTCGACCTCGATCGTTACGCGTTCCGAGTTCTCCTCGTCGCTCTCGAAGAAATGGACATCTCTCGACTCGTGCAACTTTCGAGCCTTTGGATCCCAAATAAGAAATGCCTTCTTGCCCCGAGCTAATCCAAGGTGGATGCCGGGTTTAGAGCGATCGTCAAGTTTGCGTCGGAGGTCGTGATGGATATGGAGGGTTGCATTGCACCCGAAGGTACGTAGCATCGATACATTTGGCTTGTTGCCTGTGTACCTTTCGTGGGGGGAGATGTCGTTGGGGAGCGCCGCATGAGGAGAAACGTTCTTTACGAACGTGGCATGTTGGATAGCGTATGGCCAAGAGGTACGTCCAATTTTGGATTCGACGCTTTTCAGCATCGCGACACTCATTGACACAAGGGTTCTGTTGACTCTTTCCGCTACACCGTTTTCCTGAGGCGTTCGAGGGTTGGTCTTTTCGTGAAGGATGCCGAGGGATTTGAGATAGTTGGAGAAATCGGAAGAGAAGTACTCGCCGCCGCCATCTGTCCTGAGAATCTTTAACTTATTCCCAGTTTGACGTTCGGCTTCCGCAAGGAATTCTTTGAACTTATCGAGTGCGTCGGATTTGTTCTTCATTGGATATACGGTGAGGTACCGACTGAAGTCATCGACGAAAGTAATGAAGTATTTGTAGCCTTCACTCGATACTGTTTGCAGTTCGCAAACATCAGAGAATACACGACCAAGTACTTGGTCGGAGCGGGTTTGTGTTTCGGAAGGAATGGGGTTTCGGTGATGAGATGCGGCTTCGCATTCGGGACAGTAAGTTGATCGATCAGCGTCGTTTGCTCCTATAACATCCATTCCCTTAACCATTCCACTCCGCATCATCCTCAAGATCGAATCTTTTGCGATGTGCCCCAATCGGGCATGCCAGATGTCGAGGGATGCAGTAGCGGTGATGGTGCGTGCGACGTTAGCGTTGTTGGTATAGGGGTAAGTGATGAAGGCTGTGGATAAGGAGGGGATTCTCACTGGCCATCGGTAGAGGCCCTTTTCCACAGGCACGACGGTGACAAGTTTCTTGGAGGAGTCGAAAATTCGACATTTTTGGTCCCAGAAGTCTGCACCTGCACCCGATTGGTTTAGTTGGAGAACGGAAAGGAGGTTGTGTGCAATTTTGGGGCAGTAGAGGACGTTACGGATTATGAGGGTTTCCTGTGAGTTCCCGACGTCATACTCTACTCTTATCTGTCCAATCCCCGGCGCTAAAATCACATCCTTATCTCCCAAAACGACCTTTTTAGGGACATCAAGAGGGCGATAGGATATAAACCAGTCGCGATTGCGACACAAGTGAGAAGTGGCACCAGAGTCAATCACCCACTCAGTTCGAGCATGATGATCAGGAGTAATCCCCGCGTTTAGCGAGTTGAGTGTGTTTGCTACTTCCTCCGTCGTTTCAGTTACCAAGGCTTTCTCCTCATCCACAAATGTTATTGCCGTCTTCGCGGATTCTTTCGGAGCGCCTGAGCTCTGACCTTGTTTCCCCTGCCTCCTCGGTTTCTTTCCCTCGGACCCACCACCTTCCGACCAACATTGTTCGAACGTATGTCCCAAGTTGCCGCATTTAGGGTTAGTGCAGCGGACTACCGATTTAGGGGTGGCGGCGTCAGACTTGGAGCCACTGGACTTCCCTGCATTGCGGCGTTTGGATTTGCCAGAGTTAGCAAACATGGCAATAGTCTTTGGGTCAGAATTACGGAGTTTCTCTTCCGAAAGGACGTAATCGATATACCCTTCGGAATCGATGTTGTTCCTCTTCATTTGCATGAGGGCAACGCTTTTGATGGTGTGGTAGGATTCGGGGGTGGCGGAGATGAGGGCAGAGAGGTAGCTTTTGTCTCCAATTTCGAGACCTAAGGAGGTGACCTTGAGGCGCGTGTCTTCCACTTCTTGGAATTGGGGACCCAGTGGTTTAGAGTCGTCAAAGTGAAATTGGAAGAGGGAAGAGTGAAGCATGTGCATGTCTTGTTCGTCCTTTCCGACAAATCGGTCAGAGAGGGCTTTCCAGGCAGCATGCGCAGTAGGTTTGTTCCTCATCATGGACAAGCAGGAGTCGCTAACATAGCACCTCAAGTAGGTGAACGCTCTCTCATCTTTGTCGAGCCAGTCAGCTAAGGTCGGATCAGTGTCCGGGGGCCTTTCAGTGCCGCCTTTTGACACATCTTCTACGACATCCCAGATCCGGTTTATCTTCAAGACACCGCGCATCCTTGATGCCCAGTTGGAGTAAGTTTTACCATCGGCGTCTAGAATAGTTATGGGGAAACGGGTATTGTCTGTAGTGGTGGGGGCAGGGGCTGGCTGAGAAGTGGAGGGGGTAGTCTGCGACATGGGTGAGTTCTGAGTGAACTAGGCTCGTAACCTATTAGGATGTTAGCGATTTACGCTAGCGTTTTACGCTCAGTCAATCGTTGTTGAACTTATTAGATTGGAACTAATTACCTAGCGTTTTACGCTAGGGCACATGAGGGTACATGAGTGACAAGATAAATGTGTGGTAAAAGCGCAGTCTCACCTCAGTCAATCGTTGTTGAACTGAGGGAGACGAAAGTGAAAAATTGTTCACTGCTTTTATAAGCAGTCGCCTCAATGGCGCACTGACTTTGGTAGCAGGAATACCAAGAAAGGAAATATAGCGCCGCTAGCTCAACATCACATTGTGAGTTGGCCACAGCGCACTATAACTCCCAAGAAAACCAAGATTTCAACAGACTCGCCCGCAATGAATGCTGGGACACCATCCGCTGAACATATAAGGATTAAAAGTGAAGTAGCTTGGAACCGACGTGCTTGCTGGTTCCAAGCTGAGATCACAGAGTTTCTGCTTCGCAAGCCAAAGCAGAATTTAGTATCAACAGCAGCAACAGGGACAGGGAAAACCTACACCTTTTTCCTCCCAGCCCTCTTTGAAAAACATAATCGGGGAGTTTCTTTCATCATTGTACCACTGAGAAAACTGGCAGATCAGCATGTACAATGTGCCAAGGACTTAGGGCTCACTGCAATAGCACTGGAAGCAATGACGATAAACAAAGAAACCATTAAGGCATGTACTTACCAATAAGTGCTTGATGATGTTTATGTTATTTATCAAGCAGGAGATCGGAAAAGGAGAATATCGGTTTGTCATTCTAGGACCTGACTTGCTGCAAGGGAATCTGCTCAGACCCCTGTGGATAAATGATGAGTTCATAGAGAAAATTAACCGGATTATCGTGGATGAGGCACACTGTGCAGTCCAGTGGCTCTCATTCCGAGCAGCATATAAAAACTTAGCTTGGCTTTATTCCTACCTCCGGAACAGATGCCAATGGTATCTAACTTCTGCCACATTGGACGCTTGCATGTGCAGGAGATTATTGTCAGAAATTGGCTTGGACCCTTTTTACAGCACTTACGGCGGCAACACAACCAAATGGATGCGTCGCTCCAACGACCGTCCAAACCTCCATTACTGTGTCCACCAAATGAAATACAGCAAAGACTCATGTAATGACCTCGGATTCCTTATCCCACTTGGCCTAAAAGAATCCGATCCCCCTCCGATCCCATTTCTGGTGTACTGTGAATCCCGGGGCGACGCGGAGCGCAGTGCCAACTTCCTGAGGTCACGAGTTTGTGCATCCCTCCAACAGAAAGTTGTGTGGGTTCATTCTGGGATGTCTGATGGACATAAGTTGAAGGTAGTCAACTTGTTTAAAGAAGGGAAACTCATTGGACTTACGAGCACAGAATCATTGGGACTGGTTTGAATTATTGTTGCATCTCTCGTGTTGTATATCTAATTGAGATCAAACAGGGCCATGATCTAGCGAATGTGACCCGTTTGGTTCAGTTTGGTCCACCAGATAACTTGAACACGTTGACTCAGCGCTTTGGGAGAGCCGCTCGGAACCCGGACATTTCAGCCATCGTGGTTCTTCTCGTGCCAAAAGACTATTTTGAGCCAACACGTCGCCAGCGAGAGGAGAGGGCTCTGAGGTCAGCAGAGAGCCGGAAGCGGAAGAGCAATCCTGCAGCGGCTGAGCAGAGACAAAGGGACAAGCGCCACAAGAAGCTCCCGACAGAAAGCCAAGTTGATGTTGCCGCTCCCACCGAAAACCAAGAGTTTGATGATCAGTTACTTAAACTGCATCATCCAGATCCAGCATTGCCACCGAGGATTGACGTATGGCCTACTAGTGACATTGGCCCTGATGAAATTGGCGTCAATGACAAGGAGGAAGAACTTCCCAACCCTGGGAGGGAGCGGGAAGAGTGGGGTGACTTGACGTTGGCTGATCTTGAAGCACTAATTGATGACACTGAGAAAGATGTTGATGGGTTGGGGTGGATGTGGGAGGGTGACAATAGTTTCGAAGCCGTGGCAAGTGGACAAGTGAGTAAGTGACCTGCACCAAAAACTAGATGTCAATACTAACCTCAATGGCCACGGGTCAAAGCAGCTAGGCATGGTGATCTGCCCCAAGATCTACACATTGATACTCGCCTCAGCACGAAGTTGCTTGGCACGACACCACATTTGAAGGCACCCAAGGAAAAGAAGACTCGCAGAAGAAATCCAGGGGACCGTGAGAACGTTGACCCTGGATTGGATGCCTTCATCAATGCCCAATGGCTTCCGAAAGACGACCCTCGCCATGGATGCCGCAGGAAAGTGCTTGAGGTGCACTTCGGTAATGACCGCATCTGTATGTATTGAGGTTATGTCATTTGCATGTGCCAACTCAGTTCTTATGTCAGCGAAACCGCGTTCGTGTTGTAAACGCTGTGATTTGCACAAGCCCGTGACTTGTTGCGATCTCCATACCCCTAGTCTTGCCGCCCCCATGTTCCACCAGGAACTCGCAGAGCCGCCCTCCAAGTGGCACCCTCAGCATGTGAAACCTGACTACATAAAGGATGTCAAGCGCTCTGCTCAGCTCGGCCATGCCCTTAAGGACTGGAGAAAAGCTGAGTTTTCTCACCGTTATCCCGGACATCAAGACAACTTGTGGATAGGCGATTGGGCAGTACTTGGGGACTCAATCATTGATGATATTGTGTACCATGCGAACTTCAACCGGCTGTCAACTCTCCGAGACTTTACACAACTCATTGACTGGGAGGAGCGAGGGTGCTATGCCTCTGTGTTGTTACCCATAATTCTTAGAGTTTTTCCCCTTCCCACATCACCACCTGCTCAGCCTCAACCACCCACTTGGCCTTCCACCTTAACGGAAACTGGGACTGTACTTCCCCTTCGCACAAAAAAGTGTGGTAACTGTGGCAACCACGGCCACAATGGTGAGAATCCTTAACTACTCTGACATGTTTAACACTCATTGTTTCTCTGCTAGCTCGTACTTGCCCTGAGCGGTGCAAGGCTTGTAACCAGCCAGGTCATCCCAGTAAGTAATACATGCTCCTATATACAAACACGATATATACTCGTTGTTTTAGAGAAGCGCTGTCCAAATAAGGAAAACTCCGCCACTCGCTCCGACATGACTGTCCCACATCGTCAAACTGCCAAGTCATCTGCCTCAATTTCGTAAGTCTCATAGGTCTCATCCATTGATTCCAGTTGATTCATGTTGCTTGACCCCCGCGTTGTGCCACGTTGGAATAGTTCAAGACCCTTCTGAATGTGGTCTTCTATTAAAGTACGTGAGGCGCGTCCCTTTACATATTTGTGAGGTCGAAGGTTACGAAGTTCATGTCGAATAGCGACCAATCTGGATTCTATGTCAGGAGTTGCATGGCGAAGGGTCTTGTCAGGTATGTGGTAATCTTCCTCAACATCTTCAATGCACGTCCGATAAGCCTGAATTATTGATGATTGACTAACGATGTATTCTATTGTTTTTCCAGATCCTGTGCCTGAGTAGACAACCTAGATGCATGTACCACAATAAGTAGATCCAAATCATCATTCATTTCACTTGCACCTTTGTGTAAAGATTCATCAATTCCACTTGCCAGTCGATTGCCCGAAATCCCCCCCTTTTCCCCGAGGGGTTACACAGCCAGCACCTCTTAACAGCTTCTTGGAGTGGTTGTGGGTAATGTCGCAGTCTGGAAAGAAACCTTGAAAGGTATGTTGCATATTTATGTTTTCCGCTTGCTTGGAAGAGTGGAACCCAGAATGCAAGGACATCGATTATTACGTCAACCATTCCATAGTTCATTGCATGCACGAGGATGCGGTAGTACATCGCATCTCGGTTGAATGTGAGTTGGTTCTCCCTTCTTTGATCTCGATCTTCCTGATTCATAACGTTATTTCGTTTGGATCCAAAGTGCGCCCTTGTGATTTCCTCCGCATGTTGGTTGATCTTTTCCAAGGTCGGCTCGGAAGTCACAAATCCTTTGATGTTGCCTCCCAAACTCTCTGCCCACGCATCAAGAATCATACACTGTGTAACATAGTGTAATCCGTCATTCAGCATCCGAAAAGGTGGGACTGGTTTGTTCAATTTGGAAAGGTCATTTGGGAAAAGCAAGCATAGGTGCTTGTAAAGCCCATTCGGGTCACTTCGTAAGCCATCCCCTGTTGCATAAATCCTATTTATTGCATCGACACATGCCATTCTGACATGAAAGAGTCCTGGTATAGGTAGAAGATAGTGCATTCGTTCGAACACATCTTCTTCAATCTGCCGCGAGTTCAAGATCGCCTCGATCTTCTCCATCGTCCCAAGATCCCCATGAATAAGGACGACATATTTCTCAAACACTCCTTTCGCAATACCGCTTTGATCAAGAAGCGATGTTATTGCCTCGATGTTCCCATCAATGGTGGATGCTTTCGCATACACAGCTTCTGCTGTTGAGAACTCCATTTTACGTGGTGGCAAACTGAATGTCGATGGTGGGTCGATAAGATGTGATCGCATTTCTGGGAAGTACTGTTCAATTAATACCGATGCAATATGCCACTGAAAATGCTCTGCCAACTTGAATGAGGCTTCACTCATCAGTATTGCGTCGGTGGGGTTGATGGTGGGTGCGATGTTTATGGCCATCGGGTTGTTTGGGTGAGTATCCCATAACCATTGGGCATATTCTAAGTGCTGAGGCAGCACTTCCTTGGGCGGCGCAAAAAACAGCCCCGTCGTGATACTCTCAAATGTCCGATCTTTGAGGTCCGTTGGCTGGCCGACACTAAACTTGAAGTCGCAGTTGTCATACGCGATGTTGGTGACGCAGGTGGGTCCAAGTCTTTTATTCAAGGCCTTCTGATTGATTATCAGAGATATCCGAAGCCTCTCACTGGCCGAAAGGGAGACTGCAAGTCCGCAGTGGGCAGCCCATGCACACACTGATTTCGATGCATTTGAAGCGGCCAAATAGAAGGAATTTTTGACTTGCAAAGCGTTGCAATGACCATTGCAACTATTCGTGATAATCGACATGATTACCACACCTTTCTGATTCCACAGTCAGTGATCAATCATACTTATTGAGAATCTTTCGACTTACGATTTGGAGTAGAGCATAATGTCTCTCTGAGTAATTATAACTCCCCTTCAACTGCCTTCCCGCACTAATATGATCTCCATCATTGTCCCCATTTTTCCTACTGCCCATCTCAGCGCTCGGAGGTGCCGGCTTTGCCCATCGCCTTGCCCGTGTTTTGCTTTCCACAGTAAGTAAGTGGTTGATCAGGGCCCAAGTTGCTGGTGCCTTAGATTCGAATAATGACTTCAGTGTGCTAATTTTTCCGTCTTCAAGCTGTGCCGGGTGAAGGTGGGCGGCATTCATGTGAAGCCCGCTCTCCTTTTCCATAAGTACTTGTATTTCTTCCATGTAAATCGCTTCAGCGCTTGTAAGGATCCAGTCTCTGACAATCGCTGTGCCTGGCTCAGGCTTAGGATTGAGAATCTGGACCTGAATTTCTCGTAATTTATCACCAAAGCCCCGGGAGGTCAAGATTGTTGACAGAAAAGACATAAGGGTGAACCCATTAGTTAACATGCAACTAATTACATTCATTGCATGATCTGCGGGCGAGTCCATGGTGTGGAAGATGGTGAAGGAGTAGGGGGGGGGGTTCGGCGCTTCTAAGAGATTCCTTTTTGAGATCCAAGAGTTGTTTCGGGTTTTGCCGGAGAGCATCGCCACTGCCATAGTGTGCCAGTCGTCGTAGCGAAGTGTCGCGGTGCTGGTTTTCGGAGTAGATGATCGGAGATGAATGCTTTAACCCCGTTACATGTGACTTGTTATTTGTATTGACAATATTATTTATTGATTAATGCGGTGCGGATTTGTCCAGAGAACGTGACTTAGAACGTGACTTTTGAATCGTAATACAAAGGAGACTTCATTATTTTCTAACATTTTGCGCGTCCACGGAGCGGAGACGGCTGGGTTCGAGTCTGACTCTGACCAACAAGCGTGTTACACTGGCCCACGTAGGGGTCCTCGGCTTTGGGACTCTCTCAGTTGGAGAAGGAAGCATCACCATGCCAGCGTCATTCGATCTACTTGTCCTTGCCGCTGACAGCTGAGCAACTGGCAATGCTCTGCGGCGGCGGCTTGCCCTTTCGCTGACATGTCTCCAGCTGGCTGTCTGAGGCCGGGAACGCAGGGACAACTGTAGTTGTAGGGCTATCCATTGTAGTACATGCAGAGCCAGGCCCATTGGATGGCGCCTGGGACTTGTGGGTGACGAAGATTGTTCATTTTGAGGAGCCTGGGCACATTCACCAAAATTTACCGCGTCTTGACCTTTGAGTTGGTCCGTGAGCTGGCAGTAGCATTGGCATCAATGGGTACCTCAGGTAGCAGAGAAGATCGGGAGACATGCGAGGGCACAGCAAGCTCAGTCATTCAGTTTGAAAGCCGCATACTCAAGAAATTCCCCATATATCAATGAAACACCATAACCAATTACTTAAGCATACAAGATTAGTTGTTCGGCCCCGGGGTAAAAAGAACAGTGAGGTCCATGCGAGTCACGGTCCAGCGCAACGTTGGGATATGACTAAGATGTCCGGTCGTCCCCGTCTTCATCCCGAGCCATTCTAATGAACCGTCGCTGACGCTCGGACAAGCTGTCTGGGAATACAACGTTCCACCTAACATTGACATATCAGCACGGTTTCTCTATTCAGACGGGGGTGATGACTCACCGAATTGTCAAATCTCCTTGTCCGACGACTTGAGAATTCTTCCGGATCGGCATTCCCTTGCCTGGAATCCTCGTGACGTCCCCAGGTCTGATAAGACCGCCTGCAAAGTCGACGTCCACAATGATATCTTTGCCGTCCAGACCCTGGATAACGTGGCGAGTTTCTGAAAGGGCGTCAAGCAATGAAATGTCAACAGTCGTGTACAAGTTCGAGCCCTCCCGACGGAACCGGGGATGAGGAATTTCATCCACGATGAAGATAACATCCTGTGGTGGCTGCGGCGGAGCTCGTTCATTTCCAAGTCCAGCGAATCGTATCTTCGTGCCCTTGCGCCAACCAGGCTTCACCTCGATGTCTATTATCACATCACATCAGATAGTGATCTTTGGCCTTATCATCGCAAGAACCACTCACCAACATAGGACTCCTGCGTCTGACCAGTTAGTAGGTACCTGGTTACTCGGTATCGAAGTTTCGCGCCGGTGTACAGAGTGTCCAGTGATACATGGAGAGGATAGTGCCATTCGGCAGGTACAGCTCCGTTCGAGGCAGTGATCGGTGGGATGGAAGGTGGGGATGAAATAGTCTTCCCGTTCTTCATAGTTCCCAGCTCTCCAGTTGCTGTCGATGGGGCTGGAGTCGCTGCGCCATCATGAGATTCTGAGCGTCTGGTTTGAAGGCGCTCCTTGCGTCGAGCACGGCTGGGAGACAAGTTTGAGATAGACACACTATGAACGATCGAACATATACTTACTTGTTTGAATCTGCCGGTCCTCGACTAAACTCGTTATCTGAATCAGCAGGTGTTTGAGGATTTGGCGTCTGGTCATAAGGTGTGGCTAAAACAGACTCGTTGACAGGGTTCACATTGCTCTTGGGAATTCGGGCACTAAAGGAAGGGCCTATAGGGGTGTTCGGCATGATCGTGCGGAAGCCATCATCCGTCGGAGTTGCTGGGACTGTGTTGGCTTCAGGATTTGGTGGAGGGGGCTGGGGAGCCTGTTGTTCAGTTGGATGCGATTTTTGGGTAGGACCGGTAGGAGTAGCAGGCGTCTCTGGTTCCTTCTGAGGTCCCTGGGAGGCCTCAGACTCCTTAGGCTCTAGAGGCGCTCTCGGGGAGGATGGGCGGATGGTCCCAGCGGGACTCGACGGCGCTGGAGTATTGTCTTCGGGGGGAGCCGGGACGGGGTCTGCTGCCGCACTGAGAGTTTGAAAGCTAGCAGGAGGCACAGTCGTGTCCGTAGACGGGGCGTCGGGTGTGGGGGCCACGGCTTCACTATGGGCGGGTTCTTCATCAGTAGGCGCGTCATCGGCTGAGGTTGTGGTAGTCTCCGCTGGGTTGGAGGTAGGTGCAGGTTTGCTGGGCGTTGTAGATATGTCCGGGAGTGGGTCTTTCGGTGTATCCGAGGCGACGTCCACCGGTGGATCCGGAGGAGTGTCTGCAGAGGATGGTTCATGGGCATCGGGAGTCGCGTCACTAGGAGCCGCAACGGTGGGTTCTGAGGTAGGGTCACCTGGAGTTTGCTCCTCTTCGGGCTGAGGTGGTACATTGAGAGAATCAGTGGTATCCTCTGGCAACGGGTCAGCAGTAAGGTCAGCATCGATCGTAGTGGAGGGTTCGGGGGCAGGGGCTGCAGCACTTTCTACAGGTGTCTCGATTGCCTCGTTACTCTGAGTCCCACCGACCGAGTCGTCATTGGCCTGTGTTGGGACCTCAGTTGTAGGAACCGGCAGATCTTTATCGCTAATCGCTTTCTCGGCTTCGGAACCAATACCACGAGTTGCATCTTCTACTTCCTTAGGCTCCTGCTCCGGTTCCCCCTCATGCACAGCTAACTGGCCCGCATCCACATCAGGCGTGACTTCATCAGATCCAGACTCCACTTTTTCCCTGTCGGCACCAGTCTCATCGTTGCCATGCGGTCGCTCAATACCCAAGGGGGTCTGCGTCTCATCCACGTCCTTGGTCTCCGCGTCGGCGGTCGCGACGTCCGATTCCGTTGGGCCGGGTCTCTCCTCTTGAAGAGCCTGGTCTTGGATGGGCGTTGTCAAAGGTGGAGTTGCCTCGTGTGGATCTGCATTCCCGGAAGTAGCTGTGGTGACATCGGCAGCGTTCGCATCGGGTGCATCACTAACAGCAAGAGTACCAGCTGGGCCATCGCCCATTTCCGTCTCCTTTTCCTCATCGCCCCCCTCCGACTTCTGCTTCTCCGGCTCTTGTTGTGGCTGCGGCTGCGGCTGCTCCTCGTTCTCGCCACTCTTCTCCACCGTCTCTTTCTCAATTCCCTCGTTCTTCTGATCTACCTTCTCGATGTCCTCCCCATCCCCCTTCTTTTCGTCAACACTCCTGGTGATCTCATCCTCTCCAGGCTCCTTTCCATCTGCCTTATTGTTACTCTCCCCGTCCTCCCCGTCCTCCCCACTTGCCTTCTCGATCTTCTCCCCGTCTCCCTCATCCTCAGTCTTCTCCTTCTCGATATTCCTGTCCTCATTCTTGTCTGCTTTCTCCGTCTCCTGGCTAGGGGTAACTGGTGACGGCATCGCAGTAGCGTCCTCGTGCGTTGCAGTCATTGGAGACGAGACTTTCTCCTCGGCAGGTCCAGATGTTTCAGCACCACTCTCCTCCTGCTTCTCTGCACCCGCGGGAGACTCAGGTGCAGTCTGCTGGGGAGAGGGTGGGTCATCGTCGGCGGGGCTTGTCTGGTCAGCCGGTGGGGGCGTAGAATCCTGAGCCGGGGCCTCGTCGTGAGAAGGTTCGACAGGCGAGTTTTGAGGGATGTCGGAAGGAAGTGGGTGAGTCTCTGGTCCTAATTCCGAATTAGATTTCTCCAGAGGAGTCTCGGGTTCAACGGCTTCCTTTAAAGGCGAGGTAGGAGTCTCAGTGACAGGAATGGTCGTAGGAGGGACTGTGGTAGGCACTGGGTCTTCTGGACGCGTGTCGTGCTCTGTAGATGCGGTAGGAGAGTCGGGGAGAGGGGTACTCAGAGTAGGATCCATCGAAGGGGATTGAGGCGGTGCAGACACTTCCGGACTCTTTGATGAGTCCTCAGCAACGGCAGTCTGCGCTGCTTGCGAAGGGCTAGCAGGAGATTCTTCGGCACGCTTAGAATCCGTCGGAGATGGGTGTTCCTCAGCAGCTAATTCAGCAGGATCCTGTGAGATGACCGGTTCCTCGTCCTTCGCAGTAAATTCATTCGTTTGGTCCGTCGGGATTTCTGTCTGAGCGTCATCGACAAGGTCGTCTGCAGGCAATGGGTCGGTTTTGAGAGCCTCTACTTCGTCGACAGGTGGTGTCGCCGTCAACGGAGTTATAGGAGCGAAGTCATCTCCATCACGGTCAATTGTTGACATATCAGAAGGAGTCTTGTCGTCGTCGTCATCCCATTGCATGTCGTCACTGTCGCTATCCTGTGCATCTCTGCCGATCTGTGTGGTAGGATCCAATGGTGGGACGATATCCTGCTTCTGGTCTGCTTTGTCGTCGGAGGCATCTGGAGTAGTCGCAGCTTCATTCTCGGCTGGCGTTGGTGGGACTAGCGTCTGGTCAACAGGGGTCTCAGGAAGAGGAGTGACCGGTGCGGAGGTTTCTGGTTCTGAAGCTTTCTCAGTTGGCTCGGAAAGCGTCACTGTATCAGTGTCAGCCTGCTGGTTTTCATCTGTCGCAGTAGAAAGTTGAGCATTGGTCGTGGCCTCTGTTGGTTGTGAGGAAGCCTCTTCCGCTGCTTGCAGACCACCTGGAATTGGAGACGTGGGAGTGACAGTGGATGCAGGGTCATCCATCATGGGAGTCGCGGAACCTGCCCCTTCGGGCGGCTCCTGAGCGGCAGAATTCGTGGGTGATGAAGATAGTTCTTTTGGAGGAATCAACTGAGAGTCGGACGCATCCGCCGAATGTTGCCGCATCTCGGCTTTGGGGTCGGTCGACGAATTTGTAGTGATCTCGGCATCAACGGGAGTCTCAGGAGGCGGGGTAGGATCTTGGGCATCGTTTTCAGAAGATGCAACGGGAATGCCCGATGCACCTTCTTCAGAGGCGGGCTCCGGAACATCAGCAACAGGCAGAGCAACAGGCGGGTCCGGCTCCGCATTAGGCTTCGGGACAGATGCGGGTTGAGAATCATCCACTGGGGGGTCCGGCGTTGTAATGTCCTTTTGGGCCTCATCCACAGACGGCTCAGCCACTTTCAGTTCGGGTTGGGGTGTCTCTTGGTCACCTTGTGACTCCTGCGACGGCAAAGGCGCACCTGGGGCTGCATCCGCAGGCTTCTCGGTTACAGGTGTCTCCGGAGGATCCTCTGCCTCCTTGGTCTCTTTGGTCTCCACTGGCGGTTTGGGATCCAGCAGTTCTGCCTTCTGAGCAGGAAGTTCTGTGAGAGCTGCTTTTGGTGTTGCCTCAGCCGTTTGAATTCCAGAATCATCACCCAGAGTGTCGGTATTTTGCGTTTGCGCTGCAGGTGGAACTGGGGTCGTCGGAGTCTCGGGTGGTTGTCCAGCGAGTGCATGTTCGTTGTAATACTGCGTAAACGGCGTCGGAGGAATATAATCGGCGGTAGGCGGAGCGTCTCGTATTGTGCTTTGGTCAAAGTCAGACCGACCGTGCAAGTTCGCGGCCATCGAAGGCTGAGTGTCTTGACGTGCAGTGGAGTGAGGTGTTGGAGTCACCGGACGGGATGTAGAAGGAAAGGAAGGATCGGGGTTGAAAGTGTCTCCAGTTGGTGGCAATTCCAACGGAGATGGTTCTAGGTCGTGAGAAAGATCAGTCTCATGGATGGAGTCGTACAATGCGCGACTGTCTGGGTTGGACAAGATCATGTAGGCTTCATGTGCCTGCCGAGGAATTCGAATAAGCCATCCTTCACCGAAAGTTCAGTTTATTGCATAAGGACATACCTCCATGAACCTTCGAGCTCGTTGCTCTTTGTTCGTAATGGAGAGGTCGGGGTGCCATACTTTTGCCTGCCATGTTCATCTGATCAGAATAGTGTGAAGTGGTCCCAAGCGTAATGAGGCGTACCAAAGACCGATAGGCATACACAATTTGCCGAGCTGTGGCGTCGCGGTGTACGCCAAGGACTTCGTAGAAATCCCTCGGGATGAGAGATGGGCGAGCAGGTTGCTCGAGTGGCATTGTGTCGATGTATCCGAAGGTTCAACGCCAATAACCTAGTGGAGGTTTCCGTTGTCAAGCCTAGAAAACTGAATCAGAGCGCGTGTACGGTTGCCAGAGTGAGCAAAAGACTGTTCTACGTGTTCAGTGTTCCAAGAGGTATGGCAAAGAGCAGGCAAGGTCTGGATGCTTTGGAAAGATATAGGATACAGGCGAAGAAGGAGAGTAAAAGATGAGGATGCCGTGCATATATGGTGTGGATGTGGTGCGCTTGGAGTGTCAACTGAAAAGTACATGAGGCTGCCTCAAGGCATCAGGAAAGCTTGCCAGAGCCTTCCGGAAGTAACGGATAGCTACATTTTTGGGTGTGGACATTCTTCAAACCCCGGAGTAGCATGGCTCTATCAATCCCGCAAGTCTCTGATGCTGATATAACCGTCATAAGCCTGTTCTGCGCCGTGAACCCTGAGAGGTCACATGACTGCGCACAGACGAAATTCGCTTGTTTTCTCTCACGACTTTTTCGGCGACAAGGGCTTAATTGATCGTTTACAAAGCACCCCACCTGCTTATTCGCCGTCCTGGAGTGCATCACACACAAGCGCCCCGGGGAGGCATCTGTAGCGGCACACCACCAAGTTCCACGCTAAAGCTGCGAACATGAAGCAACAACGGCAGGTGACTCGCAGCTTGGTTGCCACATGGCCCTTGATGATGCAACCATTGAACCAATGTTGAAACTGGGTTTCTCGTTACCGCTTTCGACCAAGGTCTTTCCTTGAGCACAGGATTTGTTGCTGCTCTCAACAACTTCCAACGTTGGTCCTTCAGAATCAAACTTTCCCTGAGATAAGTGTACCTGAAGCACTTACCGTCAGACCTGTACAGGCTCACTAACCGATAATATCCCCGCGCGGATCAATTTAAAACGTAGCAGGTGATGTAACTCTTATAACCAATTAGATGATACATAACATTACTGGTGATGCGCGCGCACCAACCAACGTTGACTTTCCGGAGGGTGACACCTGTCAAACTTGTGACACGATCCCGAACACTTATAACTCTAGACCATTCGGGCACTCACCTACCAACCGAAGCACCGCCATCGACCGGAATACCGGTGCACGCGCAGCTTCTGCCTCGCCTGAAGCGATTGAAATAAGTGGTGAGAGAGAAAAGGAAAGTTCAAAGTCCGCTGGCCATCTTACACTGGTCCATCCGCCTCATTTTCCTCTATCTTTATACTACAACCGCGAAGCTACACAATGTTTCAAGTGATGGATGGCTGGCGGTGCTCCAACTTCCCAATTCGAGTTAACCCGGACCCAATCGCTGAAAAGAACCAAAAGGCCTGTGTAAAAAGGCAAATCCATCATATCCACACGTTTCAAGTTATACCATACAAATCAGTTACATCGCGTGCGCGCGGCCGCTGATGAAGCAATAACAATGCACTAGCTACACCATTTCTAGATATATGTTGTCGATTATCACAAGCCACAGTTCGACTTGGAGGATACGGAAAAGATCCTAATACCACAACACTTGAGAGTAACCTCAAGAAGTCGCAGCTTCATTGTCATTATCATTCCATTCAAGGCGGTAGGACAAGGGTACCACGAGGAAGAAGCATCGAAAGCAAGCCCCAACTTGCATATGCGGTAATGGTGGTTAGGGAAATGAGGGTGGGATTTATCGTGGCATCATATCTTGCACGTACCATATTGCAAAAAGTTGGTTGGTTATCTGAGAAACAAGATGTAGTGTCCGCAACGGACAGGATCATGTAACGGGAAAAAAATGCACAAATAAGTTAGGGAGGTAGTTGTAACAATAATCGAGTGGGAATTGGGTCCTCCCTTCCCAAGCCCACCGTTTTATGAGAGATAGTACCGTGATAGCAAAGCGGAAAAACACAGGACGTAGGTGGCGGAATAGAAGGGGTGAAGGGGTGAAAAGAGCGGGAGTGTACGGATGTAAGTCAGCGAGGGTAAAGGACGCGCCCTCACAGGGATTCAACAAGAGGTTGTTGACCCTCAGCTGACCGGGAAAGATTTTTCGCAAGTTACGAAGCGACATCTGTGTGAAAACCCCAGAAACATTTAGCAGAGTATGACGCGCACCCGGAGCGCCATCAAACCATCAACAACTCGAACTTCATCTCGTTCATCACATCCCTCCAAGCCACAGCCTCACCCGTTGAGTCCCTCATGCCCCAAACAGCTTCCATCAACTGGAGCGCGGTAATGGTGTTCCCCACCGTGTTACCTAGACTTCTCAGTCGTCCACCAAAGAACGTACGTAAATTTAGATCATCTGTCATGCATCCAGCGAGGCAGATCGGAAAAACTAGGCTTCTGTCGACCTTGTTTACCATGTCGAATGGCACAGCTTCCAATGATAGCTTTAGGGCTGCGACAGCGTCTTGGGTGTGCGACACGGAAGGGGAGTATCCGGAAGTGACCGTGCTCAAATACAAAAGTGCGGCCTGCCGGAAGATTTCGGAAGTAGGATACGTGTCGGGCACGTTGGGATTGCTATGAGTGAAAGGGTATGCAGAAGAGGAGGATGACTCCATCGAAAGCTCAATAAAGGGTGAGATGGGCTGAGTTGAGCAATCGATCGAGAGGAGTTGTTTGCGAAGTTTGTGCGAGCGAAGGATAAAATCGCTATGTGCAACTTCACGATCGTAAGGCTCCATAGTGCTGAGCTCATCGTGGTACTTGTTGTGCTCCAAGTTGACTATAGCTGAGAGGCAAAACATGACCTCATCACAGCATCCGTTCGTTGACAGGAAGAAGTCTGATTGACCGGGGGAATAGTTTAACAGGTGCTCATACAAGCGAGAAAACCGCGGCGGGCGAAGAAGTGTTATTCCCGAGAAAATGTCCATCCTGTTCAGGCACAATCGTCAGCCGCTCGAGGTGCATCTGAAGATTCGGTACTCACCACATGGTTGTTCGGGCAGCAAAACGACCTTCAGGATTTAGTTTGTATATCGTCTTGAGCGGCTCTGGACCACTGCTCAAGATGCCGCTATTCTTCTCATACCAATCGCACGCTACGTCGAGGGCTTCAAGCCAGCCTGAACCCCCGCTTTTCCCCCCTTGCCAGCCACCTTGGAACAGCCACCAGGAGATCAAATGGAGTGCTGCAGTGGCCTCCGCTTCGGTCAAGGAACGGCCACTTTTAACTATCGAATTAAGTTCGTTCTGCGCCCTATTGAAATAGAGGTCATGGGAATTGGACGTGCGCAAATGGCCAATTATGCCCCCTTCAGCAGCGCGCATCCGTGCATCATGCAATGACGACAAAGCGATAATAGCACTGGCAACAGACCCGTGAGGGTTTCTAGTGATGAACGAATGCATTGTATCGACCGAGGTACGATCGTAAATGTACTGCATCTGAGATACGCGCGAAAAGTAATAGAAGATGAGGTCCTCTTGATTTTCGGCCAATGGAGTCGGAGGCACCAAGCAGCGGATCTTGGGGACATGGTTGAATGCGATCAAGCCGGAGAAGTCGTTGTAAGAAGACGGACCCTCCAAGCTCTGGGTCACCATTGCCGCGGCCACTTGGGGATCGAGTCCCCATTCGACAAGCATCTGGAACTGTCGAGTCATGTCGGAGAAGTAGTCATTCGTCACAGCCGAGTAGCTGTCATAGGTATTGGGGATCGCAGGAATCTCAGCTGGCATGAAAGGTACTAGGCCTTCCAAAGAACCGTATGGGTCGTTCACCACACTAGAACCAATTCCTATAACCCCCCTGAATCTGCAGCGCTAACGTCTGTGTGGGAGTCCGTTAGACTTGTACCTATTGAGCTATAACATCTGACAAACCTAGCTCTTGAGGCATTAAGCTCGTCCGCACTTCGGGAGATGTAATGGGGCTGGTAGGATGATCAGAGGCATCAGTCGTATTCCAGGATGTGAAAGTCGTTGTCGGGGATATTGGCGATTCGGTGGTGGATGGGAGTTCGATGTTATGAGAAGGATCAACGCGGACACTCTCCCCGTTTGAGATATCAGGGACAACGGTTGGGGGAGGGGCTACCTCATCCGAAGACGAAGGGGTGCTTGGCCGCCTTAGGTAAGGCGTCTTCGTCTGTTCCTTTGGCTCACTGGAAGTCGAGGATTCCGGAGACTTTGGTCTGCGTGGCCTCCTTCTGCGCACCGAAATCGCTTCTCCAGTCTCGGATTTGTGCACGCCTCGCACGAGACCTTGGGCGACAAGACGATTTTTGATCTGCGAAGGATGAGTGAGTGTGAGAATTATGACAAACCACAAACGAGAAAAGGTGCTCACAAGTTGGCGCTCATGCTCTAAACGAGCTTTGTCCTAGCATAAATGAAGCGATGAAACGATGGGCAATGCATGGTGGAAAACGACTCACTCTCATCCAGTCAGGGCGTTTGTTGCCAAAGCCCAAGCAATCCAAGTTCAGACGGGTGCAGGTGTAACATGAGCCATCGGGACTTCGTTGAGTCTCGCATTTCTGGTGGTAAATGGATGCAATCAGAACATCGGTACCGAGGGAGGCCCAGACCACGTTTCGCCGCGACTGATGATATATCAAGGAGAAGATTCTCACCTTTCTTCGCATCCGGCAGGTAAGGCACCCGTCTTTTCCTCTCTGGCGCTTTTCCTTGGCTTCATCTTCAACTGGCGCGGGGGCTCTGGGCTTGCGCTTTGAAACTGGGGGATCATTGTCTGGAGAGACGTCCTTTTTGGCCACTGCCTTTGGCATTGAATAAGTGGATATAGATTAGGTGCGGGTACAGCTTTGATAGAAGGCGGTAAGTGCTATTAGAAAGATAGTGAAAAAGAAGTGAAAAGATGAACTCTTTGCGTGAAGCCCTAAGGGTGGATGCGGCCGATGGGGGGGCACTCGTCCGTTTGGACGGCCTGAGTTCCAAAGGAACCTATAGAAGTGTCACAGATATGTGACATTGTGACATCTGTATTCAGTTGTGACGACTCTATTCGGCCAATCCCTTCAATACATTCACAAATCCCACGAGGCAGATGGGCGCTTGTTTGCAGTGCGCATCATGCTTGGAGTGGCTTCTGAGGCCCGGAGTTTGTGTTCCGAGAGGGTAGACCCCTTATTGAGTATAATGGCTTACTCATTTAGCCAAGTGGTGGCGTGAGGTCCACGTCCATTGGACTTCGGCTGACGAATCAAGGGTCGAGTCTTATCAAGCAACGTTGAACAATGTGACGGTTTCCGGCTATTACTTGCCCCACTTTTTCCCGCACATGAGGAACGTTCGCAGCGATCGCTGCATAGTTGTCACTTGGACGTATAGGTTGTTCTATGTCTCTGTCTCTGTCTTGCATCTCGTGCTGTTCCCTTTAGGAGAGAAACTGATGCCAGTCTCAGTCTTACGGCTTCTTGGTTCGAATTCCAACGCTTTTTGATTATAACTGCGCTCGTGTAGGAGGATAGTACCACACCCTTTGGGCAAAAAAATTTCACTCATCTATTGATTTTCTTGCCTTGGCATGTCTGCATCTCCAATGACTTCGTTCTTCGCCTCAGCGACCGGCCTATCCCGAGTATGTTGTGGCTTCTTCATGATCAATTGCCCGCATCAGTAACTTTTTTCTTTCCAAATCTCCAACATGATGATATTGTTCAATCTAACCTTCAAACTTTGCAGCCTGCACTGGCACGCGCAACACCTTCCCAGAGCTTGGTGCTCGTCAAATCACTTTCCCATCGGGCAGGAGCAGGCCAGAAACGCAAGTTGATACCCAGGATCGTTGCCAGAAACATAGCCAAGGCCCTCAAAAAATGGAAACCATTTACTCCACGAGCCGTGAGTTTCAAACTTCCTGTATTGGAGCCACTGATTGATCCATGTGCCTCTTTCTTATAGGCTAGCAGTGACTGCTCCGAGTGCAACGTTAGTTTCCCATCAGTTACAGATGTGCAATCGCACGTAAGCTGTCCTTTCTCTTATCATTTTTCACGTTTCATGAATTGTTTCACACTGACATCACTTTCATTTAGACTTCCCCTGAGGATTTCACGTTCGCGAGCACTTCTTCGTCAGAAGTCTCAACCCCCGATGAATGCAAGACTCCGCCTCACGCTATTGAGATATCCTTCTCTCTCCCATCAGTCTCCATAGCATCAAGCGATTCTGAAAGCAGCGCTGTGAAGGTATATCAAATATTATACAGACTTGATTAAAGATAGGATTTCAACTGATTTGTCAACACTCATTGCGTCCCAGGACACTGACTTGCTTGGGGAATTTGAGCCTCTCACGAACCCTCATGCTATCAAACGTATCGATACCCACGACATTGACATAGATGACGTTATCCTTAAAATGAAAGTTTTAAAGGAGCCAGAGCTTCCAGAGACCCCTTTCTCCTCCTTCAGCGCTTGGGAAATCCCGACTATCCTGGTCACGCCTTCTACGCCAACAGACTCCGTTGAAACGTCGTCGCTATTTCGTTCCCTGCTTCCTGTCACGCTGCCTCCTCCGTCTCCTACTTTGGTGCCTGCACTCGCACCAATGCGCCAGCCTCCGGTTCTTATAGATATTGCCTCCCCGCACGCCAAGGATGCCTTATCCTTGCCTAACATCTGCATCAACCAATGGGTTTTACTGTGGCGCCTTTACGTCCTTGAACAGTCTGATGATGATCTGTTACGACCTGTTGAATCACCATGGGAGGTGGTTGAATTTCCTGGTGCGGATATGGTGTTTAAATACATGTTTACTGTCGCATTACTTTTACTCCTCGTTTTCCAAGACCATTTCTTCCAGCTCATGCGCTCCCTCATTGTTTCTTGATGATATCCAACTTCCTGTACACATTTTTATCTTTTCGTCATTTGTTCTCGTGTATGTATGAAGTCCAAATATGGAAACTTTCGATCAGGTAACTTCAACTCATTTTTGAATTGCGGATTGAATGCTGCAATTCAAATTTTGCATCCGCCTGTCCCCAGTCCGTCCTCGTAATTTCTCCGCCGTCTCAAAATCCTTCTTCTCCCCTACTTTCGTTCCTTCTGGCGCTACGGGCTCGCGACGCTGAGAGTTCCTCGCTCTCCTTTGAGGTCCTGTCGTCGACCACACTTTCCCTTAAATTTTGGTTGGAGCCTCTTTCCCTGCGAGGAAAACTGGAATTCACCAGCGAGCCTGTTTGCGAAATCCGTAACGACCGAACGACGTCAATTATCGCTGTTTAACGCCCTTGAGGATTGTGCCCGGACCTAACATTGTAATTCTTGCAGCAAATTATAATGTCGGCAGGAGCTGTACCAGAAGCAGTCGCTTCAAAGCCGTCGACCGGTCGACGTTCGTTTTCGAGTTTTCGTGCGAGCAGCGTTGTGCCTTCCTCCATATCTATTCCCACGTTTTCTCTGCATTCGGGTCATGGTAATGATAATAGGTCTGCATCAGGTCTGATGGCTTCTAGGGCATCAATCCAAATGGGAGAGAAAGATCGTCTCTCTGTACTTGTGGATGGGTCGAATGTCAACACACCTCCTTCATCGAGCGGAGGCAGTGGAAGGGCTTTGTCAGGGAGCATTAGGTCATTGAAGTCTAAATTTTCTCTGGGGTCGTCGTTGATGACACCGCGGACGACTTCGGGAAGTTTGCGATCCAAATTCTCATTTGGAGGGCCATTCTCTTCGAAAAAAGGGAGTAGTGGTCATGCGAACAGCCCAGCCCCGAATTCTCCTGCTTCCGGATATGGGCAGGAAATTATACGTGAAGAAAGTCTGGTGTTGAATATTGGACCACCGCCATCGTTGTCATCATCTCGTAGTCTTGACCTTCCGACTATGATTCAGGATTCTCCAGACCCCAAGGCTCCGTTCAATCCCAACTTGTCGAGTATTTTGTCAACACCTACTCCGACATATTCTGCTCTTGGGCGAGGTTTACCACAATCACTGATGGCTTCGACGTCCTCTTCTGTTGCTCCCCAGACACCGTTTACGAAGCCTTCTGCTCTTCCTGCTGCAACACAATCAACTCTCAACATTCGAAATGCTTCTCCTGTACCATCATGTCCCCCATCAGGTGGGCTATTTTACACTGTTCTATCTTGGCGGACGTTTATCCTGACGGCCTATTTGTTTAGCAATAGAACCACTGGATCTAAGGCCTCGTCAAGTTAACTTCGTGGAACACTCACGCATCTCAGAACAGACGGAACCGGAGGCGTCGTTCAATCTCGGCGAGCCGATACAGCTCCAGCCTAGGCGCACCTCACCGAAGGGCACTGCTAAAGTGTCATTTGAGGAACAAAGTTTGAGAAGCGAAGCTCAAGTTAGTCGCGAGCTCAATCTTGGGACTCTCGATGCAGAGGACTCACTCATGAAGCTTGATATACCACCTATTCCGTACTCTGGGTCGACACTCTCGTTGGCTAAAGGATTGGAGGAAGCTGGATTGGATTCAAGCGCGGTTGCAGCTCCTCTGGCTGACAGTAGCGAGGGATGCGATGATGATGAGCAGCAATCGGCCCAAGGAGAACAAGAAGAAAGGCGGGACAGCGCTGCCTCGAAACTTCCTCTTGAGCAGACACATATTAGTCCTGATTTGGATGTGGATGATGATTTGGCTGTTGTTTGGAATCCTCGTCACCCACTTGGGGATTCTAGATATATGGCAGGAATGACAACAGCAGGAACAAACCTTTCGTCATCTCCAAAGAGGAAGAGTCTTGCTTCCTCTACACGGAAGGATCTTACGATTGTTGTTTCATCTACACCCATCAAGTCCAGAACCTCGGTGACACACCGAACCGCGAGAAGCGCTATGCCCAGAGAACTAGGTGTCACAGATGAGAATTCACTACGCACACCAACGGCTACACCTCCTTCCGTGTCTGAGAACGATGAACCTGGAGGGATCCGCAGGGGTGGTAACCCTAGCACCTCACCGCGAAAGACACGACATGATACGAACAATTACCCTCGTCCCACTGTCTCTTCTCCTGCATCGTCTTCCTCCCCCACATCCCCTGGAATTCGAGCGGTATCCATGGCAGCGAAACGCCCTTCCCCCACTTTATCGAAATGTCCACCTTCCTCTTCCCGTCTCTCACTCGATGATGCTGGATTCAGCCGACCGCCATCGAATCGACGTGATGAGCCAACATCCAACGGGAACCTTCCTTTCAAGAATAAGCTTGCAATACTGAGTCAGGAATTCCGACGACCCGACAGTAGCCATTCATGCACTCCTGAAATTCAAAGACCGACACCGCCTCGATCGTATTCCTCTCTTGGGGTCAGTACGCAGTTACCATCTCGTCGGATTGGTGTTGAGGGAGTGTTTCATCGGCCTGACGATACCTCTATTTCTCAGCCAAATCTTTCGCGGACAATACGACCGAGACGGAGCCATAGTGTCGATCTACAACGTCCGTCACACTCCAATGTGCCTGGACCAGGGGTGGAAGTGCGAGGTGGTGCAATGCGCTCCACGAGTCGTCTTGGCGGAGCGCCACCGGCGGACTTCCTTGGTCCAAGAACCTACAGAGCATTCAAGGCTGCAGGATTGCTCGGAAAAAAGTCTTCCCCTGATTCCCCTGATATGCCCCTTCATTCTTCAGGGGAGATTTATAAGAGACCACACACTGCTTTCTCTGGGTGGTCGCCTGGCGCTAGGTCTACCTCAACTCTTGGATATAGAGGTGATACAAGAGACGGTCACTCTCGCCACGGTTCAAATGGGGAACCCTATTATCGCCCTGATTCAACGCCCTCGGAGCCTGCAAGTCACTCAAGTTCTAATGGTACCAGCCGTAGGGTGTCGCCGCATTTTGGGGCAGAGTCTCCTGTCTCATCCTCTCGCACGCTTTATTCTAGCTCTCATGGTCAACCGTACAGCATGCAACCCCACCCGAATGCGAATGCAAACACTATCCAAGCTCTGAGGGATCGGCATGAACTCGAAACCGATGCGCTACTTGTGGCCCTCGGAGAGGCGAAGAAGAGCGTCAGAGAGCTTAGCGAGGAGAATAGCCTCTTGCGGTCTATCAATGAGGAGTTGGAAGTATATGTGACGGAGATGGAAAGTAGGCTCATGGGGTACGAGAAGTACAGTGATCAGGAGAAGTACGTAGGCAAGGTAGAGCGAAGGAGAAGCGTGACGCCACGGGGGCCTCTGCCGTTCTTAGATAAGGAAAGTGCGATGCGTCCTGCTTCGGCTCGTATATCAGCAGAGGACACATCGCCTCGCATGAATGGCTCGCGAACGGGAAGCATCAAAGATACGCGTACCCGTCTAGAACAGCTGAGATCACGGCGACGAGCCACTTCTGGAGCTGTCTCTCGCTTTGAAACCGATGACGAAGATGGTGCATCGGGGGACGTCGAACAGGACATCGAGCTGACGATGAGCAAAGAACCCAATCTTCCCCCTCCACTTAGCAAGCGAAATTTCGCCTCCCATGACGTTGCGACAATCATGAAAACCAAACCCAGATCCTCATCACAAATTACCGCTACAACCACAAACACAATGACGACTACGAACTCCGCTTCAACGAAAACGAAAACGAAAACGGGCAACCACACAACATCCCGACACCGCTACGCACCCTCTGAATCTTCTTTTACCTTACCCCAAATATCTGGTGTAGGGACGACTTCCATGCTGATGAATGAACAAAATCCCGTCATGAATGATGTCCTCGCTACCACTTCTTCGGCGGACGAGTGGTCCGATGATCGAGATACCCACCCTGGGAATGAAGGCGGGGTTGCTTTTCGCGCTCGGTCGCGACTGGCTGCTACTCCACCGATTGTTGCTTCTTCGCCCACGGAGTCTACGTTCAACAGGACGCTATCACCTCCACCTTCTCCCGGGAGCAGTCTTAACTTACGGACAGAAGACGAGATTCATCTGAACGATTTAATCAGCATCAGTTTGCGGGACGACTGACGCTGACATCGAGGATTAAATTTCTCTAAATGGACGACATTTCCCCAACGTATTCGTTCTTGTTCGCCTGTTTACATTCGTCTTCGTACCTATATTCGATTACTCGATTTTTCTTTATTTATCTTTTTCTTTGTTTTTTTTTTTTTCTTTCCTTTCGTGTTTTACTATTTCAGGGTTTGGTACATTCATATACAGTTTATTACACGGCTTCTCTTGCTTTCACCTAACATTCACACTTTTGAAAAAATATTCGCTTTCTCATCGTGTTGCTTTCGTGGATGACCTCACCTCACCCTTTTTTCGACGTTGATTCTGACCCAAAAATCTGTAACGTACGTACAAAGTATGATAATCATGAACAGATATATGAATTTCAAACTGAGAACTACTTTGGGTGTCTAGCAACATCTTGCCATGCACCCAGGTACTCTAGTCCGATGTAACTGATTAAAAAGACAAAATATCAATCATGAGAGGTAAGATCCCAGGGTAGGTATCCACGGCCATAGGTCTCGGGAAGCACCGCACCCGTCTGATCTGCGAAGTTAAGCCGAGTACCGTTCAGTTAGTACCATGGTGGAGGGACTGCATGGGGACCCTGAGTGCCGTGGTTTTTCTTTTTCTTTTTCTTTTTCTTCTTCTTCTTCTTCTTCTTCTTCTTCTTTTTTTTTTGTTTTTTTGTTTTCCCTCTCCTTCCCCTCCTTCCCGTCTCAGGTTCAAGCTCATCCCTAAGCTGACATGACGAGAGTGGACATTCCACCAATCACACCATGCAGTAGGATTGCAGTGTTCTTCAGGGGCACAATTATGCATAAATATTCCCATCTCGGCCGGGAGAATAATATAATCTATACGATCGATATCGGAACTGACCCTCGACTTGTTATAGTTTAGCCTGAGCCCAGCGACTCGACACCATGCTAACGTGCATCGATCGCCATATGTGCATGGGGCCTCCCAAAAATACTGCGAGTCGTCGTACTTGCCGTCCCCGAGCTAGCTCGACCCCCCCCCCCAAAAAAAAAAGTCCCGTAATGCCATCTTATATAGTTCTTTGTCCCAACTGCTATGCATGATTCTGCATGACACACATCTTACCCCAGTTATATAACCCACTGACCATCCACTCACGAGCATCGTTCTGAATCTTCTGATCATGCATGGAACATGTTATTGACCGATCTCACAGCCAACAATCGCCAAAGGGACCAGCATTTTCAATCTACAGCTACATCGACTTGAGTGGCCGGTGCCCACACTGGACAATTTGGCCGACTTGGAACCATTAGGCCATCGTTCAACAATTCAAATACTGCCCTATAGTCCCGTTTGCTCGCTCGCTCGCTCGTACACCCGATCATCGGGCAACCCTCCGCGTCGTGTGCAACTTTCGCAGGCTTTATTTGTTATTTATATAACTGGTCGTAACACTAATAGAGCCTAATGTTAAGATATATATAGATTAAAGTCGAAATGACATGCCAATTGATTTTCTGCGTAAGTACCCGGTGTACTGCAGAGCTAGAGAGCGGGTCGACAGCCCCGAAACCGCGGCGAATTACGGGAAGGTTATTTTTAGTTTGAAGGGGGGGAAGTACGGGAAGCGGGGATAGAAGAGCGAAAAAATGCCTAGCTAAGCTTAGAAGAACTAGACCCGGGCTAAAAGGGTGCAAACAAAACAAATATCCCGCCCACCCGCACCCCACTCGCTTGCTCTGCTGCCTGCTGCTGCTGAAACGGAAATGGATCAAGGAATCACTTTGCACTGGTATCACGACTTGATAAGTTATCTACAGGATCATCAGTGTGTTCTATATATGGCGGTACGACGTTCATCATGCTTTTGTTTTTGTTTCTTTTGGACGTATATGTATATCTTTGAGTCGAAGAAGTATCAACGGATAGGTTAGGGACTGATAATCAGCTCAAGCTCCATGAAAAGATGCATACATTATTGTGTCACGTCAACGATCTTCATCCGAAAGGCGGTGTGTTCGCCCGAACATTTGGAATTGCTATGATAATTTAAAAATATACATATAGGGAGAGAGACACACACTTGCTTTGGAAAGAAGAATTACTTAAGAAAGTGGGTGAGAGAGAGTCAGAGACGTGTGATAAAGGTCAGAGGTGGGAGCGGGTAGATCCAGGGATGGTCAGGTACAATAGTACTTGCGACCAAGTACATGATAAATACCCCCTCCTTATTTTCGCCCTGGTGAGACTGTACGGGGAAGTAAATATTGGCATGGCATGCATGCGTGGGAGTATTTATGCCCATGGCCAGACAGGAGTCATTCCAGACGATGGAGAGAGACATATAAGTAATAGCGCTAACAATAATTGTAACAAAGGAATTGAAAGCTCATGTTTGGTACTGTGGCTTCATGCACGTGTCCAACTTACGTATCTTTTGTTCAAACTCCGAGAGATGGCTAATACTCACGTTAATTTTGGCACTGCCGAAGCACTCGAAATTGCGCGCGACTCCAACGAGGAAACTGCCCGGTGGCTGCCTCATCATAGTAATGCGATGACGATATCCCTTTTGCGAGATGGTATGAAGTGTTCACATAGCCCTTCGAAACGACAAAGCGAAACAGATTGACGTTGTGGAAGGAACGAGTCGTCACATGTGACGACCAGTCAATTCTGGAAATACGAGTCAGCCGGAAGAATTAACTGGAGACGTTTTTCCTTGGGATCAAAAGGCGGAGTCCATGAAGTTACGAGTCCGGTTGCCCATGAATATAATCATGAGTAGCGGAGGATTCTCTTGATAATTGTCATAGGTTAGCCATTGGATTTATAATGATTTCGCGAATTGGTGTGTGTGTGTGTGTGTGTTTATGTGTGGGGTTGAGGTTGGGTATCATCAGAGGATGACCGGCGAGAGATGATGCCTTGACGGACTACATGACCACATATACCAGTCGGGGCATGTATGATATGGCCTGTTTATGTCTAACCGATCGGAAAAACAAGTCCGAAAGCAAAAGCTGGGTTATCATGCATGGGTTGGGTTGGAGCGTTCCAATAGATGATCAGCCAATAAACAGAGTGATCATAAATATGAAAAGGTACATCAATATACCGGAGTACCAAAAATGAGGTCACTTTCCAGATTGGGTGTTAGCGTGGGGGCGTGCAGAAGTACCGTAAAGCTCTAGGCAAAGGATCTACTAAAGTAGATGTAAGCTCCGCGGTCATATGATAGCAGGCCGATTCGATCGAGTTACTCTTTGCCTCTCTTTGTTCTTTCCTAGGTGATAGTAGGGCCAGTTCCCCTTCGCTCGCAGGCAGGCATACAGACCAGGAAAGCATTACATACGAGCATTAGAGATTACATTCCAACAATATTGCCATGTTGGTAAAAAATGAATTGAGCGGCGTCGGCAAAGTATTTCAAATAAGCGAAATGAGTCAATTGACAAATCCAATTGAATTTGCACAATTCAATCGGGCATCACTCCGAGTTTAGGTCGCAAGCCACAAAAAAAAGCGGAACCGCCACAACACCTAGTTCCACACACACACATGGTTTCGAGACAGAGCGCAAGTAGCGTTATCCGTCTCCCTTGCTATCGGGTTGTTCCATCACGGAGCAAAACACCACCAAAGGGGGGAGGGGGACCAATGCCAACGCCGAAAAGGGGGGGGGGGGTGGGAGGCATGGGGAAGCGCCGTAAAAAGGCGATCAGATCGCACTTTTTGAGTCCCCGGATCATATCCTTCGCGGTTTATGTGGCTGCGCAAAGGAAAAGATGAATCCTATAATCTCCCTTTGATCATAACTTTGGCTCTCTCTCTCGACAACACTCCTCCCCTCAGCTAGTCACTCTCATTCCATTTGGGGCTTTATCTCGAGCAGATAGTAACTCGCGTGTCTGGACCGTATTTCTTTCTCTTAAATAGCCTCGATTTCCAGTCAATCCCCCCAAACCCCAACCCAACCCTTTGATACCCATATTCCAGCGGGGGAATCAATATGCCATTATCTTCTTTACCACTTCCTCCTCCGCCACTCATCCATGGAAAGAACTCCAAGACTTTCTCTTCACCGCCTATGGATGGCTCGCTCACCGTACCCCAATTGATCGACTGGCAAGCCGAACACAGTCCTAACCATCCTCTCTTCGTCTTCGACGATGGTCCCAATAAAGTTTGGATCACCTGGTCCAAAGTTCGTATCGCTATCGAAAGAGCTGCTCGTATCGTTCGTGCTTTGAACGTCCCTAGACTCGGTACTTCCAGCAAGATCATCGGTATCCTCGCATCCATAGATTCCATCTCTTATTTCACCTTGTTTCACTGTATCATGCGTGCAGGGTACATCCCCTTTGCACTCAGTCCACGTAACTCTCCCTCTTCGGTCGCTCATTTACTCACAAAAACGAACGCGACTCATGTGTTCGTCAGTGGTGATCCGAATATGCAAGCTCTTTGGGCTGCTTCTGAAAAGGTTCTTCATGGAGGTGGTCAGCTTGTGTGTAAGGCCGTTATGACGCCTTTTTATGATATCCTGTATGAGGATAAACCGGATGGGCGTACGATCCCTGCACCTGGTGCAGATCTTAACTCCACTGGAATGTTACTCCATTCATCGGGTATGTCCATTCGTTTTTCCATTTCATCCTTACCTTGGACTGAACACCTTCTTACCTCTGGGAAACCCACTTGTTTTTTTTTTTTTTATTGCAGGTTCCACCGCTTTCCCCAAACCCATCTCGATCCTCCACCGTTCAATCGTCGAATTCATCCGAATCCCATCCTACGGTGAACTAGACCTATGTTCCAAAATCATCGGTGCCACAACTCTACCCATGTTTCACGCTCTCGGTTCGATGAACGCCATTCAAATGATCGGATGCGGTGCCATCCTGTCCGTTTTCAAACCTGAAGAAAGACCTTCGTTCCCTTCTCCTGAAAGGGTCATCGAGAGTTTGTTGAAGACCCCCGTTCATATCTTGTTTACTATGCCCAGTTTTTTGGAGGCTTGGAGTTTGAAGAGCGAGTGGATTGAGGTGTTGAAACGGTCGAGGATCGTGGTGAGTTTGTGGTGGTGGTTGTTATGTTGAATTTTTTTTTTGGGCAATGCTTGACATAATAATAATAGGCTTACTCTGGTGGACCGCTCAGCAAAGTCGTAGGGGATAGCCTCGCCGCAGCAGGCGTTCCTGTCTACCCTTTCTACGGAATGTGCGACTGCCCCTCTGCTTTTTTTAGACTGTTCGACATGAAGCTGACTTTTTTTTTTCTTTCTAGTACCGAAACTGCAGGCGTGAACATCTTCATCCCTGCAAAGCTTGATCTCGAAGCGTGGGAATACTGGCGTTTCTCGAAACACATCCACGTTTCGTTGAAACGGCAAGAGGATAGCGATGCGGTAGAGTTCAGAGCTCTGGTCAGTTTTTTTTTCTCTCTCTCCTTTTCACCCCCCACCCCCGGGTTGTTTTCGGAAGGAAGCCCTGACATGTGTGTATTTGTTTGTTCTATTATCTATTAGCGTGGTCCAACGCATACGCCCTCTGGGATAAACTCTGAATTCGATGGAGAGATGGGCCTTTCGACCAGTGATTTGTTGTTGGAACATCCGACGAAGAAGGGGTATTATAGCATTTATGGACGTGCAGATGATCAGCTTATGTTGAGCACTGGGGAGAAGGTTTGTGTGTGACATCACTCTACTACTGCTCAATCTCACAATTTCATTTCATTTTTCATTTTCTTTCTTTTTTTGGCTTCCTCGGTGCATACAGACAAATCCTGGTCCACTAGAGGCTATCATCTCCAGGGATCCACTCATTCAAGGTTCAGTGATGTTCGGTCGTGGGAAACCACACAACGGAGTCATCATCACTCCTGCCCCACACCTTTCCCTCGATATAAGCGATAAAGAGAAAGTGGCTGCGTATGTAGATTCAATTTGGTGAGTTGCAACTTTATTTTTCCGGCTTCCTTGGTTTTTTTTTTTCTCAGTTTGTTATTACCCTTCATATTACTAGGCCTTCGGTTCAGCTAGCAAATGAATATGCACCGTCGCATTCGAGATTATTCAGGGAGGTACGAAAAAAATTGAACACAGCTCTGCGCTCCAGATTTAATTATTTTTCATTTTCATTTTCTGTAGATGATCATCCTTGCTAAACCTGAGAAGCCTTTCACCTTCACCGGAAAAGGGTCTATTCGAAAATCAGCCGTTATCAAAGATTACGATGAAGAGATAGAAACCGTCTACAAAACTCTCGAGAAAGCGGTTTCTTCAAAGGCTAGTGTCAACCCTCCGACCATATGGACCAAAGAAAGCATGCATACGTTTGTGCGGGATGTCGTCACCGGCGTAATGGGAACCAAGATTGGAGATGATCAAGATATATTTCAGAATGGAAGCGATTCTCTTCAAGCGACCTTTATGCGGAATTCTATCGTGACCGCTCTTCGTGACACGAAGGCAAAGGACGTTAAAGGGGAACTCATCGACACTTCGTTATTTTCTTCTGGTTTGATCTATCAAGCACCTACGATCGATTTGCTCGCTGAAGCTCTCTATGGGCTTTTCGATCCTTCCTCAGTTTCCTCCACGACTGACTTTGCCGAGAACAAGATCGCTGAGCTCCGAGCGTTCGTTGATCGATACGCTTCGGATCTACCCATTCACAAACCAACGGATCCTGCTCCGGGTTCGGGTCCAGGGAACAGCGAGGTGATCGTCGTCACTGGAACGACGGGTGCGTTGGGTACTGCGATATTGGCGCAGTTGACGAAGATGTCGACGGTCGTCAAAGTTTATGCGTTGAACCGGGTCAATTCGAAAAGTGGGGGGAAGACGCTTCGGAAGAGGCAGGAGGAGAGTTTGATCGAGAGAGGGTATGATCCGAAGGCGGTGTTGGGGTCGGGTAAGGTCGAGCTTTACGAGATTGATCCGATCTCTTGGGATCTTGGGCTGGACGGTTATGCGTATGAGACTATACGGCATACTGCGACTACCATTATCCATACAGGTGGGTTGTTGTTTCAATTTTGATATGTTGGACCTTCCCCCGCTTTCTCGTACTGATTTCCTTTCTCAGCCTGGCGTGTGGATTTCAATCTTGCCGTTTCTTCGTTTGAACCTCTTTTCCAAGGTCTTCGATGCCTCGTTGACCTCTCCCTCTCATCTTACCTTCCAACTCCTCCAAAAATCCTCTTTGCGTCCTCCGTCTCTGTGCTTGGCACGATCACTTCTGATGCCCCCGCAGCGGAAGTGCACGTCAATGACCCTCGCACCGTGTTGAACGCCGGTGGTTATGGAGAGTCCAAGTGGGTTGCGGAACAGATCCTTGCTCGCGTAGCGCAGGAGACCCCACTCAAACCGGTCGTCGTGCGCGTTGGACAACTCAGTGGTGGGAAGAATGGCTCGTGGAATACGTCGGAGTGGATTCCCGCTATTGTCAAATCGGGTGAAGTCGTAAGAGCTCTTCCTGCCGTTAATGATGTGAGTCTTTTTCTTTCATTTTTCAGCCGTTGTTGATGGATGCCATGGGGTCCTGACGATTGTTGTTGTTGTTGTTTTTTTTCGGGGAATCGAAAAAAAAAATTAACAGAGAGTATCGTGGCTCCCGATGAACGTTGCTGCTTCGGCTTTCATCGATTTCCGTAACACCACGAGCGGTCTAGTTCACCTTTCTCATCCTTACCCTACAACTTGGACTGAGATCTTCTCCCCTATCGCCAAAGCACTTCGTGTGCCTCTCGTCCCTTATTCCCAGTGGCTCGAACTTCTCGAGAAGGATCTTGCCAACCCCTCGCACTCCGAAGTTGAAGCTGCGACTGCCAACCCGGTTTTACGTCTCATCGATATGTTCCGTCCTTTCAAGGATGGGATGCCCGTTACCAAGGCGCGAGAGGCTATGGGCGTACCTGTGCTTTCTAACGTGAAAGCTGTGAAGGCTAGCCCTGCGCTTCGACGGGAGAACTTGAGGAGTCTTGGTAAGGAGGATGCTTTGGGTTGGTTGAGGTATTGGAGGGAGAAGGGATTCGTTTCGAGTGAACTGCACCTTGAGGAGGATGCGGCACCATGGGTAGGAGAGAAAGCGTCCATTCGTCTGACGACGACGACAACTGAGCAGGTAAAGGTAACGCCGCCAGAAGCGGAGTACAGCCTGCCATGGATAGCGGTCGGGTTGTTATGGGCGGCTACTTACTGGATTAATGTTTAATGTTCGACCCTTCTGTCGTGTGGACATCGTGATAAATATTTTGATCTCACCGTTCTCTATTGGAGCATTCCTCAATCATCCTCGATTGGATACCAATACTCTCTAACTCTGTGCATTATCCTTCCCCCTATTTTTGCAGTGTATTCAGTAGCTAATCCTTGACTCGATCCCGCATATGTAGTTCCCTGGCTAGGTTGTACCACCAGTTATATCACATGGCCACATGAGTTCCCATCAAATGTACGGACAGGCTGTCTACCGTGTTAGCACATTACGTATCATGACACATTCAGCTTCCTGCTCATATGGCCCACCTGAATCTGCATAATCGATTCTCAGGACCACGCAGGCCAAGGCGAAAGTCGGGATGGATACATTGACACTATAGCATTGTATTCATGCACTATGTATATGACTCTGGACATACTCTCAGCTTGCCGTCGGTTTTTCCTTCCTAGTTCTCCTGTTCTTCACAACCCACCCAGCGGCTGCAGCAATGAAATCCTCAACCGTGGCTATTCTCGTCGTCATACTTAACGGAATAACCGCTTGCTCTAATGCTAAAGCTCAGTCTCAAGCTAATGCGCGAGAACTGTAATATTACCTAATGCTAAAGCATAAGGTAATATACAATGAGTTACAATGTATAAGAAATAAGAGTCAAAGAATGTTGTAACTAACCTCAGTCTCAAGCTAATGCGCGAGAACTGAAGGAAAAAGGAAACTAATCCAAATGAATGAATATAGTTTGTGGACTTCGCGGATAAGTCCGAAGTGACCAAAATAAGTAAGTAGAAAAGGTGTTGTGACCAGGTAGTCACGCTACCGCAGGAATGTGGCTGTTTGAAAACTCGGCCTCCCATAGCACATGGTTCCTCCAACAATACTTGCTTCCACTACAACAATGATCCTCACTGTCTTTGTTCCTGCATTTTTCAGAGAAACTGTCCGATGAAAAGTGAATGGGGTATGACCCCATTCGTGAGAAATCAACCAAGAAATGACCAAATTTCTGCAATTTCCACCTTTCAATACAGTCCAAATTATATTTCAATATATTAGTTATGTGTTCCCTGTCCATTCCCCGTCCCCCATCCATTCCACGTTCCCCATTGACGGTGACTACATTGACAGAGATCCAGCGATCTAGCTCAATCCTCACATTGGTCGTGATCGGACCATGTCAAGTTAATTAGTTTTGCTGTATTCTAAGGACAATCGCCATCATAAGGACAATAATACTAGCATCTTTGCCATGTCCTAGAAAGCCCAACTGCAGGGATATCATGGTGCTGTCTGTAGTGTCTCAATTTCAGACCTGTCATCAAAAGGGCACATAAATATGGGCACTCATGAAAGCAGAGTCCCCATCAAGCTCTTGTCAGCTAGATCTTCTCTGATAGCGGTCTCTCAGTTCTTTGCTTGAACTATGCACGATCTAAACTACTATGTTCTCAACAGGGATAAGCGTGCCCAATGGAATGATGACCACATTATGGGATTAGCCCTGCCTGCTCCCAAAAACATCCCAACAAGCTTTCCAACAGTTCTTTGCAAGAGGGCATGCTTTATTCTTGCCAGACGACTCTGACCGAGTCCTTGATGCTCTGGATCCCTCAGTGCATGACTTGCCTCCCAAAAACTGGACTGTTCAGTTTCCACCAAATTGTGCAAAATTTAATTTGAGTGGCCGGATAAACACTGACATTAGACTCATTTCATTCAGGGGAAGCACTCCCATCAGACAATCTGACACGCATCAATTGCGAAACATTCATTGTACAGAAGCAGAAAGCTGAGCAGGAGCACACAGACCATCAACAGACTGCTGCTGCCGCCGCACTTTCCACTGCAGCACAGCCCCCCGTGCCGCCTCTGCCCCAACTCCCATACTCTACATACCCAATCATGTACCCCATTGTTCCCTTTCCTAGTCAACCATCCATATTCCTCCCTCAGCATCCTACTTCCTCTCCTCCTATTGCCACCCTTACACCGGTACCTGCTGCAAAGTTGTCACTGAAGTCTCAATTAAATGAAAGAGCAGAAAGTACGTGGTTCTCTCGACTCATGAGCTTCACTCAATAACCCAAATAGAACTACTTGGAATATGCTGCCAATGCAATACACTGAATCCTGACAAGGTGACAACAGAAGCAAGTCTCCATCTACCTGTTGACTGTGCTCCCTCGTTTGTGCTCGAAAAGATTGAAGAAGGAATGGGTGTCAATGTGGCCAAACATGAGATTGGCTACCTTCCAACCTTTGATGGAAAGCGACGATGCGATACACCGGTCCAACTCAAGACTGTAGAGCACATGGAAAAGGCACTGCATGAACTGCATGATTGCTTGTCGCGGGCCCGGACCAATAAAAAACTATACATTATCAATATGGTATGTTCCAAAAGCCCTATCTACACAACACAATACTTATGCTTAATACACCAACTCACCAGAAACCAGTACCCAAAGCTGAAGACCTTGGGAAACGTGGAAAAGGCCGTTGTAACAATACAGTAAACAATGCAATCCAGTCCAACCCGGCTTCGGAGCAATACACTTTGCTTGAAAAGCAGTGGGTGTCAGGGCACACCTGCCTGACCCGGCCCCACCCGGCCCCACTTCACCCGGTACCCCGCCACCCAGTCTTCCCCTACCTCCTCCCCCCTTCTTCTTTCTTTCTTTCCTTCTTTCTCCATTCCACTCCCTCTTTACTTCTCTTTATTTTCTCTTTATTCTACATGGACGACCTTTCCTTGTATCAATGTACCATTGACCCACCCGCAGCGTGCTCACGACACACCCAGCCTGGGCACCTCGGGTGACCCCCGCTATGTCCAGCTCGTGCGTTCACAGCGGATGCCCTCGGGATCCCCCACGGGGACACCTGGGTGACTACGGCTGTATGCGAGGATGACGTGGCACCTGTCATGTGACCTAAGCCGCATGTATATAAACATACCTGAAGTGGGAACCGAAGAAGTAGCCTTCTTCTCACCCTTTTCCACTTCAGGTAAGTAACATAGTATTCCCTTTTAATAATAATAACACCCTTTTCCACTTCAGTCTAAGTGGCAAGGGACTGCCTCCTGAGCCGGGCCCGCCAGTACGCACGCCCGCTCCGCACCCCATGAGACTTCCAGTGTCGGGCGTCTCACCTGGGCCTCCTCTACCCCGGACGCGTCCCTGACAGTGGGGATGTCAGAAATGTGGTGGTCACTGTTGGCCGCATGCCCGGGCAAAGGGAAAACACCTCCACCTTAGCAATGCAATGCTGTCCTTATGGGCACAGCAATGGGTATGTATAATTCATCGCAATCCTTGACATTGATCTTATGTTTATTGTAGACTGACAGTGTTCCCGGTATTGATCTCTACAACCCTCCGACTCATCACTGGTTTGATGTTCCAGCTCTGGGGAAACAGACCAAGGCTATCAATGAAAAGCAATGCCGAGAATCTAAGGCTCTGTACGGGTTGAAGAAACGGGTTTCTTCCACCTGTTTCTTTTCGTTTCTTAATTCAAAAGATGACCGAATCATTCTCGTTTCTTCTCCCGATTTCTTTTTGCTTTCATCAAGAAACAAGAAGAAACTGGCAACTGTTCGGTACGCGGTTTCTTTACTGTTCTTCACCACTTCTTTTTTTTTATAAAACCTACATGTAAAATTAATTGCGAAATGTCATTTCGAGAATGCCTCCGAAGCGGAAGCAAGCTGATCCTGATCCTGGCACTACAGCTGACCCACCCGTCAACAACAAATGATGTCGTGCTCCCAAAGGAGAACCTACACCCACTACTGCAGACCCACCTTCTTCACATGCTGTTTGGAAATCCCGTGAGGAGGCCGAACTCATCCACTTCCTTCTTGAAGTGAAGCGTGCAGGTGGCTCCTCGAACATTGGGTTCAAAGACAAAGTTTGGAACTCAGCTTCTGCGCATTTACATGAGGAATGTGGGACTGTGTTCAAGCCAACTGCTTGCAAGAATAAGTATGGCAAGGTGAGTATCCACTTAATGAGTAGTCATTGACACACGGAAGCTTGAATACTGACTATATCTTTGCAGTTAAAACAGATATACTGGGCTGTCAAACGTCTTTCAGAGCAGTCGGGATTTCCGTGGAGTAGCGAGAATGGTGCCGATCTGGGCCCTGAAGAGGAACAACTTTGGGTTGATTTCATTGTGGTACGTGCTGCACATGCTGCCGATAAACTCCTACTCATGATACTATTTACTAGGAGTGGCCCCTGGCAGCTCCTTTTCGTCATAAGGGGTGGCCACTCTTTGATGAGATGGATGAGATCAATCCCAGACGTGCAAATGGACTCCAAGCATTCCGTGCCACGAGGATATCAGAGCATGATGATGCAGGTGAGCCCTCGAATGGGGAAGTCAATGATGAACAAAAGGTATGGTAATTCCTCTCCTCTTCAAAGCTGCAACTCAGATTTTTGTGGGATAAGGGCAAAATTAATGACTGGACCTGTACTCCTTCTCCTGACCGGGCTCAAACTCGTCGCAATCTTGGCTTTGAGAGCAATGTTGATCCCGAGCTCATCAAATTGTCATCTCTCTCTTCTCTTTCCTCAACTCAGTCACCTCTTGAATCACCAGTGCCGCAAGTTGTCAAAGTTGAAGTACCTGAACGAAAGCGTGGAATCCCACGTTCAAATGCTGCACTTGGTTTCACAGCACTTGCGGAATCAATGAATGATTTTACCAAGGCTTTCATTGCATCATGCTCCACCTCCGAGTCCTCTCCCACAGCCCCTACAACTCCACAGCGGAAAATTCAAGCCGCCAACTATGCTCAAGAGATTGAGGATGAACTGGATGATGATGAGTTGACTTCCCTTCTCAATGTCCTTCAGGAAGAGCCTCATGCAGCAGACTTTTACCTCAGCCTCAAGCGCGATAGTTTGTGAAAGAATTGGGTCAAAAAGAAGATTGCCCCTCTGATGGCACCAAATTTTTTGGCTAACTAGGATAGTATTTCATCACGATAGACGCATTAATGAAGTAGCAAGTATTGTTGGTAGCTATTCCACATTGCCTGAGCTATATTATCGCGGACCCCACCAGCACGATTACTCTCTTGCCTGGTGATTACACCATGTTGAAGTTCCCCAAAACGATGTGAGGGAATGTTTGTGTCCATTGTGCCAAAATTGTTAATCTCATCGGCATCATGGAACCGGATGAAGTTGTGGAGACAGCAAAGTGCAGGGAGAATACGGACTTGAATGGTCATGGAATATGAAGGTGCACGCTGGAGGATTGCAAAGCACTTCTTTATGATACCAAATATGCGCTCCACAGCATTCCGGAGCTGGGCATGCCGAAGATTATACAGCTCTCGATGATTTTGTGGCCTAAGGGGACAGCAGAGGTTGAGTGTATGAGAGAATACTTGATGGAAAATGAACTTGAACTAACCGATGTTGGCTCCGGCCAAACTCTTGCAGATGATACCTTTCCTTTCGATAAGGAACTAGGAGGGTATCGCATGCACCAAAGCCAGCATCTCCAAGATACATTTTTCCCTCTGGAATAGGGAAATCTGTTGCGCGCGCATCACGGTACATGGCCATATCGGCAGTTGACCCCTCCCATCCGCTAAGCACATATTGAAAATAGAGATCAAATGAGCAGGCTGCTAGGCAATTCTGGGATACACCACCCTTTCGGTTGCGTGATGCTTCACGCTCTTCTGCAGATGGATTACAGGGTATGTGTGTGCCATCAATGGCACTGATGACATCCTTGAAAAAAGGAAAGAATTTAGGATTGGATGATATCTCAATTGGCGTTGGCAAGTCGGGTTTGGGTAGGTGGACATATCTCGGGTAGAAGGGGGGTGATGACAGCATGTAAAGCACTTTCTTGAAGTAGCTGATGAATCATCAGTTGTACCATATAGTTGAGACATATGGCAGGTGACACTGATGTTGAAATTGTTTCAAATGAGTGCTGGAAGCGCTCTGCAATGAGTCTTACAGAGAGTCCGGTTACAGAGGTGTATAGGAAGATAGCGACATGTTCTTCAACAGCGAGATATTTTGAATTTTTCATACCAAGGGATCGAAGCTCCGCAACCAGATGACGAAAGACATGCTTGTGGACCCCAAATTGGCCATAAAACCGATCTGGGTGTCCATTTAGCAGATCACGAACCCAATCTTTGCCCCTATAGGGTGAGTCATGGTAAGGCCGTCTCAGAAGATAGCGATGGTGGTACACTTCCACCGCAGAAAGCGCCCATTGAGAAATAAGCAGAGCAATAAATTTCCGTTGATACTTGGTGCGATGTTCTTTGGTATTACCAGTCTTGCGGCCAACGGCCATTATTATATTCACTTTTAAAAAAAACAGGACAGAATCTACAAGCATGTGCGGGATGCCCCGGGGCATGCAGTTTCTTAAAAGAAACTGCTGAAAGAAACGAAAAGAAACGGGTGGAAGAAACCCATTTCTTCAACCCGTACAGAGCCTAAGAAGCGGAAATGCAGCGCTAGTCCACCAAGAACCCCAACAAAGTCCAAAGCCGTGACTACACCAAGCCCCCCAGTAAAGAAGGCTAAAGCCGATGTGACACCAGCCAAACAGCAGCCTGAAAAAGAAACAATAATCCTCTCTTCTGACCCTATAACTCCGGAATTTCTCTATCATCGCGCATCCAAAGTCGGAACTGAAATCATAAATCTTTCATCCTCCCCAACTCCTGGACCTTCCAAGAAGGCCCCTGTCCCTGTTTTCAACCTTTGCTCTTCTGATGATTTTCCCGAGTCCGACACTGAGCATGATGAGCTAGAACCATAGACTCAGTATATAATCGTGAACTTGTTGTGAACCCAAAAAATATTATTCCAATGGAGTTTAAATACATTTCTAAGCCAAATATCCTGAGTGGCTAAACCAGCCACACGTCGACTCGGCAGTCACGGAATACACAGCTTCAAGAAGTAAACCTTTTGTGCGATCCATATCCCTCCCAGATAGCACAGCATCAACATGATTCCTGTTGAGACGGAGCCAATGTTTGATCGTAGAGAAAGCCTCTTCTATTGGGTTTAAGTCAGGGGAGTATGGTGGTAGGAATATGAGATGAACACCACTATAATGTCAAAACCAGTAAGAGCAAGCTTAGATAATTGTGAAGCACACATTGTCAGGGGACGCACGTGCTCGTGCAAGATGCTCCGATAACCTAGTTGTGATTAAAGCCGGGGGAAAGGGATGTCCCCATCTTAGGGTCAGCTATATACATGTAGAGTCCGGCAATAAGGAAACCAAACAGATTGCCGATAGAATCACGTGATCATAGAATGTTCCAGAACAATGCCGGAGATGATCCGGGTCACCGGGGCTTAGGTAAGCGGAGTAGATGGGAATTACCGGCATACTTCCCACGCGCATACACGCAGCCGGCATAGGGTCCAGGGTCATTGCTGATCCCTGACACACATACCCGTCAGCGCACATTTGCTCAAGCTCATCAGATTTGTAAATCGACATG